ATAAAATTACTCGGCCCTAAATTTGACGGAGCAATGTTATTAGAATTTGCTAAGGCTATAACGCATAATCCGACTTGGGTATGCTTTAACGTGGTACCTGATTAAAATACGAATCCCTCGTTAAATTCGCAAATCATTTGACTTCATTTTACTCTTTTCTTTTCGACCAACACCTATATTATCTGAGCACTCCATGTTTGCTTCGACAGACGGTAATCATAGCGGCAACCGAGCAAACTTTTGACAGCTTATTACATGCTAGGGAGGTTATTGTCGGGTATTTCACTGCGATGTGTTTGTGCTACTGGCCTGCGAGGTGACGAGTCGATCTGTTAAGATCCCGATGGCTTGGGACATTTTCCAAGCGAGTCAATTTTCGGGGACCTAAAGTATATTCCAACGATCTATGGAACAACAGGTACATATGTATGTGGTAAGGGGTTGGGGTATGGATGGAAGTGCCTGCAGCGTATATGCACCGGTTTCTGAACACCCATTCGTTCGCTACTAAGGAGGTGGTAAACTTAAGAGCGGCACGTTTGCTGCAATGCAACTCTTCGCTAGGTTAGGTAGGTGTAGCATTATGCAGTAATGGCAAGTAGATACTGGAGTATGTAGTATGAAATAGTATGTATGTTGCTTCTGCTGAACCGTCTCGCCGATTCGATTTCTATTTTCTTTACATTATGGGTTTGAGCGGCGGCCGATTCCGAATATCCTGTGCAAGTCATCGTCTTCCCTGTCATTAAAAGCCGTCGATAATCCTAAACGACCGTCGCTTGGCGCGGTGGGCTGTCAGAATGTGGGTATGGTAAGAGTCGACTTGCACGCAACTACGATTAGCATCGTCTTTCTCCGCATGTACGGCCTAGAATTGTTTGGATATCTACGCCGTAGTTGCACGAACCACCTTTCTAAATCGACAAGAACTTCCGAAGCTGCATAATCGGATGGGAACACAAGCCCGAGGCTTCAGGGGTTAATGAAGCGAGGATCATTGCCGCATATAATAAAGCTAAAAAGCCCGGCCGATGCTTCTTGATATACGAGCGTGGAGAGCATTATCTGGAGAATAATTCGCGGAGGTAGGGATTCTCTGATGGCATCCAGGGGTTTCTTTGAGCGTGCCGAGACTTGTTATTAGTCCGGGTGCTTGGCCGGTTGTCGTGATCATTTTCCGCGACCCAATAATAGACCTTGCCTGTAAGCCATTTTCATGCCGTCACTTTCATATGTGGCTTGAATATTTTCCAAAAACCGGCCTCATTATTTGTGTTCCGTCTCACAGACGAAAAAAAAGGAGAGAAAAAAGGGAGAGAAAAAAGGAGGAAAAAAAAAAAAACATAAAAAAAGGACGAATATCGTATTGCCCTGAACTAGTTGACCCTAAGCCGGGTATGGCGTGCTCTCGTGTTATGGATACCCAGAGTACTGGGTCATGTTGGAATTAGAAGCAGGCTAGAATAAATCGTATTACATAGTAACTACCGAGATTGGGCGTTGTAATGCAGTCGAGTAACTTGAAACGAGAAACTGGCTTCCTCATTAAGACATTTCTTGAATTTGTCCCAAGCTCTTGGGACCTTTCATGTTACGGACTTTCACTTACACGGTACTACAACCACCATTGACAATATGAACACATAGCTAAGATACATACCTTCCTGTACCTTCATCATTTCTAATGGAATTGTGCTTGCGCATGATAGTACAAGGTAGATCCTGGACGCGTGGATGTGGCGCCTCGTTTTTCCCTCGATGGGATGTTCCGCCGTCAAGTCACTTTTCTTCATCAATTAGCCAAGGAACCTTGGGAAGCCAAACTGGCGTTGGTGGCTTGCTTGGGAATCCACACGAGAATACTCTGCATCTCCAATCCCTATCCTTATTGGCCAATTGAGGGAAGCATACGTATGCAGCTTGTTTAGCTATCAATACGCCTTCGTGAGCCTCATCTCCAACTGATTACCTAGGTATGCGAACAACTGAACGGCGTCACTATTATCGTCGCTAACGAGAGGGTTTGAATACCTATGACATTTGTTATTCGCTATTCAAACACGCCACGAGCGGCTGGTTCATCCGATGTATGTAAGATGCAAGGTTCGGGAGTGGAATAGGTTCTTACCTAACTCTGGCTGCTCGAGATTATCACGTAAAAGAATAGGATGGCAACGTATGTAGCTCACGAAAAGAGTAAGTTTGCATGGGAGTGGATAGTTGAAGAAGTTCCAGCCCAAGATACCGAATTAGACTTTAGGTATGATGACCGAGCTCTTTGACTGGATACCGTCTGGGTAGTTCATGTTACTAAAAGGTAAACACCTGCATGCACGTAGAGGGGGAAAGGAGAGCTAAGGTTAAGAGTCCCGCATGCAGGAACGAACTGGAGCATACAGTTAGTACTAGTAGTAGTATCCAGTGTACCTTCCAGTGTATCTAGTAGCTTACATAACGACTGCGACCTTACATCCATAGTACAGCATAGTACCTACATAATAGACGTATATCCTTGTCGTTATCCATACTCCAGGCACTGGGCTGACTGGGCCATCTCAAACTGCTGAAACTCGATCTGGTACCAACCACCTGGGGCACCATTTTAACTCACAGACTCAGGGGAGAAAATCCAAACCGAATTCAGGTACCTTTAGCCGAACCGTTCTTCGGCTAGTCAACCCGATAACATGCTCATCGACACGCCAATCTTCGACGTCGATGCCCAAACGGACCATCTTAGATCATCGTAGGATAGAGAAATGATTCTGGGGTCGTCGGGGAAGACTCTAGGGCTTCTTGGTGCGTCACAAGTTTGAATGTAGTGCTGTCGAGCTAGCTTTGACAAGTGGCTGTCTCGACTAGTAAACTGCACTGCTGCACCTAACGAAGCCCCACGGCACACGGTCCACGGTCCACGGCAATTGAAGCGACGCAATACCGTTGACGACAACTAGCTTGGTGTTTCGAGCCCGATGGATACTAGCCGAAGCCCCAGTCAACCCGGCACCGTCCCTATTGATTGTCTCTTTAGACATTTCCGTTTTGTATAATTCGTACATAGTAGTCTCCTGACGGGCGAAGGATGCTTGGGTGTTTGGTTGTTTCATCTGTTATATACACAGCAGAATTCATCTGACAACATCGGACGATACCAACCACGACGACTAGGATCTCCATGTGCGTGGCTGGTATTTACACGCTCTTTACAAGCTCTTTGCAACGTTGCCGTCTTACCTGCGCAATTCCAATCTCTTCACCTTCCAAACAACACCAACCGTCGAGCCGCATCTCACGACATTAACCACCGTAACTACGGCATAGGCTGATATATCGTATATGTTTCCCGAGGTCTCGAAACGGTAGGTTTCGGAAAAAAGATCGACATACGAAACCTACATTCAACACGCTGTCCTGCAAGATCGGTAGCAGTCAGATCATCCCGAAAGCACAGTCAATTCGACCTCACGCTCTTTTGCTATATCCGGACGCGCTCTTTTTATCCACTAAGGCTTGGGACCTTTTGAACTCCAGGAGGGTGTTTCTCGGACGAGAAGCTATATTCGAGCACGTTTCCATTTTTTTGCTATACTTGACTACGACAGCACTATACCTATCCTTTTCAGATCGTCAAAATAGATAAAGGTACGTCTTCGCAGCCATGCCTAGAAAGTATTGCCCCGCGAGATGCAACGATCTTTGGGGATTACCCATTGACAACCCCCTGACATATATCATCCTTTCTATACGTGGTACTGTAAGTTCTTTTATCCGCCGAATGAGTGTTCGAACGGGTTTGAGGATGGCTAAGTTTCGGGACCTCTGGGTTCGTACTGTAAGGCCGGTGCCATGCCATGAATTACCATGAATAACATGTGGCCAATGGGCCAAAATCTGCAGCGTAACAAGGATTCGCCCTCAGTGGGGAGACCGTAGCTGCAGGGGATGTCGAGGCCCTGGAGGGCCCTGAATGCTGGTCAGTTTCGGCGGGCCTTTTTAAGCTGGCTGGGGAGTTAGAGATGTTGATCATCGGAGACTAGTCGAAGGAGAACCGCATCCTACTTGAAGTCATGGCCGTCCAATGGCGTAGGCGTAGGCGTAGTCGTCGTCACGATGTTGTGCGCGAGAAGCCTCTCCACATTGTTTAGATTATTCATAGATCGCATCTTACTTATCCATTCCTCAAGTTTCAAGATGTGGCTTCCACGTATTACATGCTGATCAGAATCTCCTTAGTCCAAATAAAGATTTCTGACGGTGCTGACTTCATCGGCCTCACCAAGTCATCCATCCCCTTTTCCTGACCGAATCGTCATATCTGATTCGGGGAGTTTTGGGCAAACGAAAAAAAAATCCACGACGGACGAGACGGAAACTTGTCACAAAACCTCCCAGTACTACGGATTAGCGGATATAAGCGTTGCGGAAAAGAAGCGAAAGACGACGGCAACGTGATTCTCCGGTAACCTGCCCGAATTTCTCAATATCACATTCTACTACACCCATTCCCAACGCCCATACCACCTCCGCATAACGAAGGGTTCCCGGCCTAACAGAACGCCTCCCGAACTGTACCTGCATATTGGATAGCCAATTGATCGATTTCGACACACCCCCTTGGATCCCAATTGCCGGTCCCAAGCGAAGTGGTGGGTTTTAGATCGAAGCATTGCTTTTGCATCTTAACTTCACCCTTTCGATATTAGATGCAGCGCTCGGCGTGCATTTTACGTTCTCGCCTAAGTTGTGCATCGTTGGCTTCAACGGGACGTCAAATATTTCTCATAGTACCCTGTTCTGCTTTCGGTAACCCTGTCTTCCTCGGTGGGTCTTTCATAAAGCAAAAGAGCAAGTTTGACTCTTTCACGAGTCTTTAACAAGTCTTACTCTGGACACCGGAACTGAGACTCAAAACTCGAACACGTCGATTTATGATCGTATAAGAGCCGCAAGCTTTGAAGCCCGGTTTACGACGACGTGTTTGAATTTAGCCAGCGAACTGGCCTATGATAACAATAACCTACAGTTGTAGAGATTCGGAAATTCGCTTGAGGCACAGCGAAGGGTCACTTTTCCCGACCAACGGTCCCTTGCCCCCTGTCTATATCCCCCTGCTGCTCCCAATACTACCCCCCAACACGGGCTTGCATGATAATTCAAAGTACATATTACCCAAGACTATCCACTACCCCCATCGCGCCAGTGCCATATATCCTCCAAGCCATCTCCCGGACGAAACACTGTTGGTCTGCCACACCGCCCCCACAGTTTTTTCTTCTGTGGCCGTCTGCGCTGTCGCAGAGCTCTCACGATAGTTGAGATTAATGAACTAACGACCCGGGAATTTCGATCCCGGGTTGAGTCTATTCGATTTTTCGGGATTTGGGAATAAATTGATGGATCTCTTACGTTAGGGTCATACAACATGTATTCGCCAATTCCAGTATACTCCTATAATAAGGAGCCGCCGCAGAGACCTGCGAGGTCTCCCCCTGAGAATAGTCGACCTTCGACTGCATGCTCTCCGACTGCGCCGGTTTTTCAAGTACGAAACGGATTTGGCGATCTAATCGAACCAGCGATCGACGGCCCGCCGTCGCCGGAGCGCCTCCGGGCGCTGAGTAGCCAGATGAAGCGCGATTCCAATGCCGGCATGCACCAAAGCGAGGGAACATCGTCGGGCGCGTCGTCACGTCTTTCTGCAACATCGGATAGACGATCATGGAATCAGAGCTTGGAAAGTCTTCATTTATCGAGGAACCCTTCTCAACGGTCCACATCGAGTGGCATGCCAACGCGTGAGCGAACGGACAGCGTGCAATTCTTCAGCAAGGGAATGTTTTCACGCAGTAGAGGACGGCTACGGAGAGAAAGTAGTGACCAGGGCGGCTCCAATAGCTCACTGGACGCGTCTGAGATGCCGACTGACGCCATGCCTAAGGACCAACCATTCATTTCGTCCGTGTTCGCGCGGCGGAGGGCGTTGAGGGGAGAGTCGAGCTCGCCGGCTCCCCAAAAGAAGCTACAGATATCGGGACCTTACAATTTCCAGCACCTTACCCATACGAGAAAGGATAGCGTTCCTAACATCGACCGAACAAATCACTTGGAGCTTGTGTCGGAATTCTCTGACATGCGTCCGCGACGACCTACTAACGCGTCACTGAGCGGTGCCCAGCAGAGCGAGTCGCAATTTACGGCTTTCCCTTCTGAGACGTTCTACCATCAGGAAGACCCATCGGCGGGTCTATACGTCGATGGGGCACAATCACGGGACAAAGCGTTGCCTCCATCACCACCGCCTCCACCACCCTCAATGCGGTACGCTAAGCGATCTCAATCTCAGGATAAGATCCGCTATGCCCCTCCACGTCCGCCCCGGTCTCCTCCGCCTGAGAGTGATGATGTTACATCACCAATACTGCCACCCCCGAGAACCTCAAGCCGGATCTCGGCTCGCCACGCTAGGTATGACTCTTTGACCATGGCCAGAATGGCGGCCACACAGCTCGCAGAGCGCCCCGCAACAAGCACTGGCTTCCGCAAGCCGGAACCGTTTGCGCCCACCGCACCCACATCACCCAAGGATATATCGCCCAAGGGATATTCGCCCAAGGGCTTGCGGCCTCCCCCTCCTTCGCGCGCCACTCCCATGGTAGAATCTGTCGAAGAAGAAATGGAATCGCAAATGCTTCCCCGCGCCATCAGCACGCCAGATGATGCGGCGTGGCCTTTGGCCAACAACGTGACTGCCTTACCTGATGTCCCAGAGGAGGAAGAACATCACGCACAATCCCGGCCGTCGCGCATGAGCGTTACGAGCAACCACTCTTCCCTCAGGGGCAGTGTATCGGTGCCGTTGCTTCGTCAGATGTCAATGACGCAATCGCCTCAACGACCACCTAGCAATGCTTCCGATACTTTGGGCTTGTTCAACGCTCAGCGCCTCATGCGCACGGGCACCGGCGACGAGTATTTAGCTGATGATCTGGACAGAGACAACTGGGAAGACGATATCGATTATTGCTACGAGCATGAAGCTGAGGCGGACTGCGACTACGCCTGGGAAAGGCCATCGTGTGACATCGCCCGAGGGGGCCATGCCGAAACCATCATTACCTTTACTGGCCCCTTTGGCGGCAGTCTGTCCAATGATTTACTATCTCCAGGGAACTCTGACGTTCCTGCTCTAAGCCCGGCAAGCCAAACCTCCAACATGGACAAGCACGAAGCTATCACGCCAACGACCGTTCCGGTAACTTCCAACTTCTCTCTTCCGCGACGGGAGAACTCGTCACAATTCCTTCGCGTGCATAAGCGAACCCAGTCCCCGGAAACCAACTTCAAGGAGTCGCAAGGCTTTAGCTTGTCGCCTTCTCTCCTGATACCGAACGACTACCACCAGCAAATGCTTCGGTACGAGAGGGAAGAACTGCAGGACAGTGAGGACGAGGACTTCCTCATCCAGGGGAACACGTTCGACGACCAGCCCATTATGAAGTTTGGCAAGACCGTGAACGCTCGCTCCAGTGCCTCGACAACCGTCTCTACCCTATCAGAGCACTCCATGACTTCTAGCCGCCACAAGTCGACGAACTCGACTTCCACGGCCTACACCCGCTGGACCGGCAGCAGCACCTCTAGCTGGACGCAACAGCCGATCCTACCAAAGGCCATCAATGATAGCACGTTACCCGTTATCACATCGCCCACTGCCGTGGTAGCACCTACTACCTTCGAGGAGATGGCCGTGAAAGAGGAAAAGCCGGCCGAGAAGCACGCGAGGACGCAATCCCATGCCGGCCTTCTCATGAGGAGTAACTATGACGCGGCACCCCCCGCCGAGCAGAAGCCGGCGAAGGAACCTATCAGGACGCGTAGGCGGGCCCGGACCACGAGCCGAAGCCACGCGTCGCCTCAGTTCGCTCTCTTCCCGGCTGTCTCTACTCACGGCAACCGCATCTGAATGAATCGGTTACCACACCACACCTGTTATTATATATTATATAACTGCTATTATCTACTATACATATGTGTACATCTAGGTATATATATGTAATCGCTATTATTTATATCTACAAACCAACCAACCACATTCGTTATCAACGTAACTGTTTCCACTATCTTACCTACATACCTACCTAGGTACTCATCCACCAATCTCCATTTGTCGGACGCAAAAGTTCTCTGGTTTTCGGGACATATAGACTATCATCATCACCACCACCATCACGGCTTACGAAGCCAGGCGTTTTTATCCCCTTCCGCGTTTGCGTTGTTTTTCTGGTATAGACATCGGGCCTTTTGGTTTTTTTTTAAACTTTCGAATCTGTCGTTTCCGCAGACTCCCTTTTTTCTTCGCACTTCTTACCTAGGTAAACTACCTCGGTATGGATAATCGACCTACTACATAGAGCCGGCGACGGGCAACTGGTTAACTTCGCCTTATTCTTGTCCTGTTACTTTTTCTTTGTCAACTTCCCCTGCTGCCTTCTAGTACTTATAGAACGAGAGAAAAATTTTCAGGTTTAGGGAAGGCTTGAACGGGCAAAAAAGTTCGGTGCGCGGAGTACTGTTACGTCTTTTTTTTTTCTCTCTCTTGGATTTCTTTTTTTTTGAGTTTCTTTTGGATATTTTTTTGTTGTTTTGCGTTTGTTTTGATGTTAAGTTAGGGTATTATGAATATTGTGGGAAGGAGGGATAGTATATAGGGACGCGTGTTGCGCCGCCGCGCGGAGGATGACGCCCGATATCGATCGAGATCGAAGGCGTGCGGCTTATTCTGTTGTGCATACATTTGCTACAGTGTATATGGGTGTACCAAGACACGCCGTTCCATGGAAAAGGCGACAAACAGACATACAGACGAATGGGGTCGTGTCAATATTTGGTGGAATGGAAACCGCCTTTTGTCACTTAACCTTTTACTTCGGTATTTATATACTAGGTATTGAGAGCGGAGGCTACCTATGTACGTTACCTTCCTGAGCTATAGGGGGCCTCGTGTATATTTGGGGGGCTGGGGATGTGCGAATGGAGGCGTGGAGGTGAACATACTTCGATGGGCGGTCTCAGATCAAGGACCAAAATCCAGAACTGTGTTTCCTGATACGATTGAGTAAACCGTTTCTTATGCGTTGTGAAGTGACATGTTTGCAACTCGATTTGTATCGATGCTTGGAGAGACGTGTACGTATGCTTGACTACCTGTACGTCTTGCCTGAATTTATTATGGGAGAAATAGGCTAAGCTGTGGCGTCTGCCTACGAGTTCATGCTTTATAGGGGGCATTTTTGGTTTCTAAGACGACATGTGATGGTACCGTGTGCTACAATTAGCCGTCTATATTATAACACTTGGGGAGGAATACTGGAGATCTGAAGTAGCCGAATAGCTGACATCGAATTGGTACGCAGACATTTGCCTTAATACACATGCTGGAATAGAACCACCCGATAAAAACGACTATACTTGGACAAACGGAAGGGGATATCTCAATTAGAGTATTCAATAAAAAGATCTAAGTGGTTTTCGAATGCCAGCGAATCCTATACGACTGGGGTATGATGAAACATGACGATGAACAGAGCCGCACAACCTGGCAGCGGTAAGCCGACGGGCAAATACGCAAAATACCGAAACTCCTATCCAATGCGATGGCCCCCTTCACCCCACACAAAGGAGAAAGTGCGCTTCGGGCCTCTTCGGCCTGCTCCATTATCAACATAGTTCCGCAAAAACCTGGCCCTGTCCTATTTTAATTATTACCCAACTAATCTTGCCGCGAAGTATCGTCGCTATATCCGTTGTCGTCTTCCGGACCTGGCTCTGGGTCCGATACCCTTCTCCGCCTCTTCCGTCCGAAAAACTCCCCCAGTGCGCTGCTTAAGCTGCGTGCTCGTCCTCGAAGTGTTTTATTATCCGTTGGCAAGGGATCATCCTGGTAAGGCGGTTCATCATCGTCTCGATAGTCCTCGAAAAGAGGCTCAGCCACCGAGTTGACGTTGTCCTCGCTTTGTGGGACAAATAAACTCGATCTGATACTAGGCCTCGTTCGCCTAATAGATCTCCTTCGGCCGTTAGGACTTTCTTCGCCGCGCAAGAGAGCATCTGCTACCACAGCGCTCACGGTCGACGATAATGGCGACGGGGAAATAAAGGCATTGGAAAAGTGATGACTATGTGGTCTGGAAGGATGTGCTCGTGGTGTCGAGGGTCTGTCTGGAGAAGGAGGTGGGACGTCGGGATTTGGGAGGCTTGTATTAGACTGTAAAGGTTCTGATACAGCAACAGAGGTTACGGAGTATATCGTAGGTACACTCTCCGCCGATGACCTTAATGGCAGCTCTGGATGAGAAGGATGGTCATCTGCGGAATGCCTCCATGGGTTGTCGAGAAGCGGCGACGATTCCACTGGCGTCGAGTGAGACGTCTTAGTAGCTGACGCATCGTGCCTACGGATCGAGGGAGCTCTACTTTGCGGATACGATACCGTTTTAGCACTCGTATTTATGAAATTAAGTCGCGAGGCATACGATGAACGTCTCGACGACCGAGGTCGAGGTGGGGTTGGTGGTAGTAATTGTTCATGTCCAGGCTGCTCGTCATGGTCGGTGTAACGACTGTTCCTTTCTTGTTCGAGGAGCCCGATGGTCTCTTCCACGTTTTCATCATCTGACAATTCGTCTTCCTCATCTTGCCGCGGCCGGCCGCTGGTGATCAGGAAGACGCCGAAAAAAGTAAGGAGGCAGCCACCGATAAACTTGGCTGCCTGTTGCGCCGTCGTTCGTTCAAAGTCTCGATACAGGACAGCACTGCCGATAATCACCGACAAGGTAAATAGTACAAACTGAATGGGTATAACTTGTGTCGAATCGAATCGTTGTAGGGCCTTGTTTACGTATCGGACTTGCATGATGGCGGTTGCAAGTAGAATAAATACCATGCCATACGTCACTGGCGTGGTAAATGCCTTGAAAAGTGTTGAGGAAAGCATCGAGGAAACGCCCTTGGTCGCCAGAGCGGTATAACCTCCTTTAAATCTGTTAGCATAGAGCTCGCCATGATAACAAAGATGTGTGACACCTACCGAATAAGCCGACGAGGCCAAGGTCGATTAGGATTGTCCGGTTGCCATATCTAGGGCTCGCCCACATTAGGACGATGATGAAAAAGAAAGTAATGCCCATATAAATCTCGAATTCCATCGACGTGATATGATCCCACACATTATGAGGATCTAATTTCGTCTCTTCTGTTTTAGCACTCAGCACGACCGTGACGGCGCCGCCCACTGCGATGACGACGCCCCAGAAGTCGCGCGTCCGGAATTTCTCGCCAAAGAATATGGGCGCAATAATACAGTTCGAAATCAGAGCCACAACGCCTAGCGGAGACACGATCGAAGCGGGCGCGAAACCGTAGGCCAAGAAGTTGCCCATCTCACCAACAGTCATCAGAACCTGACCTATCCACCAGGATGTCGACTTCAAATAAGACGAGTTCACCTTGGACTCGTTACATGTTTGTTCGGTCAAATTGGAGTCTACCGATTGAATCGACTGAGAAAGCGGGTGTATGCCTGCCCCATCAACTGCTTCGTCGCCATTGTCCTGCGCGATGCCATCAGGTATGTCGGTTGTTCCGAAACCGTTACGGTGACCATCCCGGGCTTTCCTTAAAGCTTCTCTTGCTCGCTCCCGCGCCTCGACTCGCCGTTGATGTAGTTTTATATGCGAATATCTCTGAACATTGAGCGCTAAAGCAATCAGGACATTGCCCGATATTGCGGTTATGATCCCGATGAGCGAACTCCAGTTGCCCAGGTCCGCGCCATCGTCAGGATCGCTACCTGTCCCGTTATTTGCGGCCCAACTCATATTGATATTGATTCTACCGGTCGACTCGATCGACATCCGCGCGTGGGCGGGCCGCAGTGGGCAGACTTATGGTAGCAATACTGCAACAACGAGTTTTAGCAGGTTGCCAAAGGGATTTCGATTTCGTTGATCGACCGGCTATTTGATTGCGCCAATTATGGCTAGTTCGTTCTTCAGAGCCGATCGCGAATGGACTCATCGGACTTCGCTCGAAGCGGATTCATTAATAACACATTAGATAGAAATGGAAATGGAAATCGTAGAAATGCAGAGTGGTAGATAGGTGAGTCGTGAGGAGCTGCTCACTGATCGGCGCAAACGTGAGGTGGAGTGCAGGAAACCCCGGCTCAGTGCTGTCAGCGTCGATAGAACGGGTAGGATACTGTAACTGGATGCGGGTGGTTTCGAATACAGTATCGGTTGAAGATTCTCGAATAAACTCATGCAGCTAATGTAACGGCCTTCAAAACTGGCAAATATTTATAACAGAAACACGAACTAGGAAATTGTATTGATCTATTCTACGTATCTACTAGCTTCGGTTGATTATGAAAGCGACGGAACCTTAATAGCGAATACGTAGTACCTACCTACTATTATATGTATTACCTAATATTAGGTAGCTACCGAACTTAGATTGATTGCGAATAGACTCGGGAGTGCGGTACCTAAAGGCTTGTGATTGTATTGGGCATGTACATCCTACCCAGATACAAGTTCAGTTCGAAGCTTCCAAGCCCCGTTGATTCCGTCATTATACAGCCGGCTAGTTACATAAAAGTTCCACTTCCATTAGTACAGCGTTTATGTGTAAATTGCTAGTTCTACCTAACTGGACCTACCTAAGTCAGCCTTGTCTTCCTCCAACACATTTTCATTCTACCACCTCTTACTTCCCAACGCCGCAACACAATTTTCGCCAACAATGAGCGACGACGAAGAAATTCAGGTCGAAGGACCCATTCTTGGGGATGACGATCCCATGCGCGCATTCTTGCCTACCTCGTTCGGGAAAAGTAGCAAAGAGGCTGACATCGCCGCACAAATCGACCGGAGTAAGAGAATAGTCAAGGAGCCAATAACAGGCAAGTCCAAGTCGGGAGATTCGGATTCAAACGACTCGAGCTATAGCGAAAATGACTCCGACGACTCTGATGACGAGGACGAATATCCAACATCTCACGAGATGGTCATTAAAACTCACGAGCGCGCTGTTACTTCGCTGTCGCTAGACCCGGCGGGTGGCCGGTTAATATCAGGTTCTATCGACTGCACTGTCAAGCTCCACGATTTCTCGTCCCTTACCCCAACAACGATACGAGCTTTTAAGAGCGTTGATCCCTATGAGACCAAGTCCTCGGCAGCAAATACGGAATCGCATCCTGTCCACCACGTCGAGTTTAATCCTCTAGCTGGTGGCATTTTCCTATGCATATCGGCACACCCCCAGGCGAAAATTCTATCTAGAGATGGCGATATCGTTACCCAATTCGTCAAAGGTGACATGTACCTTCGAGACATGCACAATACGAAGGGCCATGTTTCCGAGGTCACGACAGGTACTTGGCATCCCACAGACAAGAACCAGTGTGTTACCGCCGGGACAGATAGTACGTTGCGCATATGGGATATCAACAACAAGCGCAGCCAAAAGGAAGTATTGGTATTCAAGTCGAGAGCTGCAGGCGCTGCAGGCAGGACGCGGATGACTGCTGTCGCTTGGGGTACCCCAGTCCAAGGAGGCAACAATGTTCTGGTTTCCGCAGCGCTAGATGGTACTCTTGTGATGTGGAGCGGCAATGGTCCGTATACGCGGCCGGCCGGGGAGATAAGAGAAGCTCATAAACCCAACACCTGGACTGGCGGCATCGATATCAGCTCCGATGGGCGAATGGTGGTGACTAGGGGCGGCGACAACTTAATTAAATTGTGGGATACGCGAAAATTTAAGGAGCCGCTCGTTTCGGTCGAGCATCCATCTACGTCGGATCACTATCCAACGACCAACATCAAGTATGCGCCTAATTCTACAAGCATCATCACCGGATCAGCGACTGGCCACCTCCACATACTGAATCCGGGGAATCTGCGTCCGGAATACACTACGTTAGTCACACCCGGGTCGCCCGTGATTACGGTGGACTGGCACCCGAAGATCAATCAGATCATCACCGGCTCTGCAAACGCCGAAACGCACATCCTGTATAACCCTACGATGTCGACGAGGGGTGCGGTGGACGTTATGTCGCGCGCCCCGAAGAGGCGACACATCGATGATAATCCAGAGTTGACCACCGACCAATCTCTCGGACTTTCAGGGGAATCAATTTTCACACCAGGTGCTTTAGCCAACAGCAGAAAAGCGGGTGTTACGGCATCTGGGAAATCGAAAGATCCTAGGAGACCGCATGTTCCTCAACAGACGCCCTTTCTACGAAGCCAGCCTGATGAGAAGCATATCAGTGAGAATATTCCATTAAGTCGAATGTTGCATGAGGATCCCAGAGAGGCGCTCCTCAAGTATGCCGACCTAGCAAAGAAGGACCCCGTATTTACGAAGGCATGGAAGGACACGCAGCCGGTGACCCAGTATGCCGACGTGAGCGACGAAGAGGAGGATGGCCCAGACAAGAAGAAGGTGAAGAGATGAGAGAGGCTACCAGTCTGCAAATGCAGGTACAAGAAATACCGGTGTGCCAAGGCTCTTTTTGAGAGGCTAGTTCTCAAGGATGACTTATCTGACTTACCATTAAAGTTGTTTGCCCGAAAACAGGTACCCGGGCTGTCAGGTACCAAAGGAGCCTCTTATGACCTCAAAATAGGTACCTACATATCCATGGATATTTTTACTAAGCTTATTTACGGAACTAGGTACGGTACCTATGTAAGTAGGATCTTAGTGCCCCATACAGCCGGGACTCTACGAAAGGTAGGCCCATTGATCGACGTGCGCCGGCTTTACCAATTGGCAAAAAGATGCCTTTTAGGGACTACTTTGTCAAGTCTGTTACAGGTAGTGTTTACGGGCTACCAACCTGCGAGCCGAAGCCAAGTAGAAGTAGGTACTTTAATGGGAAGGAACATTGAAAATCTGATAAGCTAAAGGGAACCAGTGAATCTTGACAAGATCTCGCTTGTTTTAGATGCTATGGATGGTTTCAATAGCTACATTAATCAATGTCCGCACCATTTGCTTTGTATAGTATAGTACTTAGTACATCGATGTGACCCACTTAAGTCGCAATGGGGACAATTGGACAATCTGTGAAATGTGAATGGTGGATTGCGTGGTTACGTAAGTGGCAGTTGCAAGGGTTTTGTCGGGATATAATTAAACCGATTGGATGGGAAGCTAGAAAAATGGGGCTGTGCCCCTTAGCGCATTTTTCCCAACTCAGGTGACAGGCAAAACGGAGATGGTCTTGTTGTGCGGTTTGTGCGCCTTTCACATCAAACCATCTCTTTCCACGCCATCAATCGCGCATCAAAAAAAGCGAGCCGCATCACCCATCCCCGTCTAAATTCATCGACAACTATCCGGAGTGACCTCCAACTTTTATTTTACGCGATTTTCTCGCGGAAAAGAGCCCCTCTTTACCGACTTTTTACGCGCTCTCAGCCAACCACCGGCCATCTTTTCACCCTGTTGCTTTCTGCCATTCCCGACTCACACGTTCCCCCGTTCCCTTCCACCCCCGCGACCGCGAAAGGGCAAAGTCGAAAAAGGCTGAGTTAGCTCTACGCATCCTGCTAAATCCCCACCGCGATTTCTCGACACATTCCCGCCGGACGAACACCGCGCACCGCGACCGGAAAACGGATACGTCGCGCATTACAACGACTACCGTCATCCCCAACCAAATATTCCATTCCGAATAATTGCACCCCGGCGCAACCACCACCACTTTTGCTGTCCGCCCGTAGTTTGCGACGTGTTTGTCAACCAACGCACATCGTCTACTACCCCATTCCATCGCCATCAGTATTTTTCGCCCAGTCGCTCTTTATAATACTATTGTAATAACGGATAAGCCTATTTTATCAATAGGGCCTGCGTAATACCTCGCCGTCGATTCGTGATATTCAGATATGAACGCCTCATAAAGTGGTTGGATGAATAAGCACACGGTCGTGACTCTTGAAAAGAAGTTGCGTTAGAGATATTAATCAAGATGGCATCTGTCCAGGCGCCCCCCGCTGTTCACCATGCTGGTTCGTCTGCCATGGCGGCGCAGATGACTCAGCAACAGGTGCAGGAAGTGTACATGGTGCGTAGCCTCCTCTCGATGACACGATGTACTTCGTACCGTGTCGTGTCCGTCCACTTGTTGCATATGCTAATAGTGTCGTAGAAATTTCGGCAGATGAAAGAACAAGGCGTTCCGCAGACCGATCCTGAGTTCATAAAGATGAGTCAATTCCTGATGACTGTTCAGCAGCAGCAACAGATGCGCAAGCAACAGCAGAATTATATGCAAATGCAGGCTGCTCAGATGTCGCACGGCGCCCCTAATGGCAATGTCAATGGCACGCAATCAGGCCCGCGACCTCAGCAACCCACCCCACATACCACACAACCGCCGTCGTCAGGTGCTCTGAATGCCTCTGCCTTGTCGTCGAGCACCGGGCCAACTGTCCAGCCAGTCGCGTCATCGCCTGCAACGGCATCTCCCATGGCAGCACAATTCTCTCCACAGCAGCTTGGTCTCCTCAGGCAACAGATCCAAGCCTTTAAGCTGCTAAGTAAAAATGCTGGAGTGCCATACCAGATGCAGCAGGCGCTCAACGCGCAACGTCAACGTAGACAGGCCGTTGCCGAGCAATCTACCCACCCCCCTGCTCATCCTGCCTCTGCAGCAGCAACACCAGCTCCCGAGGCAACGAAGGCTGACTCTGCGCCACCTGACGAAAGTGTCGAGCCCAAGGATTCTGCGCTAAAGTCAAAAACTTTCAAGACACTCAAGTCTCCCTACGAAGGTGGTCTTGTCCGTAAAGATATCGGCTATCACGATCATACCCAGCGTAAACAACGCCTTATCATCCCTAGTATCTTTCCTACGGGAGTCGATTTCGAGCAATTGAGACATGAACGCGAGATTATTATCTTCAACCGCATGAAGGCTAGGTATGCTGAACTGAAGTCATTGCCTGGAAACATCTCCCATTGGGATACTACTAGGGAATCCCTCGACCCCGATGACACGTTGAAGCGGAAAGCCATAATTGAGCTAAAGTCTCTTGGTTTATACGCCAAGCAACGTGCTCTGCGTGAAAAGATTGGACGCTCGATGATGCACTACGACAATCTGGCGATGACTACGAACCGCAGCCAATATCGCCGAACCAAGAAGCAGAGCGTGCGCGAAGCTCGCATCACCGAGAAGCTTGAGAAGCAACAGCGAGACGCTCGCGAGACCCGTGAGAAGAAGAAGCATATCGACTTCCTCCAGTCTGTTCAACACCACAAGTCTGAGATTTTCAGTTCGGCACATTCTGCTAAGAACAAAATGTCCCGAATCGGACGTGCCATGCACTTGCATCACTTCAACATCGAGAAAGAAGAACAGAAGCGGATTGAGCGAACTGCCAAGCAGCGTCTGCAAGCTCTTAAGGCTAACGATGAAGAAGCCTATCTTAAGCTGCTGGACCAGGCGAAAGATACCCGTATCACCCATCTTCTTAAGCAGACAGATGGATTCTTGCACCAGCTCGCGTCCTCCGTCAAGGCACAACAACGCCAGGCCGCGCAACGGTACGGCGACGAGGTTGGAGAGTTTGTGCCTGAGGAGGAGAGCGAAGTTGAAGAAGAGGACGAAGAGGCCAACCGCAAGATTGATTACTATGCTGTGGCCCATCGTATCAAGGAAGATGTCACAGAGCAGGCAAGCATACTTGTTGGCGGTACCCTCAAGGAGTACCAGATCAAGGGTTTGCAATGGATGCTTTCTCTTTACAACAACAACCTTAACGGCATTCTCGCCGACGAAATGGGTCTCGGAAAAACTATCCAGACCATTAGTTTGATCACGTACCTCATCGAGCGCAAACTTCAGCAAGGCCCATACCTTGTAATCGTCCCCCTGAGTACCTTGACCAACTGGAATTTGGAGTTTGAGAAGTGGGCTCCGTCTGTCAGCCGCGTTGTTTACAAGGGGCCCCCGAATGCACGAAAGCAACAACAGGAGAAGATTCGCCAAGGAAAATTCCAGGTCTTACTTACCACTTATGAGTACATTATCAAGGATCGTCCCGTACTTAGCAAGATTAAGTGGTTCCACATGATCATCGACGAAGGACATCGTATGAAGAACACCAATTCGAAGTTGAGCGCTACGATATCACAATACTACAACACTCGATTCCGTCTTATTCTTACTGGTACTCCCTTACAAAACAACCTGGGTGAATTGTGGGCCATGCTCAACTTCGTTCTCCCGAACATTTTCAAGTCGGTCAAGACATTCGATGAGTGGTTCAATACTCCCTTCGCAAACACCGGTGGACAGGACAAGATGGAGCTGAATGAAGAAGAGCAAATCCTCGTCATTCGTCGTCTTCACAAGGTATTGCGTCCGTTCCTGCTGCGTCGTCTCAAGAAGGATGTCGAGAAAGATCTACCAGACAAGACGGAGAAGGTCATCAAGTGCAAGTTCTCCGCGCTCCAGACGCGACTATACAAGCAGATGGTTACCCACCAGAAGATTACGGTTAGCGATGGAAAGGGCGGTAAGACTGGAACTCGCGGTCTTAGCAACATGATTATGCAACTTCGAAAACTTTGCAACCACCCCTTTGTCTTCGACGAGGTAGAGAACCAGATGAATCCTACCAACACCAGTAACGACCTCCTCTGGCGAACAGCTGGCAAGTTTGAGCTATTAGATCGAATCTTGCCGAAGTACAGAGCCACCGGGCATCGTGTTCTGATGTTCTTTCAGATGACTGCGATCATGGACATCATGGAGGACTTCCTCCGATTCCGCGGAATCCAGTATCTGAGATTGGACGGTACCACAAAGTCCGAGGATCGATCTGATCTTCTGAAGACATTCAACGCACCTGACTCACCGTATTTTATGTTTTTGCTCTCGACGCGTGCTGGTGGTCTAGGCCTGAACTTGCAGACCGCCGATACCGTCATCATCTACGACTCAGATTGGAACCCTCATCAGGATTTGCAAGCTCAGGATCGTGCTCACCGTATCGGCCAAAAGAACGAGGTGCGTATCTTGCGACTTATCAGCTCTAACTCCGTTGAAGAGAAGATCTTGGAACGCGCAAGATATAAGCTTGATATGGATGGCAAAGTTATCCAAGCCGGTCGATTCGACAACAAATCGTCTGAAACCGACCGTGACGCCATGCTCCGAACACTGCTAGAGTCCGCAGATATGGCTGATTCCGGCGAGCAAGATGAGATGGATGATGAGGAGTTGAACATGATCCTCGCTCGAAGTGATGATGAGGTTACCGTCTTCCAAAAACTTGATGAGGAACGTGCGAAGGACCTCACATATGGTAACGTTCCTGGCTCGAAACGCGTCCCTCGACTCATGGCCGAGGATGAGCTCCCAGAAATATATCTGTCGGAAGGCAACCCTGTCGACGAAGAGCAAGAAGAGGTCTTGGGTCGTGGTGCTCGCGAGCGGACCCGTGTCAAGTATGATGATGGCTTAACCGAAGAGCAATGGCTCATGGCTGTGGATGACGACGAGGACTCGCCAGAGGCAGCAGCAGCGCGAAAGCAGGCCCGAAAGGACAAGCGGGAAACAAATAGGCTGAAGCGGCTAGCAGTACTTGGTGCGTCAGGCGCCAATTCTCCGGTTGCGAGCCGTGCAAGCACCGAGGAAATCGACACACCTCCCAAGAAGCGTGGTCGTAAGCCCGGTAGCAAGAACGAAAAGCGCAAAGCCGAGGATGATGACGGTGAGCCGCCCGCCAAGAAGCGTCGTGGGCCTCAGGGACGCCCTAGAGCAATACTTGGCAACGGTAACGACTCTCGTATCAGCTTTGAGCTGCGGCAAGTCCTCCAGAGGAGCTTGCGTAATATTTACGACGGTTTGATGGGCCTTGAAGCCGACATCGCACCTGAAGATCAGGTTGACGACGACGACGATGATGAGCCTACCAAACGTCTCATAATTGGACCCTTCATCAAGCTACCGTCTAAGCGGGATTATGGCGACTACTATGTTCTCATCCAGAATCCGATCTGCATGAACCAAATCCAAGCCAAGATCAAGAAGGAGGAGTACAACAGCATTAACGATATGCGCCGAGATATCGTCTTGATGTGCAACAATTGCAGAACCTACAACGAGGACGGTAGTCTTCTTTACTCGGATGCAATTGTCATGGAGGTAAGTTGTCGATAATCCTAATAGTAACGAGCTTTGATCAATATGCTAACGTACGCAGAATTTCTTCAACGCGAAAGCGCAAGAAGAAATAAACGAGCATCCGGAATTGGGCGAGCTCGAAGACCCATCCGGTAAGGATAGTTCGGTTCCCCCTACTAGCGCCGGAACTCCTCAATCCTCCGCAAATACGACGAGAATAAAGCTGGTGACCAATGGTGCCAGCCAGGGAGGTATGGGTGCAGGCGGCGCCCTGAGCGACGGTGAACAATGATGACCTAGTCCGCGAATATAGCCGGACAGGCAGCCAATAGTTGGCTTACAAGTGATAATTACTCTTCGGGCGGTTTTGCCAACGTGTTTTGTGAAACAAAGATTTGCTTAGACCGCGCGGGTTCTCCCAAAACAGGGGGGCGGGAGAGAAAGTTAAGGCGTTTTCGAGGTTCATTGTCCTTTTTATTAACAGGCAAACATTAGGGGAGGAAGAAGAGAGACGAATGGCACGTGTACCACAATCGACCGCAACCTTAAGTTACTATCTGGAGAAGGGCTAAAGCAATACCCCCGGGCTTCTTCTCTGCCTTTGCTTACTACTACTTACCTAACTATTAACTACGCTCTTAGTACATGAATTTTTGCCTATCCGGCTTTCTTTTCTGGTTTGGTGTTTTGTGAGCTCGGTTTGATCGTGATCTGATCCATTCCGGGTATAAGTTTTCGCTTGATGTATGTAGGATGTAGGACGTAGCAATGTAGTGATTTGTACGGATAAGTCTGTTTTTGTCTAGCACGCTCTGAACGAAGTGTAGATGGCGATCAGAGATTGGATTTGTGCGTATTCTAGATGACTTTTCGATACAATATTATGGATGTCTTGTGTCATGCATAATTCCTATTGGCTAAAAGACACAGTGAAGAAGTCCCAACGTCTCGCGATACTAATGGCGATCGTTGTCTTATGTTTGTAGAACTAGAATTTGCAAGGCTTCGGATTCGCTTGCCTAGGAGCCAGGAATTCATAATTCTGTCTTGTCACGATATTTTTTCGTGGGATTCTAGTTAGGATGAATCATAATTATACCTGGAAGGCATTGACGACTCTATTTCGCCTTTTAAGGAAACGGAAGCAGTTAGTAACCATGTGCATTCGTACCTAGGCACAGCAGTGGTGAGTTGGTATTCGTTGTTTATTACTGAGTGTCAGTGCTTATGATCTAGAATGTAGAGCAACTGAGGGCAATAGAAGTCTTCGTCTAATCGAGGTACTATCGTATAGTGGCTCTTGGCATCGATAGTTGAGCCTATCAACCATCGACGCCAATTGAGACCCCCCGCGAATACGACCTAAAACCAAGCGATTTAACGGAGCAGCGTCCTGCTATTCTTCATCCCTCGTTTCTTTGTTTTAAGGCTCATTCTCATTCCCTCGCAGCAACATTTGTTTAGGCTTTCATTAGACCTCACCCATTCCATAGATTTGATTCCGAAATAGTCTTTGTCAAGGCTTACTGGCTTTTCGACTTGCTGCACGGTCATGCTCATGCAACTCCCACACGTCTTTGACGCTTGGAGCGGAGGGGTGGTTTCTGGCACTGCGGCCGGGAGGAGTAGGGAATATGGCAAGATGGATCATTGGGTGATCCAATCGCCTCAGCATAGTAGATCTGTACACCTTATCGAATTGGTTGAACCAGCAAGCTTCCCATTCACGGTCGGTTGGGTTGGTGCAGTCGCCGAGGTTCTGGAAGACGTCGGCTATTATCTCGACCCCACCGCGCCCATGGTTATGTATGGTGATAGAAAAATCAGTCGCACATTGGTAGCAACCGGCGAGCGAGTATGACTGGAGATCAAGTTGGTCCAAATCCCAACCATCGAGCCTCGAGGGCTCTGCTACCATCATCTTCCAGTGCGCCATGGCGATAAACTCCGAGATCGTCCTATGAACACTCGTTTTGTCTAAACTTGCCCACGAAAAGGTGCTCAAGGGGGGTTGGAATGCATACCGAAACTGGCCGCTGTGGATGCAGGATTTGAATATCTCTTCCGTAAGCCACGATTGCGAGGCGCTTAAGAAGTGCTTAACTTTCTCGGGCTGGAGCAGTATTCGTTGAACCTTGTGAAAGTACAAGGATCCGTTTACGACGGTTGCTTCGGTGTCCAATTTGATGTATCCATGGAGGAATTCCGGGTTATAGCAAGATGACCATAATCTAGCAAGCTTCCAGTCGGTCGATATTGCGAGATTAGAGAGCAACGACTTGGTTCTCGAACTCTTGCGGCTGCCTTTTAAGGCCTCACGAGCCTCGTCGAAGGTAATGACATATTTTGGCCAGAGAGGACCAAAGGTCATTACGCCCTTAGGATGTGGGTTAAGCCGGTCACGAATTATGATGGAGTTATCATGAGCATTTCGGCTTTCTCCCGTGAGATTCTGATGGAGTTTTGCGCAACGCAAACAGACGAAACGATGCAGGTAGTCGTCCGCCAACAATTGCAAGAACTTATATCTCGGGTCAAGGATCGACTCGGAGCCGATGGGTTCTTGTCTGCAATCGCGCAATTTTTTTTGGACATACGAAAGACAGAATTTGCCGTAGTCCGAGCTGCTGATTAGGTGGCGGGCGGCTTTGCAAGTTAACGAGAACAAGATGACATAAGGAGGGTCAAGGAAGGATAATATCTCAAGGACTAGCTCCGGTGGTAGGTCTAGGATCCGGAATGGACCGAGTAAGCCAGAGGGCTTTGGTCGGATCGCGAGTTTGTTCGTAGCCGGCATATCTGCAGACTGCAGGGAAATCCGATTCATACATGTAGGCACTCTCTATGTTTGTGCGACGAATGATTCCCGTATAATTAGAAGTCTGGTTCGGGCGAGTTGGTCACTCCATTTTCCCTGAAGTTCCTGAGGGTTGGATTCTCAGGTAAGTGAATTCGGGGAAGTTGTTGAAGGGAAGTGGAAACGTGGGTCCACCAGATTAAGTCGGGAGAATAAAAGTTTGATCTCCTTAAAAATGGCACTCACCTACTGTGTCGCCCCTTTCTTGTTCATGATGAGTGTCTGCACCTTCACTTGGCAAAGGTGTGGAATGGAGGTGAATATGCAGGTACTTCGCGCCTGCCCGCCCTATTAGCAAAGATGACGGGAGCATAGGCCACTTCGATCTACTATCCATGGATGGCACTAATATATGTCGGTCCCCGCTAAGCTGATTTAGGCAATGATGCAACAGCATCTCAAGGCTCAAACAACAGCGACCGGCCACCTGTAGTTTCTATGTTTGGGTAGCGCTGGAGGTTAAAGTAGTACCCACGGCAGCTACGTCAAGCTGTATTTTTTTTATATTGCGTCCTACAACCACAACCACTACTACTACCATATAACATAACCCCTATGGACCATCCTGTTGTACGACGGGAGTCCTCACCACACCCGCAATGTGGCTCGCACAGGAGAAGAGGCGATGTATAATCACCATACTCTCGCCTGCGCTACTGATAGCAAGCTATGCACAAGGTCAACCAGACTCTAGCCTTTCCATCACTCAAGATGTCGCAAAACCCGCCTCGAGTACGGCGACGGCCGAGCCTACCTGCGAATCGAGGACGGTGAACTACATTACCCATACATTGCCTCAGCAGTGTCTCACGTCTGCGCCTTCGGCCTTTTCGACCCCGGGGACCGTTAGCGCCACCGTTACGTCTTCTGCTGCCGACTCAACTTCCAGCCTTAGTACCGGCGACGCCGATCATGAAGAGGAGCTCGACGCCGACGGCAACGACCTAAGCACCGGCGCTTTCATGTCCTTCGAGGAATGGAAGGCCATGATGCTCGAGAAATCAGGCCAAGAAGCCTTGGAACCCAGACACCGCAAGACCAAAGAGACGCATGGCGATTATCCGGGAGATGACTTTGATAGTCTAGGAGACGAAGGCGAGGTGTCGCTCGACTTCGACGCGTATTCGGACAAGATTTCCGAGCTCGCGTCGTCGACCAGGCCGTCGCAGAAGGAGAAGGAGAAGGAGAGACAGGTCGAGAAAGTGAGCTATGACGAGGGGCTGGCCCAGAGCTACCGTAGTAAGGATGCGGGGACGACGTGTAAGGAGAGGTTTTCATACGCCTCATTCGACGCTGGCGCGACAATAAAAAAGGCGAACCCTGGAGCTAAGAACCCCAAGGCCATCCTAGTCGAGAACAAAGACTCGTACATGCTCCTCGAGTGTGCTATGAAGAACAAATTCGTCATCGTCGAGCTGAGCGACGACATCCTAGTCGACACTGTTGTCATAGCTAACTTCGAGTTCTTTTCGAGTATGATACGCCACTTCCGAGTTAGTGTGAGCGATCGCTATCCCGTCAAGGAGGAGAAATGGAAGGTATTAGGCACTTTCCAAGCCCGTAATTCCAGAAATATCCAGCCTTTTCTAGTCGAGAACCCCCAAATCTGGGCCAAGTATCTACGGATCGAGATCCTGACCCATTATGGTAACGAGTATTATTGTCCCGTATCCTTGCTACGAGTTCATGGCACGCGCATGCTCGACTCGTGGAAAGAAGCCGATCCTGCCGATCTTGAAGTTGAGGATGACAGCAGCAAGACCGTATCTGAAGCTGCTGAGGAAACTGTTGTGGTGACCGAAGTTGAGCCTGAAGAAGTCGAGGTGGCTGAACCTCCCCGGTCCGAGAGCCAGGTGGTAAACTTAGAGCAGAGTGTTTTCATTCCTTACTGGGACAAGTCATATTTCTACCACCAATACCCCTTTGACATGACGTGCGCCGACTCTGATGAGAAAGAGTTTACGTCCAATAACAAGGAGGAGCACTCTCAAAACACAACCGCGGGTGAACCCCAATCTACAGAGCCCACAGAAACGACGTCTTCAGTCAATGCAGGTACATCTTCGTCTGGAGCCTCGACGACGCAGTCTACTAGCCAGACCATCACCGATTCAGGGAGAACAACCTCTCCTAACGATTCTGGGGAGACGTCAGCAAGCACGACCACCACTGAAAGTTCATCAGAGACCGTGTCGAGCACGACGTCCACCCAGGATACGAGACCAGCTACTGCCACCACTCCAGAGACACCCACCACCATCACACCCCCAAGCCTCGCAAAGACAGCCAGCGCGCAATCGTCCCCTAAGAGCCGGACACCCGCTTCCACGTCTCTGAAACCGCCTTCCTCGCGGTCCGTCACCGTGTCCAAGGGCCAGCCCTCCGGCTCCGCCACGGCGCCGCGCAACAAGACCGGCACGGCCACGACGTCGTCGCCCGCCTCGGCGCCCACGATCCAGGACTCGTTCTTCAAGGCGCTTAACAAGCGCATCCAGGCGCTCGAGTCCAACACGACGCTATCGCTGCAGTACATCGAGTCGCAGTCGCGCTTCCTGCAGGAGGCGCTCGCGCGCCTCGAGCGGCGCCAGGTCGCCAAGGTCGACCTCTTCCTCGACACCCTCAACAAGACCGTGCTCGGCGAGCTGCGCGAGGCCCGCACCCAGTACGACCAGATCTGGCAGTCGACCGTCATCGCGCTCGAGACCCAGCGCGAGCAGTCCGAGCGCGAGATCGTCGCCCTGTCCTCGCGCCTCGGCGTCCTCGCCGACGAGGTCGTCTTCCAGAAGCGCATGGCCATCGTCCAGTCCGTCCTGCTCCTCGGCTGCCTCGTCCTCGTCATCTTCTCCCGCGGCGGCATCGCCTCCGTCGCCGCGGACGCCTACTACCCCAGCGAGCGCTTCCTCGGCGCCGTCTCCCCCTCCCGCCTCGTCGCCTCCTCCCCGCTCTTCCCCTCTCCGCCTCAGCCTCAGCGTGGGTCACAACAACATACTCACCACCACCACCGTCCCAGCCCCGACCTCCCCCTCCTCTCCGTAGAGGAAGCGAGCCCCGAGGTCCGCCCGCGCCGCAGCCCGAGCCAGAGCCAGGCTACCGAATCCTCTTCGCACTCGCCATCCTCGCTGCGCCACCGGCCCAGGAGGAACTCGCGCGCCACGTCGACCGAGTCGACGAGCCGCCACCGCCGGCCCTCGACCGAGTCCGCGCCCGCGCCCCCCGCGGGCTTCTTCCGCGCCGCCACCCCGTCGAGCGTCGTCGACATGGGGGGCTACGACTCCGAGCCCGCTATGACGACTCCCGGTAGAGGGGGCGACGAGAATCATCACGGCAGGGGCGGGGACGGGAATGGTAATGGGAATGGGGACTACTACGCGACGAGCGGCGATGACTCTGCGGCCGGGAAGGGTGGCGTAGGCCCGTCTTATTCCGAGGTGCTGGCTAGGAAGTCGGAGAGGCAGCTCACGCCCTCCTCGGACGTCGACGGCGCAGAGTATATCCCCATATCGAGCAGGCCGCCCCTGACGCACAGCACTTCGGCGCGGAAGCCTCTGCCTGCTTTGCCAGAGGATCCTGATTAGAATATGTATATCCACCTATGTACGTAGTCTGTGTAAATCCTACTTTATAGCTACGAATAATGAGACCATGAAAAAAGAAAAAAAAAAGGCACGCTTATCGTCAGTACTACCAACGTCTACGGAAACTGGCAGGTTACTATTTTCCACGCAAACAGAATTTGACAAGGCTTCAGTTATGTGGAATCATTCGGTGTTAGCTATGTAAGACTATGAAAAGCTTCGCGAATTTAATGCTAATTTCCTTCGCCCCGTATTAACCGATAGAGAACTACCCCCAATGGAAATCAGATTGCCACCGCAAACTTGGATTCGAAAGGCGCACTTTCCCTTAGATACTGGCCAGTTAGTCGTAGAGTTATTATCATTAACCCCGTCCAATGCCGGTGACTGAGAACGGGTCACAAGCATGATCGGACATGTTGAAATTCGGGGAATGGAGGTAAGTACGAGATCACGCATCGTGTGATCTTGATTATTGGGTCCAGGAACCTAAGGTTTTGCCAAAATTGTATTCGAAAGATTTCCATTCGTATATGGAACGCCCATGAATCGTTATTCGTCTGCGTTAAGAACCTCTAGTGGTCACTTGGGCCGTTGTCGAACCATGAGTCAAACTCGAGTGCGACTCAAGGCCAAAATTGTCATGTCTTCGTTGTTGGCAGGCTCAGATGGTTCCCCGGTCGTTATAATGACGAAGTATTAATCTATATTGTTGAAAAGGGATGTGGTTAGCCCAACTTATTGGCCTCTTATGATCAGGAATAGGCAAAGTAAAAACATACCGTATGAGATAAGGGATATTCATCATGATAATTCCTAATCATCGTGAAGAAAGAATCCCAGGTCTATCAGGTGTCGAAGTATGGATATCTTTTCGCATCGACGTGTAGTACCATGGGATGTCCCAGATGATATAGGAATTTGGCGAAGTGGATCGAAAATCGCCCGTAAGGAAATTGTACAACATTCGAACAATGAGTTGAGATTCATGCCATTTCGTCGTAAAATGGCATTCTTCGTGATTTTTTTCTTCTTTTTTATTTTTATGTCTTTCCGACTCTTATCTGGATTTTCTCGGTTATCTCGTTAGAAATCGTCGCGGTCATGGGTTCAAAGGGTATTAGAATTTTGTCCCCTGTAAGTGGGCGATACTAATAGCCCCCTCAGAAAAGAAAAAAAAAAAGGAAAACGCATATAGCAGCCTAAGCCAAGTTAGTTAGGGTTCTTCAAGCTGTTTCAACTTGGTTCAGGGTGACGCTTACTAGCAGGCATATCAGGATGAACTGGCCACTCGAATCCTGTGGTCATGGGAAATCATTGTAAAGTACTGAAGGTGTTCTTGTAGATTTTGCGCAGTAGAAAAGACACAACGGCCTTGCGCATAAGGGCCTCTAAGGGAATGAAGCCTCCTAAGAGTAGTAAGCCTGGTTAGGTACAGGCGAATTGTACTCGTACTCCTGAAGTCGTGGGTTTCCACGATCGAACTGAGAACGACGGCGTCGCTGCTCATCGCGAAAGTGTTGACCAGCGTTAGGAGTGAATAGACCTAATTATGAACAGTTAGCATCTTTAACTTCCGAGTGTCAACATCGCTGCTACGTACCAACGTGCTCTGCATTCTCACAGCTTCGCTTCATTTTCGATTGGTTGTCCGGCTCAGGGAAAGGTTCCTCGGTGCCCGCCAAATGGGGGTATTGGCCGTTGATGGTGAAGAACAGCTTGAGAATCAGAAGTGTCAGCTGCCTTCCAAATATTCCTTCAATAAATCAGCTTACCTTGGGGCGGTAATGAGGAGCCTCGAGCATAACTGAGCTGTTGCGGAACTTCTGAACGAGGCAGTCTTTGCCTTGGATAGCTAGATTATATTTCAGCATCCAGATACAGACTGTAATTTTGACATTCAACTTACTCGCGTAGGAAACCTCGGCAACCTTGTCACTTTTAAAGCAGCCCCATTTCTGGTTGCCCACTGCTTGCACGAACTGCGTTACTGTCAGCATTGTTTATTACTGTTGATGTGAATCGCGGCCTTACGTCAATGATATCCAACGGCTGTCAGTTTTATTAGTATCGTATCAATATAAGTTTCTGGGAAGTGGGGGGAGCTCACATCGACGAAGTTGATGAACGCATAGCCGACGCTGTATTTACCTATATTAGTATCTGTGCCTGCTACACCTTCGAGGTCAAGGCATCACTTACTTGCAATCGTTGGCGAAATCAATGCGCAGGTACATGAAGTCGTACTTGCCATGGCTAGATCTGTCGACGATGTCCTTGAGCATAGCTTGATGGACCTTGTTCGGGATGTTGCGCAGCATGATCTAGCTTCGTGTGAGATTTGGTTCATATTCAGTAATTGTAGGTTACTTACCGTTGTGCGCACGTCAATTCCTTCTCGAATACGGTTGACATCTACGTGATTGTGATGATTGGCCGAATTGTAGTAAGGCGATCGTGAAATTCGCATTGCATTCTGTCGACGACCATCCAGGCGACCGTAATTCTGGAATTGTCGTGGAGTCGTGAGATCTGAATGGACAAGAGGGCCCTGCTGCGACATAGAAGGGCTCACGAGGGAATAGTTGCTTGGTTGCAGCATGCCGCCGTAACTTCTCGGCGTTCCCTGGTCCAACACATACGAAGGACTCATAGGCAGAGGCGAGTACATCAGAGGCACCATTCCATAAGATTGCGGGACCGAAAAGCTGTTTGCTGGGAGTGTCGGTCGGACGGGTGTACTCAGGAGAGAATTAGCTGGATTCGCCATGACTGATTGTGCTCTTCCGATAGACATTCGTCGGAAGCCGGTAGCCAAATCTGATGGCGAGGCAATTGAACTGGTCGAGCCAATGAGTCCACTCTGGCTCGCGCTCGGCGCCACATCAGGTCGGTACAGCACTATGCAGATCTGAAATCCCTATTGTGAAATTGTTAGCAGACTAACATCCTGAGTAAGGAGCTGATGAACTCACTTGGACGACGACGCCGTTGAGCTTTGCTATGGCACGCAGCGACATGTCATTGTCGCAATACTCGGCAATGCCGCTCATCGCACTTCCCGTTACACCTTCATGGGGCTTGAATGCATACAAGTCTCCCTCAGTTCGTAAAGCCGCCTTTAGGAACTCCTCGAGTTGTTGAACGGTGATGGGCTGCATGGAGTGTGAAAACACACTAAGGTACACCTGTCCTTCATGAGCAGTTACGAGACCCGCACCTGGCTCTACAACCGATGAAAACTCTCGAGGGTTAACGGAACGAACGTCCCAGTCACGGCCACCTAGAGAGATGTTCGAGAAAACAGTGCAAGCATCGCGGATGTTGGAAAAACGAGCGAACACCTGGTTTCCACACTCGAAGATCTCATTGGTCCCCTGAAACGGGGTACCCATCTGACGAAGTTCCTGCACATTGTTAGCTGACGGCGGATCATTTTTTTGATGGTGTATACTTACAGATATGTAGTGGTTCACCTCACCTGCGGTTACACTACCGCCCATTCTGGCGGAGACGACCAAGCATCGGGAGATTCCAGATTCTGTGCTCAGCTTGTCATGGACGAAGTCAGACGACGCAGGAACGCTAGCTGGTCGTGGAAATTGTCCAGAGATCTGGCTGTAACTCTGGCTCAGATCCTCGGAGAAGGCATCTGCTCGCTTAGGCTCAGATGCCGAGCCGCGAGGAATCAACGCCGAAGGCAGAGGTGAAAAGACAGAGGCCGTGGGAGATAGCTTCTGGCTTCCCTTGAACGAAGATTCAGCTGAAGAGACGAACGGATCCTTGTCCGTGTGGGCAGTGCCCAGATTGAACATGCTCGGCTGTCCGAAAGACTGCAACGCGTTCATGCCGTACTTAATGGAAGGCGGTGCTGTCTCAAGGGAACCATGACGAATTCCTCCCAGCACTCGTGTAGATCGAGCGGAGCTCTCTTCCGGAGAGAATGCGGTCAGTCGAGTGTCGGGAGTGCCCTTGAATGAGTCTGCAGCTCCGCTCGAAGAATGAGGTGAAGCAGGGTTGTAATGACCCTCACGGGCCTGTTGATGCATGCTCATCTTGTCTGAAGAATTGTATGCCATCTGTAAGGATCTAAATTCGGTACCTAGGTATGAACCGTTCAACTTTCGTAGTCCCTGAAATTATATCAGCGAGTGTACGTAGGACGACGGATGAGAACGCAAGGCGAATTCTAACACGCTATATCCCGTCTCTCTTACAAGGTTTCAAAACTCTCTCTTTCGCGATAGGATGACACTTACTTTACTAGGATAATAATTGTTCTTTGAAATACGCAGAAGTATGCTCAATAGAACAACCGAATGTTGTATCTATAATCCGGCCCTTGAACTTGAAGAGGACACCAACTGTAGATTCCTGGTGATAGTTGTCAGTCAGGTAGGAAAGTAATACCATGAAGAGATGTATAATGTGGCACAGAATATGATAGAAGACAAATAGGCAGATCGCTTGAGTGCTGCGAGCAGGGTGAAGGAAATACACCAGGGAGCATGGGCCAATGTTCAGCTAAATAGCAGCCCAAGACCAGGAAGGAACGATAGACCTTTAGGGATAGCATAATAGTACGAAATAGGAAATGGAGCTCTGTAGTTGCTATCGTTGAGGAAGGGACAACAAAAGGGGAAGTTGATGACGTATAATAATTTGCGAGGTCTTCAGAAACTAGCAACAACAATCGGGAAAATGACGAAGGAGCTTGACAACTGAAAAGGAACTCTGCGGGATCGAAAATCGTAGTAAAGGGGTTAAAGGGGCATGGGTAGCGTTGACGTCGTGGGAGAAAAGTTATCTGAGGCAGGAAATTTTGATGAAGGGGAAGGGATGAAGTAAAATAACCTGACTTACAACCGGCCCTCCGAGATCAGTGTCTATGGCTCTTTAGAGTTATTTTATCCTTTCGTCCGTTGAAGTATCTTGGGACGCGACGGCCTATGTTGGCTTGATGATAAAAACTAAGAAGTTAAAGGAGATTGAATACCCTCTCTCGTACTTGACTGAGCTTTGAGAGGTATACCTATGGCGAAGTCAGTTAAGGCGATCTGAGAATAGTCTCAAAATTCAAAAAGAAGGAGTTTGTAGAATGATGGGTGAGGTAAGTCCACCTTGATGGAGCATAGAAGTGATTAAATACTTCATTACCTTGAAAATAATCAACTAGGACCAGAGTGTCTGTAAATCGATAAGATTTAGGACGTGGCGCAATTGTTGAGACTTCTATGTGGGAATGGGAAGAGATAGGAGAATGGGGATTAGACGTGATACGATATACCAAGCGTATCGAGGAAGGAACGATAGCTTAACATATCAGATACATCAATTGATTGAAGGTGGATCTTTTATATTATCGATTGAAATCGACAATTCTTCCCGCACGTGGTGATTAGGGGCATTGACAGGTGGGAAGGAAGGAGGAGGTATGGTAAGAAGAATATGTAACTTACTAGGTATTTCGTGATGTTTGAGATGCGACGATCGGAGAATTAGGATGGACGTCAAGAGAGTATGGGATACTGCTCTCTAAACGTATAAAACGAGTGGGATAATGCCGTTGTGTTGTACTAGAGGGTTAGAGGGAAGTTCTCCTACCAGTAGTATGGATGGTTAAACGTGCCAACTCAGCACAAAAACTACCTGGAGAAAAAAAATGAGTTAGTTCATTTTGCAGCATAGTGAATTAATTTAGACCTACTGGCAAACTCAATAAGAAGTCGCAAGATCCCTAAGATGTCTGTCCGCACCAAGACCAAAGGTCTGAATGAAGTTGTTGCGGATTACCTGTGTCTCAAGAAGGACCTCGACGCGGGAACCAAGGATGTCCCAACGACAATGCCTTTCGCTAAAGAGAAGAAAAAGAATGTGGGTAGTTACGGCCTACTTGAGATCCAGACCGAACCAAGACGTTCAATGGTCCAATACTAAAGAGTGGATTGGGGATCAAGATGTACGAGTAGGGTAAGGTGTTGTGGGAAGATGATGGTTGTTAGTGTTAGAAGTTGAAGCAGGGAAGATTTCCAAGTCAAATCCCCTGGTGTTAAATAGGTATTGCATAGGTCCAGGATAATCAGCAAGCGCGGCCAATGCTCCTACAAACGACACATTCAACTGATGAGTGCTAGAAGGCGCATCCGCATTTGGTGGTGAAATAGAAGGTGCTAGGCTCCAGGGGTATCTAATTGTATCTATTATACATGCGTACATACCTCATAATAGTCTAAGTCTATTATCCTCGCATCAACCTTAACGTGTTATTGGCTAGTATACAAAAAAAAACTCGTGAAAATTTAAAGGAGCGTAGACCGCGTGGGTTGTTTGCACAGTTATTATTTGAGCTGGTGACTTAGACCGGTCAAGGCTCAGCTAGTCATAGCCTAAGGACGTCTTCAATATGATTAGACGAATCATCTCATATGTTCCACACTGGCGGTAATTGCTATTACGATCAGATAATAATTTAACGAGATCGACCAATCGCTATGTTCTTTGAAAAGGTTAGCCAAGAAATCTTCAACCATGATGCTGGACCAAGGCGGTCATACCCTTGGTCAGTACCTTTTTCGATTTCGACTTTAATATGTACTTAGGTAATGGGCATGGCCTACCAGATGGCATATGCCAGTCCGTATTCTAGTTGTTGATGTATCACGCTGTTGACGGCCTTATAGGGTTAGATTCTACATTCACGAATGATAAAGGCGAGTTTGTACTCGGCTTCCCATACTAACAATACACGACGACTATCCACTTGGTACCTAATTATAGATCACCTTTTTGGATGTGCTTAGGGGCCTAGTGCTCAAGACAACCGCTGATAGTTGTGACTTTTAGTTATGGATGTTGTAGCTATGGACCGGCTGGGTAACTACATAGTCTGTCGTTTGTATAATCCATGAGTTCAATTCATGAGAATATCCTATAATAACGTTCTATGTCTCTAAGCCTGAAATATCGTTCGTGTACAAAATCCTTTGATTTAATTATCTAGTCGAAACAAAACAAAAAGTCTTTCGAGGAAAATTCTAGATATTCATTAAGATGTTATTAGTTGAAACTCTGTGGAAGTGTCAGGAGGTGGGCCCATCATTGAAGACTGTGCCACATAGTGAGTGAGAGTAGCAGGTAGCTCACCTTTGGCTTGCTTGTATGTAATAAAAGACCTTTATTAACGCCTGTCCCTCTCCTAAAGCCCTTTGGCGCCCCTTAAATGTTCGTCCTAGGTATTATCCAGGCTGTAGCTAACTAGCTGCTATCTAACCTCTTGCTCTTAGCCCCTGACAGGAAGTTTGTATGGATGTAGACTAGATAGATAGTGCTCGACTGTTTATGTACAGAGTAACTCTTCCGTCAATTTTGTTTATCCTGTCACCAGTGAAGACTATGGTATATTATTTTTATTCAAAGAAGGCAACAGTTTCGTCGAAACAAATAGGAGTACATACTACTAAAACAAAAACTCACTGACACTCACAAAACATGGACGATACTTGGCTAGATCTTACTTGCCAGTGTTTCAGCAGTATTGCTACCCATCTCTGTGGAATCATTATCTTTTTTTAGTTAAAGATATAGGTAGTTGAACTTTCACATCGTAACATGTGATGCGGTCAAAATTGATAAGAGCATGTGGCCCTATGGAATATTTACGTATTCTTAAAAATATGCCACACGTATCACGAAATATTTCATTGGACCAGGGTTCCTCTCTGTTTTGGAAACAAGATTCATCTCATTGAAGTTGAAATTATGTTTCCTGTATATATATAAGACGTAAATCTTGCAGACAAAATTATCAAAGTATTGGTGCATCTTCATTAATACAAGGAACTATTCTATTTGAAGATTGGCATCATACTTTATATCCTATCTTATTGCAAATAGAGAAAAGATATATCACCAAAATCCAAATAGATAATTTTTACGCAACAGCGTATTGTGTAGTCTATCTTTGGTTGATAAATAGTCTCCTTATTTGTCAAATACTACAAAACATGTACAATAATCAAAATCCCAGTGTAACTGAACCAGATATCAAGTCATGTAGTTGCGGCACGGTACATACAAATGTGATTATTATCCACATAACAGTGCTAGAATTTCCCAAAGAAAATCCAAGTGAGAGAGCGTAATATATCCGATGACTTACAAGTGGGGATCATTTTATGGTACATGCTTGTTTACAATCCAGTTCAAATAATGCTTAGAATGTGTAAATACTACTGCCACTATTATATACAAACACGTATTCTGTACCATTGATTTATTGAATGAGGGATAAACATTTCAAAGAGTTACCTCAGAGAATAGAGAAAGCGTGCGTAATAAAGCATTTGGTTAAGGGTGTGTACTGAAAGACTTGATTATATTTTGATGCCATGGATAGATCTTCCATAAGCGCAATTGCACCGCCTTTTTGTCAAATCTCCCGAATTTCTATTTATGACTTAGGATAAAAATCTGATTATCATGATATTCATCTCAAAGAAGTGAGTTGAATCGTAAATGATGACTTAATCTGAACTTCCCCTTTCTATGCTTTTACCCCTGAAAAAGGGGGCGAGGTTATGCGCCACAATCCTGCGCCACAAATGCCGTTGTAAGTGTAGGTGCTCGAGGATAACAAATGTGGTGGTATCCATCTATCATCACATCACAAATCACCAGATTCATATACTCAGTCTCATAGTTTCTTAATCTTTTCAATTCACATCATCCGTAGTTAGATAAGTGAATTACCGCCTAACAAAGAAGCCCTTCTTCCCACCTGCACCCACACCAGCCACCATACCCGTGCGCTTCCTCTTCAACAGACTCTCCTTCGAAGCCCTCGCATTCTTCTGTATCCTCGGAGCCAGCTTCTGATCTCCTTGCTCATTCAAGACCCTATATCGCGTAGATCCCACAATCTGATCTCGCGGCCTCTTGGCCTCCGCCTCAAAATTGATTTTCTTGGGCTTTTTGACGACTCTCATAGCAGACTCGTCAACATCTTCATCCTCGCTCGATGAGTCCGTCAGGAATTCAGCTGGTAATACGGTGGGTAGGTTGAATTTCTGCGCCCGTCGTCGACCGGCTGTTACTGCTGTTTCAACCTCGGCTACGCCGTTATCTTCGCTAGAACCTCGTTCTTTACTGGCGGGCTTGCTCTTGCCCTGATGTACTTCCACCGTCGCGCGCGAGCGTTTTCTTTGCTCAGCTTGTTGCTTATAGAGGCTGTCTTTTTCTTGGCGCTTTCGTTTTAAGGAAGCCGCTTGTCTGGGGCCAGGTTAGTATTAAGTTATAAATTTAAGACGAAGGATGACTCACTTTTCCGCAGCCTCCGAAGCAGCCTGTGCTGCCTTCTGCACCTCCTTTGCGGCGGCTTGTGTAGATACTGCTTCGGGCGCATCGTCATCGTCACTATCCTCTTCCTCTTTTCTGGTATCCTCGTTCTCTCCTTTCTTGTCCGCTTGCGCCGCGGCGCCAGCCACAAAATTTTCTACATCGTCATCATCACCGAACACAACATGCTTGCCTTTGGGCTTACGCATAGGCGTCGACTCGGGTTCTGACTTCTGCGAGGCTAGCTTCTGGCTCGCTTCCTCTTCTAGTTGCCTAGAGGCACTTGAAGGCTCGGCATCAGGCCCTGATTCTAATGCCACTTCATTTGAATCTTGTGAGTCGGGAACGGCGCGCGATTGGGACCTGCCAGCTACAGGTATTTCTACCTCAAGGTAGGTCTTCCGTCCGGTAGCGGTGCTTTCGTCTTCTCTCGTCCGTACCGCCAATCTTTGTCGCTTGGGGCTTGCTGCTTCTGAGATCAGAGAAGCGCTACCTTCATCATCGTGTTCGCTATCGACATCGTCCCCAACCGACTTTCGTTTCCCGCGCGACGAGACGGGCTCCTCTTGGACCGGTATTTCGTTCGCCTTCGTAGCCTCTTTGTCGATGGTATTCTGCGGAGTATTCGCAAGACCCCTAGTAAGTGAAGCCATTGCGACTAATAATCAATTGTAATTTATGGTTTAAACGAAAGGTTTAGGAAGATGAGGGAGGCAGTTCAAAAGTGACGCGCAGCTGCAGCCCTTTAATCTTGGTGGGATGATCGTTCTTGACTTCCCGTAACTTTTTTTCTGTTTGTTTGTTGATCGATAAGATAATCGGGCTCTGATAGGCCAATAAATTCAATTAAACCCCCCGTTATAGCAACATCGGCAAATATTCGGCTTTTAATTCTATTCATCACCCGGCATCTCGAATTCTTCTGTGATGCTTCAACTTGATATCGAGTCGGATATTGTTATTATGTTCTCATCAGGGGGATCTACTCATAAGGTGCTTTTATTTGTATTAGATTACACTCGAGAAGTTTATAAGTGGAATGGGTCAACATGTAACATGTTACTCAATGGATGACGATAGTCTCACTCACCACCTCACCCTGTGTATGAGATGACCTAACTCGACGAAGGCATACGACCAATTCCTCAATTTAAGGAAGTGCTCGTACAAATCAACGATGCCTTCTAAATCTATCCGTCACCTTACACGCCTACCCCTATACCTCTTCCTCCAGCCCGCAATCAGACCCTCCACCACCATCACCATCATCCACCATGCTCTCCGGGCCCCCAAACCCCGGTACCTATCCTCATCTACTCCATACCACATAAGAAAGTCTCCCACAAACAACCGCCACAATGGCTTCACTACAGAACCACCTAAGCACACTTCCACCCGGACCAAGTTCACCGGGTCCGACGCACCACCCCTCAGCTTCTGGGAAACCTACGCCCGGCCGCCCCTAGTACCCCCGGACACCGTGACCCCGGAGGCCTGCCACACCGCATGCAAGCAATACGTATCTCTCGCCCTCGAGAACCTTCCGAACTGGCAACGGCGGTGCCCCTCGCTCTTCACTTTGCAATACGTCATCTTAGTCCTCATGAACTCGCCCGGCAGCACCGCTTTAGCAATGCACATCACGCACACCCTCGTATCTCTAGACTACGCCCCCGCCATCCTCAGCCTCGCATACCTAGGCTTCCGCTCCGGCCAACTAGAGTCCAACATCCACCTAACCCAAGCCAAACAAGGCCTCGAGCGCCTCTCCTCACTCACCCCGCCCAATCGCAGCAGCAGCAGCAGCAGCACCTACCGCGCCGACGCGCTGACCCTGGCCGGACTCATCGCCGCCTCGCGCCAAACCCCCAAAGACGACACCCGGGCCCTAAACCTCTTCACCGAAGCCAGCACCGCCTTCACCTCTTCCGCAACCGCGCAGTGGCAGTGGCGCGCCAGCGCCGTCCTCGCGGAAGGCAAGATCCACGCGCGGCGGTCGCGCCCGGACCTCGCGCGCGCGGTATACGCGGCGCACGCCCGCGAGCTGGATAACGCGGACGTGCTGTACGCGTACGCCATGCTTCTGGAGCGCACCGACCCGGCGCGCGTGCCCATGCTCGAGCGGGCCGCCGTGAGCGCCTGCGCGGGCGCCGCGCGCGAGATGGCGCGGGTCGAGCTCGAGCGCGCCGAGGACGCGGGGCTGAGCAAGGGGGAGCGGTACGTTAGGCGGGTTTTGGCGGATGAGTGGTTGAGGATCGCGGGGGAGAAGGAGGCTGCATAGGTAATTGTATGAATTTTTAGTGTGCGGTGAATATGCTACTCGTTCTGCTGTTGAAGAATGGAGAACGAAGTAAATGCTCCCAGGGGGGGTGAAGTGTAGGTAGTTCTTATGTGCATAATCTATATCCTCCTATATATATATTATGGGAATAAAGTGATGGTCAAATATAAGACCGTATCTAGCTATGGCTTTCATAACTACATATATTTAAATATCTACTCTCATATATTTAGGACGTTAAGTACGGCTTTTAGAAGCCATATTTCAGTATCAGGAGGGATCTAGATAAATAACCATTACTTAGTACACAATATTGCCGAATAATATTAACAAAACAACTCGGAGTGACTGACGGTCCGACTGGTCCTAGGTATCTAGCCGTAGCCGACCTGATGTCCATATTTTGAATGCCTATTACCGTTTCCGTCTCAGCATATACACATGTGGTTTCTTGTTATTTAATAAGGCTTCAATAGTACACCTTCCATGCTGCCTGACAAATGCCTTCCTTCAAAGTCGAGCTGGGAATCGATGGACGCCCCTCTCTCGTTCCCCAGTCTGAAGCGCCTCTTTGAAACCAAGATTCAATCAACCCTGCGTTCTCAATATTCTCAAACTTGCCTTCCAAAGCCAAAGATTAACCTGCCTTCCGATGGTTTGCGCCGGTCACTCCCTTTCCCACCTAACATAAACACTCGTCAGCACCCCAAATTGGTGCACCCGATGCTAACGTAAATGCCACCATGCTTCAACGCCCAGACGATGCAATACTTCCAAGTACTGTTCCAATGCTGAACTTTGAGGACCTGGAAATAGGGCCAGGGGATATATATCATACGGATGATACGGGATGTAAAGTCAAAATACAACAGCCTTAGTCGTCATGAAAGAATGTGGTATTCCCAACAAGTGGCGCAGTTGAGGGGCCTGCGTCGCTCATGTCGACGTCTCTGCTACCGGGATCTTCGTCTGAGCCAGGCAGACCCAGCGCAGAACGACGGAAATCGCCCGTCAGAGGCCGAGTTGGCGATGGCTCGGCGAGCTTCTGAGGCAGAGAAAGTGGTCTCTCGCAGAAGGCGTCTTCCGGAGGCGAGAATGACCAGACCTAATCATCACGTGAGAAAGAGTTTAGGGGGTGTATTTAAGGGCGATAGACTTACCTCCATCATGACTCTACTTCCCCTGTTCGCAACTGCGACGCACTTCTCGTCCTCGAAAACTACCCTCCAGACAGATTCGGCTGTGATGAGTTCTCTCACGAGGTGGCCCGTCTTTACGTCCCAGACCTTGACCCTACCGTCGCTACCGCCACTTACTACACGAGTGTCATCAAATTGCAGGCTGGTGACACTATTGTCATGCGCTGCCAATCGATGGATTGGACACATCTTCTCGAGGGACCAAACCCTGACCGATCCGTCCGAACCTCCCGTAACGAGGGTGTTACCACGCAGTTGCAACTGTCCCACTAGTGAAGTATGACCCTGGAGTACAGCGATAGCCTCCCTACTTCGAATTAGTATGATAAACCCGACTATAACATACACGATATAACTCACCCTGTATGAGCGTCCCAAACACGGACGCTAGTATCGAGACTTCCGGTAACAACCCTATGGCCATCGAAGGCGATGGCGTATATCTGGCTGAAGTGGCCGCCAAGAGTGTGAAGACATCTACCTTCGGAGATACTCCATATTTTGGCTGTCGCGTCGTAGCTTCCAGAGACGACGATGTCGCCCTTTATTTCCAGACATCTCACGCTCGCTTGATGTCCGACGAGAACGTTCTTGCAAACTCCTTGTCTGATGTCCCAGACTCGCAGGGTGGTATCACGCGAGCCCGATATCGCTGTATTGGCGTCTGACATCTTAAGGCAGCGGACGGTCGATGTATGGCCACGCAGAGTGTACAAACATCTCCTAATACTCCAGTTAGCTAAAAGCCCGCAAAAAAACTCTTCGGAATAAACCTTACCCAGACGTCATATCCCATACTCGCACATCACGATCGCATCCGCCACTGACCAGAATATCTTCCCACGGAACCATAGCCCAAACACCCATAATGTGACCCTGGAGAGTGCGAAGAGCATTGCCTTCGCGGTCGAAAATGTGAATCCTCGCATTGTCAAGAGCTACAACAATATACTTCGGGGTTAAGTGCAGACTAGTCACAACCCTGCCGTCCTGGGTGATTGTTCTTGTGGTGTTACGCCCACCTGTCCTCCATGCCGATTCGACGAGATATCTCTGCTTGAAGTGGGACTTGTACGATCGGAGTTTGGGTCGTCCTCCTGCCGACGAACCTTCCGCAAAATTATCGAAGCTGCGAGTAGACGCATGAAACGAGGGCCCAGGTAGAGCTCCCGGGAAACTGTGAATGTATTCGGGATCGGCTAGAGGCAAAGCACCGGGCCTAGTCGCCACATAGGGCGGGATTCCGTAGGAGACTTCAGAAAGACGACGATTATAATCGTGCTTGACACATAGATTTTTCCATGTTACATCGTCGCTCAAAAGATCCCTCCATCTCCTAGAAACCTGAGACGCGCGCGCAAGTACCTGTGGATCATCGATAAACGACAATATTCTCAAACATAATTCGTCTGGCAAACTGGTGAAGGGATCCTTCTTCAGCAAGGGGCTCACGAATTGATGTACGAAACTGAGCTGTTGAGTTGTGCACATATTCAACATATCCGCAAGAATCCGATTCCTATGTCGCCCGGAACAGTTCTTGAAGTGTTGTCGCACCTGGGCAAGGAAGAAGTCCTCATCGTCAGCAGCGTCACTCCAGTCAGGTTGCGCATCCGTCGGTCCCGGAGAGGCTGCTGGTGTGGGTGGTGGAGGAGGAGATCCTGTGACTTGCTGCTCGAAATCTGGAGCCGGCGTACTCATGCTTGGCGTAGGCGGACCTCTCGGTCGAGGTTGTTGAATCATCTTGTCCATCCTCTGATTTACAATGATTGGGCCGGTACTCGTCGTGTTTAGAGACAACTCTTCGCCGCAATTTAAAAGACTAGTTCTCCTTCCCGAGAGACTGAGCGGAGGACCGTAGCCCGCCATGTCTGTGATAAAGTATTAAGATCGTATTTCGGTATGCCGCGATAACTAGTCGAGGTTATCTGTCACGATTGACAGGAGAATCGCCGGTTGATTCGGGTAGAATGTGTTGACTCGTACGGCCTGGACAGGGATCAGCTACGGTAATGAAGATGAAGGAAGACAAAGGTAAAGGTATTTTGTCGTGTTGACAGACGGAAGGTGAGCGCAGGTGAAGGTCCACTATGCAGGGCGGCTGTTCGTATGGCGGTGCAGGTGTTGGAGTAGGGGACACACAAGGATGGTGTATGCATACGTTCGGATCAATGAGACAGGCTGTCCCAAGGTACAATTGGTAGGTCAAACGACCCAAGGTACCATCTAAACTGACTTTGCGAAGACCAAAACCAACACTGCTATAATCGATGTACGATGCTGTGGCGATAATCGTTACAGTGCAGCGACGGGTGAATGAATCGCGAAGAGAGTTAGAATGGCATCGGCAGCGGAGATGTCTTCTAAAAAAGGGTTCAAAGTCCAAGATCCAAGGTTGTCGGCGGACGCGGGTACAAAGGTTTTCCCAATATTAAAGCACGGGATAGTCTACCAGGAATGTTCAAACGAAGATGAAGCTGTCGAGAAACCTCTCGAAGGTTTTGCAAGGCGGACGAAAGTTTGATGATGATGGTGTAATTAAAGTAGTCGGTTGAGGATGGTAAGATGTGATTCTCTAAAGTGGAATGGGGGCCAGGAGCGGGTTAGGAGCGGAACCAAGCAGAGATGAGCAGGAACGTGCCTCCCCATAACCTGCCCTGCTTGCCCATAACAGTTTCTCCCGCCGGGGGAAGTGCAACACTAGCGACACCGTGTATGTACTGTCTCCGAGGTAATAGTGACTTAAGGGTAATTTAGTATTCAAGGCTGCTCAAATTGGAACATCGGAACCTTTAATGCTATTATGTATGTGTAGGTACTTAAGTACATAATTAATATGCACTGGGCATACACATAAGTATATATGTATCAATAATGCGATTTTATTCTCCCAACATTTACATATGCGTAAAAAGGCAATTGCTTCGGATGAAGATGAATCCAGGCGGCGAAAAGGATCCATTAGGTTTGTCTTGCACAGTGTTCGTATTGACGTTTAAATCTTGTAGCGTGAGTTCTTAATTAGTAACATTTGAACCCTCGGAATCTAAAACGTCTCGTCGTGCTAGGGTCCTCGATCTCCCTAGTACATGCGTAGTCTAAACTTAGCTTCCTCGAACCTTGGGGTTAGAATCTGCATGTGCTTCTGTAAAAGGCAGTGAACGTCGAACATCGCGACTCGAAGTTGCTATATTACCGTAATCGTATCTAATAGCATATGGCTTTATGTAAATTTACTAGATAGGTCATCTTTGCCATCTCCAAAAATGCATATAAACCACTATGTAGCCCAGGGTGTGCGGCGGCTACAATGGTCGAGGAGACTAACGGATAACATTAAACCCCTTGTCCCATGTAAGTCGAGATCACGCTGTACTGCAAATATGTACAATATGTGTGTATGTACATACAGTGCATCCCAGCCATAGGATTTGTATCGATACCTCTGAACATGTCTCAATTTCCATTGGCCGTCAACCCCATCCACCAGTTTAGAAAGACTTCAAGTGCTGTACATATCCGCAATTCCCACCTGTCTAGGCATGTATGCAGTAAGTTCCGCAGAGCTAGTGCTATCCGTGAAAGATCATTGATAGAATGATGGATAGTCGACACTATGATATGAGCATGTTACGATAACCAACCAATCCTTTTCAAGACATGCTTACGATGCAAGGCAAGATACGGACTATTACTTACTTCCTTACTCACTGACTTGGCTCCATTTGCGAACCTCTCTATCTTGCACATTTCAAGGTTTTACTTGGACAACCAGGACAAACCCAAGTGTGTTCCATCTGCTCGACATCATGCGCATCGCATTATTGCCTATTTCTGAATTATTAGTTCGCCCGACTTATCATAACTTGCCAGCACATTATCAGGTAACTATACGCCGTGGCGACTCACTAATAATGGCCTAATGGTATATAGTGCCGAGGTACACTCCTGTAATTCGGCCTGTCCGGGGGGAGGGGTTTCGTAGAAGAAGAAAAAAAAAAGAGTTACATAATACTAAGGGATAACGTTAGTGTCTAAATTCGACTGGACGCCTACATTCTCTAAAGGTTTCTGAAATCATAAATGTCAGGTTGGGATGATGAAGCAGTGTATGTGCTGAGTCAGAAGTGATCGTAAGTATGATTTAGAGCAGGCTTTTCTGTCGGGGGTTTACTACAAAGAGGCTTGAACCCATTGCCCTATAAGAGATTTGTTAATGTTGAGTTCATAATGGATGCTGCTATGCCATTACTACGTTGGTGATGTCAAAATTCCTACCTGCATGCCTAAAAGCGTTAAACCTGATGGTGTATAAGAACCATCACCGACATCCATCAAGGAGTCTATTTCGAAGAACTCGTTCTGATGGGATGTAGTGCATTCCTGTGATTAAAAAGATAGGGGTATAATAGACGGAAAGGCTATGCCGACGAGAGTAAAGTAGAAACTGATGAGAGAAGTAGGTGGGTATTTAACTAATAGACCTAACTCTCTTCCATAAGGGACGAAGGAAATGTTTACTGCTATTCTTACTAAGGAGACGTCACCTAGCATGAACCTTTAACCTTTGAATTGTAAGAGACAGTTTGGCATACGCCCAATCCTGTAAAATTGAGGCTATTATCATTCAATGGTAATTCGAACGAGTACCCCAAACATCGAAATCCTCCCCGTCTTGCCCCTAGTTTCATTGACTGGCCGAACCGCGTAGCATCCTTCAATCGAAATAAGTATTTTTAGTTTCCTGCTATTGATAACTTCTGAAAAAAGATTCTCATGCAAGCCTGGTAATACATATTGTCTCCATTTCACAGCCCCTCATTCGCCGAACATAAAAAGCTGGATAGAGTGATGCTACAGAGCATCTCAAGCCCTGTCAATGAGCTGTATATACTGACAAGGAAGATGTTATATTACAACAGACGATGTCCTATTGTCTTAACACATTCAGAAATCCGCTGCCCCGGACATGCAGTGCAGAAGGCCCCTTTTTAGTACGTATTCAAAGAGATAAACAACAAGTTGGTCTATATACAGTCCGAGGGTATATTCCGTACATGAAATTGCACAAGGAACCCTCTCTCCGACGAGGACCTCGATACGATCGTACACCATTCAATGTCTTTTGAACATGCTCTTAGTGTTACCTACCTACGTAGGTAGGTAAGAAGGTTAAGGGGTAACGCAAATGGAGGACCACGTCATGTCCTTAACCTAGACATGCCGGCCATCCAATCCCAAGATCCCGACTCCTTTTATAGCTTTGTGGCAACACAGATTTTCAGGAAAACAGAAACACGAACCGACCTTTTCTTTCCCCCTCACAGAATTTTTAGTGATGGTGGCCGAATTGTGTGAGAAGAGGCAAGAACATTCCAATCACTGTTGCCAGTGTTTCCCTCATCTGAGGATGGACATGTTTTCGCTGGTTCCCATCAGCGTATCCGTTGGGGATTGAGCCGGTGTCGTGTCCGGAAGGTGAGTCGCCTTCTTGCATAGAATGCATGGCAACATAACTAGAAATATTAATTAGATGGAGCGGGAAAGTATGGGTTGGCGAGACTCACAGAAATGTTCCCGCTGAGAATAATAGTAACATTCCAGTCCACCACTGATTTAACTGACCCTCGCCGCCTCCGCCCAAGAAACTAACGAGTATGAACGTTGCCCATGCGCCAAATGGAGACGCCAGGCTGAACACAATCAAATGTCCTCGGGCCGCACGCTTAGAAAGGCCTTGCTTTAGGAGGATGGAAGTAAGACCAAAGGCTGCGGGTGCCTTGTGTACCATTATAGCAACGAACACAATAAAACCTAGCTTCGTATCCGGCGAAGTGGCCGATGCTCCCATCGCGATACCATCTGCCGCGGCATGTATAACTAGTCCTGTAGTAGTGGCCAGACTTCTTGACTGTTTTGGCGTCGGCGTTAAGGAACCAAGGAACCCTTCGGGCTCGTCTTCATCACCAGAGAGGGACGAACCACCCAAATTGCTCAGGCTGATATGTCTGGGTGGAGGGGGCGGTTGGAAGTTTTCCGACGCATGGCGAGGAAGTCGATCGATGAGAAACATAAGGATGAACCCTAGAATTAAAGAAAGGCCAATGTAGAAAGTGGGAACTTCAACACCGGCGTGTTGGTTTCCGGTGGGGGCTTTTATGTCGTCGCCCGGTATCGTGTCTGGATCTTGTGCCCATCTGGGGGCCATTATTTGTCCTAGACCATGTAGACTTCTGGTATTCTGAGAATGCGATGGAATTGAAGCTTCAGTAATCGCCTCGACCCCCTCTGGTATTATAACTACCAAAGACGTGCCCACGAGTATGCCTATGCCGATGCTTGATATCAATCGAAGTTGCGATTGCGATAGGGACATGGATAGTGGTAGTGCGCCGGCAAGAAAGGAGCTACTCTCGTCAGTTTTCGATTTTAGGAGTCGGAGACGTGTGCATTCGAAGCACTCACGCTAATGCCATAACAACCTAAAATAAACGAAGAATATGTTAGCGATCATACCTACATCTCGAAAGAACGTAATTATGGTTAGCATGGGATTGGACAATGGCGAACGTACCGTTAAGGCGAGTAGAATAAATAATCCAGTTCCAGCCATGATTGCTGCGTTCGCCTCAAGGGAGCTCCGAAAAGACAATTGCTTGTTACCGATTCATTGGCAAGAATTCTGACCGAAGCTAAATATTTGGTTGTTCAAGGTATGGCTTTACGAGAATGGAGGATGAGAGGAGCGATAAGGTATTAATAATGAAGTAGGTAGTAATCTGAGGCGACGAGAGTGAGATGTTGAACGTTCATCTTTTTGCGACGGTAGCCTCAGAGCCTGTCCCTAGTGCTTTCCTAGCAGTTTCCCTGTCAAACGTCCACTAAATTCGACCCCTGCCACAACTTGCTTTTAGGCGGGACCATCGCACGTCACTGCCGATTTTCCATTTTGAGTGGTACCTTTTTATTTATTGCGCTAACTCCCAAAAGAGCTTAGATTAGACGCCAAGGTCCGAACGATCTGACTTAGAACTTTGGAACCCCCGTATCCTGGCTGCCTGGCCTGTGCGTCAGTTGTCCATAATCCACTAAGGCAAACGCGCCGCTTCCATCATTAGAACGCGACACGCAGATCTTGGGAAGCGCGTTAATTGTTCAACGACAAGCGCCTTCTTGCTATTCAAGATCTTTCCTTAGACATGCTCAGTTCTACCAACCATTGATCTTCCCGACATACACACATTAACCGCATCGCATCGCATAGCGCACCTATCGCATTTCCCTTCGTCAACAACAATTACAGAGTAGCCTGTCGCGATACGAGTGGCGTCGTAAGCTTATCGCACATAGCCGGCTACAAATTCCTGACCTACAGATACTCATTACCGTCCTTTGCCTACGAACCTATCCTAACCCTTCTGCCAGTAGGGCTTCTCTGGAAGATTGTGCCACAGGATGGACGACGAATGTATGTGACCTTATCCACATCAACATGAAAGAAGAATTAGCTGAATCATTTTACTAGGGACGGTGGATGCCAATGAGGCTATCACCTTGTCGCTCGTGCGACCTGGGCCAGCAAAAGAGATCGTCAATGTCGAAAGCTTTAAGCCGAAGTTCACATACCCTATCTTTGGCGAAGAGGAACAAATTTTTGGCCACAAGGGTCTGAAGGTCAACATTCGCTTTGATGCTAGGGATCTGCGCCCTAACATTTCGGTAACATCACAGCGCAAATTTACCTCCGTCGGCGATGTCGAGGCGTTGGATGTGAGAGAGACTATGAAGGAATATTTGCCTGGTGGTAAGTTCAATTCTTCGTTGAGATATATTCTGGGTACTAACAATTTCTAGTCGCATTTCAATCCAAGAAAGAATTCGAGCTGTCCGTGAATAACCTTTCTGATACGTGGAAACCTCCCGGAAGTTTAGTGAAGAAGATAGATAAGAATGGCGAGACGTATGAAATCTGGCACGGAACCTTAGCCATGCCCGCTGTTCATCAGATGATGAAGCGTATCCAGGTTGCGGTCCTGTTCTACATCGAAGGTGGATCCTACATAACTGAACTAGATGGACCGGATGAATCAGAGACTTCTCTTGCTCGATGGTCTGTGTTCTGGGTTTACAAGGTTGCTACCGTCATGGATAAGGCCCAGTACACTTTTCAGGGTTATGCAACTACGTACAACTTTTGGATGTACCAACCACCAACGCCACCGACCTCACCTAGCGCTGGGAAGGAGAATGGTTCCTGGGAGCTTTCAAAAGGTGACTCTGACAGTGAGATGATCCACCGCATGCGAATTTCTCAATTCTTGATCCTTCCCCCTTTCCAGGGAAAGGGCGTTGGTTCTATGCTTTATAGCACAATGTTCGACATTGCGATGAACTCCTCTAAAACGATAGAAGTAACAGTCGAGGATCCGAACGAGGATTTTGATCTCTTACGGGACTTGTGCGATATCAAGTATCTTCGCAAGAATGTACCTGAGTTTGCCGAACTTAAGGTGAACACCAACGTTCCTCTTCCTGGAAAGGGTGGTCTATTACACAACAACACCCAGATATCTCTCAGTGACGGGAACCGCTCTGATGAGGGAATTGTGGATATGGAAAAGCTCGAGAGTCTCCGGGTTAAGAATAAAATTGCGCCACGACAGTTCTCGCGACTGGTGGAAATGCAACTCATGGCCAAGCTACCCGACTCCGTCCGACCGCGAGCCGATCCCGAGGCCAAGAAGCCAGCCGCTTCGAAAACCGACAAGCACGAGTATGCTCTTTGGCGCCTTCTTCTCAAGCAACGTCTCTATCGTCGCAATGTCTCCATTCTTGGAGAATTCGAGGTCACCGAACGAATTATCAAGTTAAATGAGACCCTCGATAACGTCGAGTGGGAGTACGCTCGAATTCTTGATCGGGTTGAGCCGAAGCCTGTTACCCCTACTAAAATTGTGGTCGTTAGCGGCAAGAGGAAATCCAACGGCGAAGCTGACGCAGAAAGTCGTTCGAACAAGAAGGTACGAGTTTCAGATGAATGAAGGGGCTACAAACACGTAGATCGCTGCTTTGAGTGCTCTGGAGGTTTCTGGTTGGTCATGTGGCAAAGGAGTTTAGGCTGATTCTATGATACCTGCTTTGCATTGACGTTTCTGAGGGGTTTGGCATACCTATGAAGGAGATTCGGGTGGTCTACATAGCCCCTGCGTCTATGGGACACTGGAGGAATATGGACACAACCCTCGGCTTTAACGCTATGGATCTATTAGCACAACGTAGGCACTTGCACTCGTAAATGAGATGACATGGTTCAAATAAAAGCTTGTTGCTTTAATTCCTCATATCAATTGTGACTCCTATCTATCGTCAAAACGCCATAAACTCCATTCAATATGCACATCTAAAGTCATCCCTCACTTTACCAGGTGTATATCAAGTTCTTTTGTTTATCCTAGGTGCCTTTTCCAAGCTGGCTGGCCACGACGGCGGCTTCCTTCACTGCTTTGGCAACGGTTGATCGTACCTTTCCCTCCTCGAGGACCAAGAGACCTTCGATGGTACATCCGCCCGGAGTACTAATCCTATCGCGAAGCAAGGCTGGGTGGTCCCCGCTCTGAACCAGAGCAGCGCAACCTTTCATGCTCTGAGCTGCCATTCTCTGAGCTTCCGCTCGCGGCACGCCCAGCGACACTGCACCATCGACAGCGGCTTCGAGTACAAGGGAGAAGAACGCAGGTCCGGAGCCGGCGAGCGCTGTTGACGCATCCATGTTCTTGGCGGGGAGGTAGATAACATCGCCGATGCGCTTGAAGATCCAGGTTACAAGGCTTGAGGTGTGGGCAGGCAAGGGTGGGTTTGAATTCGCAATTACCGTCATACCTTGGCGAACCATACTGGCCGTGTTGGGTAGCGCACGAACGATTCTGCATCGTCCATCGACCTCCGGATCCTTCTCGGGGACGGCACCGTGTAAAATCTTCTCGATCTGGGGTACGGTGACGCCGGCGCAAATGCTGATCATGAGTTTACCGTGGAGGGCCTTGGCCATGCCGGGCTCGTTCAGCAGGTCCTCGACCATGTAGGGCTTGCAAGCAAGGATGATGACCTCGCTCTTCATGACCGAAGCGACATTCTCCTTCTGGACGACCTTGACGGAGGAGCTGTGCTCCCAGAGTGCCTGCTTGACTCGCTTTGCAGACTCGGGCCGGCGCACGCATGCGATGAATCGCGAGGGGAGGCGGGAGGGGACCTCGTCTGCGGGCGTAGATCTTCCGGAAGGTGTCTGCAGCGGCTTGGGGCCGGACATTTCCTGCAGGGAGCTCAGGATGCCGGAAAGGATTGCGATTCCCATAGTACCTAAGGAAAGTCAATTAGCTGACTGCAGGTTTGTGCGACGCGAGGCGCTAAGACGAGACATACCGCAGCCAAGAACCGCCAAGGTCAGCTCATGGGTAGTGTGGTCGTTGTGCGTGAGCGCCAACATCTTGTCGATTAGGTTTTGTAGATACAGATTGATGATCGGTGAACGTTAAAAATGGTTTGCTGTAACTGAATTGAGCGTATATTTGGGTTTGAGTTTGTTTTTTACTCTCTCCGTTGGGTCGAAAAGACAGAGAAGTCGATCGTATATAACGACGACAATGGCTGCCCAAATTAAGAAGGGAGGAAAAAACGTCAGGAAAGAATTCTTTTCCCTCTCCCCAAACAAAATATATAAACAAATCAACAGATTAGACGAGGAAAAGCACGTTCCACCGCATCACAGGACACCTGTTACGTTTCCCCAATAGTAAGCTTAAGTGCTTAAACTTCACGAAGAAGAACCGCTTCAAACTCGATCAGATTCTTGGGATTTTCGTGCTGGTGACTCTAAGGTACCAAGGTTCCGTATTCATTTACCGAAGTGACACCGAGCAACCTGATCTGCCCGTTGACGCTAACATTCACCGTTAGCCTCATACTAGTATGCTTTAGTGTCACAGTTCCCAGGTACAGTACGCGTACAGAGATAATCCCTGCAATAATTCCTACAATGTCTTTACCATGCCGTTCCTTCCCTTATTACGGTGTGTACCGCAGATGATCCTTTTCTCGCGTACTACGTACATTATGCAGCTGGAGGGCAGCCGCGGGGCAGACTTGCAAATCTTACCTACCAGGATCTTATCGCGTCCCCTCCTACAAGATAAGGTTTTTAAATACTGGGGTGCAGTAGCTCTACAAGCTTAAACTTCCCAGCCTCACATAGATCTTTCAGCCTCGTCTTCTTCCCTCTTCACACTTCCTTCACTTACATTTCCAATCGTTCAATCCTCTTTCAAACTTATTTACTTCCTAAGACGATCATTTTACTATTCATCATATAATGGCGACGGCAGATCCCTTCGAAGTGCGAATGCGCTTCAGCTCCCAGTTACAACACCTAAATGCTAGCACAACGTCGGCCCAGAAAGCTGCCCAGTACGCGTTGAAGTACAAAGACATGGATGAAGATCTGCACTCATGCATTCTAGAACAACTTGAGAAGGTAAGCCATTTTTCATGTATATATGTTTTTTTTTCTACTCTGCTTTATCTTGAATTCGCATTGGGCACTTTCCACATCGTTCAATACTGCTTCGATGGCTTGGGGTTCACGAATTGAAATTAAACATCCCACTGGTCAAGTCTTTATGACATACGAATACTGACATTCCATGTTAGACAAGTATGAACACCCGTGCCAACATCATGTACTTCCTCGAACACCTCTTAGAGATGGCGTCGAAAGAGCGTCAAAACGACTACGTACGTATGATGCAACGCGATATTCTCAGAGTGGTTGATGCGGTCTGTCCCGAAGATGGCTCCGGTGCCGCAAACGTCAAGGTTGTCCGAAAGGTATGCTACAAATTTCAATTAAAATTGATACATAGGAGACAGGATACTTATTATATTGGCTATCTACAGGTGTTGCAAGGTCTGATGACGAAATCCGTCTTACTCGAGCAGACCGTAATCGAGATTGAAGGTTGCTTGAAGGAGCGCGACACATCCGCCGACCTTGGCTTTTCTTCACCCGCTAATGGTGACGACACCTCGCGTTCTCGCAACGGCAATGGAAATTCAACTGCCAACCGCCTCGACAAGCGCCAGATCGAGCAGCGCATCGAAGAGGATAGAGAGCGACACAAGCGCATGCGCGAAAGCATGTGGGCCGTCCCTGGATCTCTAGAAGAGGAGGCTATGAAGATATACGAAGAGACCAGCGAGTACGGCGAAGATGACGAAACCTTTGGTCGTGAGGAGCGGGAAGAGTTTTTACGCGAGGCCGAGGCGAACAAGTGCGACCACATTCGGGCGAAAGAAGCCGCTGAAGCTGCTGCTGTAGTTGCGGGAGGTAACGGGACCTCGTCGCATTAGGAGGCGGCACCCTTGCCTCCCAGCATCCCTAACGACAACGGCAACTCCGTACACAGCAATGACGAGCGCAATGAGCCTAATGACAACTACGATGACGAACCCGCTGAGGCACCTGATGATATGCCTGATGGCGGTAATGACGATCAGCCTCCTGATAGCAAGTCAGAGGGCGAAATTTTTGATGAATACGACAGCGAGCATGGTAATGAACGTGAAAGCCACTTCGGTGTCCTCAGGAATGCATCAAAGGGAAAGAACTGGAGACGCAACCAACGTCGTCGAGCCCGCAGAAGAGGATGGGTTCATCGGCCAGCAGTCCACAGAGACCGACCGGCGGCACTCGAGCGAGAGATACTCCGTAACACCTCATATACAGAGGGTGCGAGACATCGCAGACGACAACGTGAAGAAGGAGCCGCGGCACGTGGACGAGGACCTCGCCAGAATCCCAAGGCCGCCAGAAAACGTGACCGCGATCGCAGCAGAGAGGAAAGAAGATGGAGAGAATCCGACAAAAGCGAGCAGAAGAAGGGGACCAACATGGACAAATTTGGAAAGAACCCGGACCAGAGCCCGGACTTCTTCCAACGCCATGTGCAGTGGGAAAGGCTCTTGCCTTAAAGTCATTCTAAAGGGAATTTGTGACATTATGTAACATTTGAAGATCCGAGGCATGGTTGGTATGGTTGATTTCCACATAGCACATCTGGTCTAATCACGGAAAATTAGGCACTTCATGGATGATACTTCAATAAATTTGAGTTCTCTATGCACTACATGGCTTTCTTGAGGATGGTATTAACTGACATTGAGTATAATTATGGGCTTCTTCTAGTAACTAAGTATCGTCTCCATCTATCATGTAGCATTCCGACGACCACCCCTACCTTACCTATCTAGGCAATCGGCTATATCTCCCGAAAGCACGCCTTGTCTCACACTAAGCCACCTCCCACTCCGCACCTCACTTTTCAAACCATGCCGAAGATATTGCTGTTCGGCGCCGGTTCCCTCGGGATTCCATATGCGTATGTTTTGTCTAAAGCAATTGGACAGGATAACGTTACCGCGGTATGCCGGTCTAACTACGCCGAGGCGTCCCGCAGCGGCTTCACCATCCACTCCAAGCTCTGGGGCGATAACCTGCACTTTCAGCCCCGCGTCGCGCGGTCCGTTGCCGAGGCCGTAGAACCGTCTTCCGCCGCAGACGGCGCAGAGAAGCCCGTCTTCGACTACGTCGTCGTAGCCACCAAGGCTCTTCCCACTTCCCCGTCCATCGCGGAGCTCATCGGGCCCGCGGTCACGCAGGCCAAGACGGGCATCGTGCTGATCCAGAACGGGATCGCGATCGAGGAGGCGTACGCGCGGCGCTACCCCGCGAACCCGATCCTCAGCGCCGTCGCCTACTTCCCCGCGACCCAGGTCAGCCCCGCCGTGGTCCAGCACCGCGAGATCGAGACCTTGCACGTGGGCACGTATCCGGCGGAGGCCCCCGCCGCGCATAAGGAGGCGGCGAAGGGGTTCGTGGATTTGTTGACGAGGGGAGGCGCGACGGGAAAGCTGCGCGAGGATGTGCAGCGCGAGAGGTGGGGCAAGTTGCTTGTTAATGGCGTCTGGAACCCGACGTGTGCGCTCACGAGGCTGCGGGATAGGCAGTTCATCGAGGCGGGCCGGAGCTTGGATCTGGAAGGTGCGAATGCGAGCGGGAGCGGCAGCGGGAGTGGGAATGCGGGGATGGGAGACGGGTTGGCGTTTGTTAAGGAGGTTATGATGGAGATCGCGGCGATCGCGCAGGCGTGCGGGTACGCGGACGTGAACGAGGAGTTGGTGGATTTCCAGATTAATAGGGCGGCTGTGAGGGATTTGCCGGGCGTGCAGCCGTCGATGCTGACGGATGCGTTTGAGGGGCGGAGCATGGAGGTCGATGCTATTGTGGGAAACGCGGTTAGGTTGGCGAGGAAGAAGGGCGTGCCGGTGCCGATGCTGAAGACGATTTATTTGCTTGCTAATGGGTTGAGCGAGAGCTTTGCGAAGAAATAGGGGGTGAAATAGATCCGGTAGTATAAGGATGTCTGGTTAGTAAAGGGGGGAGGTAGAGTTCCCGTACTGATTTCTACGATAGAACTCATGCCGATACCAATCACTTTAGATATAATAGATGCCCCCTTTTTAGTAGATTCTATGGAAGGTCATTCGATAGGCCTTATACATAAAGCTGGAGTATATAGGGACGACTGGAATTGATGGCTTTCGCTTGAGACCAACGTTCCTAGCACTACCCAGAGTCTTCGTATTGTTATACAGTATATTTCATATGTATACACATGGTCGTTTAAGTTCTTTCTTTTCGAGGGTAGATCGATTAGTCCATAACGACAACGGCTCCTAGTTCCTTCATAGTAGCTACGATCTTCTCGGCCTCTTCCTTCGGTACTGCGTCCTTCATCATCTTGGGCGCACTCTCCACAAACTTCTTGCTGTCGACCAAACTCAACCCTAACAAGCCCTTGACCTCCTTGATGATCTTCGCCTTCGCGGCCGCGTCGAAGGATTGTAGCTTCACGCTGAATAGAGTCTTCTCCTGGGCAGCCGGAGCAGGTTCGTCGGCCTCTTCCGCTGCGGCGGGGGCGGCAGCTGGCGCAGCGGCAAATCCTCCAACAGGTAGATCGGGAATATTGAGTCGCGACTGGAATTAATTATTAGCAAGCGGGGCTCTCAGCTCAATGATGCTAGTTAGACATAGCAGGGCCAACCTTTAAGCTGGAAACCAAGTCGGCGGTCTCAAGAAGAGTCAATTGGCTGATTTGGTCGACGATACCGGAGATCTTAGGGTTCGTAGGGGCTGCCGTTGTCTCGTGCCGTCGCTGTATCGTGGGGGTTGTGGTCTGCATGAAGGAAGATGAAGCTCGGAGAGAAGTGCTGGGGCGAATTGATCGCGCGCAGCTTCGAGCTGCATATCTGCACGGCGCCGACATTGTTGACAACTTCCTTCGTGGGCCGAGTGACGAATTGACTCTTTTATAGACGGTAAAGTTCGTGATATCTTTTAAAGATTTTCGATTCACGAATTGTTGAAGCTCGGACCTTCTCTGCCATTAGCGGGACAAGTGGACCCCCTGGCTAGTATCGGCGATAGGCAGGTCCGATCCGGCTCTTCACCGCCTAAATTTTAGATTTTGAGAAACGGCAGAAAAAAAAGTTACGGCAGTCTCTAATCGCTATCGATTTCACTGGCCCATTTTAGTATCGATCTGAGCGAAGTGAGTGAAGATTTTACATATATTCAACCCAATTCTCACATTTTCGCAGTAACCATGGCGGGGATCTATATAAGCCCGCAGCGAACGGAGCTTTTGACCGAGAAGAAGCTGCTTGACGAATTACCGCCCGATTTATTAGAAATAATTCGTGGCCAGACCCCTGGAGACTTTCTCGATGCCGTTGCTTCAGCGGCACTGATTCCTCGAATTACTGGGTTGATATTCGTGCACTTTGAGAGTGTATTCGCCGACATATGTGCAAGATGGCTACTGAAATCTCGAAATTCAGGCCAAGAGGACCAGATTATCGCTTCTTTTGCGAGGATCCTCCCATTTGCGCCGCATTTATCTGTCTTCTTAGAACAGTATATAAGTGAAACTTCACTTATACATGGTCCCGGTTCAGGACCTTTTCAGATCAACTCACTAAATTCTCCCGAGACGCAACAACATCATGGACCAGAGTTGTTACTAAGTCTAATTGCATTTTGGAGACTCCTCAATTTTAATAAGAGGACATTCGGTCAATCAGTCCTACCATCAAAAATACAAGCTCTATTTAAGCATGATCATGCGCTGGTCAGATATCTTGCTATTAGAGTGTTTTGCTGTCAACTCAATGCCTCGGATTACCAATTAGAGCAACTAACTCGCAAAAATATTAAAGAAGGCGAATCTTTAATTGGAGACTTTGACGGAGTTAAGATTGACTACGCTTTTCTCTCCTTACTTGAACGCCAACGAGCTGAAGAGTTAGATAAATCTCGACTTAAATTGCAGGCCGAATCCAATAAGTTTACCGGAGAGCGTGTCCCTATCCAGCATTTCACTAAGTTGGTTGCTCAGTATAATACAACGATTCTCCCCCGACCAAATGGCGAACCCCTTTTACCGTCCAGTTTGGTCTATACCCAAACTACCTTAAGTAATCTAGAAAATCTCGCTCGGAATCTCCAGAAACCAGGTCCGATACTTCTGCATGGATTGCCCGGATCTGGGAAGACGTCAGTTGTGCATGAACTTGCCCGCGAGCTTGGCATGGAGTCAAGTTTGGTGACATTACATCTTAACGAGCAGACCGACGCCAAGATGCTCATTGGACTATATTCTACCGGTTCTAAACCCGGCTCGTTCTCGTGGAGACCAGGCGTCCTTACTACGGCAGTCCGCGAGGGGCGATGGGTTTTGATCGAAGACCTAGATAGGGCTCCAAATGAGGTCATGAGCACTCTGCTGCCGCTTGTTGAGCATGGCAAACTTTTAATTCCAAGCCGTGGAGAGACAGTGGAAGCCCCAAGCAGTTTCCGGCTATTCGCGACTGTTCGAACCACCCGGGGTATGAATGGACACGAGAATCTTCCCAGTATGTTGGGCCAGCGCTTTTGGAACTTGTCGAGTGTGAAGATACCTCCGCCTTCTGAGCTGGAACAGATTATCGTTGGGAGCTACCCTTTGCTACACAAATATACGCCTGTGATTATGTCGGTCTATAGGCGACTTTGCAATCTTTCTGGCCCCTCTTCGATTAGTGGTCCTGGACGAAGTACCGTGGAGCGATCGGTTACGCCTAGAGACGTCTTAAAATGGTGTCGTCGTCTCCAAGAAACATTGTTGGCCTCGGGCGGCAAAACCGGCGACGAACCTATCAGCGAGACTACAAGGGACTGGATGTTCATGGACGCGGCCGATTGCTTCTGTGGCAACCTTCCTAAACTAGAAGCAAGGGCCGCTCTTGTCAGTTGTATCGCGGAGGAGATGCATCTGTCTAAACAACTTATGGAGCATTACCTTAAAGCTCACGTCCCGCAAATAGACGAAACCCCCAGCAATTTCAAAATTGGGCGGGTCATGTTGACTAGAAGGAAATACGCGAACAGAGTAGTAAAATCAAAGAAACCTTTCGCGAGCACTAATCACTCCAAGAGACTACTCGAGCAGATTTCAATGGCAATTAAGCTACGTGAGCCGGTGCTTCTCGTTGGTGAGACTGGCATTGGAAAGACGACCGTTATCCAGCAGCTGGCTGAATCTCTTGGCCATAAGCTAGTGGCAGTGAATTTATCGCAGCAAAGCGAAGTTGGTGATCTTCTCGGAGGCTTCAAGCCGATTAATGCGCGGAGTCTAGCTGTCCCCCTCAAGGAAGAGTTCGAAGATCTATTCGCATCGACCGGAATTTCCGCCTCTAAGAATCAGAAGTATATGGAACAGATCGGAAAATGTACTGCCAAAGGACAGTGGACAAGGGTATCTAAGCTCTGGCGAGAAGCACCAAAGATGTTCAACAAAATTATTGGCGAACTTCAAGCCCAAGCTGAAGCCCGCGGTAATGATGATCCTGATAGTGGTCCAGTTGTGAAGAGGCGCAAAGTGGTATCGAGACTGCAGTCGTTGCTTGATCTGAAACCGCGATGGGAAGCGTTTTCCAGAAGCCTGGATCAATTCGATGTACAAATATCAGGCGGCTCGGGAAGCTTCGCTTTCGCATTCGTCGAGGGTAACATTGTGAAAGCCGCAAGAAACGGAGACTGGGTATTGTTGGACGAAATAAACTTGGCATCACCCGATACTCTAGAAAGCATAGCGGATTTGCTTTCTTCTGGTCCTAACGATGAGCCATCAATCCTCTTGTCGGAGACTGGCGACATCGAACGTGTCAAAGCACACCCAGATTTTCGCATATTCGGGGCCATGAACCCAGCCACTGATATCGGTAAACGTGATCTTCCACTGGGCCTCAGATCACGGTTCACTGAATTTTACGTCAGCAGCCCGGATAAAGATCTAAAGGATCTTCTCACCATTATCAAAGCCTACCTGAGTGGGAAAAGTGCCAAGGACGAGCAAGCAGCCGACGACATTGCTAGGCTTTATCTGAACACTAAAACGAGAGCAGAGGAGAAACGTTTAGTTGACGGGGCTAACGAAGTACCTCATTTCAGCCTGCGAACACTAACTCGCGTTTTGAGCTACGTCAATGACGTTTCTCCGTTTTATGGCCTCCGACGAGCTCTTTACGAAGGTTTTTCTATGGGGTTCTTGACTTTATTAGACAGAGCCTCTGAGGAGACCCTGGTCCCACTAATCCACCATCACCTACTTGACAAGCATGGCGGTGCTAGATCATTGCTTTCGCAGTCGCCAAGGCATCCTAATGACGGAAAACAGTACGTCAAGTTCATGAACAAGAATAAGGACCGTCAGTACTGGCTCCTCCAGGGAGAGGAACTCCCTATTGAACGAACTGACTACATCATCACGCCTTACATTGAACGCAATCTCTTGAATCTAGTAAGAGCTACATCGACAAGGCGTTTTCCGATTCTCATCCAGGGCCCTACATCGGCAGGAAAGACAAGCATGATCGAGTATCTTGCGAATTTCAGCGGCAACAAATTTGTGCGAATAAATAACCATGATCATACCGACCTCCAAGAATATCTCGGAACCTATGTCTCTAATGCTGATGGCAAGTTAAGTTTTCAGGAAGGTCTGTTAGTTCAGGCTCTTAGACAAGGACATTGGATCGTGCTTGATGAACTTAATCTTGCGCCGACTGACGTTTTAGAAGCGCTGAACCGTCTTCTTGATGACAATCGCGAATTGCTTATTCCAGAGACCCAGGAAGTTGTGCGCCCTCACGAAAACTTCATGTTATTCGCAACCCAGAACCCACCTGGTTTATATGGGGGTCGAAAAGTACTTTCACGTGCCTTTCGTAACAGATTCCTCGAGCTTCATTTCGATGAAATCCCGGAAGACGAGCTTGAGATCATCCTACAGAAACGTAGCCTTTACACTGCCCCCTCCGATTGCAAGAGGATCGTTAATGTCTACAAGGAACTCTCAAGATTACGGCAGACAAGCCGGCTATTCGAAAACAAGGACAGCTTTGCGACATTGAGAGATCTCTTTAGGTGGGCTCTGAGAGGAGCCGAGACTCGAGAGGAAATCGCAGTCAATGGGTTTATGCTTCTTGCTGAACGGGTTCGGAATGAGGAAGAAAGGTTGGCCGTTAAGAAAGTCATCGAGACAGTTTTCAAAGTCAAGATCGACCAAAACCAGCTCTACGACATTCATAATTCACCATATCTTCGAACACAACCACCAAATAACGGCCAGGGTGTGGTATGGACTCACGCTATGCGCCGCTTGTATGTTCTTGTCGCAAGTGCACTCTGTCATAATGAGCCGGTGCTTCTCGTCGGAGAGACTGGATGTGGAAAAACGACAGTCTGCCAACTTCTCGCCGAGTCCCTTGGCAAGGAACTACATATTGTCAATGCTCACCAAAACACCGAAACTGGCGACCTTATCGGATCGCAAAGACCAATTAGAAACAGAGGAGCTATTGCGGATATGCTAACTCAGGACCTCGCTAATGTTCTACAGCAACTTGGGCAAAGTGCAGAGGGTAGCATGGAATTTTTGTTAGAGAAGTACCATGCTCTAGATGAGCTAACTCGGTCCAGGGTACCCGTTGATGTACAGCTCAGAATTTCCGACAACGAAATCAAGAGTAAAGCTCTCTTCGAGTGGGCAGACGGAAGCTTAGTCCATGCCATGAAAGATGGTCAATTTTTCCTTCTCGATGAAATATCACTAGCGGATGATTCTGTCCTAGAGAGACTTAATTCTGTTCTTGAGCCCCAGCGCTCGTTACTTCTCGCAGAGAAAGGCATCGACGATTCATTTGTCAAGGCTTCTGATGGATTCCAATTTCTGGCAACTATGAATCCTGGTGGTGATTTTGGCAAGAAAGAACTTTCACCAGCGCTGAGGAATCGATTTACCGAAATCTGGGTTCCGGCTCTATCGGAGAACGAAGACGTGCTTCAAATTGTTTCCTCAAAGCTGAGGCCTGGGCTTCAATCGTGCTCTAAGGTTATCGTCGAGTTCTCTTACTGGTTTGGGCAGAACTTCCGGTCTACTGCTTCAACGGCCTTCTCAATTAGAGATATTTTGGTCTGGGTGAAATTCGTTAACGAGAGCCCTGGCCGAGACGTGGTGTCGTCAGTTATCCATGGTGCGGCAACTGTTTTCATCGATACACTTGGCGCAAACCCTTCTGCGTTGATTGCGATCGATCCTAAAAGCATGGACAGTCAACGACAAAAGTGCTTAGATAAGCTGAGTGAACTCCTTGGCTGCGATGCAACAATAGTTTATCGAGCGCCACTGGAATTGATCGTTAAAGAGAACGAACTGCAGATCGGTGGCTTTTCCATCGAACGTACTGCCAATGAGAACTTCGAAACGGGGTTCGCGTTACACGCACCTACTACCAAGCTCAATGCGATGAGAATCATTCGTGCTCTGCAGGTGCAAAAACCCATCCTACTTGAAGGCAGCCCAGGTGTAGGGAAAACGACGCTGGTTAGTGCTCTTGCTCGAGCATGTGGGCGACCTTTGACAAGGATCAACCTTTCTGACCAAACTGATCTCATGGACCTTTTCGGAACTGATGTGCCTGTCGAAGGAGCCGAAGCTGGTCACTTTGCGTGGAGAGATGCACCATTTCTTCGTGCTATGCAGAACGGAGAGTGGGTCCTTCTAGATGAGATGAATTTGGCATCGCAGTCCGTGTTGGAAGGATTGAACGCATGTCTCGATCATCGAGGGGAAGTCTACGTTTCTGAGCTCGACCAAGTGTTCAAGAGACATCCGGACTTTCGCCTTTTCGCGGCACAAAACCCACATCATCAAGGTGGAGGAAGAAAAGGGCTGCCTAGCTCCTTCGTTAATCGCTTCATCGTCGTATATGCTGATGTATTCAGTGAAGAGGATCTCTTGCTGATTGCCCAGCATAACTTCCCCACGATTCCTGCTGAGACTGTTCGACGAATGATAACTTTCATCTCTAGAATTGAGACACGCATCCTTACCGAAAGAGCGTTCGGGTCTCAGGGTAGTCCATGGGAATTTAACCTCCGCGATACTCTGCGCTGGTTACACCTCCTTACGTCCCCAGATCCATTGCTTAGTACTGGCAAGGTAGATGATTTCCTAAACATAGCAATCCGGCAGCGATTTCGGACAGAGAGGGACAGACTTGAGGTAGATAAGCTTTTCACCGAAGCATTCGAAGCACCACCGAAAGGTCACCAGCTGTACCATAACATGTGTTCCTCTTCACTTCAAGTTGGACTCGCGTTGATGCAGCGGAACGAGCTTGTTCAACCTTCGCAGTTTCCTGGCATGGATACTGTCCCTCGGCTCATGGAGATAGAATCCCTTCTGATCTGCATTAAGCAAAATATCCCATGTATTCTCGTAGGGCCGTCAGGAAGTGGAAAGTCAATGCTCTTGCAGCACATTGCTGCATCGTCTGGTAAACCACTAGTTACGTTCCCTATGAATGCTGACATAGATGCGATGGATCTTGTCGGAGGGTTTGAACAGTCTGATCCTATGCGCGATATCAACACAGCATTGAGTGAGCTTAATGAAGCTTTACAGTTATCAACTATGGGCGCCTTGGTTGAAGGTGTTCCAGACTCTGCGGTTGACTTGCTGAACTTTCTTAACTCCATGACGGACCAGATAAATGAACACCAAGATCTGTTGGATCACATTGAAAATCTTCGAAGTCAGATCTCGGCGGATACAGAACTAGCAGTTATGCTTTCTAATGCGCGCACGCTTCTTCGAAAACAAGATGGCATCTCGAACCCTAGGTTTGAATGGTTAGACGGGATCATTGTCAGAGCTCTTCAGAAAGGACATTGGTTAGTACTCGATAACGCAAATCTTTGCAGTGCCTCTGTCCTAGACCGATTGAACTCCCTCCTTGAGCCAGGCGGCTACTTGATTATCAATGAGCATTGTGGTCCGAATGGTGAACCTCGAGTTATCAAGCCACATCCCGAGTTTAGGGTGTTCTTGACTGTAGACCCTCGTTATGGAGAACTCTCGCGAGCAATGAGAAATCGCGCAATTGAGATCTACGTCGAACCATACACTTCAGCTCCGGTAACCTGGAGAAGTCGAGTTGCTGAGGTAGAGTCAAGTTTGAAAAGATATGAATTCCTCTTTTCAGCATCATCCATCGACGCTAATCCTGGAACGACGTTACGATCTATAGCTCTGGATTCTCTATCCATAATTGACCTCCCTTTGCTTGAAAGGTTCAAGGAAAGCTCTCTGGCTATCCAGGAGGTAGACTGTTCATTCCTCAAGTCACCTATTATGACCGACGTCCAAAACACACTCCGCCATCTGCATGTACCGCTGTCGACCATAGCGCCTGGTCTTGAAAACATGCAGGTCAGTATTCTTCTTATTTATTTCCTCTACTTACATTAACTGACAACTCTACAGCCGATACATCCCCTGCAAAATTCAGTTATGATCCCGTTGCTTCAGGGACAGTCGTCCCAGCTTCCACATTGGTTAGCGGCTTGTTATGAGATATACATTGACATTGCCGAAGCTTGGAACCAACTAGAGATGGAGAAGACCCGCGGAACTGGTAAACAGATATCGCAATTGAATCGGTTCCAACGTTCACTTGTTTCCGGTAGCGTTGCTGCTGTATCGAAGGATTCCACCGTTGGGGCAGCTAAGTTCGCTCTGGGCGTTCTACAAGAAATGGATTCATTTCTGCGCCCCCTTTTATTAAATCCGGGCTCGTGGAAAGTAAGTGTTAACAACTTAAATTTCAATTTCGCGAATACTAATAAAGTTAGGATCTAAGATACTTCTGTCGAGATCTTATTCACTTTTGGCAGATGACAATTAGGTATCTTACTGCCCCTCGTTTCGACGAAGCGTCTTTCCAAGCTCATCTGAGTATCGTATCGCATGGGCTATCCAACTACATGTCTGGTTCCACGAGTGAACAAACATGTGAATTGGCCTCACGTATCCTCAAGGGTTTAGATGAATGTTTCATCTCTGGATTCAAGTTGTCCACGGGCTTGAGCATGGAAGCCCTTTGGAAAGTCTTCAGGCCAATCCCAATCGGAAGCAAGACACTCTTGGACAATGTTTGCCACATGGAACAGCTGGCCTCCCAGTTTGACATGGTCAAATGGCAGTCTAAAGCTACGCCGTATGATCTTGCCAAGACAACAGACTCATTTATCAAGGTATATCGGCTAGTTCGGCTAGGTGGACTCAACGTTGAAGACCTCCTTGGGGCATTGAAGCTCGAAATTGACCAGCTGCTTAGCAAGTTGATAGACAACGACGCACCAGCCCTCCCATTCATGGCCGCCGAATTCGAAACCATGAGACAAATCGTCGTACTCGATTGCCTGTCGCGTCGTGCTGGCCTGCCACAGTCGTTGAATGAGATGGCCTTACTATCTACTATCCCGCTCGTTACTCAGATGCGTGTCAATAGTGCCTCTGATACATCAAAACTCCTGTTATCAATGGAGAACTTGTCTAGCGATGATAGCCAACGGCAGCACTGGGACGATAATCTTTCCGCAAAGATCATCTCACAGCTCGAGGCTGCCGACTCAACAAGCCTCAGTTCTTTGGCCTCGCTCGAAGCAGAACTGCCAATCCTAGCAAAACAAGTCTGCGCAAACACAGAGGCAATCGTGGCCGACAGGCTTGATAAGTTTACCGAAGTACTTTGGCAACTCATGATGGATGTTATGAACGTCTATGATCCATCTTTGGCTACGAAATTCGACTCGGTCCGGAACACATACGCCACCCCAGACAAGCCCTGCGATTTATCGGATAATATCTATGAGCTTCTACCGGATGTACTGATACATACAGAGTCTCGAATTGTTACTGATCATTTGATTCCCGCTCTCGCATATTTGATTGGGTCTAGAAATTCTACCAACCGCCGTGCTTTCCTTGCCATTGCCTGGGTTCAATTTTCTCAAGCCTTAATTAAGCTCTTCGTCCCCGATAAGGCATATGATCCGCAATTACGTCCCCAACTCGAGTTGGAAAGTTACGAAGAAATCCTACAGGGCTTACAAGAGAGACTCGAATCATTACGGCAATTCGAAAAATTCAGCACCGGCCAGTCTACGAATCTCCGATGTGAACTGGTGGAAGAAGAGATCGTAGCTTTGGGTCCTCCCCCTAGCGCCGTTGAAGTTGTGTATCGCCCCGAAGAGTCTGAGCTTCCGAAGATTCAGGCGGAATTCAAGGCTTTACTGAGTGCTACCCTTGACTTGGATATTGGGTCACTTCTCCTTCAGCGTTGTTCGGGCTCGGAAGTAGCTACACAACAATTACATGTCATTCATGAAAATGTGTCAAGGATCGGATTTCGCCTAGGCCAGAAATATCGCGCATATGAAGATATAGTCTTGCCGGTTATCGACATGATCCATTGTCTAGAACTCGGCTTGTATCTAGGACGGGAGGCCAACTCTCAAGGTATCGGCCACAATTCTTCACCGAGAACACTGCTCAGCTTAGCACCTTTCCTCGGCGGAAAACTCGAAGTCTCCGCAATGCCATCACTTTCATCCCACAGCTTCGAGTTCCTCAATTATGTCAGCATGGTTACAGCTGTAGAAGGCTCACGTGGACTAGAAACTGTCGAACAAAGCACATTCCAAGCAATCCATTCCTTGTACGATCAATGGGTGCAGAAGCTCGAAGCAGACAAGAAAGCCGAGGAATCAAAACAAAGTTGGTATCGTTATCGAGGTGGGTTCACCGAGGAAGAGGCAGCGGAACAGGATGCGTTTAATGAATTATTCCCAAGTTTCGAAGAGAACGATGAGCATAACCAGACGACAAAGCCTAAGATAGGTGATGCTCGTGTACTAGCTATCAAGTTAGCAAGGGTGCATAGAGACATTTTCCTCACACCGCGAGACGCGCCCGAGAGTATCATAAGTCTTAGCAGGCTCTTCGCTACAAAAGCGTCAGCTAACATCGACCGCACTGTCGAGGATAAAAGCTTACTTCCAGCTACGTTCTTAGCCCTAGATGAGAAGCTACAAGAAATAGGTTCTAATACTTGTTCGGCCGACTATAACTTCTATACGGATCGCAATCTTCCCGAGGCACGAAAACTTGTCATCTTGGTTAATGAAATCCGCGCTAGCTTCCGACAGCTTCAGAAGATCGACGAAATTGGCCATCTGCAGCCACTGGTTGACGTTGTGGCGTCTTGCGACAAAGTTCTCCAACTAGGACATTCTGACCCACTCGCTGCAATGATATCGAAAGTTGAGCAGCTACATGCCTTCGTCTACGAATGGCAATTCGGGGGTTGGGCAAGCAAAACGTATGGCGTGTTAGCGCTGTATAACCGGTTGACGGATTTACTTGTTGGTTGGCGACGCCTGGAGCTTTCTACGTGGGGCAAGTTGTTTGATATGGAGGTCAAGAAGAGCGAAGAGGATGCTAGTTCCTGGTGGTTCATTGCCTACCAGGCCATCATCGCTGTGCCGTTAACTCTCGCTCAAGCCGGAGAGGATCTTTCACAGCATGGCGCTGGCCTTCTCAAAGAACTAGAAGTTTATTTCTCCGCCGCAGCTGTAGGGCAATTCGCTAGCCGACTTGGTCTTCTTCAGCAACTCCAGAAGCAATTGCAATTACTGGCGACAGACTACCCTTCCATGTCGGTAATCCGAGAGGGTCTCCAAAACTTCATAACATTTTATTCTAGGTATACGAAGGCTGTCGATGATAAAATACGCACTGGTAGAGCCCCTCTCGAGAGGCAGATGAAAGACGTTCTCCTCTTGGCGAGCTGGAAAGATACGAACATCGCTGCATTGCGAGAAAGCGCTCGCAAATCTCACCACAAGCTGTTCAGAATTGTCCGGAAATTCAGAGACGTGCTTGGTCAGCCTATGAAGCCGATTATCGAAGCTGGCCTACCGGACGAGGTTCTCGGCGAAACTGAACTCGTAGAGATCCAGGCAAAGACGTTCTCCATCGACCAGGATGCAATCGACTTGTGCTCCCATAACGTTGCTGGTTGGAGCGATGACTACCGGAGATTGGCCAATGTTCAAAGAACGACTGAGATTATGAGTAGATTGAGTCGTATCCCTGAGACTTCTCTCGATGCTAGTGAAGCTATTGATGATTTCCTCTCCAACTTAGAGTCGTCGGCACTTGAACTCCGCAAAGAGACACCTGGCGTACTTAACGACGAGAATAAGACGCTGGTGAAGCATTTAAAGTCGCGTAAACGAAAATTATTTTCAGAGACGCTCAAGGAAGCAAGACAAATGGGGGTCCAATACAACCTCGGTACTGATGTTCTATCTCGACAGAACTCACTCTCTACAGTTCTTTCAACGTCTGAGGCACTGGACTTTCAATCCTTCAAGGGACTTGAGAGCACAGATTACTACTTCCATAAAATGCTCGATCTTGCTCCCCGGGTCCGGGCTGCTTCCCAAGACCACTCGGATGACTTGACCGCCGCAGAGATTGATAGAAGCATCGGATTGCTTGAAGGGTTGATTCATATTACCCTAGGCCAGAGGCACGATCTGGCGAAAGCAATTAGTGACTATAATGCATTATCAACTCGTTCGATACATGTCAACTCCGTTAGCGGTCTGAGAGGCGGCGACAAGGTCAATGCGAAGACGTTATCAGGCAATCACGAAAGAGCTTCTATTTGGTTAGTCCAAATCATCAAAGTCGGTATACATCTTGTCGAATTACATAGCAAGCTCGGAAATGCCGACAACAAGGAAATTCTTACATTGCTCAACGTCTGGCTGGAAAGAATTAAGAACCTCTCTGTTCAATGGGGTTCGCTGCCTACTCTGCCAAATTGGCTTACCTCACTCAAAATGACACAGCTGGAAACCTCCGTTAACTCAGCATTCAATGAATTCCGGAATGAGCTGGACGAAGCGAGTCGAAAATGGCCGTCGCTAGCATTCCTACTTGAACAAATTCAGCTTTGGACTACCATCGATGAACAGTCAATGTCCACTTCGCACCTAGCGACTAAACAAGTCAACACTATATCCAACGCCGTGAGAAACCTTTGCGATAGCATTTTGGTTACCATCGAGCAATTCAAGAAAACAGTCGCCAAATTACCTACTTCGCAAGAGGAAACTGGATGGCTGGTCAAACAAAACGAAATAATGGTTGCTTCCTTACGAGTTCTCCGTATGGACAAGGTCGATAGCAGTATTTCGGAAATTCTTGCCCTTTTTAGCCAAGTTGATCTGGCCGACGCGTCCATTAACGACCTCTCAACAGCATTGATGGCGGTGATTGCCCCTGTCATAAATCAGTACCAGGCTACTTGCAATCAATCAATCCAAGTGTTTTCCCGCGCTCACGAAAGCACCTGCAAGCTTGGTTATAAGCTGAGCAAGAGCTTCACCCAACTTGCGTCCCAGGGATTTTGCACACCCCAAGAGAAGTCTGACGAAACGTCTGGCGAGGCTGGGCAGCTCGAGAGCGGGACAGGTCTCGGCGATGGAGAGGGTGCCGAGGATATTAGCAAGGATATCCAACCCGACGAAGACTTGTCCGAATTGGCGCAAGAAGCAAATAAGGAACCCGGCCAGGAAATGGAAGACGAAAAGGATGCTGTAGACATGGCTGACCAGGAGCTCGAGGGTGATCTCGAAAGCATAGATGGTGGAGAAGACAAGGAGGAGGATTCAAAATCCGGTGACGAGGACGAGAGTGGCGATGAGATGGACGAAGAAGCCGGCGAAGTCGATGATCTGGATCCTTCAGCCGTCGACGAGAAAATGTGGGATGGCGAAAACGAAGAGGATGCGGAGAAAGACCAGCAAGGAGAGAACACCAAAGGCCAAACGAAAAAGGACGAACAAGTAGCTGCTGATGCTCAGCCTGATGGTCAAGAGATCGAACCTGCAGAAGACGAGGAACAAGGAGATGAAAACATGGATGAAAACCCTGCCGCGGAAGAAGAAGACGTCCAACAACAAGATGAGACCAACAAGCAAGATCAAAATGTCCAGGAACAGGATACCTTGGCGTTACCTGACGACATGAATATCGACGGAAATGATAATGAATCGATGTCATCAATTAGCGATGACGAGTTAGATAAACTTTCAGACGTCGATCAAGAAGAGATAGACGAGAAACGAACAAGTGATCAGGAAAGCGAAAATGGCGAAGACGCTGAGATGGATATGGCGCCTGCAGACGCGGGAGACGAAAATGAAGAACTCGAGGAGAGCGCAGAGAATGACGAGACTAATATCAAAGAGGATGAGAATGCGGACCAGGAGCCAGAAAACCAACCTGAAGAACGTGAGATGGCTGAAATGCAGTCTAACAACGAAGTCAATGCCAATAATGAGACTGCACCGAGTGATGTGAAGGGTGGCGGGCAAGATCAAGATCCCAATCAAACAGAGGAGGCCAACGCTGCTGAAGATAATAACGCCCAGAGGGAAGATGGAGAAATGGGTGAGAATCCAGCCGACCAAGAAACGTCAGCTGGTAAGAAGGGTAGCGTCTCACAAGCTCAAGAGCAACCTTCTCAGACAGAACTTGATGATGCTAAAGATTCATCGACGCCTCAGCCCTTTAAGGCTCTTGGAGACGCTTTAGAGAAGTGGCATAGACAACAGCGGGATATAAAGGAAGCTCAAGAACAAGAACCCAAAGAACAGCCGTCAAACGCCGAACAGGAATCTACTATTCGGGAATTCCAGCACATTCAAAATGACGAGTCCGCTGCGGATACTCAAGCGATGGGTACCTCTAATGAAGAGCAGAAGCAGCAAATCGACGAATCAATGGCAATCGATGACGAGGATCAACCTGCAGATGACCGGATTATTCCTGAGGATGAGGTTGAAATGAACGACGTGGATGGGGACAAGATGGACACGTCGGAACCCCCCGGCCACCAACACCAGCATGATACGCAGAAAGAAGAGAGGCCTACAGGGGTATCAACTCGCCAAGGGACTTATAATCGAGATACGACCCCTCCGTCAAATGGAGAAGCACCTTCAGAGGAGGTCGAAGAAGAGATCCAGGTGACTTCTACACAACTATCAATAACTCACTTGTCAGAGCCAAATACGGACTTGAGGGATTTTGAAGAAGCTATGCACCAGTGGGCCTCTTTCCAAGGCAAAACGCATCCTCTCTCGCTATCTTTGACTTCGCAGTTACGTCTAATTCTAACCCCGTCTCAATCGACAAAATTATCTGGGTCGTACCGAACTGGAAAACGCCTCAATATCAAGCGCATCATTCCGTACATTGCCTCTAGCTACAAGAGGGACAAGATCTGGATGCGTAGAGCAATCCCAACCAAGCGCGCTTACCAGATCTTGCTTTGCGTTGATGACAGCAAGAGTATGGGCGAATCCAGCTCTGGCGAATTGGCGCTCGAATCTCTCGTCATGGTCTCGCGGGCTTTAACTATGCTTGAAGTCGGCCAGATCGGCATTCTCGGATTTGGAGCGAACGTCTTCATGGCGCACGAGTTCACCGAACCGTTCGCGTCACATGACGCCGGCGCCAAAGTGCTGCAGAAATTCAGGTTCCAGCAAGATTACACGGACATCCAGCTCCTCATCAAGCAAACAATCGAGCGTTTCCGCCTCGCCCGCCAGCAGAGCACGAGCCGCGGCTCCGAAGACCTCTGGCAATTGGCGCTCATCCTATCCGACGGCCTTACTCCCTCGGCGGCGCACGAGCACATCCGCCTGCTACTGCGAGAGGCGATGGAGGAGCGCATCATGATCGTGTTCATCATCATGGACGACACGACGGACGGCAAGGACAAGCAGAGCGTGATCAACCTCAAGAAGGTCCGGTTCATGGGCAACGACGAGATACGCACCGAGTACTACCTCGACACGTTCCCCTTCCAGTACTACCTCATCGTGCATAATCTCGAGGACCTCCCCGGGGCGCTGGCGGGGCTGCTGAGGACTTGGTTTGCGGAGGTTAATTCTTAGGCGTGGAAAAGGGGGGGATGAGAGTAAGGGGTTTCTTTTGGTACATAATTCGTTTCGGGCGTTGAGTCTGGTTCGACTGGCTGTTGATAGATTTTGCTAGAATATAAAAATCTGATTGATCTTAAACTAATAGGTACATAACTTTAGTTTCATATTTGAATATTGTTTTATTTCAATTTAGCTCTACTCTTGTGAGTTTCTATTCTTTCGTTGCTTGCTATTTGAAAATTCCCGACCCCGAAATCCATTAGTTCCGCACCGCAAGTCGCTTTTCTTTGGTGGTTGAGACCCCCGAGCTGTAGCGATTATACACTAGAGCCTAGTGGAATAGATCGCTCCATGAATTTGGAAGGTTGGCTTGGGTCTTAGCTTGACGCTAATTAACCAATACAGCACTAATATATTGCTTATCTAATTGTCGGATAAGTAGCTGACCGAAACCTTCACAATACGTCAAAATTGCTTGATTCAATGTTTTGCCCGTTTCATGAAATTATTGAAGAATCCTAGAATTGCGTCAACATCTGCCAGTGAGCGAATCATGGAAATATCTACATAATCCGGTATCAGCATTTTACGAGAATCGGATAAAGGCGAGGTAGCTTACATTGGTCTGGCCGAACGATGACCAGAGCGCCCCTTTTTGGATCCACTCCGTACTTCTCGTACGCATGCCCATGAGCTGCGTTATAACCTTCGTCATCGACGAAGACCTTGAAGAGGGCTAGAATGTGAACGAATATTAGCGTTACCAATATCAGTGTTAAGATTCAATTTATTAAATTTCGAGAGATTTATTCTCACATTTTATCTTCCACTTGCTCACGACAGGGGTAAAGGTATCCGGGATCCAATTCTGCTCGACCTCTGTACGCTTCGACGAAAGGACGAGGATGGGGTTTATGATAGTGTCGCGATCGACGTCTACGGGGGTAAAGGCATCAACAACCTTCCCTAGGCGTAATGAAAGCTGCTATAGTGGTTAGAATTATCCTAGATCCCAGTTAAGTTTTTATCCTTAGAATAGAACGTATACGAACATCTTGCAGCGGAACTAAATTCTCTGAGCTGACATTCCCAGCAAATGCGACGACGTGCCACCTGGAATCAGTTGTCAAGGCTTGGACTAACTGTATCGCGCGGGCATCAGCTAATCGGATTACTTGGGCACTAGGAAACCTCATGCCGACGGTCAAGCCAGTAGCAATCCCCGGCTGACTCATTCTTGCGTCAACAATTATCGAGTCCTCGTAATGAATAGCCTGGCCCGCGGTATATCGGCCAGCCAGCGCGAACTGTTTTTGAACATCTTCTGGAGTAATACCATGTTCTTGGCGATACGTAGATGAGAAGAATTTCGTCCAGTTCCGGTCAAACTCGATCAGTTCGGCAGCGATCTTTTGTCGTTCCGAAACGTACGTTTCCAGAAGTTCCGGTCCTGCTTGTCCTCGAAGCACGGTCGCCAGTTTCCAACCTATATTGTAACCGTCCTGAAGACTTACGTTCATCCCCTGACCCGCTTTAGGGGAGTGAGTGTGGCATGCGTCGCCGCTCAAGAAAACTCGGTAATCCTTGTGGAAATGGTCGGCGAGGCGTTGGCCAATCGCATATGCCGACCACCAGACCGTCTCTGCGACTTCCAGGCTGTAGGGCTGGAAGATCAGACGGGCTTGGGTGTGCAGTTCCTCGAGAGTAACATCCTTCGCGACGACGTCTTCCAACTCGATGTAGAAACGAGCTAGGAAGTCTCCTTCACGCGGTATGATCATCAAATTACCGGCCTCCGAGTTAATGACGGCCTTCTTGCGGATATCGGGGAAGTTCGTTCGCGGGTAGATGTCCATCACGCCCCAGACTGCATCGCTCGAGTCTCCGATCATCTTGAACCCGAGCGACTTTCGGATCACGCTATGAGCTCCGTCGCTGCCCTATTCTCAGATGTCAGGGCCTACTTACCAATATCACAATGATGAAGTCGTCTTACCAGGACGTATTTAGCGCGATAACTTTTCTCTGCTCCGTCTTTCAATGCTTTCACGGTAACGGGATATGCGTTAGAGTCCTTTGCGCTCTCACTATCAACCTCCAGCCCCTGAACCTCGCAGCTGTACTCTACACATGGCCTTCCTGCCACCCTCTCCATCTCGATAGTCAATAGTTCATTAATTCTAGCCTGGCTCAGGAGCACATGTGGCAAGTGGCTTAGCCCGGGCTCTGTATCAGCCGTATAGTTAGTCCGTCTGATTCCTCGTCCACTGTCATCGGTAACAGGAGCCCAAAAAGCGATCTCCATGGCATGGTAGGCCTCCTTGAGCAGCGTCTCCGCGAGCCCGAAACTTTCAAATATCTCAACAGTCCGGCATTGCACACCGTCCGCTTGACCGGTCTCGAGAGCCCCATCGCGCTTCTCTAGGATCTTGAAGGAGACGCCACAGCGCGCGAGCCAGACGCCGGCGGAAAGACCGGCGGAGCCACCACCACAGATTAATACATCTACTGTTTCCGACATTGGGTCCTACAGCGAGTGGTATACAACTTTCACGAGAGAGAGAAAGGGCAGTAGAAGTCTGTCGTCACCAGTGAACTACAAAAGCGTTAAGAGGCGTCACAACTAGAGGGGTTGCCCGATAGGCGTATGCACGAAGTGCGGGGGAGGCTTCCATTCTCCGCCTATCACTAATTCAGGGGAGACTTTTCTACAGCGCCTCCTCGCCGTGGCGAGGCGATATTTATACGATGGTTGAAATCTAGAAACTTCTTTATGTCTGCGTTTGACAAGAGATGGTATTTCCATCGCTTCATAAGAGACCCAACAAAAACAGATAGTCCGGTCCGTATGCCCGTCTCGGCTCAAGCTCTCGGTATACGCATTAGCGGTGAGATTAGATCAGATCCACAGACGAGATTGAGTGAGAATCAAAACGACCCTCTTTCCCAACAATACGCTTACTCACTGAATTAACCGAGCTAGGCTTTGAAACAGCCCCGGCCTCCCTAATCCAATGGACGGTACCTCTTTACTAACGTGAGGCATTTTAAACATTTGCCATTTTTTATAAATAAGCTGTTTATGATGGAGGGGATAATTCGGAGGGCCTGACCAAACTACTAACTGAGTAAGTGCAAATGGTAGGGCAGATTTAAGAATGACAAGTGTAAGAGCCAGTGTCATTTTTTCACTTAGCGAGATGATGATGTGGGTCGCCGGAACAGATTGGGTCCACTTAATTCCCGACATTCCGGAGTGACACGGACAACGGGGGAGATGCTGCGACCGGCTTATCCGGTAAGCGGGTACCCGCTAGATTAGCTTCGGAATACACGATTGAGACATGGTGTTTGGTCCCAAGACTCATCTCACTCATCCGCCACTTGGCCTAAAGTGGAAACACTGAGCCGTTTCTTTTTCGTCACTTCGACGTCACTTTTACATTTGGTTGACCTCAATTTGTTGACATTCGGAAGTAACAAACAACTTTTGTTTCATAAACCCTAGAAACCTCCAGGTACCCACTTCGAAGCTTTCCTTCTTACTTGAGATTTCTTATAATCTCGCAAGTGTACAGTGTATTGATCAACCTGTCATGGCAATGCCTCATATGGGTAATGCTGCGAGAGCAAGCCGCCGGTTGCTAACTAGAAAACCAGCCGCCCTCCTGAACTCTTCTGGCTTCGACCATCCGCGATGCGCCCCGCGCGGGCTACGAATGGCCAGCACGGTCACGAACAATGGGCGCAAGAAAGAACGTGTGGTAATATTAGGATCTGGTTGGGCCGGGTACGGTTGTCTACGGGCCCTCGATCCGAATAAATATGAGCGCATCATGATATCACCTCGCTCTTACTTCGTCTTCACGCCGCTATTAGCGGGTACGGCAGTTGGAACTTTGGAATTTCGCGCCGTGCTCGAGCCGGTCAGGAGACTTGGTCTGGATAAGTTTCATCAGGGATGGGCCGACGATATTGATTTCGCGAAAAAGGTCATTCGCGTAGAGGCGAATATAACAGACGATCTTGCCTCGAGGACACGACTTGTCATGAAACATCGACTCGATAAAAACAGAGTGAAAGGGGACATGTTCGATGTCGAATACGATAAGCTGATCATCGCAGTAGGTAATGGATAATGCCAAGCCCATTATATCTCAGGCCAAATCTCATAACATCCTCCCTTAGGCTCATACAGCCAGACCTTTGGCATAGAAGGAGTGCGCGAGCACGCCAACTTCCTAAGGGATGTCGGTGATGCTCGTAAGATCCGTTTGAAGATCCTCCAGAGTTTCGAGAAAGCCGCGCTACCAATCACGACCGACGAAGAGCGGAAGAAGCTCTTACATTTCGCCATCGTGGGAGGTGGCCCTACCGGCATTGAGTTTGCTGCCGAGCTTCACGACTTGATACGCGATGATCTCAAGAAGACGTATCCGGAGCTGATGAAATTCGTTAACATTACCGTTTACGATGTTGCGCCCAAGGTACTTCCAATGTTCGACAAGACTTTGGCGGATTATGCCATGGACCGGTTCGCCAGAGAGGGTATCAATGTTAAGACGGAACACCACCTAACGCGTATCCGGCCCGACGAGGAGTGCGAAGGCTGTTTGAAATTGAAGATCAAGGAGTATGGCGACGAAGAGGTCGGCGCTGGTATCGTCGTATGGAGTACTGGACTAATGCAAAATCCCTTGATCCAGAAGCTCGAGGCCGGGAGCTTCACATTACCCGGTTCGGATACTGAGATGCAGTTACATCGAAACGCCAGGACAGGCGGCATCATCACAGATGTACACGGGCTTCGCGTTAACATAATCCCCCGCGACGCAGCTTCGGAGCCGGCGGAAGTCCAACAAAAAAAGGCCACAGTGCTGCCCGACGTATTCGCCATTGGTGACTGCACGATGATCTCGGGGCTCAACCTGCCCGCCACCGCGCAGGTCGCCAGTCAGCAAGCAGCGTATCTCGCGAAGCGGCTGAACAAGGACGATATGGACCAGAAGCCGTTTACGTTCAAGAACCTAGGCACCATGACTTACCTCGGCAACTGGACAGCCATCCACCAGAGTAACTTAGACGAGATGAAGGGCTGGATGGCCTGGGTCCTCTGGCGCACGGCATATCTGACTAGGAGCATGAGCATACGGAATAAGATCACCGTACCGTTCTACTGGGCCATCTCGTGGATATTCGGGAGGGATATCTCCAGATTTTAAGGGGGTTTCATCATGGACGCGCGTGTTATAAAAGGTTTTGGGCATGAGGTTTGAGGAATATGGATCTAACCAGTTTTTTTCTAGTTTAAACATGGCTTGTAGGTTGTACAGTACCATGCCATTTTGAACATTGGGCACGATAGAGTTCTGTAGACTAGAGTAGGGATTTTGTGTTCATGAAAGCACTCGCGAGCGGATAGACTATAGAAGATAGAAGATAGAACGTTATAGACTCACCTTTTGATATATCATATTCGCTACTTCAACCAGGGACCTATATGTTGAGTTAAACTAGACGCTCTTTTGATTCATCAGTGTTCGGGATGTAAGTTAGTTGAATTAGTGAATTTAGGGCTATAAAACGCAGAGTAGTCATTTTTATATTGATCCCGACATACTCAAACCATCGTCGTGGAAGGAAATGAATGATGAGAACACACTAAATCTGTTGCTATGGGCAGTTATGGGATAGCTTCGTATCGTAACCTTGAAACGAATCACCTGCTAGGCTGATCCTAGTATACCTCAAAAACCTGTATCAAACCGACGTTGAACAACTCTTTCTAACTCCAATTACTCAAGAATGAACGATATCCCCTGGTTCCTAGAATTTACCACATATCTCCAACATTGACATCGACTGAAAGAACCATTGTATCGGAGAGTTGGATTGTGCTACGATTGCTTGACTTCCGACTCATCGACATCGTTCGAGGCCTGTAATTACTTGTGATTAGACATACATAGAGTTTAGTTCTCCGAGGTTCCTGACCAGGAGTTTCGAAGAATCTTCTTGGGGAGTTGGTGTGATGATTCTTGGCATCAATATCCTCATTGGAAAGTGCCTTCCAAGTTGTTCGCGTATGCGCGCCTCCATTCCCATTCGCGCCTCCGCTGCCATTAGGGGGTTGACGTGGGTAGCTTCCACATAATTGTAGTTTATATTAACCGTTTGATCCGCGGTGCCGTTGAGTTGGGTACGATGAAGCCCTTTTAGCACTATGATAATAAAAGTCAATATTCTTCATTAAGGATCGCTCGTTACGAAATCCTAGTCGTCAATATATGATGAAAGGGCCTTGACGAGTTTAAGAAATCACTCACAGTCAAGCCAAGGAGCAGGGCCAGTAGTCCTGCCAACTGTCCGTACATGTATGTTAGCCAAGTTCAAACAAATAATTTGTTTGCTATTGGACGACGTACAAAGCAATTCCTAGAGCAAGTTGAGATATCTAATCGACATCCAACAAGCAGATACGAGATAACCTTCGATCTTAACTAATCCCAAGGCGTCTCTCAGAGAATCACTCCATTTTTCCTCTAGGAAATCGTCGCTTAGTTTTCCCTTGATAAAGTCCATTGCCGACTCAAAGTCAAACACTTGAACATCAAAGGACACGGTAGTAGTAATACCGGGTAAGCTGGTTTGATATTCTACCATGATTTATATCGTGATGATCTTGGGGGGGAAGAATAGCAAGGTACGACGTTGCGGTTGGTATATATTTTCGTCGGCGAAGGAAATAGTTTATACGAAGGTCCATAGAATCAACTATCAACATTAGAAAGGAAGTAGGTATTTAATAGCCATGGGAAACCAGGCAGACACTGTAATAACTTTGTGTCGTTTGTTGTTGTTTTTTTCTTTAAACCAACGCCACGAATCAGCCATATCTTGTACTGTTTTTGTATACGCACACGTATTTTCTCCAGGAAAACACATAAACGTACAAAGGCTTTCTATAACTTCACCCCTTTTTTCTTCAACACACATTCAAGTGACCTATTATAACATCTCAAAAAACAAAGTGCTGGTGTGGATTTATTCGTACCGAAGAACATAATTACTGGCCTTGACTGCTGTATGCACCTATCCTTACCGTGCTTTTGGCTGCCTACCTTACCGGGGCGTGTCTTCCATGGATGTAGTTGAGCTCACCCCGTCCATCCTCCCTACCCTTGTAAGGTGGCTTTTTAACCTTCACACCCATCCAAAATCAACACCCTGCCCGTTCCACTTTGATATGGATTCGCCAGGGGTCAAGCTTTAGCTGGGGAGCCCCCCCTCCTCCCCCCAAAAAAAAGGAACAGCAGAAGGCGTCGACAGGCCTAATAGTATTGTACCACCCTCCAGTATCGGGCCCCCGGTGAATCCATGAAAAGGTGGAGTGGGGCACGGGTAACTTCATCTAGATTATCGAAGATCTTAAATTCTACGTATGTAGTACCTTTAAACTTAACCCCTCTGAACCAGCCATGGCAAAAACCATGCTTAGCGAGCTGAGGCATATGGTGTAGGACCTAGTTATTCGAGACCCACGCCTTGAAGCTCATGCACTTCCAGTTGTGAGTAGAAGCGACTACTTCGAAGAAAGCTTATGGGAAAGGAAATACTTTGGGAAGGAGGGTCTAAAATGGGAGAGCCGCTGTTGTCGAAGGGAGCGTTTTTCCCACGAACATTCGCATCTAAGATAGAACTAATATGTCAGATACATTTGTTTTAACTTTGTAAACGTTTATCTTTCATGGCTTCATTTGTTGTTTCCTTAATTTGTTGCGAAGTTACATAGTTAAGAATGAGGTTTACAAGTGGAAATGGTTTAGGGGTTCAGGGGTGATTTTGTTAAGCAATTCAGGACTTAAGTCGAGTCATCTTGTGGAAAGACTTTGGATTAGGAAGCCCTGTTTGGCTTAGCTAAGCATAGTTGTAGAGGTATTGCAAAAGGTTCGGCACACACTACCAATTGTGTGTCATTGAGCTTGATTAATTCATGAATAGCCTCAAGAAGGAAGCCAAACTTTTCTTCCTTTAATATTATAGATTATTACGTAGTTATTCATCTTGAACCAAGACGTTTAGCTAGGTAATAAAAGCTACGAGTGTGAACACCAGGCTAATATAGCTTGCTATAACGATACTCGGAGCTTCACACTGTCAGGATCTACCGAGGCCATCAATATCATCGAACAAATTGCTCAGGCTTTGTTTTCACCGTTGAACGGCAAAAAGCTCAATGTTACGAACGCGTTCCACTTAACTCTTAACGAACCTCTGTTATATGGCCTTGAACAGGTTGGAAGTCGCCTAGTATTCAAGAAGCCGGTCATTCGGCTGGAAAGGGCAACGGAGTTCAGGACATCCTCGCAAGGATTCACGCTCAGATTCGTAGCGGGCCATATGGGGAACCTAGTCTTCTTTAACCACGCAATTCAACGGCTAGCGAAAGACCATTCTCCCTGCATTTGGCTCGAAGCTGGGTCTAGCTCGGCAATAACCATCATGGTAAGTCGTGCTTACGGGTCTTCTTCAGATGCGCAGTACTTCCAGGCAATAAATTTGACCAACGACCGGGGTATTGAAAGTCTCAAGGACGCCACCATGTCGCTGTGGAAGGAGGACTTGAGGGTATCCTTCTGGGCGCATCACCCTCTACAAACTCGCGACTAATGCACCTTTACTGCTACCACCGTATTAATTTGAGGCTTCTCGTCACTGGCTGGAACTTAGAAGTCCAGTGGAGACCATGATTTTATTAGAGAGCGAAATGCAAGACACCTCTGGGTCTATTCACGTTTGTTGGATTAGGACGCCACGAATCGGTCAGCCCGCTTCTGCACCAACCCGCGTCAACACGATGACGAAAGAGTATGAAAAGTTCGCGCCAGGGCACGTTATTGCTCGAACGGCGCGCATATACCCAGCAACTCTGGAGATAGACATGGCCATTGATGCGTTCTTCACTCCGCGTACCGATTACGCGGAACTAGGGCTTCAGCCGTCTGTTATTAACATGGTGAATCATTCGCTAATATGCGTGGACCCTTCATGACTCGTCTGGGATGTTTTCGCATGCCATCATCGCGAGATAGAAAGGACATATTGAATTGATGTCTTCGTGATTGACCCTACTAATGGGTAATTGATTGAAGTGATGTTGTGTATCCAATATGTAAATGTCCCAACGACATCTATGAGCAAGATCTTGACTCGGCTCACCATGGCTGATGCTGTGAAAGCGACCCCGCCAACAGGAGCCAAAATAGAGCATGAAGGAGGTGAGAAGGGAGTCACTGCCACTCCAACTATCACAGCTCCATCCCAACGTACCACTACCAAGCCTATTCCTAATGAAGAAAAAGGGGCGAAGACATCTGGACCAGATATCAGCGGCGATGCCAGGAATCTCGTTGCTAACGTCCCAGGACTAGAAGTTCGCGATATCAAGGACGACCCCGAGCTTGCAGTCTTTGGCATTATTCGCCCATGGGAATGGAATTGGCTCGCGAAGTGGACACTGTATTTGTGTATGCTCTCGACCGAAATCAGCTGATGGAGGCGACTAGTTTCCGGAATTTTGTCAAATACATTTGCTTAGCTCTGTACGGGGCCGATAATGGCGATGCTGGAGACAGCAGCGACTCGACGAGCACGTCCGACTTCACCAGTGATCCAACACACCCGAAGATACCCGCGATGAGATCACAATTACATCTTCAAGTCCACCTACAGAACGAGTCGTCGTTCCTGGCAGTGAACTGAAACTATACCAGCATGACATCCTGACATCTTTTGGAGAGTCCAAGATGCTTACTGATAAATTCATCCGACATTATAAGATCGCCAACATCAGCTCCGTATATTTGCAGAATCCAATAGGCTTTGTTTGTGTCGCACTCATCGTTGAGGCGTTCGGACAGTTGGGATGCTCGCTTAGAACCGCCACGAAGGGGCAGGTCATTAAGCGCGTCAATTATAAGCTTTAACACAGACGGCTAGCCAAATATCTCCACGACTTCTTAGAAACAGAGGCGCGTTTGATCGATGTTCGCAGCTAAAAAATTGTACGCGCTGGCATCGTAGCACTGAAAAGTCAAGCTCTGCTCTACTCAAGGGACTTTTGAAGGACTATCCTGAATGGACAATCGCCCATCAGCTGACACACTATGCTGGGAGAAACTTGAGAGACGTTATACTCGTGTCCGGAGCACTTCCGTCCCATGGCGGTACGGTAAGGACAAATCGCGGGATCACGAACTTGTGGATATTAGAACCCGGTCGAGCATCTCTCGTTCTTGATAAAACCGTGTCAACCGCCGAAAGCTCTTGCCGCGTTCGAGGGCGTCCTACAATGGGTTCCAGTCAACGACGTAGCGTCCTCGCTAGTAGACCTCATATTATATTGTCAAAGCTAAAGAATACTCTGAGACCCTAGCTGTTCAAGGGCCTGTGACTACGGAGGTATCTAGGAGGTATATGTAGGCATGGAAAGACGTTGGATTTCTGTTTCCATGAAGGACTGAGAGTAGGGGGGTGTTATAAAAGACTTGAATGAACTTGTTTAACGTTTGAATTTACACGTCTATAAATATCCGATCTACGTGGAGATTCACACATTACATAATCTTGTATTACTTAGTGCTAGGTAAATCCCGGCCTGTAGCGTTACAATTGAAAATGTATCTAACTTTATCGACAGCTTCCAATTTGCCAGCGCATTTGCATACGACGGTTCAAGCGCCAATTCTAATAAAACAAGAATATCTTGCAATTTGCTAGATAGTCACGGTCACGAATACACCTCATACATGTAGTGCATCCTAGATGTACGCAGGAAAAAGTATTAGTAATAGTGGACGTGGGTTCCATTGAACATTCAAGGTTCAGAAGCAGGCTACCTTACGCGCTCAGGTATCAGGAACGTTGAATCGGCTGTGATACGGATAGGTTCACAGGTATCCGGTACTTAACCGGAGTGGCCTAGACACTAAATACTACGTAGCGCTTTAAAGGGTATAAGTGGGCAAGTGATAACAGAGATAGGTAGATAGACGAATTGCTATGATGCTCAGCCTTGCAAATTTCTTTCTTCAAATTTTCTTCATTCTTTGAATCGCCTTCTGCTGGTCGGCTTGAAATTTTTAGAGACGTTAGTTTCCCTAGGTGAATCAGGAACATCGAATCTTTGTAAGCGACATAAGGTACCTACAAGGCACCGGGGGAAACTTTTCGTTAGAGTTTGGAAGGGACGAACCTTACGCAGGACTGCCCCGCCAAATATTTTCCTACCCACTTTACCTTCTACGCCGTAGGTAATCTGGAATCTTCAAAGTTCCCAAAAGAAACACCAACCAATCCACTTCATCTCACCCTACATCTTCGACCATGGCTTCACCAGGGCCAGATGCAAATGGCGACGATGTTGATTTGTACGGTGAGTAATCCACTCGTCCCGATCATAACCCTCTACCTAGAACTCATTGCTGACTCTCTACTTCAAGAACTTCTTGGCGTAGATAAGAGCGCAAGCCAAAATGACATAAAGAAGGCATACCGAAAGGTAATTACTTAGCATCCATTGATACATTGGTCCAGTTCGTGCGAAGATATACTAACTCATGTCATTTACTAGCTTGCGCTTCAACATCACCCCGACAAAGTCCCCGAAGAACAGCGAGCAGAGTCCGAAGTCAAGTTCAAGTCTGTTACACAAGCTTACGAGATTCTGCGAGATGAAGACAAGCGTGCTCTATACGACAAACATGGCATGGCTGCATTCGACCCTACACGAGGAGGGGGTATGGGCGAGGAGGTGGATATCAACGACATCCTGGCGCAGATGTTCGGAATGGGAGTGGGCGGCGGCATGGGCGGTCCTGGAGCTGGTCCCAGGAGACCCCGACGTGGCCCTGATGAAGAGTCCAAGTATACCGTCAGCCTGGAAGACCTATACAAGGGCAAGACCGTTAAGTTCGCTGCCAACAAGAACGTCATCTGTGGCAACTGCAAAGGAACCGGTGGTAAAGAGAAGGTGAAGCCTCAGCAGTGCGACCGCTGTAAGGGCCACGGTGCCGTGGAAGCCTTCCGCCAAGTTGGACCTGGCCTAGTCACCCGCGAGACCGCTGTGTGCGATAGGTGTCAGGGATCTGGCAACTACTTCAAGGAGAAGGACCGATGCAAGAAGTGCAAAGGCAAGCGAACCGTACCAGAGACGAAGCCGCTCGAGATCTACATACCCCGTGGCTCACGACAAGGAGAGCGGATCGTGCTAGAGGGCGAAGCTGACCAACACCCCGACCAAACACCCGGCAATCTCGTATTCGTTCTCGAAGAAGAGCCTCACGACGTATTCAACAGGATTGGGAACGACCTGTCCGCCGACCTGGACATTACCGTTGCTGAAGCCTTGTGCGGATTTTCACGTGTCGTCGTCAAGCACCTCGACGGCCGAGGCATTCATATCGACCATCCGCGAGGCAAGGTCCTCCACCCAGGACAGGTGCTCAAGGTGGAGGGAGAGGGTATGCCGCAGAAGCGAGGAGATGCCAAGGGAGACCTCTATCTTATCATCAAGATTGAATTTCCCGAAGATGGATGGCTCAAGGACGACGCCGCGTACGAGTCCCTTCAAAAACTCTTGCCAGGCCCCCCTCCAGAGATCAAGACCGAGGAGGTTGACGAAGTGTCTTATGACGACGATGCCGATATTGACGAGGTATGTTTCATTTCCCACATCTTGCTCGAAAACACGCGATACTAACTCTGTACTAGATGGGTGCGGACTCGGGGGATCCGCGATTTGGAGAAGGCTGGGAGGATGACGATGACGAAGCCGGCGGACAGCCTCAGTGTGCGCAGCAGTAACGAGTTATGAGATATGACCTTTGATTCGGCAGACTGGAAAATTGCCCGACGCAAGCCATAGATTTGTAATGGAACATGGGGTTTCTATAAGTTGGTTTGGTTTTGCCATAAACAAGACACGGCGGGGAATAGTGACAGGATAAGAACAGCAGCAAGGGGTAAATCTTCGTAAGATCTTCTCCTGAGGGATGCTTGACCGGTATATCTCTTTCTCTACACCTCTACGGCAAGTCTTGGTCAGGCAGAACCTTCTAAGGGCCGTCTGCCGTCGATACTCCGTAATTCATAGACCAGACACCTCTCCCTGGGCGAATAGTGTCATCATGAAGACTAGCCAGGGCTAAAATATAGGCAGTGTTATGCCAGGACGTTGCAATTATGTGGCCCATGTGACTCTAAAGACACGAAATAATCAGGATACTGGAAAGTGCTACTTACCTTGAAGTTTTAGGGACATTATATAGATTCTAGAAGCCCTTGGTTGGATTCGAATGAGTAGCAGCCACTTGAGGCTAAAAAGCGGCTGTTGGCATTGTGGCTCGTGCCAAGGAATTCCTCCTTCTTAAAGTCCAAGCCACTTCAACATTTCCTTTCCGCCCCACCTGCCCACCAACTGGCAGGACATTTTTTAAATTTTCGTCCACGTGATCTTGACCACCAGCCCTAACGAAAACCCTTAGCGCAAAAAATCGGGTTCGGCTGTTGTGCCATTGGAAACTTTCGGTCCCTCATTGAATTTTGCGATTGAGACCAGCCAAATCACGATACACCCATCAAGACACCGACAGGAAATCAGTCAAGGTAATTAAACCCCTACTCTTCCGCTGCAAGATTATTTGTCGCAGAAGCACATTATTTATAACTAACATTTCCAAGATGGTTGCCGCAAAGAAGCACGTCCCGATCGTCAAGAAGCGTATGTTCGAATCCGCACCCATTTCCCGACTGGCACGAATCACCCCAGATATGGCAAGAGGGTCTTGATCATGGATTTCTACGATGGGTTTGATTGAATGAGATATTGATGGATTTGTGTATACAGGAACCAAGAGCTTCAACCGCCACCAGAGCGATCGGTTCAAATGCCTTGCCTCCAGCTGGCGAAAGCCCAAGGGTATCGACAACCGAGTCCGACGACGGTTTAGAGGCAACATGACCATGCCCTCGGTATGTCATACCCATTCTTCCTATGGAAATTGGAACCCGGTGATCACGAATAAGATCGGTGTGCTAATACGGTTTCCGCGACTTAGATCGGCTTTGGTTCCAATAAGAAGACTCGTCACATGATGCCCTCCGGCCACAAGGCCTTCCTCGTCAACAACGCCAAGGATGTTGAGCTGTTGTTGATGCACAACCGCACCTTTGCCGCAGAGTACGTTCTCATGTTCCGGGAACTGTAGCTGAGATAGCGGTTCAACCATTCAGATTCAGATTCAGACCAACTGACAACAATCGCAGGATCGCCCACAACGTTTCCTCACGAAAGCGAATCGACATCATCGCGCGCGCTAAGCAACTAGGCGTCAAGGTCACCAACCCGAAGGCCAAGATTACTACGGAGGTTTAAGGCGTTGGCTGGTGTTGAAGGTGAAAATGAAATGGGGTCCGGTTTCTCGTTTTCGGCAACTATTTGCATGCATGGGAAGGGTTTTGCGCTCTATGGTCTACGGACGGATATTCGAGCTAGCATGTATTTCGTGCTAGGAAATACAACACACCTTCTACGATGACACGTATTATGACTTTTTTTTAAACCCTGGATCGATCACTCCTACGCGATTTCACGTTAGGTTGGGCTGTGAAGGCTCTCCCCCAATCACGGTTTCACACGGCGACGTAATGTACGAGTTACACCGTGACACGTGTAGGAACAGCCTCATGGACAACGCGTTTGATTTTCAACATCATACCGAGGCCCGAAAGATGGCAAAATCTTTTTCTCATCTGACGTTGGACAGATCCGCATTTTATATAATTTCCGAGGATACATCTCTTAATTTGGTAACTTTCAAAAACCCATTTTCTGCTACCATTTTCGATCATCGATAAGAGGAAGCAAGGGTAAGGTCTGTTTCTGTTAATACTTAGGTTGGGCAGTTCCAGTGACAGTCCCTTTATTCCACTAATTCTCGACAATAAGAGATCCGAAATTTAGAAAGGGGTCAGGGCGCCAAGGGCGAGGACAATTGTGATCAAGAAGAGTGTGATTAAGAAGAGTGATAGGTAATTACGTCCGGTTCGTATTCTCCGAAATTCTCCTTTTGAACAAGTATCATACTGCAGAATCGTAGGTACATTCTCTCATATCTGTACCAAGACAGAACGAGAAAAGCAATGTGTACAAGGTACTCTTGCTCCATCAAAGAGACTTGAGAGCTCTTCTCCTACCTTCATCCATCAATCTCCCCAGAGCTCTATGATATCTGAACCATATCCTTAGGTAGATACCTAACGACTCTCAATAATCTATTCAATATTTTCTCTTGCTTTCTACGCATATAACACTAAAATAAAGTTGTCTTCAACGCTCAGGTAGACTCTACCATCTTCCGCGCGCACAGTTTCCAAGAAACGAACAAAAAGGGGCTGATAAAACCAGGTCAAAGCCAACTATTCCAGAAAACGACGAGATCATTCTATATCGTCGTCCGATGAGTCAGAAGTGAGCAGTGTGTCGACTTCTGGTAAACCGAGTTCTCGACATAGTTAAAAGCGCCCTTTGTCTGGTGAACGGAGCTGCTTTACCTAGCAAATTGCTTCTACCTTGACCTTGGTCTGTGCGACAGCTATATACCACGACATACTGTATCTACCTAGGCAGAATATCAGTCATCAGGAGTATTAAGCTATGGCGGCTTTGTCTTGCAAGCACAGTACGATCTTGACACTTCTTCGTCATTGCCTTAGGTTTTAACAAGATTTTCAGATATCCACCTATCGAACACTTCCAGTCCAATGCCTTCGTTTTCATCCCATCTTTCAGACCCGACAAGATCAATGCCAGCAAACTTCTACTTCTCCGGTTCCAGTGCTCACTCCAACCAAGAGCCGTCCGAATCATCCCAACCAAGGTGTCCATACTCTAAGGTGTATTTGAGAGAGGAAAACCTTACATCACAGATTCTCAGACGTATCTTCAATATCCCTCGTCCCCTTCCTTCCCGCAAATCTTCTCGACTCTCTCATCTACAAGTTCTGAAGAAACCTCGCAAACTGTTATCCGCCATTCAGCCTGGTAAAAACAAACTCGCCAAACCAGCTACCGCCTTTCGAACGGGGAGGAAAGAATCTGCAACGAATTTCGCGCCTTGTTCAAAACTTGATATGACATCCAAACACAGCATCGTCGCCTGTGTGGGTGTCTCCTCACGACCTATCACTGTTGTCGCTACCTCGTATGCCGTTGACGGTCAACTCCGAAACAAAGTTATCGCGGGCAAGAAACGCAGCTACAATGTCGATTTTCCCGACGAGGGAGTCTTCGTAATCTATCGAAACCGAGCTCTACAGATCGCCGCGCCGCCATGCGACCAAAGGAAATGCAACATCTCGCAGATCTGCCGTTGCCACAATCCTCGCTTATCGACTCAAGGCGCTCTCCTCCACCACCATGCCTCCAAGGGAGGGGCAGTGAGATGGCCGACCTGGAAGCCTTGCAGTCATTGCCTGTTCAACTGGCTCCATCTCTACCAAGCCACAGAAGCGGCGAACAAATTCAACATGAAGTACCTCCAACACCCTCGGTCCCTAACCTTAGCTACATTACACGGCGAGGAAGCTTTCTATTACGACGGCGAAATAGAGGAGCAACACGTTCGTTCCGAGTCCAACGGAAATACGGGCAGATCTACCAACCTCAAATATTCCTGCCCGTCGAACGTTTTCGAGTGGATGACAGACGCCTGGAACGAATTCAGGGAGTGTTCTTGCTGCAACTCCGCCTCCATCACGGCTCTGTCCGACTACGAGAGCGACGCACCAAACGAAGACTATTCCAGCAGCGATCAGGGAAAGCTCGACAATGAATGGGACTGGGACGACCTCGATATCCCATGCAAACGCACGCGTACATCAAGCGTATCCGAGTTCGAAGACTACGACTTCATCGAGGATCTTGTCGACAAGGAATTTCCAAAGCTACGAAAACGCAACGCTGCTAGTATCGACGCTGGCCACCGATCAAAAGCTGAGACGTATTCTTCATCAGTCGACGATGGCGATTCCAGTGTGGAAGATGACGACCCTGCTCCTGTCATCATTCCGCCCAAGAACATGGCCGTTGGACAAGGCCTTCGTACCCCTACACGCCTAACATCGCCTACCCTGATTCCTGCAAGCAATGGGAGCTCAACGACCGTCACTGATTCCCCTTATACGAAATCGCAAAGTTTCTTGGGGACGAAGCGTTCGTACTTCGATGTTGAACGCTCTGAGCAATGCGACACAGACTCCTTCGAGGATCTCTCCCGGGCGAAGCAACGGAAGCTGGATCTCGCCATGCCAGAATACGGAGGTCGATGCCGGCAGGGATTTGTGGCCCATCAGCCGTTCTCCCGGAATTATCTCCTACGAAAGCTTGTCCCCGTCTGAGGGAAGAATGGGAAATGCTGCAGCGAAGAGACGTTGGCTGTATGTATTGGAGCATGATAATATGCGGCTAGATTGCACAGAAGACGCCTTTCGGTTTCTAATTTACTGTTCCATGTTGTCTCGGTTTTCTGGCGTTCCAGAACAAAGATTGCCAGATCTGCCACTCCTAATTATCCTCGATTTTCCACGTCACCACAAGCTGTGCAACTGAACAGCGTGGCGGAGAGCAGAGCACAACTACTACTTTACCACTACTCCTGAAGGGAAACCTGTCTCTTCATACAGATACAACGTATGAACCAACTTCCTCCTGAATACAAGGTCATGATACTAATTTCGAATAGCACCGAAATCTCGCATATCACAACTGGGGTTTCAACGTGGTTTACATCGGTCAGGACGAGATTGTTCCGGGGGGGGGGGGGGGCGACGGATATATGCAAATCCATTCTTCACGGGGGATTAAGGACGATTGCTACCACGCTAAGGTTCATTTGTTGGTTCGATTTTCATTGAACAACTCATAAGAAGATATTCACGTTTCCACGACACTGAGTACTCTGAGATAATTAATTCCTCGTTAAGTGACTATGCTAAGTTAGATGGCTTTGAGAAATGTGAATGGTATACAGGTGAAATATTGTACTGCGCGGATGGAACCAGATTTGAAGAATCATTTTTGACGCCTTGCCGTCACCTCGTCATCTTCCATTCTCTTAACTATTATGGTAGACCCCCTTCATGTTGGTGATTTCCGAAGATGCTTCACAAAAAAAACGTGCGTAGAAAATATCAAAAATATGGCCGAAACAGAATACTTCAATTCGTCACGGTACATTCAATTAATATCCAATTGGATAGTAAGGTAACCGACATATAATATCAAACAAAATTGTTTAGTTCATGATAAAGATTAATCGATTTATGATTTTATGAATGCCCCTAGCTACAGTGCAATAAATGCAATTATTAGTTAGGATATACCTCTTAAGTGCATTTTAAGTTCATCTATGTAAGCGATGGCGCATTCTTATATAGAAACTAAAAGTTTCATCATTTCAACTTTCTTACCTAATCCGTACACCAGCGACGATTTCACGATATGATGACGGAGGGAATCTGCGACTGGCAATGAGCAGTCTTTACATCTTACGCGGTCCTCTGCGCCGGTCTTTACTGGCTCGACCGTCTCATATCCTAAAGAGATACAAATTCTCCGCCCGCGGATCCAAATCCTCAGACATCAAACAAGACACATCGCTTAACCCCCTTGAGCTTAGAGAAAATCATCTCCCCAGGTTTCCAGCTAGGACGCGCTTTGCGCCTTCGCCGACTGGGTACTTACATATTGGCTCGTTGAGGACGGCACTGTATAATTACTTGCTCGCGAAGGCTACTGGGGGTCAATTCATATTAAGGATAGAAGATACCGATCAGGTGGGCTTGAGCAAACCCCTTTTGTCCTTCGGGGTCCAATCCATTCGACATTCTAACGTCTCAGTCGAGAATCGTTCCAGATGCGGAGGAGAGGCTATATGAAGATCTGAAATGGGCTGGTCTAAGTTGGGACGAAGGTTTGTGAACCATGCCCCTCAGGTACATCATTCTCATTCTCACTCATGACCTCTCATAGGTCCCGATGTTGGAGGGCCGTATAAGCCGTATAAGCAGGTAATTTTATTTAACTTTCATTTACTTACCTGCCTAATAGTACTAAACAATTCATAAGTCAGAGAATATTTCTGTGTATTCCAAATATGCGGACCAACTGATGAACGATGGTCACGCGTATCGGTGTTTCTGCTCGCCCGAAGAGCTGGACCAGATGAGGTCAATCAATATACGCCAGGGTAACCCGACCATTTATAACGGCCGCTGTTCACACATCCCGTCCGACGTCTCGGCCCAAAGAGCAGCGGACGGACACGGGCATTGTATACGCTTTAAGCGTGAGTCTCTCCCTATAAGAAGTGATACGATAAGAGATCTTGTGTACGGGAACGCTATAAGCATTCGGCCGGACGATGATTTTATTCTCATCAAGCAGGATGGATATCCTACTTATCACTTCGCCAACGTCATCGATGACCATCGGATGAAAATCACGCACGTGGTTCGAGGAGCAGTAAGTCTGGCATCTACATTGCGTGTCTCTCTGGGGGCCATAAATGGCTAATAAATATAACTAAAGGAATGGCTCATATCCACACCGAAACACATAGCCCTCTATCGGGCATTCGGATGGGACATCCCTATATTCGCACATGTCGGACTCCTTACGAATAAGCAAGGACAGAAGCTTAGCAAGCGCCACGGCGACGTCGAGATCGCCTCTTGGAGAGATCGCGGGTACCTACCCATCACGCTGCTGAACTACGTCTTGTTTCTGGGCTGGAGCACGGGCAAGGGCGTCGAAGGTCAGAGCCAAGTCTTTGACTTGGAAGAGATGGTTAACAAAGTAAGCGTACTACTTTACACCTTCTAATCTACCACGCGCTCTACGGAGGCCTCAAAACACTGACAGACACACAGTTCCATCTCAACTTCACCAAAGGCAACATCATCGTCAACGAAAAATACGATTTCCTTCAGAAGGGCCACTTGCAGCGCCTCCTGAGCTACAGCCCCGATAAGTTCTGCGACATAGTAGAACCGGGGATCATAGCACAGATCGAAGAATACGAACAGCAGCGTAAGGATCCCAGGCTCGAACCCGACAAGATACCTGCTCAGCTTGGGCGCATAATACCGCCTGCCAAAGCTCCCCCCTTTTCTGGTGGCACGGTATCCAAAAGCTACATCAGGAAAATCGTAGAGGCCGACGCCAAAAACTACAAAACCGCCGAGTTGTTCGTCGAGCGGATCCGATACCTCATCTGGGAGGTACCTTTACCCATCTACGTCGAGGCTTACAAGGAGAGCATAGCCAACCGCACACTACACTTCGTAGAACAAGAGATCGCGCCTGCGAACGACGACGGTACATTAACCGAGTTTACCGAGTTTACCGAGTTTACGGACACCCGCGTCAACCTCTCCTTCCTCACGTCCAAGCTGCTAGATCGGCTAAACGCCATCCCAGAAGAGGAGTGGACCGTACAAGGCATCCAGACGGCCCTCAAGCCCCTCATCCAATCCGTGTTCTCCGTCGCAAAGATCGAGACCAAGCCCGGCGGCGCGCAGGCAGCCGGCATCCAGACGGCCCTCAAGCCCCTCATCCAATCCGTGTTCTCCGTCGCAGAGATCGAGACCAAGCCCGGCGGCGCGCAGGCAGCCGGCATCCAGACGGCCCTCAAGCCCCTCATCCAATCCATGTTCTCCGTCGCAGAGATCGAGACCAAGCCCGGCGGCGCGCAGGCAGCCAACATCCAGTGCTGGGGCTGGTATCTCCTGCGCTGGGCCTTGACGGGAATGAAGAGCGGGCCCAGGTTGGTACAGAGCATGGTGCTCATGGGCAGGGCGGACACGATCAAGCGTATAGAGGTCGCGCTTAAGGTCGCCAAGAGGCTTGACGGTGATGAGGCGGGGGATACGCCGGATTGAACTTTCGACGCCGGAATCAGAGGAGACGAAATTGTAGCTAGGATAAATCGCTACGGTCTATGATCCACGACGCCGCTGGCCTCAAGCAGACGAGAATCACGTGAAAAAATGTATGAAGCCCATTGTACGTATATGGATGTATTAAACATCAAGCATCATGCGTACTTCTGTATTGATTACCCCTTTTTTAATGAAATCTCAGCCCATCCGAAAATAAATGATAACGCCGTCCTAATGCTTCGTATCTCATGAAAGGGGGTGCTGTCTACAGAAAACACCTGATGTCTGATCCCCCGTCTATCCTCATCTACTTATGTAACATACGCGTATTCACGTCATCGTTACCGTCGTCGGCGCAGCAGTATCCGCAGCAGCATCACCACCCAACCCATTAAAAATCTTAGCCTTCACCTCGACCGCCATAAGCCCCTGCTTCTCATTCATCGTAACCAAGTGGCTCGTACGAGCCAACTTGTCAATCTCCTGATCGATCGCCCCCTTTCCTCCTCCAGCGCCTCCACCTCCACTTCCGCCGTGTAATCCCATGCCGCCTCCGCGGGCCGCGCGCTGGTACGACGCGGTCGTGTCGCGGATCTTGGAGCCCAGGTCGAGCAGGGTCTTATTTCCGTAGTCGCGGTTCGTCAGCAGCGGGTTCTGCGCCAGCGTCTGCACCCAGTACTTGCTCCACAGCAGATCGAGCAGGCTCGAGTCGAGCGTGGACTTGAAGTGCGACACCTCCAGGCTATAGTACCGGCTCGCGTGGGCGCCGAAGTCCTCGGCTTTAGCCAGAGGGACGGCGGCGGAACCACCAGCGCCACTAGAAGAAGGAGATGAGGAGGAGGGGGAGGTGGGGGATGGGGAAGAGGGCTTGTAGTCGGCGGGATAGGTCCGGAAGGCGCCGATCTCGACGCGGCCGGCGCTGATGGTGCGGTCGGGGTCGATGACGACGGCGACGAAGGGGTCGTTGAACTGCTGCTGCATGCTCTGGGTGCCGACGTCGATGCCGGACAGCCAGCAGCCGTAGCCCGGGTGGCTGTGGTACCAGCCCACCGGGTTCTCCTGGCGGCTGCCCTGGGCCCGGCACAGGCCCAGGTACGAGACCATGTACTCGAGCGCGTCGTCCTGCGCGTTGACGCGCGTCTCGGTGCCCTCGACGGGCAAGCCGAAGGCGTCCGTTACTACGATCGTGTCCCCGTCCGTGTACCCCTGCATGATGCCCATGATCTCGATGGAGCCGCCGGACCGCGCGTGCATGACCATCTTGATCAGCGCGACGGCGCTGATGCGCACGTGCTGGAAGTGGTGCGGGTTCTCCTTCCAGGGTTTCGCGGAGTTGATCTCCGTCTGCCGGTCGTTGTCGTAGTCGTACAGGGCGTCGCGCGTCGGGTCAACGAGCTTGATGTCGTTGTCCAGCTCTGGCGGGGCAGAGGTTTGTTAGTGTGCGCTTTTACTTCGTACGTTTCTGCAGTTTTGGCGGTGTTTTATGTAGATGTACTTACCCCATGATTTCATAGCCACCTCCATTTTGGCGACCTTTTCTCGTGAACTTGTTTTTTGTCGACAGTAGGAAGGTTGGAGGTGTTTGTGAAGTTGTAAGTTGATGAATTACTTGAGGTGATAGGTAGGAGGTAGGCAGAGGTCAACGTGGGGTGAAGCTTCGATAAGATAAGGTTAAGCTATTTATTGCATAACAAGATCTCATGGAGGCTAATTGCATATACCCCACAATCTAATTCCTTATCGATAAAGCCTCAAATTTCGAGCCTTGTCGGGGATCCACTTCTCGTTAATCGCCAATATCCAAGATCACGATTCTGTTTTCTAGGTGGAGGGGAAATAGCAATCGTCACAACATGTCACGATCAATAGCGCGGCCAATACGGCAGGCGCTGCTTAAGCCCTTGGTATGCTTCGCTTTCTAAACAAATTATGTGTTGTTTAGCTTACATCTTGAAAGGCCCAACCATCGCGAAATGCCTTAATACCTTGCGTAGGCATCCGGTCACTAGCATCTGTGTACGCCCTCATTCGCAATGTGATCCCTTTACGCTGTTCAAGAGAAACCTAACTAGCTCATAGATCTTACCGTGCACCGGGCTCCGAGTCATCTACGTCCCCCGAATCCCTCAAATCTCCCGAATCACAATCCGGGCCTCCTCAATATGTGTATGGACATAGTCTTAGTGGCTAGATATGCGATTGCTTACGCAAATCACAGGAACGAGCTCCCGGACCCTCGGGAAGAGAATGAAGTCCGACTTCCTAGGGCAGTTCAAGCCCTCTACCTCCAACCGCTACGAAGAGAAGCCGAATACGGCGTACCCTCGTGCGATCTACAATTGCGATCCTTCAGTATTCCCAACCTCGAGTTCTTCTGCGACTTTGCGTTGCGAGCCGCATACTATCTGAATCTCCCGGCTTTTGGGCCGGTACCTTTACCCAAGATCATAGAGAGATGGACTGTTCCGAGGAGTCATTTCATCTTCAAGAAGTCGCAGGAGAACTTTGAGAGAATCACGAGGAGGAGATTGATCCAGATCAGAGACGGACATCCGGAGACGGTGCAGATCTGGCTGGCTTATCTGCAGAAGCACGCGTACTATGGAATTGGTATGAAAGCAAACGTCTGGGAGTTTACAGGACTAAGTAGGTTTATGCTGCTGAACTCACGACGTTGTCATTGGCTAACTTAGATGCGCAGATCCCGGTAAGCAAATGGATGATCAGGCTAAGTCGTTACAAGAGATTGTGAACCAGAAGATGGCGCACTTTGGAAGAGACAAGACTCTGGGTACGGTAGAGAAGGTCAAGGAATTATTGGCAAGCGAGAGATTCAAGCACACGGCTTAGATGTGTTGTCTCTGTCCGCCTGTACATTGATGTCAATAATTGACCATTGTAACATACAATTGACTGTGTACCAACGCTTTAATGTCTTCATGTGCTTCGAAAACCCCTGATTATCTAATAACATGAAGTATAACCTTTCCAATATAGAATTATGAAAAAAGGGTGAAATAGAGGCCTCTGATTGGTCAGGACTTCAAATCGTCCCATTTAAGAATATTTTCACTTCTCGGACTTAACATCTTCAATAACGAAGTAAACCACAAGACATCGCACTTCATATAGAAAAACTTGTAGATGAAATTAGAGCTGTAAGAAACCAAGTCAATCCATATAAAATATTAAAAATGTATTCTTGCTAATTAGTCATCTAGTGATAGACTTCCGTTCTCTCATAGAGGAAGGAACGTCAACTCTCTAAATTATACAATTACTTCATCATAAGCTGTTAAAAGGCTTAAGTGTCAGAGTAGATGCGCTCAACACTTTGTGCCCGCTGTAGGCCCCTATTTGGCCAGGCAAGGAGACATATTTTCCGCCCAATTTCCCAGCAACAGAGGCGCAGTGAGTCTACTAGTAGCAGCGACGCTACCAATGGGCAACAAGAGGTGACGCAGAAGAAAAAGAGAAATGTCGTCTTCTCAGGGATCCAACCCACCGGCATACCGCACCTAGGAAACTATCTAGGGGCACTGCGGCAGTGGAAACAGCGACAAGACGACGTAGAGGCGTCAGGGTCAGGGGATAAGCTGCTCTTCTCGGTCGTGGATCTTCACGCCATCACCGTGCCACAGGATGCCCCTGCGCTCCGCTTACAACGTCGCGAGATGATGGCCGCGCTGCTAGCCATCGGACTCGACCCGGAGAAGGGGTCGACTATTTTCTTTCAGAGCTCCGTACCCCAGCACACCGAGCTTATGTGGATTCTCAGCTGCACGGCTTCGATGGGGTACTTGGGCCGGATGACACAATGGAAGGTGTGCTTGCTCTCCCTTTTTGATATCATGTCAAGATTACTACGAACAGAGAATGAGATATAAGAAAAGAATCTAACGTAGCCGCGCAGAGCAAACTCGCGGCTCACAACCACGCAGCCGACCTCGTCGAGCTAGCCAAGACGAACCTCAAACTAGGCCTGTTCTCGTACCCCGTGCTGCAGGCGGCAGACGTGCTGGTGCACCGAGCGACCCACGTCCCCGTCGGCGAGGACCAGCGGCAGCACCTCGAGTTCGCGCGGGAGTGCGCCACCAACTTCAACCACACCTTCGCGAACATCCTCGTCCCGCCCGAGACCGTGACCAGTGCGTTTCTCTCCTTTCTCCTCTCCCGCTTCCCCTGTTCCCCCTTACCCCTTCTTCCTCCTCTCCATACCTCAACAAATCAAATCTAGAAAACTAACCTAACTAACCAAACCCTCCCAGCCCCCTCACCACGCGTAATGTCCCTAACCCACCCCACAAACAAAATGTCCAAATCAACCCCCAACCACCGCTCGCGAATCCTCATAACCTCGCCCGAGTCCGAGATCCGCGCCCGCGTGTCCGGCGCCGTCACCGACAGCGAGCCGGGCCCCATAACCTACGAGCCGGAGCGGCGCCCCGGCGTCGCGAACCTGTTATCTCTGCTCTCGCAGCTCGGCCCCTCCAGCACCAGGAACCGAGGACAGCGCACCATTACCCCGCAGGAGCTGGCGAACGAGTTCGCGGGCCTCTCGCTGAAGGACCTGAAGAGCGCGGTCGCGGACGCGGTCGTGGCCGAGCTGGCCGGTGTCAGGGAGCGGTTCGACGAGTTCCTGTACCGCAAGGGCGGGAAGTGGATCGATGAGATCGAGGCCGAGGGCGCGGAGGCGGCGCGGCAGAGCGCCGAGGCGACGATGAAGTTGGTCAGGCATGCCGTGGGTTTGGGGTCGCGGACGAGTTAGAACTGCGTGTGTGTGGTTCGATTTCAACGTAACTACATACCCACCCACCTCTCTAAGTAACTTGTAATATAGGTAGTTAACACTATACAGAAATTAGACGATGAGAGCACATTAAACATGGCATATCACGGTTGTATCACTATTGTAGTTCCGTAAACGATCAGATTTGCGCACTATTTTTTTCCGGTCCCGTATCTAGACGGTAGGTAGCTACATCTCATCCAGCCTTAAACAGCCACAAATGCCATCCATGACCTAGCTCTCATGACGCATATGCAAAATTCGATCCTCTGCAAGCCAACCAGAAGTTTCGGACGACTTGATTCGTTGCGCGTTGACCTCGGAGCCTACGTGGAAACATTAGTTACGGTATTTCAGTATAATAGACAAAACAAAGACTTACATGATGACCTTCTTGAGGAATAGTTCCTTATCCTCTACGGATACTTTGTCGCTGGGGAATGCTGGATCTTGCAGAGCCGCCTCTAACCACTGACGAGACTGGGCATGTTGCACTACTAACTTCTTCAGCGGATCGCTGAGTTTGTCCAATTCACTTCTTGCCGCTTTGCCTCCTATGTTCTGGATAAGTGATTCGGCGAGTTTAGGACCTAGATAGGTTATCGCATTGTTGACAATGTTCTGCGTATTTTGATCATCCGTCGTGAGCGTAATGAAGGTGGTCTAATAAGTCGGTAGGTAGTTAGTGTCATTCCCTAATAATGAGGAATGGGATATATAACCAACCCAGAATTCTGCTGCTTCTTGCTTCGGCAATGGTTCATTCCCGTTTAGCAGCTTAAAAGCGAACATGAAGAGAAACTCAAGCATGTCCGATGGTTGAGACATCAGTATCTCCGGGCGTCTAACCATTACTCTGTGAGCAAATTCTAGACCGTACTGGGATAGTTCGGGGTCTTGCTCAGGCTCTGCATCCCTATTAGTGATCTATCACAAGTGATAAAAATGCGACACAAACAAGGAAATTGCTACAAAATATTAGAATGACAACTCACCTGAGAGCTGATGCAATAGGCTGAAAACCCAAGGCAATAGCTGCCCAAGGACCTCTCCAACGTATCCTTTTTGGTTTCCACTACACAAAGATGTCACAAACACGCTTGCCGTGTTTACTACCGTGGCAACACGATGGTTCCATCTGCTAATGATGAATTCGGTCACCATCCGTGGAGGAAATACGAACGGGCCTGGCTCTGATTCAGAAAATCCAGCGCGGATAATACTGCAAGTGACATCAACGATTTCGCTGTTGCTCGAAAACGTTTCCTTAAGACGAACGAGGAGATTCTGTGAAAAAGTCAGCGATACATCTTCTGCCACAGTACTCAGAAAGCAGTTGGGGGTTCAGCGAGTACTCACCATGATGTCAACTTGTATCTGGTTCAAATCCGTACTAGCGGGTGCTTGAGCATCTCCATCGCTAGCCTCTAGGTCAACAGGAGCTTCCGTAGGCGATTGAAGCCCCTTTGCGATACTACTCAGGCAACGAAGAGCTCGGATGGCTAATTGCAGCGAGACTTCCGACGTTGGAACATCCTCTACAGGTCGTTGCGCTAAGTCATACGCCCTCACTAACGACTGTGTCATGTTAGAAGCTAATACATCAATCGAGGCAAACCTTCTCGAAATTTAGTTCGCAAGAAACTTACCGGGTTATCGGGAGGCAGAACAGATCCTTCAGGATAGGCTGAGAGCTGCAAACTGACGTTGACATCCATGCCGACCATCGTCAGCAAGCGTTGGAAGGCACTCGCCTGGCGGGCGTCCCCAGCCATCGCCTGTATGATAGATGCGATGGCGCCCACGACTCTTTCCTCTGCTAGCGAATCGAGCTCATGACTGCGCAACGCCCCATATTGCTCTAGGAAAGCATCCACCTCCGGTGTCAAGAGGACCCGACAGGAAGAGCAGAGCGTATAAATCGACTTAGAAGAAGGTACTGCGAGATACTTATCTCCGACAGCACTGAAAAGTAGATTTAAGGCAGCCGGTAGGAACTCCGCGTGATTACTGAAGTAATCCGAGAAGCGTTCGATAAGGGAGAGGCACGTCTGCCTCGCACGGACGGGCACCACGTTCTGACCCTGACGCAACAGCTCAAATAGGGGGGAGCCGAATACCTTGGTCAGTATGTCATCGCACGATGTTCCATCCGATACACAGTCGGATAGGGCACCGAGGCAGAAGGCAGCCGCCTCGAGCTCCGCCCAGGACGATCTTGGCAACGCCTCTAATAGATGTTCTGCAAACATAGAGACTAATTGTTTGCCTATTATGGTGTAAACAGATTGCATGAAATCCGCGACATCCTTTCTCGCGTCAGAAAATGCAACCCGTTCTGTGGAGTCCCAGGAGTTGTAGATGGCAATGGGAGGGTATTGTATCTTTCGCCAACTCTCCGACACAGCCTGCATAATCTGCCATACGGGCGGCTTATCCCATTGAAGTTTATGCGTCGACTCAGCTTCGTAGAGGGTATCCAGCAGATTTTCGACGAAGGATCCCATGTATTCAAGAGCCGGGACGAATATTTTGTTATCTACGCCAGGATATCCTTTGGCCGTCAGCAGACCGGCGATACTGGTAAGGAAGCGTTGAGCTCTTTCATTAGTCGCGTCCATCATTTCGACTACTTGGGCATTAGCAAAAGCCAGCATAAACACGCCAAACTGAGCCTCATCATCGTCTGCATCGTCGTTTTCGACTAAGAGACGATATTTATTTTGACCCCATTCGCTCTCAAAGACGGAATACAGAGATTCGATATGGTCCGAAAGCAGAAATGGGTGCCAATCTTCTAAGATGAACGTAAGAAGGTCAACCGCAACCTCGTATAATTCTTCGTGAGGAAGGCAGTTGATGACAGGGTGAATAAGCGTACGAAGTTGCTGGACTAATGTCTGGTTTGGAAGACGCTGACCATATTGAAGCCAGGCTAACAAGCAACCTATGGAATCTTCAGGGTGGGTATTTTGCTCGCTAACAGGCTTGATACCATGGGCCAGAAACGCCGCAACGTCACCAGCATTGTCCAACAGTCGCTGATGAAGGGGAAGATACTTGGTGGACTTGGTGTCAATTTTCTCCGCCTCGTTGGCCAGAAATCGGGCAAACCAAGTAATTGCATAGAAATTTTCAATTTCTAAAGACTGGACCACACTTCCAAAGGGAGAAGTGTCATCAATACCATCGATGGGTACACTTGCGCGTTTGTCAAGGCTGCATGAAAGATGGCGTATGCATTTAGACCACGTATGGGAATAGTGAACGAAGTACGTGACTAGAGTGCTGCAGATCTTCTTCACGACAAAGCCAGCTGTACCATCTCTTAAAGAAGTGACAAGAAAGGAGATAAGCTTGTTTAGCACTGAAACCGCATCCTCGTCAGACAAACTAGAGGCAAGTAAGCTATGTAAGTTCCAGGCAGTTTGACAGTTTGATGGACAAATACCTTTCGGTATTTAATTTCACGGTAAAGGTCAAGGCACCGAAGAACTTGACATTGTCGTTAGGTCGACTAAGAAGGCCATCCGCAAGCTGCCATCCTCCCGGGGATTTCTGGAGATTCTGAAGAATTTCCTGGATGCGGGAGATGGTCTGAGGGGGGTTTGGCTTGTACAACTCGTGAACCAACTAATAAGATGTCAGCGCCATAATTCTAAGATATTTGTCCAAGGTAGCATTAGAGATAAACTATATCCGTAGATGTATATTTCCAGAATAAGACCCCTAAGAATAAAGCACACTTGAGTCCGTAGTCGATGCTCATTACCATCCTGGAGGGCTGGTAACAATAGGAGCCTCGAGATAGCACAACTTACATTCTCAGCTTCAGGTAGAGTAATTGTGGGAATAGATATTTCCTCCATGGCGGTGTTTGCTTCCATGGCCATGGGGTATCTCATCCATATCGAGAGTTAGGAGGCTAGGTATAAATTTGAAAGGTGAAATTAAATATTGGTAGATCGTTGATGCATGAATCAGTATTATCAGATGGTAAATATTTATTAAGGCTGTAGATGTCGTTCAAAAGAAAAGGTGGTGAATCGAATGAGGCTAAACAGACGTGGTCAAGTTTCACCTCAAACTCAGTCTGTCACTATTAATACTTAGCAACTTAAGAAAGGTAGGTAAGTACGATCGTATAAGCAAGCAGTGATACCACCAAAGTGTACGGTGTATGTACTACAAACCGTGTGTACTCGGAGCAATGACTTCGAGTGATTGGAATTCGCTACCGGTGCTCCAAACGTCATTCCCGAAACTCACAGCTTTCAGTGCCCAATTTTGATGGTGGGGTGGAGCGTTGCCGGCCACACTTGGAAAGCGCTGTGTACCGTCGCGTGAGCAATCTCTAAGTACATATTTAAGTGTCACAAAACATAAATACGCTAGAGATATCAGGAAATTCTCCGAGGTTCGCCCAAATTTGCTGCGCACTGTTGCAAAATTGTTTAATTGGAAAGTACCGCACAAAGCTAGGGTACTTTAGAAATACACCTCATCCACCCCACCAAGGTTCTTCAAATGCCGTTGAGCGGCAGCCACTTCCAGACTTCATCCCACTTTCTTGTGCTACGTGCGTATTGCTGAGGTCTAATAAATCTTGAATCTTACAAGTTAACCTTCAAGTTCGATTCTCTTCAAGATTAAGACATACACATTGATAGTTAGATATTCAGTCTGCTTCCAATGGATATATTTCCTTGATATAGATTAGGGACTTTTGGGATTCATCTGGGCTATTCACGCCCAAGCTTACAAGCTTCGTCGGCTTCCCTGACCGGGTTAGGATTAGATCACAACAGTTAGCCTACGCGCTGATCGCTTAACGCCATCGATATCGTCACGGCTACTACTGATGAGATATACCTCACCCCTATCCACACTGTCTATGACTCCGAGGATTGCTCTCTCTTCCATTTCTGTCATACCCAAACTTGGATCTCGACTGTGGAACGTCAGGGCTTCGCCAACGATACTACGTCCTATTTTCCGATTTCAGAGCACAGTGGTTGCTATCAAGATGGAGAAGGTCGACACCACCGCTCGCCTTTCTAAGCTACGCGAGCTTATGAAAGAGCGCGAGGTTGATGTATACAGTAAGCTAGTCTACATGTTCTAAACAGGATGTTCTAGATAGATAATCTTAAATCAAGCTTTGGTAACTAACATTTATACCTAGTCATCCCTTCCGAGGATAGTCATGCGTCTGAGTATATTGCACCAGCCGATGCTCGTCGCGCTTTCATCTCAGGCTTCACCGGTTCGGCAGGCTGTGCTGTCGTCACTCATGAGAAGGCCGCTCTGGCCACGGATGGCCGTTACTTCAACCAAGCTTCCCAGCAGCTTGACAGCAACTGGATACTCTTGAAGCAAGGACTCTTAGACGTTCCAACCTGGCAAGAATGGTCTGCGGACCAGGCTGCCGGTGGTAAAGTCGTGGCTGTGGATCCGACTTTGCTAACAAGCGGTGCCGCCAAGAAGCTCTCGGAGAAGATCAAAAAGGGCGGGGGAAAGGAACTGGCAGCCGTCGAGGGAAACTTGGTTGACATAGTGTGGGGAGAGGACAGACCGCCTCAGCCAGAAGAGCCTATAATAGTTCTCGGTGAGAAGTTTACCGGAAAGGATGTGAAGACTAAGCTTAGCGAGCTTCGAACGGAGCTTAAGAAGAAGAAATCGCTCGGCTTCGTGGTCTCGATGCTCGACGAGATCGCATGGCTCTTCAATCTTCGAGGAAACGATATCCCCTATAACCCGGTCTTCTTCTCGTACGCCATCATCACTGCCGATGACGCTACCTTATACGTCAATTCTTCCAAATTAGGCGCCGAGTGTCAATCCTACCTTGAAGAGAACGGCGTTTCTATTAAGCCGTACAAGGACATATTCAACGATGCTTCTGCCCTTCGCGAATCGGCAGAGGCGCGGAAGAATGGCGAAGGTGGCGAGAACAAGAAATTCTTGATCTCAAACAAGGCTTCGTGGGCCCTGAAGCGAGCGCTCGGTGGAGATGGCATGGTTGAAGAGATCCGAAGTCCTATCGGCGACTCGAAGGCTGTGAAGAACGAGACCGAGCTAGAAGGGATGAGGCAATGCCACATTAGAGACGGCGCCGCCTTAATCGAGTTTTTCGCGTGGCTCGAAGATCAATTAATAGTGCAGAAGGCTACTATTGACGAAGTCGAAGCCGCGGATAAGCTTGAATCTCTGCGCGCGAAACAGAAGGACTTTGTCGGTCTCTCCTTTCCTGCAATCTCATCTACGGGGCCGAAGTAAGTCTACCAGACCCTTGGCCACTCCTTCAATCAACTATGCTAATCACCGTATTAGCGCCGCTGTTATCCACTACAAGCCTGAGCGTGGAAGTTGCTCGGTCGTCGACCCCAAGGCAGTCTACCTATGCGATTCCGGAGCCCAGTACCTGGACGGTACTACGGACACGACAAGGACGTTGCATTTCGGCGAGCCTACCGATGCCGAGATCGAAGCCTACACGCTCGTGTTGAAGGGTAACATTGCCTTAGATAGGGCTGTATTCCCCAAGGGAACAACAGGTTTCGCGCTTGATAGTCTTGCGCGCCAATATCTATGGGTATGTCTAATTCTAAACGTTGTTAATTCTTAATTTTGCTTATCTGGAGATTTTAGCAAAATGGACTCGATTACCGTCACGGCACCGGTCACGGAGTCGGGTCGTACTTGAATGTGCACGAAGGACCAATTGGTATTGGTACAAGGGTACAGTACTCGGAGGTCTCCCTATCTCCCGGGAATGTTATCTCCGACGAACCCGGTTATTACGAGGACGGCTCCTTTGGCATACGCATCGAGAACATCGTCATGGTAAAGGAGGTTAACACGAAATACAAGTTCGGCGACAAGCCGTACCTCGGGTTCGAGCACGTCACTATGGTACCTTACTGTCGCAAGCTCATCGACTCTAAGCGTTTGACAGACGCAGAGAAGGAATGGTTGAACGACTACCACGCGGATATATGGAATAAGACGAAGGGCTATTTCGAGAACGACGAAGTAACAACGGCATGGCTCAAGAGGGAAACACAGTCTTTCTAGACAGGGAACTGGTGTTGTCCATTTTCTATAATGCATTGCGTTGGTTGTTACCTTGATTACCTATGGTACTAGAATTGCATGAAAGCAGACATTGCAAAGAATAGCCCAAATGATAACTTAAACGCAGGGTCCTTCTCCAAGGCAGCTAATACCCGTGAATTTCCCACCCGCTGTTTCAATCTCAGCTGCTGTACGATATCGAGGCCGTATCTCGAGGCGATCTGACCAGTATTAGAAGCAAGGACGTGATCAGAGATATTATTGAATACGTACCTGTACAATCACTACTGAGACACCCAGAAGCAGGACCAACGTACGTGAGAATATGCTAATAAGAATTCCGGAAACGAATCCTATAATTTATTAGTCTCGGTCCCAGCTCGAGCTATAAATGACATACCCGTAACGCTACCGCCGGAAAGCTGCTTCAGGAGCTCGGGATTTAATCTCTCTTTGGCAGGAGGGAGGCTACTAATTGGTCGCGGCGTCTCTCTCGCGTCTAGCCGGAGCTTAGGCTGCTTAAACGTTGTCAAGCTCGTGCCTAGGGACAACCCGACGATGCCGGCACCGAGAGCATGCCGCGGCAGGCGGATTCTTCCGAGCAATCTTGCCGACATCTTTAAGAGATAGGTGTTTAGTTTTTGACGATTGAGGTACCAATTGAATTGCTCTAGATTCTTGGGTCTTAGGGTTTTTAGGATGAATGTAAGTATGGATGTAATGAATAATGAAGTTGAACAGATTTGCTTAATAAAAAGGGAGCTTTGGGTGCCTCCTTAGCCATTGACGTCACTAACTACAGCTGTACGTGTATGTGGAAAACGCTGAACACAGCTAACACAACCTTTAGGATCCCTGAACCAATCCGCATGTGCCCCAAAATTCACGGAGTTTTCGGAATAATTAGCTTATGCACGATCTGTTTACATTTCAGCCTCAAGATCCCGTCCTTTTGGCACTTCATAAGTTTTTACTATTATTTCCTCATTGTAATCTAACGAGTTCTAGCTCCATGCGATTCCTGGCACAGTATCGTGGTATCAAAATCGAATGCAAGGCTCAACCATTTCCCCTTAATCGGTTCATTCAACTCCCAAACGCCTACTCACTTTTTCCTAGCCGGCCCAGCTAAACGCCATTCGATGGTATCTCAATCTCCCTGGCAACCCCTTTGTTTTGTACAGGCATCCCGCCATCGCATAGGTGACCAGGAAGTTTCCACCAAACCCCATGCAATTAAACGTCCAATACGAAAAATAGCGAGATAATTTTATGGCCAGACTTGCGCACTCAGCCTAAACCACCCCATACGCCACGTATTCGTCTGGCGAGTTGAATATCCTTTTGCATGATGGTGACTCGCTTTGCATGGATGGCGCATAGATTTGTGTCTTCGAAGAGGTGGACGAGGAAAGCCTCGGCAGATTCTTGGAGCGCCAGGAGAGCTTGCGATTGCCATCGCATACCTTCGTCAGCCGGACGCATTGTTAAAGCTATTTCGCGAACCTATTCCTTTTAATTAGCATTGTTATCCCTGAAACTTTTCCGGTTATATGAAGCGACATACCAATCGGGCAAATGGCATTTTCCGCAAGAGTAGATCAGTGCTGTTCTGTAATCTTCGAATCTCCCTCAGCGCAACGGTTCCGGGCCTGTATCTTCTCTTTCGAGGATAGGGAATTGGATCGCCAGCTAATAATAGGTCAGCTTCATTTCTAAGAGTAAGGAATAGTTCGTAGACATACGTCTTACTGCTCCCGTTCCCGCTCCTCCACCACCTCCCCTTCCACCTCCGCGCCCGCCACGGCCTCCTCGAGCACCACCACGACCTGTCATTATAGTGCAAGAAGTAGGCTTTGTAGGATTAGGTAGTTGTAAAGAAGCCGCTGGAAGCTTCGAATCATTAAATACAGTTATGCGACTTTTATGCGACTTTGTGTAATGTCGAGATGAAGCGCCGAGTCAGAGCGAGTATAGCGTTGGTGGAGTCCGACTATATCGAAGTATGGTTGTAGACAATTGAAAGCTGCTTGTAAAAGAGAACGTAAATGTTCGGTGACATTGAATGGCGAACAATATTAAAAGGAGCGCATTCCCATGAAAGAAAGAAGGAAGAAAGAACCGCACCCGGCCAACGACCCAAAATAATGAGAATGTGCAAATTGGCGGAAAACTAAGTGGCTGGGGCTCTTTCCCATTTCCCGTTTCCCGTTCAATTAGCTCCCAATTCCTATTCAATTGGCGGAACGCGACTGAAGCACGACCCCTCGAGAGACGCGCCCCAGCCATTTCAATTAAAATCCCTGCAACGCGCTAGTAGCATCCCTTAACCTGACTCGACCCCTTGACTAACCCGGAAAGGGAACTACATGTACAAGCCACACCTGTGGCTCAACGAGTTCGCGGCGCAATTGATGATCACGTCATCATCCACGAAAGCGTTGCATATTCATTCATTTATCCGTGAATAATGAGTTAAGCAAGCAATTGATCGCTTGCATCCACCAATCAAATTTGGCCATCGCGACAGGTCCATCAATCCTCCGATAAGGCCAGATTAGCAGTGAAGGTGCTGGTGGGCTGAGCGTTGATCCCGCCATCGCCGCCAACTTCCTACATACAACGTCCCTTCAGCCTTCTGTTTCTCCTTACAGATTCGTACTTTGCGCCCATCACCTATGCATTTGATTTGAACAACACTTACATAGTTTTCATCGAGATTAGGAGTTTACTCAACTAATAGCCAACATGGACCAAATGATGCCGGGAGACGGCGGTCGAAACCCGCTAGAGGCTTGGTTCTGGGAGATGCCGATATGCACACGATGGTGGACGACCGCAACTGTTGTGACAAGTGCGCTGGTCCAATGCCAGATGGTCACCCCATTCCAGCTATTCTATAGCGTGCGCACCGTATTTCAGAAGGGAGAGGTAAGAGAGCAGTCCGAATTTCCCAATGTGAAACCGAGGTGGCCGGTTTACTAACTACTGACTGTGGTAGTACTGGCGATTATTATCCACATTCCTATACTTCGGCCCATTTTCCCTCGATCTCCTATTCCACGTCTACTTTCTCCAGCGCTATGCCCGTCTTCTCGAAGAGTCTTCCGGTCGATCGCCGGCCCACTTCTCGTGGCTCCTGATGTACTCCATGGCCTTCCTCATCGTTCTCTCGCCGATGGTGTCCATGCCGTTCCTCGGACACCCTCTATCATCGACACTGGTCTACATCTGGTCGCGACGCAACCCGAACACCCGGTTGAGTTTCCTGGGCTTAGCTGAATTTACGGCACCTTACCTTCCCTGGGTATTGATGACGTTCAGCCTCGTTATGCACGGGACCGTCCCTAAAGACGAGATCATGGGCGTCGTTATCGGCCACATCTGGTACTTCTTCACTGACGTGTACCCCCCGATGCACAACGGCTCGAGGCCTCTAGATCCGCCGATGTGGTGGCGCCGCCTGTTCGAGCGTAGACAGCAGAGGGAGGACACGGCTAATGCGATCAATAACGAGTTCGCGGTAGCAGGAGGCCCGGAGCTTGCTGCGGCAGAGATGCGATAAACACAGACGGCGACGGACAGGCTCGACGATGGTGCTTACGACTATCATACCCTCATTTATGGCGTTTGGGAGCAGACTTCGATGGCAATCGATTACGGCGGGACTTTTTTGAGGAACAGCACGACGGCGTTTTACGGTTTAGATGTTGAGATGCATGGCGAGACTTGTAACTTTTGTACATACACTTCGAAACGCCTTTCGCAGCTCACGTCTGTTGAACATGGGGTCGTGGAAAGTGTTTCATATGAGCCTTCTCAGCCTTCACAGAAAAGGCTGACTACAAGTTAGACTTTACGAAGTACTACGTACCTAGTAGAATACACACGTCCTTCGCTATTTGGAGATTGATGATACGTGTTTTGACAATTGGTGCGGCAATATTTGTCATATCATTCTCACATTCTGTAGACCGGATGACATTCCTACTTAGTAGGCAGGGTAACTTGATATTGATGTGGATGATATCGCCTCCAAGCCTAGTGACGATCTTCCAGACCCATACTACATAATGAAGGCTTCACCGCAGCCTAAAAGCTCAAGTCACCTGAATACATACCATACAATATTAGTCTCACCGTATCGCTAAGATAATATTGAATATGGAATGGATATGTCACTGTTACAACGAATCTATGGACTAGGAAGCATTGTGCGATAGCCGTTCGATATACCCACATCTAGGGATTACCTACTAGTATCTGTAAGGGGATGAGTAAGCCTGATCCCGCCAGTGAGTTAATAGCCTTTTGTAAACGGCGTGACGTGCGCCGAAGAGAAAGAGCTAGCAACATGGATACCCCGCCAAAGACCCCAAGAAAAAAATGAGCCCGGGCGGCCGACGTCACACCCTTAAGATGCTGGCGCCATCTGGATTCAACCAATTATTAACCGCAAACCTTGCACTCGCTTGGAAGGCGAGACTACTATTAGAAAAGTATTTATATAACAACCTAGAAGCTTCCGTCCATAGCTCAATCTCTTTATTCCCCATCTCCAAGTTAACATCCGTGAATATATCTGGTTTACTACGTTTTGAGTTGACTTGCGCAACAATCCCAATTCAAGATGAGAGCCTACTGGTACGACAACTCTCCCGTAAGTGCCCAGACCGAGAAAAGTGCCCCTCATCACACCATCGCAAGCTATTCTCGCGAAAGCGCTCCCTCGCACTCCTCATGCGCAGCCTCATCCCCTTCAACCCGGAGACATTAGGTATTAACAACAACCACAGGGCGACCAGCGCCTGCCGCACGACTCGGGCAAGGACGTCGACGCCGCCGCGCTAGGGGAGCTGGGCGTGCTGTACTTCAAGTACCCGGAGGTGTCGGCGGTGGACGAGCTGGCGCGCGAGCGCGGGTACAAGAACCGCGACGAGATCACGGTGTCGCCCGAGAAGATGGGCGCCGTGTACGAGGAGAAGGTCAAGTCCTTCTTCCACGAGCACCTGCACGAGGACGAGGAGATCCGGTACATCAGGGACGGCCAGGGCTACTTCGACGTGCGCAGCAAGGGCGACGAGTGGGTCCGCATCCAGCTCGAGAAGGATGATTTGATTATCCTGCCCCCGGGCATTTACCACAGGTTCACTACGGATGAGAGTAACGTATGTTCTTCTGCCGCGTATTTATGATCGCTCGGAGAAAGGTGGGTAGGTTCGTATTGGACTAACATGTGGTTGCAGTACATCCAAGCTATGCGCCTCTTCAAGGATGAGCCCAAGTGGACGCCGCTGAACAGGTCGGGGGAACTGGATGAGAACCAGTTCCGCAAGGAGTACGTTACGCAGTATCTGAGCTAAAATGGTTGGAATGAAATAAGGTGAAGTAAAGGGGTCATGATATGGACGAAAATATTTCTACGGGTGATCTAGCGAATATTGGCGGTAGCAATACTCAAGCTTTGATATGACGGTCCTTTTGTTGATAGAAGTCCCTTAATGATATCATGAAAAAATAATAATTTAGTTTCGCGGTTCTATTATTTAATATCATCATAACTCAAGTGAATTTACACTATCAAACGTGAGGGAATACCATATTCGTCTAAGAGTAGAACTCGATTATATGGATATCTTCATATACTCTGTACCTTACTAGTACGGATGTTGGGCTAGAGCTTTACTATCGGCAGTCCATAGAATCCATAGTTCCATTTTGCGGGGATTATCAATTCGTATACCTAACTCCGCCTACAACCCCATCCACTTCTCTCAATTGCCGAATCCTTAACTAGGGGTTTGCTGAACGATGTCTTCCACCAAGAAAACTCAGAAAATACGAACGAGATCTGCGAAATGACGGACTGTTCATTAAGTGGCAGTTACGGTCACAATAATAATCGAGATCATGGACTCTAGAGCGGTGTCCGAAGTCGCTAACCCGTCGCCGGCCGGAAGCACCACAAGCGTACCTAGGGGGAAATTGCTTCTTCCCGCGAGCTGCGAGCCTCCGTTACCGAACGCGCCTAGGAAGCAGCTTGTATGGATTGTGAGTATTCTTATTATTATAATTTTCCTTTTCATTATTCCTAAGAAACATAATCATTTATACCATGATCGCTTTCACCCGTGCATTATAAGACGTATCTCAAGTTTACCAATGGCTAAATGAATAAACTGTCAAGATCTTCGGCGGCACGGGTCACATGGGCCGCTCGCTCGTAAAATGCGCGCTGGCACGGGGTGATCGTGTCGCGGACGTGGGGCGGACCTTCGAGAGCACGCCGGAGGAGATGGCGAGCCAGGGCGACGACAATTGTCTCGGCCTGCTGTGCGATGTCCGCGCCCGGCAGAGCGTGGCGCAGGTCGTCGAAAAGACTCTCGACCACTTCGGCCGTATCGACGTGGTCGTCAATTGCTCCGGCTACGGCGTCATCGGCGCGTGCGAGGACCAGGACGAGCACGAGATCCGCAACCAGTTCGAGACCAACTTCATGGGCACCCTACACATCATCCAAGCCACGCTCCCTTACTTCCGCCAGCAGAACGGCGGGCGCTACCTCATCTTCAGCTCGACGAGCGGCGCGCTCGGCGTGCCGGGCCTGGGTCCGTACTGCGCGACGAAGTACGCGGTGGAGGGCCTCATCGAAGCGATGCTGTACGAGATCGACTCGTTCAACGTGAAAGCGACGCTCGTGGAGCCCGGGCTAGTGCGCCGCGACGAGCCGGACTCGCAGGAGAACCCGCTGCCGACGTGGGGCCACTTCCTGATCAAGCCGGCGAGCGAGGCGTACGGGCACGCGACGTCGCCGGCGCTGCACGCGAAGCGCATGGTCCAGTGGCTCGGGGACCGGCAGCCGACGAGCGCGGTCAAGTGCGCGGAGCTGGTCTGGCAGCTCGCGCACTGCTCGTACCCGCCGCTGCGGCTCGTGCTCGGCAGCTACGCCATCGAGAGCATCCGCGACCGCCTCCGCTCCGTCACCGAGGAGCTCGAGGACTGGAAGCATTTGAATTACCCGGCGGCGCCCAGCGAGGCCGAGGACGAGAAGAGGGAGAAGGAGAAAGGTGAGGAGGAGAAGGGCGAGAAGGACGATGAGGATGGGGATGAGGCGGGCGAGGGGGTGGAGCAGATGGATACTACGTGATTTATTGTCTAGACTCTACCTACTAGGTACGAAGAGTCTACCTGGCTCAGATGCTGGATTAAAGATGATTTAGGTATTGTCATGGCGGCATGGCACAGACTAGAAATATTTAAATATTCTATGGCTACATAGTAGTATGGCTATGATATGGGCTTTGACGATGAATCTAGACTACTGGACTGCTGGATCAGATCATCCAATTAGACGTAAAAGAAAAGATCTTTGCATTTTCAGGGGTTTGCATGCTTCGCTCATCCATATCAAGGAAGAGGAAAGAGACCCCGATCCCGTCACGATTCGGACGAGAAATAAGGAGAAATAAGCAATATGCAAAGTAATATGCAGATATCAGAGTTGTATGCATTTCGATGTATTGGCCAAAAGACCAATCCGTATATTCTAATTGGCTGAGGAATACGGTATATGGAGGTTTCTAATTTTACCTCGCCAAGAACGGACTAAGATTGCATACCGCCCAAACCATAGAAATCTGAACTGGAAATCTGACATTTACCCTTTCGCCTACCTGGTTTAAATCGCTAAATTCTACCTGCCCTGCCTGTAACGCCTGCCTTACCAGCTTACCTACCTAGCGGTCCTAGCCAAGCAGCCATACCCATGTTAATCCTACGGCAAATTACCCTTGATTAAACTTTGGAGGTAATAAAAATACTTTACACGCGTCTATGAACATTGAGGCTTCTTGACTTTGCAAACCTCTGCAGAGCTTCAATCTCCTTTCTAGGTCTCGTGTTGTCTTCGATTCGAAAGTCCTCTATCGCTTTATCATTTTATCGATTTCTGGGAAGAGGCAAATCTGATTTCTGGATTTTTATGATTCTTGAAGTCGCTCCTGCCAGGTTGTCGCAATCAACGCGTTAGTCGGCTCCACAGCCCCGGGCGCAGCGTCGTAGGTTGCTTTAAACGCTTTAGCTGTTAACAGATAGCACAGATAGCGCCCATTCTTTTTTCTTTTCTTCCCCTGATTTTAGTCAATCCTCCCAGATCTTCCCCTTCTCGCCCTAACCCTCGAATACGATATCGCCAACAAAACAACTTCTCACCCTCCCAATCGCAAAAAGGTTCCAAACTCGAGGCGATCAATATCAACGTTCAACGTCCATCGTCCAACGTCCAACACCGCAATCATGTCGGATAAGAAGAACGAGGATTACGTCGTTCGCATGCCCGACTCGGGGATGCGAAGTCCCTACGGAGGAGAGAAGGATCCGTTCATCCCGCCTCGCCCACTGAGAGCCTCATCTCAGCACAACATTGCCAGCTCCGTGGCCAAGATAGAGAACAGCCCGGCTACGTCCATTCTAGCGTACTGCCTTTCTTCGATTAGTATGACCGTCGTCAACAAATACGTCGTTTCCGGTTCCGAATGGAACTTGAACTTCTTCTACCTCGCAGTTCAGGTACTATATCCCTATATCTTGGCGAAATGGACGACCAGTTTTCTGACAATTGTGCGATAGTCAATCGTTTGTATAGTGACGATCGAGGCCTGCAAGCAATTAGGTTTAATTAAGAACCTTGCACCCTTCGACATAAACAAGGGGAAGCGATGTACGTGTCTAATCATCCGGCTGTCTTGATAGCCTTTCATATACTGACACAGTCACAGGGTTCCCTATCTCTCTTCTCCTGGTCGGTATGATCTACACGAGCACGAAGTCTCTACAATACTTGTCGGTTCCTGTGTATACGATCTTTAAGAACTTGACCATCATCGTCATCGCCTACGGTGAGGTTCTATGGTTCGGCGGAAGCGTCACGCCTTTGGCGCTGCTCTCTTTCGGTCTCATGGTCCTCAGCTCCGTCGTCGCAGCCTGGGCGGACACCCGCAGCGCCGCTCAGACCCCCGAGGCCGCCGCCGCCCTCGCCACCTTGAACGCCGGCTACGCCTGGATGGGACTGAACGTTTTCTGCACGGCTTCCTATGTTCTGGGTATGCGTAAGGTCATTAAGAATATGAACTTCAAGGACTGGGACAGTAAGTCTTAATATTATAAATCGCAGTGTTTTCGTGGTGTACTGACAGTTTGATAGCCATGTTCTATAACAACTTCCTTACCATTCCCGTCCTAATCGTCTGCTCTCTTGTCGCCGAAGATTGGTCCAGCGCGAACTTGACGAAGAACTTCCCGCCGGAGTCCCGGAATGCTCTTTTCATCGGCATGATCTACTCCGGCATGGCTGCCATCTTCATCTCCTACTGCTCTGCGTGGTGCATCCGGGTTACGTCTTCTACCACCTATTCTATGGTCGGCGCTCTCAACAAGCTTCCGATTGCCGTCAGCGGTCTCATTTTCTTTTCTGCGCCCGTTACCGTCGGCAGCGTCTCCGCCATCTTCATCGGTTTCGTCAGCGGTATCGTGTACGCGTGGGCGAAGGTGCGCCAGTCTCAGGTGGCCAAGAACTCGCTGCCGACTACGCAACCTACCATGAGCGCGAGCTCTCAGAGCAACCGCGACGCCGCCAACTCGTAAATAAGGAGCATACGTTACCCTTAGCGAGTCTTGCGGCCGTGCTTCCGGTAGCAAAAGCCGTGGCCGGTTTGAGCCAATGCAATTCTAAACGGGCAGCATGCACTGCGAGACGGTCAAGCGCCTATGCGTCAACGCCCCCATTTCGACCCTTACTACTGTATAATATTTACCCATCCTTTCCGAACAGGTGGTGTGAAATAGAGGGGCGGTTGATTTCAGGTATAGACTTTTTAACTTATAATGAGAAAACGGAGCTTTACGGATATGGGGAAAGTCATTCATCATATTTTGGACGGCGCAAGACAGGAACGAAGACCTCGAGACCTGTTTTGGGGGGTTCGAGGCATCATCATTTCAAGAAATAGCCAGACTCGGGAAAGAGGCCATACGCGGCTTCGGTTCTTGACTATGCGAATCGAGCATGTTGAATCGGTGTTGAAAGGGGGAACAGGCACATCATATATATGAATATGAATATGTGAGCTGTCTATTTTAGCAGTCATAATAAAGAAGCTACAAACACATATATCTGACTGTCTGATATTAATTGCGTTTCTGCTTGATAGATGAAGTGAATAAGCCACTTAATATAGTATGTAGATAATGCAGAACACGTCTGCCGTGCGATGTATGGTTAATTTCGACCTCCTGACTTGATGCTGCGCGTGTCTATAAAGAGGTGTACATATGTACTTGATAAGCATCCCCTTTTATCGTAGCCAGTGAAGCGGGCACATGCCAACTGGCACATGTCCGAGAGTACCCGCTTTTACGGGTGACATCACCGCGCCTCGCACCTCAACATTTTCTATATACCGAGTGCCCAGCAAACCTTAGAAGCTTTAAAGTTTCAAACCATTCAAATTCTCGGGACGAAGCTCTCAGCCTCCCCCCCTTATCTAGCTCTTCTATCGATTTTACGGGCTTGTAACGATTAAAACATATTGCCTATAATGTGTACGATTTGGCCGTAGCCGTGTTTCGCTCCCGCTCCTAAATTCTAAAATTTTATCTTTTTTTTTCCTTTCGAAGAGATTGGACCGTTGCCGACATTCCTGGAGTTATGACAGATACTCGAAATAGACGAATCGCGCGTACACAGGATGCTTCCCTATATCAATAAACGTAGGATTAGAAATAATTGCCGGCAGTAAATACATTGCGCTGACTTGGTATAGCGTTTGAGTTCCTGTCTGGGATCGTTGGAGCTTCTCCCGATGAGCGTAGGTTCTCCCCGACCCGACTCTTCTGCGTGATGATGATGAAGTTGCTAAGATCGCCAATGAATAGTCAAGCTCGTCTTCTCCTTCTTCATATCCTATCCTCTCGCCGGCCTCTTGAAACGTGTCCCAGACGCTCGCCCCGAATATAAAAATGCATTCGTGATCGGGTATGGAGTGAATTGAACCCTTAATAACGTGCCTTTCCTTAAAGCAACTCGGATTGATTAAGATGCTAATCATATTTCCGATAATAGTGGCGGCCTGTTCTATTTAGTAGGCCTATTCTCGTTATGGACCGGCGTCCGAACCCTCTTCATCTCCTCCGCCGTCACGTATGGCCTCGCCCACTACCTACGAACGTCTGCGTACATGCCATGGATCGCCTTTGTCTTCCTCATGGGCCACATGGCCGCGAACCAACTTGCGCGACAGTTCGCCGATAACCCGGCCGGAATCGATATCACGGGTGCCCAGATGGTTCTCGTTATGAAGCTATCCGCCTTCGCCTGGAACGTGGCGGACGGCGCCCTACCCGAGGACCAGCTTAGCGATTTTCAGAAGTCGAGGAGGATACTCGAGCTACCTAGCCTGCTAGACTACGCCGGATACGTGCTATTCTTCCCGTCCCTAATGACCGGTCCGGCGTTCGATTATAACGAGTACCGCGGCTGGCTCGACTGCACCATGTTCGACGTGCCGGCGACCATCGACCCCGCCAAGAGGCCGCCGACTAGGAAGAAGCGGAAGATACCGAGGAGCGCGACGCCGGCCATGTGGAAGCTCGCGAGCGGCTGCGTGTGGATCTACCTCTTCCTCAACCTGATCAAGCACTACAGCTTCGAGGTGCTCCTGGGCGACGAATTCACGCAGCTCGGCTTCCTGCGCCGCGTCTTCGTCATGCACATGGTCGGGCTCACGGCGCGGACCAAGTACTACGGCGTGTGGTCGATGGCGGAAGGGTCGTGCATCCTCGCGGGGCTGGGCTACAACGGCGTCGACCCGGTCACCGGCAAGGTCTCGTGGGACCGGCTGCAGAACATCAACCCCTGGGGCGTCGAGACGGCGCAGAACAGCCGCGCCTACCTCGGCAACTGGAACATGAACACGAACAAGTGGCTGCGCTACTACGTCTACCTGCGCGTGACGCCGCGCAACAGGAAGCCCGGGTTCCGCGCCAGCTTGGCGACCTTCGTGACCAGCGCCTTCTGGCACGGCTTTTACCCCGGGTATTACCTGTCTTTTGTGCTTGCGAGCTTCGTCCAGCAGGCTGCGAAGAGTATGTTACGATTTTCCCTTATTCCCTTTCCCCTTTTTCCCTTTTTGACTATCTTGCCATGTACTATCTTACCGCATACATCTAACAAAAACAACCCAGATTACCGCCGCATCATCCGGCCCTTCTTCCTCGACCCGGTCACGCAAAAGCCGCTCCCGAGCAAGAAGTACTACGACGTGGCGTCGTGGCTCGCGACGCAGACGACCTTCTCGTTCGTCGTGGCCCCCTTCGTCATCCTGCGCTTCGACCAGTCGATCCTCGCGTGGAGCCGCGTCTACTTCTACGCCGTGCTCACCACCGGCGCGAGCATGGCGGTTTTCGCTTCGCCCGCTAAAAAGCAGCTCAGAACGGTGCTGGAGAAGAGGACCAAGGAGGCCGGCGCCGCGAAGATGGTGCGCAGCGCGAGCACGGATAGTCTTACGGGGAGGGGACGGGAGCCCGTGCTCGGCGTTAGCGAGGATCCTGGGAGGGATATTGATGAGGCTATTCGCGAGCTTAGGGTCGAGGTTGAGAGGGCGAGGACGGGGGGGTTGGATGTTGGGGTTAGGGGGAGGGGGCAGGGGAGGAAGGAGCAGTGATTAAGCGTGTGGTCGGGGCTGAAGTTGGGGTTGTAAGTTGAGTTGAGTTTGCATGATTACTTGTGTATGATCACTGAGAGAGGAGAGAACGTAGCTAAAGGAGCTTGAGAATGTGTGAGTTTGAGTCGAGAGACTGACAGACAATTATGGGGTGTAATGCGCGTGCGTATGGCTTGGGATAGGTGCTTAATGAGGTGTAGATTAGATCAGACAAAACGAGACCGGATGAGATGAGAGGGGAGATTCGAGGAGTGTGCGTGTGAGATGTAAATATGAGTAGATGAGAATTGTTAATCTTGGTTGATTTGATGTTAGTTTGATTGTATCTATTGTGGTATCTAAACTCTTCGGGAGTCAGATATTAGGATACTCAGCTTGCTCTTTGGCGACGGTTGATACTAGGTAGTCTTCATCATCCGCCTCAGATACGAGAGTGGTTGAGTACATACTTTGGATGAGTTCTAGCTCCTGGGACATATCTTATGGGTTGATCAGATGCTATATTGGGGAGATTTTGGCTTATATAGTAGTCCTTACTTCACAACTTCCCTCGACGAAGCTATGATGAACTATGAAACTACTGATATCTTCGATTGCCATAGTATTTGTAGTATTGTATCTAGAGTAGCAAACTTCTAGGCTACAATATTTGCGTAATAGAGATATCAATGCCATTATGGAAAATTTACTCCGGCCACCGTTATTTGGGCCGGGGAATCGTTTTCAGAACTTCACGACAATACCTCCATCTATGGAGTCTTCCAAAATGAAGAGCTAACGTATACCTGAAGGTTCAAAGTTTTAGGTTTTAAGACTAGGGTTGAACGTTAGGAAATTGTATATGGAAGAGTAAGTAACGTCCGTAAGAGTTCTAAGGGGGTGGCTTAAGGACATCCATATAATGACAGTATATATAGTAACATAGGTGAGCACACCAAGATCTATCCTAGACAGCCAGCCGATAGAAGCAATGTAAATTAATATAAAGTCGTTTGCTCATTAAATACACTCGAGACGGGCATCTCTGCGGCATGTAGATTTAAGAACTTGTAAATGCTGATAATGAGCTGGCGAGGGGGAGAACTGGGCATGTATATTCACGCCTAGCTATGCTGCAATTTGAAAATTACATCTCTCCTTTAATCTACAACTCTACGAATACGTGGCAGTTATTTTTGACTCTTACGAGGCGGTATTTAATACGGACGTGTCGATATCTTGCTTGATGTAAGGACGGTTGTTAGTCATGCCCATAACTACCCCTTGAAACAGCGGAATGACTTTCAATGGCCTTTTTACCACTTTTAGAACCATGAGAGGAACTCGTTTGCTTACATCGTTTAATATGAGTTGCTGTAATACTCTGCACTGCCAACTCATAAAGTGGGTTACAAGTTGATTGTCGTGACAAGGTTAGCGAGACTTCCTATGAGTTTTATAGCCTAACGAGGCTTGGGATAAAATATGCAAAAGTCTAACATCACACATCACAAATTCTATTAGGACACACGTATATATGTAGTTGCAAAAACTTTTGTTTCGTAAAATCTCGTCATCGCAGGCGTGATGTCATCTGTCTGATGCTGTCGCTAGCTAGAACTAAGCGCGAAGGACATTACCACATTTCAAAAGTGTCGAATAACTTTCTAGATCATCCAAAATTGCTCCGAGATGTTCAAGTGTACGAAGGCAAAAAATCGTCATGTGTCTGCGTCCCCCCGTTCCCCCCTTTCCCTTGCAAGACAGACGTTATGTGGATATCTTCCTATTTCAACTCCTCGTTCAATCAGGAATCGTATCCTTCTCCCCCATTCCTATCCCCCTAAAAAAACTTGGACAAAGTCAATCGACTGTCCCAACAAGAAAGCAAATATATACGCCCGAGGAGACTGCGTCATCAGATTCGGTTCTCCGTTTCGTTGTCCCGACTCCAAGCAAGCAATTTGACTGGGGGTATCATGTCCCATGTGTTCCCATCTATTTTTATACAAAGATACAAGTAAAAGGATTGAATAAAGAGGTGTAAGGTTTAACAATGCGTTTATACAGGCTCAGAATGATAATTCGAAGCGAAAGATGAGGATGTGGGTAGGTGCGTGGACGTGAGCAAATGAAGTACAGTAGATCGTTTAATGAGTATGTGATGAAGTATATGATGAAATAAATGAGGGCAAAGCTTTTGATGGCAGATATAAAAAAGATCGTAGATGCGTAAGAGCGAGAACGTTGCTTTTCGTAGATCCCCATCAAAATGATAAGTGTCGGATGTCGCACCGGAATGTCTAAGGTCGGAGGTGTAAGCCGCATGGCTCGTGAAGTCGTCATTACATATTACGTAGAAAATCGTACAGTCGTTGTTGAAAAGATGAAAATAGAAAAGCTGTTGTGTCGTATGTTCGGAGTTGCGCGCGCGAGCGCCTTCGTCGCCATTATCGTCATTAGTGAGCCCATTTCTGTCGAACGCCTATTATTATCAGAGCGATAACCGCCCCGAGGATTAACAGTCCGGCGACGCCCATGAATCGGTTCACGTTTCTCCACCATCTCGCGCTCTGGTATCGCGAATCATCGACGAGGACATGTCCTCGCGGAGGCTCCCCTGATTCGGAAGCAAATTCGGTCGTGCTTCGATCTCGCTCGTCCATGGCAAGCGTTGGTTTCGGAGGTAGCGGCAGGAACGCTGCAACCATCCATGCTATTACATAGGTTAGTAATTGCGCTATTCATCCACAGCCATATACGACTTACCGAATGGGAATAGAAATCCCGCAACAAACAGGACCACCTGAATATTGCGCCTCCCAAACACGCCGCTGTCGGCAGACCAGGTGACAGAAGGAGCGTTCCAAGCGCTGAAGCCGCTAGCTCGCGTGTCCAGACGAAGGTGAGGTGACCAGATACTCGACGTCTTCTTTCTAGGGGCTAGCCGAACATCGCCAGTCTCGCTAACCGGTTCAATATCCATCGAACCCCGTCGCTGGCCACGAATATCGATGTCCATTGGTCGACGGCGAGGGTTATATATCGTTTGGTCGTGAGCTGGAGAACCGCCACCACCGATCCAAGGGCTTGGAGGGCGACTATCACCTGCTTCGGACATAGACCTGATTGAAGCCGGAGCGAGCCATCGTCTCTCTCCGCTACCGTAATAAAGTCGTGCCCAAGTTGGCAGAGAAGCTGCCGTCAAGCTTCCGGCGCGGGAGCTACCGGACGAGCGGAGACTCCGATCCGAAGCTTGTCTAGAGAAGCCCAAACGAGTTCGAGATGATTTGTGGTCTAATTGGTGGAGATCCGCTAATCCGTCACCGTGTTCGTCATGATCCCGAACAGTACGGATGAGAGGGCTGGGAAGTCCATTTCTCGCATACGAAGGTCCGGGGCGTTCTATGGAGTCGCCCTGGGAATTCGATCTTGAATGAGATCTCGAGTGTGATCTTCGTACATCGATATTTTCTAGGCCCAGCGATGACGATATGCTTCGCATTTGTCGGCTGTCCCTGCTTCCGAAAGCGCTGCTAACCCGCTCCGGAATTGAACCGACGGAGACGACACGCGAGCCCGGATGAGAACCTAGTTGAGAGGCTAGCTGAGAACCCGGATCGCTGCCTTCGTACTCGGACATCACAGTCGAGAGCTGCGAGCTCCATTGATGCACATCCATCCGTACCCGTTGTTGCGGAATGCTTGCTGTTCCTACCCATGTAGATCGCGGAATAGACGAGGTGGAAGGCGTATGGGCCAGACGAACAACGTTCGGAGTGTTACCGCCGAAGAGGGATGCGGTATCCTGGCTAGCTATGCTGGAAAGGGACGAAAACGAGTTCGCGCGTCCTCGGAGGTTCTCTTTCGATTGCTGCTTATAGTAACCAAAGTTCTCGGACGATGATCTCTTGTGTGGCCGAAGCGGAGGAACGACAAGACTTTCCTGCGAGTATTTCTCCCGTAGTTGCCGGGTGGAACTCTCGTCAGAAGAATGGTAGTGGTGACCTCGGAAAGGAGTAGCTGACGAAGAGAGCGGTGAAGTATCGCCGTAAACGATATAATTCTTGCTTCCTGGCGTGTCGGCGTATCCCGGAGCAGCGGCGGACGAGGCGAGGGTCTGCGCGGGAGATGATTGACCGAGAAGTTTGATGTTTGAGCTACTTGACGAGGGAGATTCCTCGACGTCCTCAATGCTGTCTGTGTAAGGTAAAGGTGGAGAGCTACGTCCAATAATTTTATAATTCGTCGTCTCTTCGAGAGTCGAATCTGTTTGTTCGGAAGCGAAGGACGGTTTCGCCGCGAGATGAGAAGATGGCTGCTCCGGTGGCGTGACAACTGTGCTTGGTAACGGCGGGAGCGGTGATTCGGAAAGATACCTTTCCTTGCCTTTGCCTTTGAAATCAGGAGTTTTGGGGACCTTGCGCAAGCCACCGACCATGCGATAATTCCAGGGCGAAGAAGATTCGGTCTCCTGCTCTTCAGGTAACGCTGTGGCTGTCGATGGGGCAATTGAGGTGTAGGGCGAGACGCTGCGCTCGGGTACGGAACTTAATGGGGAGCCGTGACGATCTTCGGTAGATGCGACAAATGAGCTTTCTTCATGCGAGCTGATAACGGAGGTGTTGGAGGGGTGAAGAGATGTGGTATTAGTAGATGCCGACCGGTCGGACTGTCGCTGACGCGTCGACTTGAGCACAACTGAGAAAGTCTTGTCGGCGTGGACGTTGATGAAAGTTTCTCTCCTCGACAAGGGCCGTTTCCACGTCGACGAAGCTGATCTGTCATCGTGGCGCGACGACGACAACTCAGGCTGGGCATTAGCGGGCCTGTCATTACTGCTTCCATATGAGGGCCTGTTAAGGACAGGGGATGGTGGGGCAGTGCGCCCAAGGCCAGCCGAGTCAGAGGCGAGTTTCGTCCCTGAAACACCTTTGCCCTTAACTCTCTCCAATGGCGAGGCTGGTGTCGAAAACGACGGGGACGGAGACTGAGATTCTGCGCCATATCCTTCACTCCCATAGCTGGTGGCTCTCCTCCTCTGTGGCGTAGTAATAGCTTCTCGGTCATTGGTCGCGTTCGTGTTATTTTGAACATTGTTTCCGGCTTCCTGTTCTTGCACGTGAGACTTGCTGCTGCTTTCGCCATCTCCCGGCCTCGGAGGTGAGTAAGGGACGATGCGAATCTGCAGCTTATTCTTTTCCGCTTCCGACCTTTCTTGCAACGGCGGTCTCGGCGATTGGGATGATAATGATGATGAGGTCGAAGATGACATCCTCTGCCGCGGGCCCGGCCCGGAGTTGCGGAAAAACTCCTCGAATTTTTTTTTCTAGATGATTACCTAAGTCCTGCAACTAAGACAACGTTTCGACACATGCCATAGCTATTTTCATAAACTGCGAATTTTCGACGTATAATTCGACGTGGGTTTTCGTTTTTCGTTTCAACGTATAAGCGGGTACGATAATGAGTGTGGAGTCCGAGCGGTTCGGAGATCGTGACGGTCACAAAGGACGAGCAGTGTGTAGTATTAATGTAAGAGCGCGGTAGGACGATGAAAAGAAATGGAAAGATCAGAAAAGGCAGAGAAGAAGTCTAATGAGAGACGTGAAAATTTTTGAGATAAAGTAAAAATATCGGCAGACAGTTATCAAAGAAGACCGACAAGGAGGTGAGATCTAAGCAAGGTCGAAAAGACGGGCAAACTATAGATCTTTAGATGAATAATAATAGAAGTTTCAAAAGAGTGGACTAGGTCGACAAAGAGAGACCAGAAAGACAGACAATTCCCACGCTACATACAGAACACACACATCTGCAAGAGGCAAAACGAGATCGGAAGGAGGGAAGACAGCGAAGCTGGTAGGAGGGCAGACGGGAGGGTATTATTTCTTGAAATGTTCCCCCAGAGTGCCGAGTGACGATCGATTGGCTCTCGACTGGAGTCAGCCATCTAATGGCGGCTGCATGTGGACTATGCAATGCAGCCGAAAAGGAGCGTTAGGGTACCATCGAACGAACCAAAGACAGACATGGGGTAACCGACAAAAGACGATGGAAACGAGCAGGGAGAAGCTTTCGCGGAGCTCAGGTACCAAAACGGGTCTAGCAGAAGACCTGGAGGCTGACATCGACAAGGTAGCCGTACCCGTACTAGTAGTGTAGTGTAGTCGCAGTATAGTCGTACATAGTACCCCTTGACACTTCACCGCGTAGGCGTTACCTCTTCCAGATTTTTAGATATGCGATGTTTATGACCGATCAACTCGAGCGATCGAATCAACAAGACGCCGGAAGACAATAGTGATATGCGAGAGATCCACTAGGGTTTCTGTCCGTGTCTCTGTTTAGCCAGTATATTTCTCTGTTTTAGAGGAATTATCACAGCGGATCCAGGATCCGTCTGCAGCATGCAGGTCTACTGCAGTACACGACGTAAGTTGAAATGAGGTCAAAAAGAATATGGGGCGATGCGGTCGAAGAGCCTACCACAGCTGCAGCCTAGAGGCTACAGCACGCAGTCAGGGGGTTACGCCGCACAAACGTCCCATCGTCTAATATTTTTGCCTTGCAGTTGAATAGCCATTCGTTCCTAATAAACGTTTAAAAGGCTGGCGTCGTCTCAGAAGGCGCCGCTACATATTCTCTGTCCAGACGGAGATTTCTTTTCTCTCGTTTCTTGTTTCTTTCATCTGACCGCAGCCTCTCGTCATGACCATAATGTCCCGAGAGAGACATTTCGGAGACGCTCTGACGCTGGACGCTGCAGTACTGTACCGCGTAGTACTGCGTACTTCGTTAATAATTCAATAAGCTGGTAAAGTACCGAGACATCTGTCCAATATGACAGATTGGCTGAAGTCGAAACATTCAGCAAGGGCAAAATATCGGTGAAGAGATGTGCTGGATGTGCAAATTAAACGTTGACCATAGCGAAGCGCAATTGGACGAGATCTGGGGTTTGGGACCTGGAAGTTCCAGAAAATCATAGATCACGGACCCAACCGAATATTCCGGAGACAGGGAAAGGGGGCCCAAAACAGTTAAGCTAAGACGAAATAGGGACATAGAATCCTAGCTGGCCTAGGCTTTAGCAGGGACTTAGCGGGCTGGAAGGAGCAAGGATAGCAAGGACTCAGGAGAGCAAGTGCCAGAAAAAGAACGTGGCTTAGTTTTCTAGTGGGCCCATAGTGAACTGATGCAGGTGCCAACTTTTTTCTTAAGTTTCTTCTTTTGTACCTCGTATATTCTACTTCTTATCAAGAATCCAACGCGAAGCCATTGAGAAACGCGTTGAGGACTTGGAAGACTCGCATAGTCGCGTCCTTCCTTTAATAGGCCATCCATCGCCAAAAACAGACAGTAATCCCGCTTCCACGTTTTATTCTTTAATGCAGCTGGAATTCAGGCGAATTGAAGGAAAGAGTCAGCGATATGACGTTCGCCTCGTAATCCTTGTTACGGTCTATTCCAATTAAACCCATTTAGTTAATTGGTTTTCTTTGGATTCTTTTGGCGCTCGCAAATCCGGCAGAATTCGTCTCCACATGTGCGCTTGAGCCTTGAGGATCTCGCTCTAAGGACTGTGCTTTACAGTGCTAGCCCACACTGACTAAACTGTACGAGCTAACCTCAACAACTGGCCCAGCCAGGGCAGCTACCAGCCTCCTAGGGATTCTTCTAGGGACCCCTTGCTTAGCGCGTTCATAACTCACTATCGTGAACCTGAAGCTCGGGCTTTTCACAAAATGTCGGACCATATGAAAAATTCCAATTTTCTAGTCAATTATTCTTGATTTCTTTTTTATCCTTGATACTGCTCACGTCTTCGATGCAAGACGTGAAACCTTAGACTTAAGAGCCTCACGCGCTTACGCTACAATTCTGTAGGTCGACAAGACGCCTTCCTGCATCTGAAGCGCCAGCTTGGGACCCCAAAAAAGTGGCCTAGCCGCTTGTGTTCTCTTTGTATGTATGGTCTCTTTCAAATGACAAGTGTAAACTCCTCTACGTTATACCTTCTCAGTTTCAATTCCTGCAGCAAGCCGAATCTTGCAGCGGAATATGTCATCTAGTCAAACTAAGACGTTTGACCTGTAAGTTCAACTCCATATCTTCCAATTCCAATTACGCCCGTTGGAAACTCGGAGAATTCGGCCAAGTCAAGGGGCAAGGGATGGTAAATCCTCCCCCCACGGACCATACGTTCGCCCACACCATCTAAGGCATAATCCGATCGAGCATGATAATTTCCTTTCAGCATTCCCGACGATTCGCTCAACCCTTGTGCTATCCGGGGAGCATATTCATGCCTTGAGAGTTACTTCAGATAAGCTACCGGTATATGATCCAAAGAAGCTTGACAAGAGTGGCGGAGCATAAGCCTTTCGTCAGCTTCCTAGATAGCTGCCAAGATTTATCTTGGTTTGAGGTTGTCACCAACTAACCGAGCCTCTCAGCCTCACATAAGAGATTCCAGGAGATCTGGGAACATCACGCAGATAAGGCGTCAGAAAAGGCCTGGTTCTCGAAAATCATGCCTTCGTTACCGGGTTTTATAACCCGTTACTTCAAAGACACACGTAAGTTGTGCTTAACACGTGCAGTTAGGTAGCCCTTCTAACTTAGCCGCGCCAGCAAAACCACCACCAATCAGCACTGGAACCGCCGTCTTCTTGCTCGTAAGTTACCAGCCGCATATGCGGATAAACGCAGGTGCTAACCGACAACTAGGTAATATATACTATCATCTATGTGGTGCCATTTTATTTGTCGTCCAGGACGAGGCCGTCCAGTACCCTGTCGCGGGACGCGCCGTCAGTGATCCGCGCGCGCATCGCGTCCGTCTCGCTGACCTCTGTCGTCTGCTCTGCCATCACTTTCGTGATCTTGACGTCCCAAGGCCGGGTCACGACGGCCGAGGCCTTCCACGCGCTGGGGTACTGGCCGATCGGCCTAGTGGAGACGGGGAAGTGTTTGCTTCTCACCGCTATCCTCTTTGCCGGGCCGCTGTACGAATACCTGGTCGTCGACGAGGGATGGCGGGAATGGTTGGCTCTCCGGCCTCTGTCGGTTCTCTTCGCCGAGTGGACCACATGGCGTAACATCGTCGCGGTAAGTTCCTTTCCGCCTAGTGTGTCTAGCCATACGTTTCACCACCCGAGACATGGAAATATCGTCGATTTATTTGTGTTTGGTTAACCAAACCACTATGCCCTTACAATATGATGAGAAACATTGGTCCGTGTTTCTGAGCAGACTCAAGACCTGTCAGATGAGGACAAATACAATAGCACTCTGTGCAACTCTGATTATACCCCATATTCGCTTACCCCTATCACCATAATCGAACTTCGAGTTTGGATGTCGTACTTATATATGAATAGGGCCCATTCACGGAGGAAGTGCTCTTCCGCTCCGCCTCAGTACCCCTGATGCTCGTCGCCAAAACTTCCGTGGCGACGACCATCTTCCTCTCCCCTTTGGTCTTCGGACTCTCGCATCTGCACCATTTCTACGAGTTCCGCATCACGTTACCCAACGTGCCGGTCTCGTTTCTCCTCGCGCGCTCCGTCATGCAGCTAGGTTATACAACGCTGTTCGGAGCGTACGCCACTTTTCTGTTTCTGCGTTCCGGGAGCTTGCTGGCTATTTTCGCCGTGCACGCTTTCTGCAACTGCATGGGTCTGCCGCGCATCTGGGGCCGTGTGCTGCCAGAGGTCGTCGTTGACGAGAGAGGGAACTCGTACCGGCCTTCTGTACTGTGGACTGCGGTCTATTACGTGGTGCTTGTCGCGGGTGCAGTTGGTTGGTACATGAACTTGGGCTTGCTGACGGAGAGCTCTAATGCGTTGGTCTCTATGAAGGTATGATGAATATGATCATGAATTGACTAGTCACGATGAACGAATACTTGAATATAAACTTAATTCTATAAAACGAACACATCGTAGTCTGAGCATTTTGAAGATCTTGTGATTTGGTAATATTGTATTAGTGGTGATATCTCTGCCTATTATCGGGCCTGTTCTAGTACATATGTATTGGCTACATTGATAGTCTACAATTTATACATAACCCAACCGTGGAGATGTGCGGTCTGCGTTCTGTTCGTACCGCATATGACCAATTGTACAAAGTGCTCGATGACTCGACTCCCTTGATCCAGCACTTGACCTGCACGCTTTTGCTTCTCATAAATACCTACGTATTATGAGGTGGCAGGAATCACCGTGGGACGCTATGCACGTCCTCCTTCCCCTTACTTGCTTTCTCTCTCCATGGCTTCAGCGACAAGCCCGGTATTCTCTCTTATGAGGCGAATCGATGGCCTCGGGGGTATTTGGTAACTTTGAATAAACGTCGTCCATCTCGTAAAATCACTTCCATCTCATCTCATAACATTACTTCCCATTTTCATAAACTGACTCAAAACATCTCCACATTTCCCCTTTCGTCAAGGCGGTAAATCAAGCGCCATCCCCATCCCCGGCAAACTCCCCGGCATGCTAAACTCGCTGATGCCGGAGCCGTCGCGCTGGCCTCTCGCGCGCCTGTACCTTAGGTTCTCCGGCGGACTGATCTCTCTATCCAAGTCCCTGAGATCCCTCCTCTGGCCCGCGGCGGCCTCGGCGCGGACCTCCTTCCTCGCCTCCTCTTTGAGCTCGCGCGCGATCTCGCGGCCCTTGCCTTTACCCGCGCTGCCGCTGGACACGGAGGAGGCGGCGGTAGTGCCGTGGGCGACGTCGAGAGCCTCGTCGCCGCCGCGCGTGTTACGCTTGCGCGGCCACAGGCTCGGGAGCGCGATCTCCTGGAAGCGGGGCTCGACGGCGCGCTCGTCGAACCAGCGGTGCAGGCGCGACTCGACCAGCTGCGCGATCTTGGGCACGTCCTGCAGCCGCGACCGGCTGCCCACCAGGCTGCGCACCGAGAAGTCCAACCTATAATCGTCGAGGAAGCTGAACGTCATCATTGTGGGGGTGGACTGCGACGGGTTCGACGGGATGAAGGATATGCTGAGCGTGCCGCTGAACCGCACGACCGACACGGCGAGCGCGACGGGCAGCACGGCGGTCAGCCGTTTCGGGTAGTTTAGCAGGATCTTGGTCTCGAGGGCCAGGGTGATCATGTCGCTTAGGTCGACGTCCATCCGGGCTTGCAGCCGCGACCCTTCGCGCTTGGCCCGCGAGCTGTTGGCGTCGAAACGCTTCTCCCCGTGCGGCCCCGTGTTCAGGCTCAGCCCGTCCTCGTCGACGGGGATGATGCGGCAATTGCTAAATATGGGGAAGTCCTCGCCCAGGGTCAGCTCGGTGACCTTGATCTCGTCGAGGAAGTCCGGGCGCGAGGTCCCGTTCAGGGCTTTGGTGAGGGAGGTCAGGATGGCGTCGTCCTGCTGGGCGTCGCTGCGGAATTGGGCGATGGTCTGCGCGATCAGCACGTTGAACCAGTCCAGCGACTCGGGCTGGTGGCTGTCGACGTTGTAGTACGTCTTGTTGAGGATGGAACCGATGGTTAGCGTGGGAGGGCTTCGTAGGATGCTCGACTTTTTCTTATTTAACGTCGGCTGACCCAGCCTCGTCGTAGCATTCGGTGTGGTGCTTCGCAGGGTGAGGAGAGATTGCCGGTGAGCGAGGGTGCGTGATCGACGCTCGGCCGCCCGGATGGTGGCGGTCACTTCGGGAGAGGGGGCATCGCCGAATATGAAAAACTTGATGAACGCCGCGATGAGGAGCACGACGGAGATCTGGCCGACGATGAGCCCTTGGGTGAACGACAAACTAATTAGGCGGTCATGTTAGTCAATCACAGCGCGTCTTATAGAGGTACAAAGCAGAAAGTTGGCGGGATTTCCCACGTCGGTTCAGGTTTCATCGGACACATATCCGTCGTAGCCATTTCGATTGATGGCTTCCAGGGTCGAGTGCCCTGGACCGAATTTTACATTTAATCGGAAAATGAGAACGAGGAAATTGGTGGATTTATGGAGGAATGAAGCATTTGGTCTTGAACTTTTCGAGCTTTAGAGCTTGTCGATTTATGTATGTATAATTCTTTATCTTATTGGGATATGTAGCGGATACCTTGACCCGCGCCGATGACAGGAGGGAAAGGAAGTATCGGATACCGCAACGTCATCCGGCATCCGAACCCCTGCTCTGTGACGATCTCCAGTGGTACATGGTACTACCCTCTAGGCGGCATGTTCAATTGAACGTTGAAGCTTCCTAGAGCTTAAACTTGAGTCTCATCACCTCGTTTTACTTCATAAAGAACTCTTAAACCATCGCCCGAAACTTTACCAATTATAATCTTCCAAGTCTAGAGCTTCACCGGGAGAAAGAGCTGAGACCCAAGTTATACCGAACTAAATACATTCTAAATTCAAATACGACAGAGTTCTGAAAACTGTCATCAGTGTCTTACTGAGCCGAACAAGATGGATGTCGTCCAAGCCGTCTCCGGCTACATCTCTAAGATGGTGTCGGCCGGAGACAGCGCATCGGGGACCCCATCAGCAAAGATGAAGATACTCCTTCTAGACAAGGACACTGTCCCGATCGTCTCTACCGCGATCACGCAGTCGTCTCTGCTCAACCATGAAGTCTATCTCACAGACAGGTTGGATAATCAGAACCGCGAAAAGATGCGCCATCTCAGATGTCTATCTTTTGTCCGGCCATCGCCAGAATCAATCCAGTTCTTGATAGATGAATTGCGGGATCCTAAGTACGGCGAATATTACTTGTATTTCAGCAATGTCGTAAAGAAATCGTCGTTAGAAAGACTAGCAGAAGCCGACGACCACGAAGTTGTCAAACAAGTCCAGGAACATTTCGCCGACTATCTCGTCATCAACCCCGACCTCTTTTCACTCAACCTTACCTTGCCGCAGCAGAGGATATGGAGTGGCAGTCCGGATATGTGGAATCCAGACTCGTTGCAACGGACGACAGATGGACTGATAGCTATTCTACTGTCGCTTAAGAAGAAGCCCCTCATCCGGTATGAGAGGAACAGTCTGTTAGCCAAAAAGCTGGCTACTGAAGTACGATATCATATGACCCAAGAGGAACAATTATTTGACTTTCGAAAAGTCGATACGCCCCCGATACTTCTCATCCTAGACCGAAGAGAAGACCCCGCTACACCGCTACTCAACCAATGGACATATCAAGCTATGGTGCATCAGTTACTGGGTATTCATAATGGCCGAGTGAATTTAGACGACGTTCCGGAAGTACGACCAGAACTCAAAGAGATTGTTCTATCGCAAGACCAGGATCCGTTCTTTAAGAAGAATATGTACTTGAATTTTGGCGACCTTGGTGGGAACATCAAGGACTACGTCGAACAATACCAATCCAAGACGAAGAACAATGCTAATATCGAGTCGATAACGGATATGAAGCGATTCATTGAGGAGTATCCGGAGTTCAGGAAACTCTCCGGGAATGTTAGCAAACACGTTACCTTGGTTTCGGAACTTAGCCGAAGGGTGGGCGCTGAGAACTTGCTGGAGGTTAGCGAGGTTGAGCAGAGCTTGGCCTGTAATGATAATCATGCTACTGATTTAAGAGTATATCACCTGGCTTCCTGATAGGCCCTTTTTATTACGATACTAACTCGGCGCAGAATGTTCAAAAGTTAATACAGTCTCCATCAGTCACTGCCGAGAACAAGGTTGGACTCGTAGCACTATACGCTCTACGATACGAGAAGCACCCGTCAAACTCACTAGCTATGCTAGTAGACTTATTATCTGCCGCTGGCGGTGTTCCCGCGCGACAAGCAGACCTAGTAGCAAAACTCCTCATCTACCACCATTCCCTACAGCAGTCCCAAGCAGGGGGCGGCATCGCGGATATCTTCGAGTCCGGGGGCATCTTCTCCGGGGCACGGGCCATCAAGGGGCTTAAGGGTGTCGAAAACGTCTACACGCAGCACTCGCCGCACCTGGAGACGACGCTCCAGAACCTGATCAAGGGCCGGCTGCGTGAACAGCAGTACCCGTTCGTCGAGGGCGGTGGGACGACGCGCGACAAACCACAGGACATCGTCGTCTTCATCATCGGCGGCGCCACATACGAGGAGGCCAAGACGATCGCCGGCATCAACGCCTCGTCCCCCGGTGTGAGGGTCGTGCTGGGTGGCACTAACGTCCATAACGCGGCTACGTTCCTCGAGGAGGTGGATGATGCCGTGGCATCGTGGCCGGAACCGCCGCCGACTACGACGGCAGGGAAGCTGAGGAAGGAGCTTGGGAGGAGGTAGGGAGATAGATAGGATAGGTTAGTTAATTAATTATGAGGATTTCACGGATTTTGGGATGTTGCGTTCTCATGTGAGTAGCCTGTTAGGTGGTATGTATCTAGCTAGGTACTCGATAGGTGAAATTAAGGGATATCGCGGATGGGAAAAATCACATTCAAATGAGTTGCTGCTATTTAATTTGCCGTAAGGGTCAATTGTTGTTATCAAAGTGAGAGTTCGTACCTGGAATGATGTTCATTTTCGGAAAGGCTGTTGTGTGCAAAGAAGGGATATAAATGCCAATAACTCATAACACTATCACATACGACCATAGGAGCTAGAAAACTCGGGATCCCGTCCGCTCTCCCATAGATAAGCTGGCTACCGCCGGATCAGTAGTTGGGTCGGTGACGACCAGCGAATCCCCGGTGTTGTATGTTTTTATTTTTGTATTTTTATACTAGTGAGATAGATCAATTTTCTACATTTATTTTGGTGTTACTTATGTGCTTTGGTTTTTCCTCGTTGTTTTGAAGAATTGATATTGATGTTGTTAGGTAGGGGATTACGGTAAAGGCAGGGGTTGTAACTATGGGATAGCAATATTAGTGGATTTAGCCACTACAAGTCCTTCTAAACGACCATATGCTGCTTAGATTAATATTAATATAGCAGATACTCACTAATACGGCAATATACCCCATAAATACATAAAGTTAACACGATTTGGCGGCAGATATTGATAAGAAAAAACCCACTTAAAAGTTCATGAATGTTTCTGCTAATGTTCATCCTCAAACGACCAACACCCAACAAGATTACGAACTTCGAAGTCGGCGAATCCGTGAACCATTGACAACTCGGAGGCAGTACTCGATATGGGTTCCAAAAGAAAGTTCTCCGAATTTCATGCCGAAACCTCGGGGAATGGAGGGACTCGCGACCACAACGCCGGATCCCATGCGCCCAAGAGATCTAATACCAAAAAGAAGGCTAAGATGAACCCGAATAACATCAATTGGGTGAAGAAACGAGCGCGAACGATCGAGAGGAGATTAAAGACAGGTCAAAACATGCCTGCAAATATTCAGAATGATTTGGAAAGAGAGCTAGCCCATCATCAACAGAAGATTGAAGATGCTGCTGACGAGAAGAAGAGGAAGGCCATGATCAAGAAGTATCATATGGTCCGCTTCTTTGGTACGACTACACTTCCACGCCGTCAATGATTCAAATCTAACAATACATATAGAAAGAAAGAAAGCGGACCGACTCGTGAAGAAGATCAAATCCCAGCTCGAGACAGCCACGGACGAGAAAGAGATCGAGACGTTGAAGGCAGATCTACACAGAGCAGAAATCGACAGTATCTACGCCAGATATTTCCCATACAGAGAGCGTTATGTTAGCCTGTATCCGGTGACGGCGCAAGGAGAAGAGAAGAAAGAAGATACCAGCTCCGCAGCGCAGGCGCTACGCAACGAACGACCACCACTATGGAAAGCAATAGAGGAAGCGTCAGCAAAGGGCGTCCGAGAACTTATCATTCTCAGGGAACGGAAGCTTGGTGGGGATTTAAGGAGGAAGGCTTCCGCCAAGCAAGATGCGAAGGACTCCGAGACTGCAAAAACTAGTCATACCAAGACGAAGAACTCTACCACTTCCGAAACTACGAGTACCCAAGGCAGAGGCAAAACGAAGCACAACGAGAAACCCGAACCTTCGGATGCGAGTGATAGCGAAGGGGGTTTCTTCGAGGAGGACTGAGAGAGGTCTCAACATGAGACGAACATTCATGATACCCAATTATTACGAGATGACAATTAGCTTAGCTTCATTTATTGAGAGGCATGCTATTACTATCAGATTCCTAGTCTAATGTGTTTCCAAAACGATACTTATGAAACTTATGAGACTAGTAAAGCCATCTGAGTGCCATTGGACTTTTTGCTTGGAGGAATAAGTTAAACGGGATTATGACATTATCACATATAAATGGCGTGGTTTCCCAGCTAATTCACTTAACCGTAGATGAAGGTTTAAGCTTAATTCTTATCAGATGCATCATTGATGTACATATTTCTACCATCTTCAACTTCCGATTACTTAAATGTAATTCCAGCTTTCCTAGCTTTCTGAAGCAAGGGGAAAGCTGCACAACATGCACCTACGATGACTACGGAACCAGGCTCGCCAAAAAGGCAACATATACTCTCCTCCATCAACCCCGACCGCCGTTCGGAATCGCCTATAATAGAACCTCACAAATCCCCCGAAGAGGCGCCACCTCCGCAACCAGAGCCTGTTACAGAACAAGCGTCAGCAGAAGTACCGGAGGAGACTGAAGAGACGAGGGAAAGGAAAAAGACCTCAAAGTTCCGATTTAAATCAAAGAAGAGTTCGCGCTCCCATCGCCACTCTTCCCGCGATCGCGACCGCGACCACGAACAAGATGGCGCGGACCAAGATCCCACATCCCACCGCCGCCATAGACACAGACATCACCACCATCGTCACAAGCGGCGACGGTCGCGCTCCCCCACACCACCACCAAACCCGTTCGAGCCGCAGCCGCTAGACACGGAGACGGCGTTCCGGGAGTCGCTGTTCGACGCCATGGCGGACGACGAGGGGGCCGCGTACTGGGAGAACGTGTACGGGCAGCCGATCCACGTGTACCCGAACGCGCGCCCGGGGCCGGACGGCGAGCTCGAGCGCATGACGGACGACGAGTACGCGACGTTCGTGCGGCAGCGGATGTGGGAGAAGACGCACGCGGGGCTGCTGGAGGAGCGGGCGCGCCGCGAGGAGCGGAAACGGAAAAAGGAGGAGGAGGAGGAGGAGGAGAAGAGGAGGTTGACGAGGGAGATGGAGCGTAGTTTGCGTAGGGGCGAGGAGAGGAGGCGGAAGAGGGGGTGGAAGGAGAGGTTTGAGGAGTATGGTAAGGCGTGGATGGGCTGGGATGGAGGGGTCGAGGGGATTGGGTGGCCGGTGAAGAGTGGGAGGCGCGAGGATGTGGGGATGGATAATGTGAGGGATTTTTTCGTCTTGGGGATTGATCCTGAGGACGTGGGCGAGGCGGAATTTTTGGCGAGGTTGAAGGAGGAGCGGGTTAGGTGGCATCCGGATAAGATACAGCAGAGGCTTGGTGGGAAGGTTGATGAGGCTGTCATGCGCGATGTTACGGCTGTTTTTCAGATCGTGGATAAGTTGTGGTCGGATACCCGGTCGAAAAGGCAGTGATGTCTTATGGCCACATATTTTATTAGGGGATAGGTCTAGTTTCCAGGATGGAACTACAAGAGGAATAAACTCCTTGAAGTGTCTTATAAACAATAAATATTTGGCACAATTTGAACTGTTGTAGATGTGAATTTCTTGCTTAAGAGAAATCATGGAGGCGGGCTTCATATAAACGTCTGTATTCGTGATATTGCCCCTGTTCTACTATACGCAAGTTTTAATCATGTCAATAGATGCTTTATACTACTATGACTTGGGCTGCTGTTATAGCTTATAACGCTTATATATACGAGTTAGGGAAGTAGTGCTACTTCGTATACCATCCAAACCCCAGTATCCTTTCATTTAACAAGTTATCGTCCTTAAGCTTCATATGAAAAAATAAAATGAAAACCTAGAAAGATCGGGTTTAATCAACAACTTCCATCTCAGCCATCACTCCTAAATGATCCGTTATCCAAGGCTTTTCATACCCGTAAGACGACACGAGATATTCACACTCCGCCTCTAGTATCTTTTCATCAAGTTGGACATCCATGCCAAATCTTTCAAAATTGTGCAGTTTAAGATCTCCTGTGAAGTAAACCTTATCCATCCTCGACAACCCGTACTTGTCCCTCTCCTCGGTCGACGCTTGCTGTCCCCAAGTATATGCGTCGTCGCCGTCCTCCATACCACCTGACTCGAGATACGCATCTTTGAGACCGTTGTCCGAGTGAAGCGTCCTATCGAACGGTTGTATGGCGTTGAAATCGCCCGCCGCCAGCGCGCCGTCCACGCCATCCTCGTGCATGTACTTTGCCATGATCTGCACCTGAGCCGGCCGGAAAGGGGGCTCGAAATCAAGGGAATCGAGATGCGAGTTGCATAGCCGGATAGTTTTGGCCCGGCCGCTACTACTACTACTTCCGTCCAGCAAGACATCAACGAAGAAGGCGTCGCGCCCCATGCGCGTCTTCTCGTAGTGCACGCGGAAGCACGACGTGATACGCAGACGACGGTCCACCAGCGTGACGGTGCCGTAGTCGTCTGCCCAGTTCGAAGTGTTGATATCCGTGAGGTAGAACTTCTCCCTGACCCACGGTTTCTCCCCGATTGTCCTGAGATCTTGCGCGATGCATTCTTGCAGGTATATGACTGAGGTCGTCGTTGACGGCTGTTTCTCCGTTAGACTTTCTAGGTGGTCTAAGGCGGTATTCATACGTTCTTTGGCGAAGGGTATGCGGAAATCTATATTCCAGCTAAATAGGGAGAGTCTCGTAATTCCCTTTCCGCCATGTGTCTCACTCGACGGGTTGATATCCGCTTGCTCCCATGCTTGTTTTATGTTGTCGTATGTATAATACGGCTGCGGAGTCGGATGATCCGGCCTGAACCCTTTTCGGGATATCTGACTCATGACTAATGGACGAGACGAGATATGAAGGTATCTTTTGATTTGAGTTATTGTCTGTCTTTGAAACATCCGTTATAAATAGGCACTCATTCATGAGTCTAGGTGAGTGAGATCATCCTTCTTAGTGGTCGGCTTATGCCTCCAGTAAGTGCCTAGTTATGCATATGCCGGGTTTATTTGGGGATTTCTGCATATGATATTGCCACATGAGATTTATCACATCAAGCAGATAGTTCTGAATATCGACTTTAGATCTTTTCCGCTTTCATGAAGCTCTGGTTCTTTACATATTTTGAGCCTTGTACTGAGAGTACTAGTGGGTCTGGGAATGTTGGCTTCAACTACCTATAGCATAGCAAAAGGAGAACGGAAGAAAGTTAATCGTAGCTGCTGCTAAAACTATTACCAATTGGTAGCTCCTATTTCGTCTCTAAGAATATTCGACTTTCTGTAAATATCACAGAGAATGTTTTTGTGTAGTCTGGAAATAAGGCATTACGAACAATGGACATCTGAAGGACTTGGTCTGCGTGCGACTTCTACGATCACTATTTTGATACAGACATGCAGCTAACTGGGATGGTCTTGAACGGCGCCGACTACCTATACAGTTAGCTCATTTAGCGCACCGTCCTGCAGCGTTCTCGCGCATAGCGCCGTAGTAGCCACCCCGTATCTCAGCCAGACCGTCACATCACATCTACATTGGTAGTAGGTATGTAATACCGCAATACAGTTACTTATGTAAGATATTTCACATGCTGATTAGGTAACGCGGTTTTGAAAACTCTCATATGGATGTTAAACCATTGGAAGTTAACAAAACGAACACCGAAACTTTTACTACATAGTGCCTTTTTCAAATTCACCGTCACCAAAGTCGACGTAATCCCGCCAAATAATATTTCTCAAACTAGTTTCTTGAAAAATGAATGTTCTCATTCAATTGAAATAGTTAACGATTGTTTCTCTATAAGAACTATTCGTTGAATTCTGATATCCGAAAATGTAATTCCATCTTCTGGTGATAAATGTTGGTGTTGTGGCTTGTGCACCACAAACTTGCCCATCAAAGGTTAGGTAGAGCCATTAAATCGATGCTACGGTTCTGTGAACAAGGCCCACCATGTAGGGGTCGAAGATGCCGGGGTAAGCACCATATTCTAAGCTTCAACAAACACAAGGCTGCTCATTATTCGCAGGTCACAACTAAACTCAAGACAACTTCCGAGAATGGGATCTTCAGATATCGCGCCCTCACACGCGCCGCAATGGCTGGTGCCGGTATCAACCGTGTGCCTCGGCTCCGGCGTCTTCTTCTGGGGCGTCGCGTACGTGTTGATGACACGTCGTAGCATCCAGACGCGCTCGTACGGGATGCCCCTTTTGGGGCTGGCCATCAACGTCAGCTGGGAAATCGTATACGGGTTCTACGTGGCCGAGATGCTGTTCGAGAAGCTCGGCTTCACCCTCTGGCTCCTGCTGGACCTGGGCCTGATCTACACCACCGTGCGGTACGCGCCCGAGGAGTGGGCGTCCACCAACAAGCTCATCGGCCGCCATATGGCTTCGATCCTGGCTCTCATGCTGGCGATAGGGTGCTGGGGTCACTATGCCTTCGCTTCGTGGTGGTTGTCGCGTCCGGGGATCGGCGTTGGCGATAAATCCGGCAAATGGTACTATGGCCAGGATGGGTATGATACGACCGAGTTGGCCTACTGGTCTGCTGGGGTTGCGCAGCTTGTTCTTAGCAGCTCTAGCGTGGCAATGCTCATCATCCGTGGCCATTCTGGAGGTACTGGATATATAATTTGGTGCGTCCTCAATTTACCTATGGTCCCTATTTTTCACGTATCGTGCTGCTACACTCCAATTATTATAAGCTGTGTTTAACTTCTCTATGAACGTTGAATTGACTCAATGGAACTCTTTGGAGCTAATGTTGGATAGGCTATGCAGGATTACTGGATCGCTCTTCGGTTTGGCCTTCTGTAACGGTTTACTGTGGTGGTACTGGCCGGAAGCGCACTCTTACTTCGTTCACCCGATGAGCATCTTCATCGGCGGTTTGTCTCTGGTATGCGACCTTGTATATCCTTTTCTCATCTGGTACGTCCGTCAAACGGAAAGAGTGATGGCAGATGGAAGATTAGTTGGAGCTCACATGTTAGAGTTAACCAAGGAAAAGGGGCAGTAGCAGCCCCGCGGCGCTGGTGTTTCTGCTGACTGATCGTGGCTTATTTTGTAAGCATTGTGAAACAAGAATAATTTTCATTGGTAACACGTGCTTACATAAATGGCATTTCGGTTACTAATCTTCGTGGCGGAGTTTTAAGACAACATCTAATACAGATGAAACCGATTCTGTCACCTCTTGGGTCCATTCTCGCGCTCGCCATGCGACGATGCCATCTGGTCTGACCAGAACAGCTCCCGTAGATCCCACATTACATAAGCTCCTCCATGTACCGTCTCGATCTGCCCATCCTCCCTTGCCATCGATAACTTCCACGTCGACAAGCCTATTTTGGAGCGGGACCCACTGAGAAGAATTCGCCAAAAGTACAAATGAGTCGAGTCGGATCAGATGCCGCGTAGACACCTCCTTATCCCCTTTTTTTAGCCAAGCATGCGGTAAATTGTGGCCCGGTATAGTTGAAGGGTGATAATTCGTGATGTCGTACTCGCCGTTTTCTAACACTTGACCATCGTGGCGTGTCTTATCGCCTTCCTGGTTTATATCTGCGCTCGGGTAAAACCAGCCAATCTCTATGCCGGGAGCGTTGAATTCAAGATCTAGATCCTCGGACGCCTTCTTAACCGCATCCCTCTTGGCTTTATGCTGGGGATGGCTTGGATCGGAAAATGCTCTCACCGCTTCAAGATTATCCTCTATGCTCGCATCCGGCGAGATTCCGACAGCGGTATCCATCACGTTGCCGTGATTGAGCATATTCGACAGACTATTCGACGCAACGCGACGGGCGATAGGCTTTCGCTCCACTTCGTAGGTATCGAGAAGGCTATCGAAACGTTTTGGATCAGGCGATCGGAGGGCCAATACGAGCTTCCAGATGAGATTATAAGCATCTTGGATCCCCGTGTTCATCCCAAGCGCTCCCCATGGCGGGAATCGATGAGCCGCGTCTCCAACCAGGAAGATCTTCCCGTCCTTGCTTCTATATTCATTTGTAACAACCGCGTTGACTGTCCAGCTACTAATGCTAAAGAGGTCAATGTCTAAACCAGGGATCCCTAGGCTCCTTTGGATGCGCTTGATCGTATCCTCGCGGTCAAAGATCTTAGGATCTTCCGGTAGACGAGGAAAAGCGAATACCCACTCCGACTTTGCTTCTCTCTTCGGATAATAAGGGCCGATATGGTAGCAATAGCCAGTCCCTAGACTACCTCTCATGGTCGGATTGATAAGCCAAGAGAGAAAGACGTTTTTATCGGGATGGAGGGCCTCAAGTTCGGCTTTGAAGTGCACAGTCATCATCTCTACGATGTCTTGCTTTCCTTCCCAATCGATCCCGATGTTTTGCGCAAAGCCGCGGCCGCCATCGGAGCCTAGGACGTACCGCGCACGAACTTCCTCCTCAAATCCGGCTTTAGTACGGACGAGAAGAATCACCGAATCTTTTTCTTCCATTACGTTTAGAACTTTCATATTGTAACGTAAGGCCTTCGGATTTAAGCTCAAGGCTCGGCGCTTCAAGATGGGTTCTAAGCGTATCTGTGGTAAAATACTATATTGAGCAGGACTGTTGCGCTCGTACTCTTGGGCGCGCTCTCCGGCGCCCCAAGCCTCCCTTTTCACTATCTCGACATCGCCTTTCCCGAAGCCGGTGTACCAGGCGGTATGAGATACCGAGTCAAACGGGGCGCGGTGTTTGATCAGTTCTTCCTCGATTCCCAAGTGCTGGAAAATCTCGACCGTCCTTTGATTAATGCCCAACGCCTTCGGGTGGATCGACGTATCTGGATATTGTTCGAAGACGACATGGTCTATGCCGCTCATAGATAAGAGAATTGAGGAAACGAGTCCGACCGGACCGCCACCGACGATTGCGACAGGAATCATCGCGTGTTTAAAAGCGGCGTGGGTGAGCGACGAGAAGTGGATGTAATGAAAAGCCGGAATCTAAGCACTTATAGACCCGTATCCATCAGATGTTATCAGTCGTTTCGTTAGGCGGCAAGTGCCGCTTCAAGCCACGAAATAGATCTATGGATCGATGGTGACCCCGGGCTCTCCGCTGCGAAGATCGGCTTAAGCGGACGAACGATGCGGGGTTTACTTCAGAAATCCCGACCTCCTTATCAACCCCTTTATGGTTTGACGATGATGTTCTCTGCGACCACAGTCAGTGACACATTTTTGGAAAGGTTTCTATCAGCTGGCCAAACTAATATCTCTGATTTCGGTATAATGGCACACAAAATATAAACCTGTGTCGCTAATTGATAGCCAAGAACATCCAGACGCTAAGGCTGCCTCTAGGTCCGATTACTTGTCTCGTCAAGGCAACCCACAGTCAGCACTCCCGGTCAATTTTTGCTCTCTTTAAACCAAATTAATCAATACAAATAGACCGCGCTATAGCCGCAACCGATCTATAGAAAGGTACCCTAAAGTTGCTGTCGAGCAGACAGCTACGGATAGGTCTCTTGATTACTCAGTTGTATCAGGTATATTATATCTACTACCCTTCGCCAATGAAAGTGGTATGGGTGAGCGACATGGGCCATTGGGGATGTCAACATCCTCGCCCTTTGACGCCCAAAATGTCTCTAGCGGCAAGTTATCTTCGCATAAGACGATCGAGGGTCTGGGGTTATTGTCCCTTGCCGCGACGATAGTGATACGGCGGCACTCCGTGACAGAAGTGCATGAACAGGCGCATGGGGAAATGCGGCCATGGTGATGAGCGCAAAGACTGACGAACGCTGAATCGAGGGGAAACAGCTTGGCTACGTTTCGTCGAAGTTCTCAAACTACCCCTTTATGCAGAGAGGGATGCTAGGTCTTTGCTAAGCTTTGCGTCGAGCTCGCGGGCTTCCTCTTCGTTGTTAGCGAGGTTAACAATTCCTTTTTTGATATCATCAAGTAGTTTGGCTACTTTCGACTCGTGGAGTTCTACTATTTCACGGACTTTATCAGCGACGAAATTTCGGATACTATTGCTCTTTGAGCAAAGCTTGCTAACGGCCTCGGTACGCTCACCCAACCGTCTTCTAGCCAAACTCCCCTCGTTTCTAAGGGACATACAAATAATTCCAACTTCCTGAACCCCCGCCATCTTCGATTTTTATAAAAGCCTTCGAATGTTAAAGTTAAAGTTGAGTGATATAACTTAGAAATCTAGGTCGTAGTTTCCATTTAGCAAATTACGAGTAGTACCTACTTATCTCAGGTAAGTACCATGCGTTATAGGAAAGAAATAGAAAAGTCTAAACATTGTTGTTCTTTCTTACGTGTATTTAATTTACCAACGGGTTTTCCGTATGCTGGCGATACCAAATCACGTCATATCGGTTTTTCCTATTGGACAGGAACAATGGATATATCCCAGGATCCTACCATCGTGGCACATCCGTCCACCAATGTCCCGGGCTCGGCGGATGGCGGTGGACACAACACTGACGATACGCGTCGCTGCGCGAACTGTAACAGCGTCGGTCATGACTTAGCAATCTGTGTCGGCCCCCCGGGATTCGACGGCGCCATTCACGGCTGTCCGTGTTGCAATACGATCCTGCATACGTTTGACATCTGCCCCCGAACAACTACTATGAACTCAGATCTCATATATCACTTCCTAGTCCTCCTAAGAGGACGTCGTGCTCCAATCAGCACGCGACGGGGCTATCTTCAGATGGCAGTAGAAAGGGCTCCCTCCGGATTTTACCCATGGACGAGGGCATTTGCGACGTTAGTCGAACCCGACATATTCCAAACATACGACTATTCTCGCGACGACCCTCGAGCCTTGCCGGTAGATCCAGCGACAAGGAACAGAAGCGCCATTGTTAGAAATCGTCGTTACGTCCTGGAGCTTCCGGTGACCGACGATCAGTTAAACTACCTCTGTGGAGTATACTTTGAGGGAGGAGATTCCATGGACTCGAGCTCCTCATCTTCTTCGTCTTCCTTGTTTCTTCCATGATGGCCATGGTTTGCAGAAGTATCAGACGGAGCAACCCTTCTAGCTTTTCAAAAATTTCCTCCATATACACCAAGGTAGTGACGGGCTAAGGGTATGAATGGTATATGGCTTTATATCAATTTCCTCCCTTGTTATGCGTGCTAGTAATGCTTGAATAATAAACAGTCCCCCAGAACGTACGTCGTTTCATTTACATAATACAACTTTTGTTAAAGTATGCCGTAAATTAGTAACAGGGGCGAGGCACAAAATAACGTCGGGTATGTCACGTGGCACCGGCTCATACCACAATAAACTTGAGAATATGGTGGGATCTAGGCGCGGCATCTTTTTACCTATTGGCTAGAAGCTTTATCGATAAACATATTCTGCAAAACCCCAGTACCTATACAGCGCTATCGACAGTTTTTAATTTGAATAACTTTTCTCGAGTCCTTAGGTTCCTAATCCAGCGATCGAAGATATATAGCTAGCCTTTAGTATTGCACAGCCCTTGTGTTAAGAGCCGTATCTAGGTGTCTGTACCATGCGTGGGTACGCTAGACATCGAAAAGAGTAGCTCCGCACTATTTTGCGGAGAAGTTATCCCACATTCACCCTCATGAAGAGCCCCGCTTCTTTTGGAAACTCCGATACAGACAAGACATCGTCGATTCGAGACATATAACTAGCCAATTATTTGTGAAAGAGGATCAAGTAGCGGCCAAGTAGTATTTTTTCCAATACACTTTCGACTCAAGGTAATATTGCACACCTGATCTTGGATGAACTCAGCAACTCCGTATCTAGGTACCTAGGTATACGGATCTTGACGAGCGGCTAGGGCCGCCGGGCCATCATCGGCAGAGATTCCCTTAGGTGCATAAAGTAGCTCGTCTCCCCCGACTTTCAGGCAAGTTATTATCTTGTATGTGGTAGCCAGGAATATATATCATAATTTCATTGATATAATTTTTAATTATTCCAAGCAGTGTCTACTTAATCTGCTGCGGTTCTATATTCCACTATGACCACGACAAAAACCCCCTTCTCCCTCGAAGCTCCGCCAGGCACTGACATCTGGAGGAAGCCGCCAGGCACGAATGTCTTCAGTGGTGATGACCATCCACGTATATATTTCTAGCTGCTTGCTGACGCCAGCCAGCTCCGGTCACTAATACCGTCTCGGGCCTTCTCAAGAAGTTTCAATCAGCCCGTGTCACTTTCTGGGCGGACTGGACTGAGCGATATGACCAAGCAGGTCTCCTACTAGTGCCAAGACGCCTCGCTGATGCTGCCGTATCTCCGCCCGAGAAATGGATCAAGACAGGCATCGAGTTTTACTTCGGACAGCCGCAGCTTAGCACCGTAGGCTGCGATCGTTGGGCCGATTGGAGCGTCGCGCCCCTGACGTTGAAGGAAAACGAGATTGAGCCCGGCAAGGTAGGTGGTGTCACCATCGAAGTTGTTCGCGAAGGTGACGAGCTCGGGAAGAGTCTTTGGGTGTATAGGGTCGTTCTTGATAAGGATGGCGGCGTTGTTGATAGGGTTCCGCTGCGAGTAGGTGATATTACTCACGCTCCCCCCTTTTCACTATCTTAGCGGTGGAATTTTTTGAAATCGAGATTTCTCGAGATTTCTGCGAACCTATTGCTCCTAATACAAGCACTATGTACCGAGATTCTTATGAAGGGAAAGCTTTACTAATTATGGATGCCGTAGGAAATATGCTGGGTGCTCGCGGATGAGGATGAGGCAGGTGGCGAAGAATGGACCCTAGATATCAGTCCGTTGGTGGCTCGCCCAGAGAAAAACGCGACCGGGTCACTCAAGGTTAATTTCAAATCATTCGAGGTTCAGTGGTTACCTTGATACATAGGGGCGACGTATGTCAAGGCGAAATCCAGTCAGACGTCTCTCTCTTGGTGAGCTTGGCTTTCTCGAGATGATCTGGCCCCGGCCATGGTTACGAATTATCTAATCGTTACAATATATTCATATATCTCACTCATGGGTGACTCAGTTTCAATTTACTGTAAATCCTGACGAGATAACTGGCAGTATTTATTCATTTCAAATGGATTTCGTCTTATCGAAGGCAACTCACGTCAAGGCGGTCTCCTTGCATGATATTCGCCTTGAGCAATTTCTTTTTACTAGGGGTGAGTTCTGGAGCAAACCAACTATGACAGCTTCCATAGTCATATCTGACTAGGTAGTGAACCGAAAGAATACCTAGGGCGCATTATTCCGATGTCTGAAATACACCCGTGTTAATCGCTCGAACTTTTAAAACTTGTATGAACCATATAGTTCCCGCGAATTCGGAACCTTCACTAACACCACTTGGATTATCCTACATCCGAACTAGTTTGACGTATTCATACATAATAACTATTTATGATGAAGACTTACTCTTTAGTGACCAAGGCTCTCCTCGGGATAGCACCGCAGATCAACATCGCCCTATTCGGCGGCAACGACTCTTCTGCGGCAGAGCCGGCCATGTCAAATGATACTCTCGCAAATAGCATTGGCAGTGTCCTCGCAACTCCGACTGCCAACATTTCTGATCTTGGCCTAACACCGACCATAGGGTTTACTGCTACGCAGGTTGTCATGGATATTGTGCAGAGTAGCGAGGATACGACGTCTTCGGAGCAGTTGGTGGATAGTGTGCCGCCAAGGATTACTATCGATACCGTTATAGCTGCTGTCAGACCTCAAAAGATCACAGAGGTTGACTCTAAGGCGTCTACGACTGCCCCGGCGGCTCCGTCTATCGCATCTGATATCACAATCCTTGCTTCTGTAACGTCTACGGATTAGTACTGTGTATGCAGGGATTGGGGAAAAGGCGTGGCATTCGACATGGGCTTCTTAAAGAAATAGGAGCGTGATGGTAAATTTGTGAAGAGCTAAGTATAGATGGCTGTTTGAGTAGGAGAGCCGTACGAAGTGATGTAAATCAGATATTACGTATGTTACAATATTCTATGATGTGAGATATGATAATACCTAGTAGAACATTAACACTTGCATTCCAATCACAATAGAAAACCTTAGGTACGTTGATTTTTCTTGATTCATAGAGGTAGGGGAAAGGAATGACTTAATACCTTGTACACCTAAACGATCTAGGCGTTGTGCTTTCCTCGACACGGGTTTAGTCAATGTTGTTTGTTATAGCAGGTTAGTACCTACTGGATGGTTCTCTTCTTGTTCAAATATTCCTACCACCTATAGGTTATTATGAGGCTGCTAGGTAATAGCGATGGGGTGATGTTTTCTTTAGCACGATTAATCGTAATTTACCTATGAGACTAAGTTTACTAGGTAGGTGCCTAGTAGGAATTTAGTATCGGCAGATTTTTATCATCTATGCCTTCCGTCGCTGAAATTTCGTCGTTCGTGCCTTCGTGTAACACAATTAAAGGTGCCCCGTGCCCCTCCTAATTTATTAACCAGGTACTTTATTTCTCAACGCCCCGACGCGGTTGCGTTCTGTTGGCGTTTGTCGCTTGAACATCATTCTAGTAAACCCACAATTATTACTTCTCGCCCACTTCGTTACATAAAACCCAACTGAATGGAACTAAAGAATCTGTCTAGGATTTACTTTTCTCGTCATGGCAATCCTGGAGGAGCTCCCCGGTATAGAAATCACCGTGGTAGTCGCAGGACGCGATGCTATTGAGTACGATGATCCCGACGCGTCGGAACATTCGATTAGAGAGGCAGAATGCCCTACTTCCACAAAATACATCGAATGCGTCAATGATGCTAATTTCGGTGTTAAGTATCGCCTTACCAAAGATTACGATTGGACCTATAAAAACCATTGCCTTCATTTTTCTCTCGCGGCTGATGGGACTCGTCTTCGGGGTACCGTGATCACCAAAGACGACTTTACCAATGGTGAGGATGTAACTGAAATCTACAGTAAACGGTCGTATAACAACATAACACGGCGATGGGAGGCTCAGAAATTCAAGTTCGCCGCCGTTACAACAGGTACTGATACGCTGTACTTCATATGGGCGTCGGGTTAACGGGTTGACATCCATATTTTAGTTGACGACGTGTCGAAGGATCGCATCAAAAGTGATATGAAAGTTGCCAAGAATCTTGGAACTATCGAGCTCAAAGTCTATCGGTGCCGACACAAAGGGTATAGTCTCAGCACACACGATCATCACAAAGCCGGCAACTCTTCTGGATATGAATTATCCGAAAAGAGTCTCAAGGGTAAAGCGATATCGCATGGGACGTCGTGAGTACTATGTACTGAAGGATAGGAATCGGACATGACCTAATGCTAACCACGCCTCCAAGCTTTTCAACACCGGAGAAAACCTATACTCCTAGATTCGTTGACGTGCAGGACCTCGACGATGGGCCGGTCGCAGTGTTTCGGTTCAATTACAGATCAAGAGGTATGTCATAATAAAGAACCATGGCATATCTGAATTCTCCGATAGCTCTAACTTGTTAGATGCTCTTAAACGTGAGATGATTATTCCTCGATCCCCATCTCCGAACATTGCCCGAATGTCGCGTGCGGAATTGGAAAAGCTGGCCCAAGAGCGACTCGAACAGCTGCAGGTACGTATGCCATTATTTTGCGTTTATAATGCATCTTGGTGGTTAACTTGGACTAGGAGGGTAACGATGTGAAGGAAGAGCGCAAGCCTATCATCAAGCGAGAATTAAAACGAAAGGCAGAAGAAGTTATCGACTTGAGCGACGACAATCCACGACCTGCGCGCTCCCCTGTATTTGTCGATCTGACAGACGACTAGGGCTTTAACTTGGGGCATTGAATTTATTACGTAGTACGCTAATGGGTGGACAGGCTGACAGGCTATCATGGATGGGGTTCCGGTTGCTTTTGCTACCTACTACCTAGGTAGATTATGCCGACACCTAGGTAGGTATGTACATTAGGTAGCTAATGATAAGTAGGTGGTCCGCCTACAAATGGAAGCTATGGGGTATAATGGCTGCAGTACAATGTCCTCCAATGCGGGAGTTTCCGATTTCTCATAAGAAATCGCCAGAGTTTACCAACTTCAGAGGGTAACCATAAGTGGTAACTCTTATATTATACCTAGTATCGTGTGTAGGTACCGTAGTTGTAATGTGAACATGGTGTTTTCTCACCTTGTTTTCTAAGAAAAGGACTTCCCGCACAAGATTGGTGTAGCTGAGCTCAGTGAGCTGTAGCCCTGTCGGTAGTAGTAGCGTCAGTAGTCCCTTGCATCGGTCTAGTCGATGGACCCCAACCGATTTTCAGCTCCCCACCTGCCAACAAGATAAGGTACATAGCTTAATTCTTCCCACAACATCGATTCTTCCCTTCTCTCTGCTTCACATACCAGCTATTAAACGTCGACGATCAGTCAGTATGGCCGACACTGCGAAACCCACCAAGAAGGCATCGCCTATCAAGAACGGCTACCTGATCCTTTACAATGCTGTGTCTGCCGTCCTCTGGCTGACCGTGCTTGGCCGCGTCGTCGGCGCGAACGCAACAGGTGGACCTCTGTTGGTATACCCGACAGTCGGCGAATTCTGCAAATGGACGCAGACCTTGGCTGGTATGGAGGTCTTGCACTCGATACTAGGTATGCCTTGACTATCACTGTATATCCTTGATACGCGGAGGGGCCATGTGTTTGTGTTTTTGACAAGCTACTTTGCTCTTTCCCCCCTGAGCCCAATTGGGTGCATATGACCATATATCAATATAGCCAGCACATCGAATGCTTGCTAACTGATAATGACATAAACAGGCGTCGTCCGTGCCCCCTTCTTCACGACATTCATGCAAGTCTTTAGTCGATACGCGATCGTATGGGGCGTAACCGGCCTCTTTCCCGAACTCGCCCTCGGTAGCGATAGCGGTGACACCTACTCGAGCCTGGCCTATTCGTCGATGCTAGTCGCCTGGGCTACGACCGAGATAATCCGGTACTCCTATTTTGCGCTGGGTTTGTCGTCGGGTGGAAAGCCGCCGTACGTCCTGCACTGGCTGCGATACCACGCCTTCTTTATCCTCTATCCTGTCGGTATATCTAGCGAGGCGTACCTGATCTGGCGTGCTGTTGAGCCTGCTAAGGAGGCGGTCAGCCCGTTGTACTCGACGGTGCTTTTTGGATACGTGGCGTTGGTGTACCCTCCGTGTAAGTGGAGTTTATCATTTGCTATTGAGACGAGTGGTTTTGCTAACAGTCAGAATTACAGCGGCTTATATCCTATACACGCATATGATGGCTCAAAGAAGGAAGGTTATGAAGGGAACTAAGACGTCGGACAAGAAGGCTTCAAAATAGAGCTGGACATCCTTTGCCATATATCACAACGCCACAACAGTACATCGAGCTCTAATGCCATTTGGGTGAAATAATATATTCATGGATACCCTAGAAGGATAGAGTACCATATAGGGTGTTCCTAGGTATCAAAAACAAATATACATCAGAATCAAACTTAGTACACGATGTACGATTACGCTTCGATTGATTTGCGCGTGCTCGTTTCGTACCACTCGTTACGTGTCCAGCGTACGATGAGATGCTTAGCATCTTCGGATAGCTTGCGATATCCAGGGTTCTCCTTCGGCTCGAACATAGCTTTGCATAGGTATATTAGCTTGTGCGTACTTGGTGGATGGAAATATGGGGCCGAACAATGAAAAGGAAGTGGAGAAACAAAAGAGACAAACTTACCCATATGCGCTCCAATTTCGTCCTTCGTCTTATCATTTATAGCTTCCAACCACAACCCGGCGTCCTTCTTAGCGGGCAGATTGCAGAAAGTGCGCTGGTTCCCCATGACGGTGCCCACCATGCTGACCTCCTTGGATGACGCCGCCTTTCCTAACCGCGTATATAGGTTGGCGAATCCGACGCCCATCTCTTTGTCGAGACGCACCATGCGCGATACGCGCGCTCGAAGCTCCGCCCCTCGCGCCAGACATCCCACGAACTCGAGATGGGAGCTGACCCACGACCATCCCGAGTTTAATTGTTCGCGATTCATGTAGGCTGCCGCGCCACCCGCCGCGATGGCTCCGGCTGCGCCGGCGATTACTGCCATACGGCCCCATCCCCAACCGTTCTCTTGCTTCTTCTCTTTTGCTGGCTCCGGGGCGGGAAGCGCTGCGGGCGGCTTCTTCGCTCCGCTTTTACTGGCTGCTTCGTTGTAGCTGCCCCAGAAGATATTCGAGAGCCCGTTTAGTTGTGTCAGCGCGGCGGCTGCGTTGTTGTAGTGGCCCTCGGCGCCGTGGGCGACGACGCCGGGGGAGATTCCTAGATACGGGGTATCGAAAGCTAGCACGCCTTGGATGTAGGGGAACATGAGACCGCTGGTTAGCGGCTCGCCGACGTTGGGCGCCATGCTGTCGGCGTCGTCTTGGGTGATGGGTACTTCGGATGCGATCGCTATGGCGGTTTCGGCTGCGACGATGCCGCCCATCGAGTGGCCAATCAGGATGACGCGGACGGAGGGATCGACGGTCGGGGAGTGCGTGCCGTTGGCCACTTCGAGGTCGATGACTTTGTTTAGCAGCCAGTCGCGGAAGCGGCCGACGCATTCCTTTAAGTCGCCTCGGGTCTCATAGCGCGGATATGTCACAGCGCGGACGGAGACTTTGGGTAGGGCAACGCGGACGATGGCGGCGAGATGCTGGGCGAATTCGGACTTCTCGCCGAAGGTGTCGTCACCCCCCTTTTATTGGCTATCAGTTAGAAACGGGAGAAAGAGGCAAATGGGATGGAAATATCGCAGGATAGAGGGTAGCTTACCTTGAAGCCATGGATAAAACACAACAACAGTGTCTTCTTCATCTTGTGTCCCCATCGAGAAAGAATATTGGATGTAGGAATTTAAAGCTGAGGGTCGAGATGGAAAGTTTCAGATAAAGTACGAGCCTAGAACCTAGTACTACCGGGCACCCTGCGGCACTAATTGTTAGTTGAGTAGGGCTGTAGGATCAGCGCCGGAACCTTGCAAGGTCCACTGTGACCCGGCGGTTCGTCCTTGCTGTAAATGACGTTTCTTCAGCGGGTGGGCCCACCTATGATTCCACCCCATTCTCCTATTTTGGCATATCTTTACGTGAATAAGAGCATTTTAATGCATAAGTCACAGGGCTCTTTTGAAATGTGATTTGTTTAAATAAAAGGATGCGGATCTTCGAGACCAACCCAAGTTTGCACTCGTGTTGGTTCGTTCAATGTCGAGCCTGAAAACGCGATCAACTACAAATAGGAGCAAAGTCCGATATCAGGAACATCCACTGGCCCAATATCTGATTTCCACGACTTCAGGTCCTGGCGATCATTGAATACAGCTGTACTTCATACCACACCACCACGAGATCTTCGCGAGACATAGCTTGAAACGACCCTCCTAGTAAACCGGCATAATGTGACTATTAGTAAGTCGCTGCTAATCTCTGGACTAGGTACTGGCCGCTATTGATCCCCTCGTATTTCCTCTCCGTCTCAGCTGCGTACGTTCCGGGAATGGCCTCGATATAGCTCTTGAAGTTAGGGTTGCAGAAATACCTTGAAGCACAGTTAATTATTACTCTCCAAACCAATCGGGGTGGAATAAACTTACGCGATGCTATATCTAGCCGGGTAGACATCACCGTCGCCCGATGGCGGCTCTACCACGCGATGGATGGTGCTCTTGATGTTGTCGTTACTCCATCTAGCCAATAGATCACCGGCATTCACCACACATGTATCTTTGATAGGTGTCGCATCAACAAAGACGCCTGTTGGGCTCCGAACCTGCAGACCACCGCGAGAATCTTGGAAGAGGAGCGTGATGGAACCATAGTCGCTATGAGCTCCGGCGCGAACTTGGCCAGGGTTGATGGTGAAGACGTCTTTCTTGACCTCGGGGTAGTGAAGAAGTCGTAGGGTATTGTCCCCCTCATCGGTGAAAGCATCAAACCATGTCTCGTCGATGCCTAGACCGACGGCGATGGCGCGCATAACTTCCATATGAAGATCCTTGCACTTATTATGGAAATCGAGCATCGTCTCCTTGAAGCCCACCAACTCTCCTTCCTCAGCCGGCCAGTGGTTAGAATGGTCAGGTACGCCTTCGCGACCGATCTCCAGGCTCTCCTTTAAGTCGGGCGCGGCATCCCTCAGTTTCTTGACGTCGTTTGGGTCTGTCAACGTCGTGGTCTTCTCGCGGCCCGGAGCAGAGTAGCCTCTGTTCGCCTCTGGCGTCGACCAGCAGTGAGACATCTTGGTCTCGGTGGGCAGCCTGAAATACTTCGCTGACGTCTCAAACACATGTTTACGGTACTCGGACGTGATGGGTAAACCCTTCAGGTAGATAAACCCAGCGGTCTGGAAGCCGTGAAGGATGGCCTTGGCCGTCTCCCTCCTCTGCTCCGGGTTTCCATTGAGGAATTGGGAGAAGTCAATAAGCTATGTGTTCCCTGTGCTTAGTCACTTGTTCTTCTATGTTAGGATGAAGTATATATCCCGGGAGACCTACCGGGATGACCAGGCCCTCGCTTTTTACTGCCGCTGATTCCATGGCTGATTTCGGCTTATAAACGTACAGATTAAAATTACCGGACTGGTTTCAAAAATCGAAAACTAGTCGTTCACACGAAAGTAGACGAGCTTAGCTAGAGTATGGTTCGCCGTGCAGGAAGTCGAGGATAAAACCCTCACTTACTATAAGTAGTGTCGTCAAATTATACTACGATGCTTGATTTAAAGTGAGTGGAGGTCGGCCACTTCCGATAGAAAGCGAGTCCTCGTGAAGATTCGAATCTCTAAGAATGTTTGGTCTTTTCGCAGGCTCCTTATCAGTGCGGCCAAGTATTTGATCAACCAATCCGAAGCTAGATGAAGCGATACAGCTTGGTTCAATTCGATCTAGCACATACACATAGGTATGACTAATAACATCGACGCCTCGGGTAAAAATGATCGGGTATCGCCCGCATATATCGGAGATATCTTGAGTTACTTAATACATCCAAGGCGGGCATCTAGGGACTCCACAATAGATAAGATGCCTCCATCCAAATGGAGCACACGAGATGTGGGGTATTACTACGACACAGAAGATCCAAGGTTCGATCGATCCATTTAGTAAGATATATGGTTTGTTGTATCTTGGTTCTAGGTTGTATGTCCCTCCACTACCCTGGGACGATAACTTGCATGTAGCATAAGGAAAACTAAAAATAGGGGTTCTTCCACAGAGGCAGAAGCAACTAAACGAATACTAAGAACTTGGGCCAATAGGAACTTCTCAGTACGAGGGCTTTCTCATAACCAACTCGTTCAATTTCAACTGTTTCCATCGTCTCAATATCTAAATATACGAAAAACGAGCTATTTCACCCTAATACGCTACAACTGTGGGAAGTTGGCACGATGGGCTCACCGACACATCGCGTGGTGGATATCCACACTCATATGTATCCTCCAGCATACGTCCAACTCCTAGAATCTAGAGACAGCATCCCCCTAATCCGGAAATTCGCCGGCGCCGAGGAACCGCGTCTCATTATCCTACCCGCCGAGGCCGAATCATTAGACAAGAGTACTTCGGAAACCCCAGAGAACCCATCTTCTCACCTTCCCGGCCGGCCTGTAACGACTCACTATTCATCATTAAAGCAGAAGCTACACTTTATGGACACGCACAAGATCGATATCTCAGTTATCTCGCTTGCCAACCCTTGGCTGGACTTCCTCGCTCCCGAGGACGCCGGCGAGACCGCCAAGTCCATCAACCAAGAGTTTTCGAACATGTGTGGCGAAGCCCCAGGCCGCCTCTTCTTCTTCGCCACGCTACCCCTGACTGCACCTCCCGAGACGCTCCTCGCTGCTGTAGGACACGTCCGTGGCCTGAAATATTGTCGAGGCGTCATCCTGGGCACGTCTGGACTGGGAAACGGGCTCGATGACCCGGCGTTGGTACCAGTGTTCCGCGCCCTGGCCGCTAACAAGCTGACCGTCTTCTTACACCCTCATTATGGACTGCCGAGCGAGGTTTGGGGCCCGCGCGCGGCTGAGTACGGACACGTTCTCCCGCTGGCCCTCGGCTTCCCGATGGAGACTACCATTGCTGTCGCGCGCATGTACCTGGCCGGCGTGTTCGACCAAGTTCCAGAGCTCCGTATGGTCCTCGCGCACAGCGGCGGGACGTTGCCGTTCTTGGCGGGGCGCATCGAGAGCTGTATCGTGCACGACGGACACCTCGTGAGGGAAGGGAAGGTGGGGCCGAGCAGACGGACGATATGGCAGGTTCTGAAAGAGCAGATCTACCTCGACGCGGTCGTGTACTCGGAGGTCGGGCTCAAGGCGGCGATCGACGCTAGCGGCGTGGACAGGTTGATGTTCGGGACGGATCATCCGTTCTTCCCGCCGCTCGGCAGCGATGAGCAGGGCGAGTGGGAGAGCGTAACGTGGAATGCGGAGTCAGTTAGGAAGGCGTTGGGGGATGGGAGCGAGGCTGCGAGGGCGGTTATGGGCGGGAATGCCGTTGAGATCTTGATGTTGCATGAGGATGGTTGAACATCTCTGGTGTAGGTAGTTCATCATCGCGATTGCTCGTCTTATCCTAGCGGGAAAAGCTTTGAGATGACGATCTTATAGGTTATATAAAAGCCAATAGACCGAGAATCAAAGCACTACAGTCTTCACTAGGTAGGTCAAAGGCTATTGTGTTTTGAAATGAGTTGTCTTAAGGGGTGAAAGAATTGTTATACCCTAAATACCCAGTAAGTCATTACCCCTATTTTTCTACCACATAGGTCCGATGAACGTATAACGAATTTATCAAAGGGATAATAGATGTATTACGATTATAATAGCTTTATTTTCATTGAATGTAAGTCGATCACCTTTCCACTTTGATAGTATACCGCCGTATTAATCTCGAGACCGTCTAACATTCTTATAAATGCAGGGCTTGACGAAGCACGTTGTGATATATCGTAGCCCTTTCACCAAACTTGTCAGATCTTCCTGCTAAGTTACCAGTTAATAGAGTATTATCCACAATGCCGTCCTCTTATGAACGAATATCATGAACACACAAGAACAAAGTACCTTGTTCATCCATCCTAGGACGTTGTTTATTCTCTGCAAAAGCGGACCGCCCCATGAGTCGCCTATGATACGGAGAATGGTGTAAAATAATGTCAGTGGCCTTGGTAAAATTATTAGTTTTTTCCCGAAAACAATGTTGACACTCGGGTAAAGCTGCATTTTCAATCTTCGTTTTCCACACAGCAACCTCAGTTTCTGATCATGGCGGCCATCAAGACTCTCAGATGTGCCAGCTGTGATGCTGAGGTGCTCATCGACCTTCATACATGCATGATTTGTTATGATGTGCCCAAGTATGAAGATGGTGAGCGTCCCGACGTCTACTGCAACACCCTATGTCAACAAAACCACTCGGAGGCCCATAAGGCTCAATGTCAGCGAAGAATGAATCGACAGAAGCTGCTCAGAGCCGCTTCCTTGATGAAAGCTACCTTCCTGACTTTCCGCGAGTGCTTATACGGAAGACCCTTGGTACAGATCAAGCTCCACAACAACGAACTTCATCTGCACATCTACCCAACACCTCCGTTCAATCCATGGTATTATTCATTCCCCGAGGGTGTCACAGCCGATGTCAAGCACAAGGAGGCAGCGATCTCGATCGAGAACTGCAACGCTGCCGCAAGCATCTGTGGCCTTCTGGCAAGCCGACTTTTGGAAGGTAAGCAATCTATTCATATGAAATTAATACGGGCATGGCTTACACAGAGAAAGGTATCGCGACGAAGATGGAGTTGATCTGCGTGGACGTGAAGCCGCGAATTCTGGCGCGCTACATGACTCCTTCAAGAAACCCCGACCGTCCTGCCGAGACCTACCCTCTCCATACCGTGGTGGTCGTCGACATCCAGGAGGAAAAATGGATCATCGACATGACGGGACGCCAGTTCGGTTTCCCAGACGTCATCAGCCCCTTAAAGAAGTACATGAAGGACTGGCAGGGAAAACGCGTCAAAACCGACAAGCTATGCCCCTACCCCGTGGGCGAGTTAGACGATATCGATCACAGCAACTTCTTCCCGTTCATTCCGCCCGTCGACCGTTCTGCCGACTTTCTGGCACATCGTGCCCACGAGCAAACTGGCCGCCTCCACCTCAAGGCACTTATCGAGAAGCGCTTTGTCGACGAGAAACATCCGAGTTTCCCGGCTGATCTCCTGAACCGCACCGAAGAAGCTTTTCAAGCAGGATTGGGCGAATGGGTGGCGGAGGTGAAGGAGCACATGATGGACTTCGTCAAACGTATGACCGGAAAGTATAATCCAACTGATTAAGTGCGAAGACGGGCCGGTTTGAAGGACATTACCAAGTGTGGAAATCGGGTTGGGACTTTTCTATGGCTTTTAGTGTTTGCTCTTTCACTTAAGTAACACCTGAATGATCCAATAAAACGCAGTAACGAAAACAGTTTGCTGATGTTGACGGTCGAAATAAATGGATGTGATTCAAGGGCACTTGCGCATGGATACCAAGTAATATATAACACCCCGCCGACACTTTGGGGAACCTTGGAAGTTCTAAGTGTTCCAAGCCCAATCCAAGTAGGTACCTACGTTAAGTTTGCCACGCCCCTTATTAGTAAATGTGATGATAACTCAGCAACATAAACCACTACTACAACCATCGTATCTTTCCTACTTTCTCACAATCAGCGATTGTGAGAGCAGGTCTCAACGATTCTCTAAATACATTTCATCGCACAATTCGCACTTTCCGCTCATGTACCTTTTATCCAGGCAACAAGACAGCGAGGTTTGCTTCAAGGTATATTCTTGGCGTAAGATTTAGGTACAGCTCTTTTGATGGATACATATGATTGGATAAAAGGTTCCTAGACATTCCTAAAACAGCAAGTATCCGGTTACACCAAGTAAGGGGTGTGATAGTGATCACTCCGCTAAATTTTCGTGGATAACCGCTGTAGTTCAAGGGTCTTAGCCACTGAAGAACGGTATCGCATAGTAGCCTTGCGAAACTTTGGGCCTGGACTTTCGTACTGTGAACCATCTGCCATCAGAAATTTTCGAAATTAGAAGGAAGTAATGAAGTGTTGAGTCGAAAGGCCAAACCACCCTACTCGAAGCGACAACCCCTGTAGCTTTAAAGAGTTTACCTTGGTACGAGTCAAAGCGTTTGAGGCACAATTGCCACATCATTCTGGCCACATATAACTTTTTTATTCCAAAGCTGGGATTTATCGCGATCAAACCTAGATGGGCCAGATGGGTGCAATATTGTACTTGAGAATTTGTAAGCGGTTAAAATAAACTCGAGTTACGCGGCTGCTCGGCACTTATAAGGATCGAATCTAACGAGCGGCCCGCTTAATTAGACAGACTCTATGTGGATACTTGAGTACCTTGTTTTCTTATATCGTAGACCTTACTATCGCCTCATATGCTTCCTTTGAGAGCTGCAAGGTGGTTCTTAGGGTATCACTAGAGAGCTCAACAGCAGGGCTATCCAGCAGTGTATCACATGGACTAAGATACCAGTTATTATTGACATTATTGACGATGAAATGCGATTAATAATCCATAGTAAGGGTATTGGGAGGGTTGATAGGTAACCATAATTCGGTAAGAATAACGTCAATCGCCACAGCGAGGGTCAAAAACTTCCTTTAATCCAGGTAGCAAATGCTACTTAGTTTTATGCGGGGGTTGCATTCTAGAATACAAAGGGATAAAGGGCAGGCACCAACAAGCCTAATAGGAGTTGGACCTAAACTACCTTTTATCCCTCCACCCAGTATTTCTAGGATAGGTAATCCATAAGACTAGTCTCGATTTGGCTTAGACTCCGCCAAGCGGGACCCCTGACGAACGCTCCTCTGAGACCAACACCACTTTGCGTGTAACCACGCTTGTCAGCAGAAGAAAGATCATCATATATCTCTGATTTCTAATCGTTCTCTCCCCGAGCAAGTGGTGTAGGTTTGTATAAATACTAGAAAATGATCTATCTACTTTCTTCACCTCGTCAGTCTCATACTCTCCATCTCAACCTAACATCGCATCTAGTATTTCACGCAGAGAGACCCTAATCCGCTCGAAACAATGTCTTCTCAAAGAGCTCTTGTCATAAAGGCTGCAAAGGTCGCAGCCGTGATCCCCGATGCTCCCGTTGCTAAGCTTCGGCCGGGCTTCGTCAAAGTTAAGACCGTCGCCGTGGCTCTGAATCCTACTGACTGGAAGCACATCGACGGAGTCGGGGCTCCTGGCTGCACCATAGGTTGCGACTATGCCGGTATTGTCGAGGAAATTGGCCCGGATGTTACGAAGCCATTGAAGGTCGGCGATAAGATTGCCGGCTTTGTTCACGGTGGTAAGTTTTATCTAGGCGAAGGGCGGTTATCAATAAGCGAGAAAAGGAGTGCTTCGTCGAATTGTCATGTGCTAACTCGTCTACGATAATAGGAAATGCCGACAGACCCGAAGATGGTACTTTCGCTGAGCACATCGTGGTCCACCCTAGCCTTGCCATCAAAGTCCCCGACAACCTCCCGATGGAGGAAGCAGCGACGCTAGGTGTCGGCGTCACCACCGCCGGCCAAGGACTTTACCAGTCCCTCGGCCTCCCCTGGCCCAATGCGCCGGCCGAAAAGCCGTTCCCGATCCTGATCTACGGGGGCAGCACCGCAACCGGCACGCTCGCGATCCAGTACGCGAAGCTATCCGGCCTCCAAGTTGTCACCACTTGCTCGCCGCGCAACTTTGATCTCGTGAAGAGTCTCGGCGCCGACCACGTCTTCGACTACAACTCGCCAACCGCGGGAGCTGACATCCTCAAGGTCACCAACGGAGAGATCGCCCACGTCTTCGACTGCATCTCGGAAGGAAACTCTCCCGCCATATCGGCTGAGGCTATTGGCCCTAAGGGCGGGAAATATAGCGCTCTTCTACAGGTCGATTCTCCTCGAAAGGATGTCACCAGCGCGATGACTCTGGGCTACCTAGCTGTCGGCGAGTCGTTCTCTAAACTTGGCATGGAATTCAAGGCTACTGCTGAGGACCACGAATTCGCCTCCAAGTTCTGGAGTGTTACTGAAGATCTGTTCGCTCAGGGCAAACTCAAGGCGCACCCGGTTAGTCTCCGTGAGGGTGGCTTAGACGGGATCCTTGATGGTCTAGAGGAGCTGAGGCAGGGCAAGGTTAGCGGCAAGAAATTGGTTTATAAGATATAAGTAATCTCCAGATGGAAATACTTGAAGTTCTTAAACTTCGAGCAAAATTTAATTATAAAGGTTTAAAGTAGGATAATCTCAACTTCGTCTTGGTGATCATATACATCTATCCGGTTGGTCGGATTACTTGGCCACATGGTAGAGTCTCCAACCAAAATTCGACCTTGGTACTCATACATTGGTAATCCATCAACCGATTCGTCCTTGTACACCATAGCGGCAGCAACCTGCAAGGCCATTTCGACACCACTTGTGTGTGGTAGCATGGCAAAAGCATCGAATTTGGTCGATTTGGCCACGTCCTCCGTCTTTGCCATGGTAACCTTCTTCGGAACTTGACCGTGCAGAATTGTCACCGCGATGGCATACTGCAATGTGCATGGACGTGACAGCCGAGACACCTGATAAGAACCAAGCAACCTTCCGGCAGGAAGGCATCGGGCTAGCTTGTTTCTGTTCCTCGTGGCGCAGGATCTGCGAATGTCCGGTATCTTATCGTTCGCAAGAAACGACAATGGCGCCCAACGGAAACCAGGCGATGTCATTCGAGGGGTTGACGTAAAGATAATGTCGCTAGGGACTCGTCCCAGGGCTTGGAAGAATAGCTTCCTTTGTTGCTCAAGGTCATTCTTGGCAGCGAGGAGAGGCTTGACGTCTAGGTCGAGCAGGTCGGCGATAGCGATAACCTCATCGCTCGCCCTCGACGTACTTCGCAGCCGAAGCATATGTAACATTTGCGCCAAGTCTATTTCTTTCCCGAACTCCTGCCCTAGTATATCCGTACGCATTAGCATCCTAAGAAATTGCATGGAAAGTGTCTGGATGACGGGATTGAAATCTTGCTGGCAATAGTCAATTATGGCATCGTGGATGTCCTTGGAACTCGCTAACGTGTTTCGAAATTGGAAAATCAGCCGCGCTGGGAGAATTGTCTCTGGAAGTGTCCACAAGCGTTGCATCCAAGGTGATGTCACTATTGCTAAAAGAGTAATCTCCAGTGGTGGCCACCCATCATCATTGAAGTACTTTTGTCTGATATGAGAATCAAGGACGATTGTGACTGCACAGTTCTTGTATGTTGCGTTCATCAGTATAATGGCCTGGATGCGGGCATCGTCTTGCTCTGGGACGCAGAGAGAGTCGATCCAGATATACTTGAAGCCAAGAGCGTGTGCCCTCTCGAAAAGACTGGCGACGAGACAAGTGGGTAGACCTTTCTCCGTAGTGCTACCCATCCTGTCAGACCAAACATGGGAATACGCAGCGTATCCACCAAAGGCTTCTATCTCTGAAGAGTCGCTAACTTGGAGAGAGATATTGCCCTGCTTTAGATTCCGGGGAATCGACGTTACCTCTTGTTGCCCTTCAATAGAGATAACCGGAATCTTCCCTCGTCTGAGTAAAGCCGTGACATCGTATAGGGGTGGTTTTAGATGTGAGCAGCTGCAACCGTGGATGTCATGTCTAGGTTGATATGAAGCCTCGTCAACCTTATAGGCAACACAGTAAAGTGGTGAGCACCTTTTATGAGTCCTCCAAGGTGGTTCCTTTGTGTTGAAGTAACGGGCAAATTCGGCCACGGAATAGCCGTACGTAAAAAGGATTCGTGCCATAAAGGGACACCATCCACACGCAACAAGACGATGAGCCAATCGATTTTCGCTTTCAGCCGTATAGCAACCCATAAACCCACGCCGTAAGGACCTTGATTCCTGTAGGAACGTCCTCTCGGTATTGATACTTCCACCAACCAAAGTAAGTAGAACACAGACCGAGTCGACCTCATTTGGGGCTGTTCGCACTCCTATCGACGTGCCTCTACGGCGATCTATGTCATTCTCCTGCCAGTTACCGAGCTTCAGACACCATGTTTGGATCTCAGAGAGGACCTCAGCAATCTCGCGGCATCGATTCTCCTTTTCATGGACTGGAAGGCTTTTAGTTGAAGACCTCCAATCCTTCCAAAGATCAACTAAAAATCTCGTTGATATGATTTCTTGCTTTCGTCTGATTCGAATATACTTATCGGATTGGATTCGGCACTTAATGATCGACTCAAGAGCTCCTAAAAACAGCCAACTCTGAAGCATTGGTAGCGTGTCTTTGCAAAACGCAGTGTCCACTTCAGCCCTTTTCATTACTTGGACGGCATCTAGGCTCCATCCTCGTAAGATCGGATATTCACTAAATGAACAAACTGGGTATTTTGAGTGGTCAAACTTCAGCCATTGTATGGGAAATAGAGGCTGGTCCTTATAGCGAAAAGGATCGAGACCATTGAAATGATCCATTTTTTATAGAACGAAGGCACTTTTCTCATGAGATAAATGTGAGAAACTATAATCGCAGCCTCCAAATCGGAAATCAGTCATCGTTGGGTTGCATTGGACGCAACCGCCACGTGGATGACATCCGGACGGCGGTTGAAAGATAATTATTGTAATTTAATGGTTAATCTTGATTGGCTAAGAGAACACCACGGGCATTTATAAGCTATGTTTGAGCGCCTATCTATATAAAATCTTGAAGTCAGTCGTTATATCCTACTAACCGATCCTTAGAGTCTCCAGCGGGACATTATCGGCAAGTATTGAAATAGGTGCGATGGTGATATCGGTAGCGTACGGTCCCAAAATCACCCCTGGATTTCGCCTGAATACTGATAGTGGTACAAACACCTATATTGTACAGATTAGAACTCGGGGTGGGCCATTGTGTTATAATGACTGTTCTTAACATCTGTCCACGAGGTATCCGGCTTAGTAAAACGTCGAGTTAGCTTAAACTTTTTTATTGCGAATGTGTTCATACGAAATTTCAACATCTAATAACGGCTCGTCCCGTATGAGCCACGATTGTGTGTATTTGTCTCTCTTCGGCGAGTATCCCTCTCATAGCGTCTATGCTCCTGCAAATTTAACGCTCATTCGTCATCTCCATCTCCATCACCCCCTTCTCCATCCATGTTATACTTCTCCTCCAAGTCGGGGTAGCCGTAGCTTTCTAGCGTGAGTTCGAACAGCATTTCGAACATATCGTCCGGACGGAAGAAGAACTTGCCCATCTCGCCTTCCGCCGTCTTATCTTCTTCATCGTCATCCTCATCTCCGTCCTCCAGCTGTGCGTAGACGAACAACAGCCCGTGGTCCTCCAAGTCATCCTTGGTGACGACGATGAACGACTCGGGTCTCCAGCCGGCGGATGCTGCGCCCTCTTCCGCGGGCTGCAACTCCTTGTCCATAGCTATGTGTGCGTTGATGATGTCGCGTAAGGTCTGGCCCGCGAAGTTGGCGGTAGGTCTGGCGGGCCGCACGAGCTGCGAACTCTGCTCGAACTGCGACTCCCAATCCCCTTGATGCTTGGACGCTATCTCTTCTAGTCGTGAGTTTGGCATGTTGGGAACCATGGTGTACAGAGCGATGGACGACTCCTGCGTGGAGCATTCGTGCAGATCTCTCACCAGCGCTGGTTCCGCGTGTGGGATGCTGAGGTCAAGCTCTGGAGATGCCATGTTTGTGGTGTCCGGTGTTAGTGATTGAGGTGAATGAATCTGACCTTAACTTGGAGAGTGTGAGTGAGCAAGAGAAGAGGAACGGTGTGACCGAATTCTTATCTTTTTTCTTAAGGCCGATTAGCTTCTAAGCTTGTTCTTCCAGGGGGAGGTGAGTCTCGCTAAATAAGCTTTCGGGTTGGTTGAAATAGGTAAATGCCTAATCGTTGGACGTTACACGGGATGCGGGGAGGGAGAAGAAAGAGCAGAATCTCAAGCAACAAAGGATTCACTATCTGAATAAAGTAACCTCTCTATTCAAGTAGAGAAGATAGTGTAATCTTTTAATGAATATTAGTCATTATTTTATTCAATCAAGCAAAATATTGGCTGACACAGCCTTACCCCTGAGCCCCTTACTTTAAGAATAGGGGTTCCACGGAAGGCGTCAACCTGGGGCTAGGGATGGATACCTAGGTATTCGTCAACGTAGCATCTTAATACCTACATTTTACATAACATCAGATGATTGACAGGACAGTGGTGATCGGTCGATCTGAAGTATCATGTAGCACAACATGTCCGCCATGTGTGGTATGCTTTGAAAGTTCAGACCGGTTCAAAAGTTTTATAGCAGCGAGTTACACGAAAGTCCTAAAACTATTAATATAGATTACAGTATGAGGGTTTTAAGGACCTAGGTAACCTGTAGGATAGAACTTACTAGTACTGTGGTTTCATTCCTGCGGCAGGTCACACCGCATCCAATCCTCTCACATCATCAATGTCTTAGCCTTGGTAGGTGTTGATCCCGACTTCATAAGGTGTTACTTTACAGTCTGAATCCCTGTATTGGTTTAAATATATTGCTTCGATAAGCCGTTAGCAAAAACAAGACATATCGTTCCTTCCACAATATGCGAGTAAATATCGATGGACGCTAAACTGGTGTAACAGCTCTTATAGTGAATAAAGCGATAAGTCATTTTTAAGGAAGGAGCTAACTGTTGAACATTCGTAAAGCGCTACGTTAGCTATTAGTAGGATTTAGACATGTTCTTATGTTTATCGGTCCGGTAATTGAGCCCCCATTGTATCATGAAACACTTATTGGTGAAGGCCTATTTGCCTCTTGCTATGGCTTGGATATCCATGTTGATATACATAATATTAAAGGGTCATGGGAATATATTGATTACCTACCTAGGGACGTACCTACGTAGTATCTCAGCTCAGTTAAGTCCATCCAGGTCATCGATTCCAGCCCGCTAAACACCCAGGCTTTCTGCCATGGCTACCTTTCTTAGTGCGCTATATCACTTCTACCGGAGCTTCATTGTAATTCCATGTCGTAGTTCAACCTGTTATCCCCGTTAATTCATAGCCTACCTACTTAGCTTTTGAGATAGACGTAGGTTATAAGTGCCATATTTGTTGTATTAGAATGTTAAGTTACTAGGAGTAGGAAGAGATCCATAGGTAGTACACATATACCCCTGAGATACAGGGCGTAGGTAGGCTCTCAGCCACCGGATATTCCAGCGTTAACAACTACTGAATCAACGTAGGAAGATGACATGTGTTATCCTGGACCAATTCAGACATATCTTTAAGTACCTACCTAGGTAGGCACTAGTATCTTCAGTCCGTGAGTATCTAAATAGATAGACCTTGAGTGGTGTGAGCAGGACCTACAAAAGGTTGACATTGGACATTTGAAAGTATGGTATACACTTAAATCTCATCATAATTCACTCAAATGTGCCTAATATTCAGAGTCAGGCTTGTTGGCTCGTTTCAAATACATCCCAATAAATATGCACATCCGAGTAGATAATCTCATTTGTAACCGCATCGCCACTCGAGTCCTAGATATTTATAGACAATGATTGACAATCCTTATGTTAGCAATACATACGGAAGATGACCAGGATAATCTAGATATTGGATCAACGCCCTCAGAATGACACGAATATGACTTGTTCCACTGCTTCTGTTCCTGTCCCAAGTATAGACGCACGTAGGTGACCAAAACAAGCAACGATTACGTTAGGAGAATGTCTCAACGAAAGAAAGGAGGTAAGCAACAGCGGCACAGGAAGAAGAGGGTGTCGAGACATCCCAATGCCTTCTTAATGATAGTTTGTTTAACGCCATGGGAAGAACATAAATACTACATCGACATGTCGAGTCGGTAGAGCTTTTCACGTCTTGGTCTCCCAGCAAGCTCTGCTATTCGCCTCAATACACTCATAAGATATATACATATCTACCTACATATAATCACTTACCTAGATATATATCAACATGAAGTTTCCGGCTGTTTACGTAGCTCTCGCCGTATTCTCGGCGCAATTTGCACTTGCCAACAATGCCTCCATCGAAACCACGGGACAGGCGGCCGCTCCTATAGCTTTCGTTATAAACTGCGGTGGGAGCGGCACCACGAAGGGTGCTGGAGAAACATGCAACACAATGGTGATTTCCAAAAAGCCTCCAAATGATCTCTATCAAATGAAGTCGCATTTCTAATACTTACTGACCCCTAAGTGCTACGGTATCAACTGCAAATTCAACACTAAGATCTACAATTACGACAACCCGTCAGACTCTACCAAGAAAACTCGGCGCACACGTGCAGGCTGTACAAATGGCAAAGGGAAAAACAAGAATCCTTGCAAGGGTAACAAGAATGGGGACTCATGCGACGAGTTCCCCTTCGCTTCAACTAAAGAGGCCGACACGAAACAGCAATTCTATCGATGTGTGTCTGCCAACGATAATTCGAGCCAGGGCGGCCAGTTAGGAAACCTCTACAAGAACAAGTGCGGAAAGAAGTCCTGTGAGTTCCAGCTTGGCTTCAGCAATGAATCCAACTTCCAGTACTGTAAGCCAAAACCGTCGTGTAAGAGCGATGGAAACCTCTTCACGAAGGGGAACAAGCCGCTCAAGCGCGACCTCGAGGGCGATGAGGAGATCACCGTTAAGCCCCGGTCCACTGGGGGTTATTACAGGCTGCGTAGTGGAGAGACATTTTGTGAGCTCTATCTAGCTTTCTACTCATTAGATGAGTTACGCGCTAATCAATTCTCATAGATTCCCCCAGCGACTTCGAGATCGGCACCCGAGCTGTTTACCACAACTTCAACAAGACCGTTGTAGCTGACCTAGATGCTCGCGATCTTAACGACGAAGATTATTTCAATGCCTTGGAGATAGTTGAGGATGAGATTATCGAAAAGCTTTGAGAGGGAGCTTCGATGATCAACTCTTCTATGAAATGCTGAAGATATATGATACTTCGGTTTTATGTATTTTTCAAGTCAAATCGCGTCAAGTTGGTGGAGGACCATAGCCATTCGTTTCATGAGCCAAATCGTGTATGGGTAACAAGTGCTTATTCTTATTTTACTATAGTTATAGATAAGTGGTGCAATTTATTCGAAAGGGCAGAAATACGATTTACCCCGTTTTTGCCAGCCTACCAATCTCTGATGCCTTTGTATGTATGGCCTAGGCACCTTTATCACGTATAAATTCCTAGGTACATGTAACTAGTAGAAATACCGTTAAGGTAATTAGGTAATTTGATAATCGCGATAAATTTATTAGATAATATAAAATATAAACTCTTACATCAAAAGAAGTATTGCTCCAATCATTGCCCTGTCCCCTAATTACAACGCAGTGCCGAAGGCACGGGGAGATGTCACAAGCCAGTTTTGTTAAATATGATTATGTACATGTCTAACCTTCTTAAGAATCAAATCTCATTCAATTTAGTCCCTACATACTACAAACCTAAATGACTACTTTAGATAAATTCTTCCTCATTTCATGAATCCAGGCTTCCCGTCTCCGCTTGAACTGGTCATGGGGTTCAACTTATCCAAGATACTGTGATGCTCTTTTTCTCCGGATTCTGTGGCCTGCGCCGAGTGACTCTTACGAGTATGCTCAGTTTCCCGTGTAAGATCCCTTCCTTTATCATTCGAAGGGTCGAATTTCCCAGGGATCACTCCGGTGGATTGATCTTCGCGGCCGAAATCCTTCTTGTCATGCATGGATGAAACGGCCCCACGGATGCTCTGCGGCTCACCTTCAAAAGCATCATAGCGTTCTTTCTGTCCGCTCAGAGTGCCGCCTGACTGTTTGTACTGGTCCATGCTGACTGGCGGTAGAGAGGTCGTCTGATGGTGTTGTGCAGGGTTGTGGTGAGTCTCATGGATTGGAACTGTGGTGTGTACAACACTGGGCTGAATAGTTTCCTTGTGTAGGACAGGCTGGATGGTCTCGTGTATGTGACTGGTATGGAATATTAGTCGAGTGGCAATATAATATTTGACAATGTGTAAACTTGCTGGTGAACACGCTCCCCTTCGATCGCTGGGGCATGGGCCTGTGTATGGACTGTATCCTTAACCCTGCGTTCATCTTTGAACTTTTCTCCCTCGGACGCCAACGTCTTCTTGACGTCTTCGTGATCCCGATGGTCAAATTCCCTATGCTGGACGTTGCCGATCTTGTGTTTGTGCTGCTCGGGGAGGACCTCTGTGTCATGAACGGGCTGCACAGTGCGATGAAAATGGTCCTGATGTATCTCCTTGTTCACGGCCGTGTTGATATCTTCGTGCTCCGTCGGTTTAACCGTTTCACGCGTGACAGCCGGATCAACTGATTCATGGACGGTAGTATCATGATGACCGGCTTTGCCTATGAAGTCTCGGATCGTTTCTTTAGTCTTGTTCATTATGTATGAAGTTGAGAACTAATTAGGGTTAAATGTTGAATATTATGATGTTACTATACTTGAGATATTGGAAAGGAAGAGAGCTATTGGGCACTTAGACATAATTGGATTTAGAAGCCTATATATATGTAAGATCATTTACTACCCAGTTGACGCAATGGCTACCGAGTTCCACCCTAATGTGTCTCTAGTAGGTACCGATTCATTCTTGATCAGGAATTGCTGAATTCGGCCGATATTTTTGGAAGTATCCAATCAGGAAAGACCGGCTAAACTGGAATAGAGGCCTATACGTCAGGGGTCTAGTGCCGTTCAGAGCCATACTGACATGTGATCAAGATCGAAAGATGTCTACTTTAGTATAAATGCGAGACAAATCCATTTTTCCATGGGAATAATAATACATTGCTTATTGATGATGTACTGATGAAAAATGATATTTCAGCTCGCCAAGTTTCCCTCATAATATGTTCAACCATGAATAATAATCGGAAGATCGCACGTGCTAGCGTTAGGTAAATATCAGACAGACTCTAGGATTTACGAGCGAAAGGCTAAAAGATAAATTCACTGACTCGGTTATGTCGTAATCCACAACAGCTAAACCTAAGCTGCATTATTAGTCACTCTATTTGCAAATAAAAGCCGGTGATAACTATCTAAGCTACCTAAACACAACAATGGCTCTATTTTGGCGTATGCTGTTTATTTAAATTGTGACGTCTTCCGCTGGTTATTCTATTTTGGTAAGAGATACAACCACAAGCGATGACGTTTAATTCATGATTTGTCCACTTCTTACAACGGGCTAAAACTTAATAATGATGCGTCATCTTCTCGTTTACGTGTAGTCCTAGGGAAAAGTCACAGTCTAGTCCAGCTCAAGTCCATATTCAGAGTCATGATTATTCTCGGAGCTATGATCATTGCTTCCCCGCGCAAACATAGAGGACCTTAACCAGCACCGCTTCCGGCTGAGGTACTCAGTCAAGTAGGTACCTAGTGGGTTAAGATTAATTCCTCATTATCAATATCTACTTTGAATATTTCCCCCCGTTATGAAATGGCTAAAGGCTCACCTTCGGAGACGAAGATACAATAAAAAAGATGGCTTGGCCTCTACAAACTCAGACGAACCAAGATCACGTACTGCCACATACTCGGGGTCTCATGAAGATTATACGAATAGGGGAAGCTTGACCACTGACCAAAATCATTCAAAATTCTCCCCGTCTCTTCCTACAATCAGCAGCGAATCAGATAGTGGCGTATCGCACGACTGTAGGAAGGATATGCCAGGGGATATCGACACGGAAATTCCATCAAAGACGGATATACCACCAAGAAACGTTCCTACGGCGCCCATTCTTGGAAAAGCAAGAAATCAGTTACCAGAAGATGAAGAGAAACGCAAATTGTCAGATCTACTCATGAGCGAAAAGAATAATACTCTAGCCGATGGTAGAAGCAATTGCCTCATGAAAGGACAAATCGCCGACATTTCCAACGTTGAGGACATTGACGAGGCCAGATCATGTTCTCAAGGTATGCACAATACCTCCCATACATTTTACACCAAACCTTGCTCAAACGCTTCATAGCTGTAACTCACGAAACTGTTCGCCCGTATGTCCACGAGATCAAAGAGGAGCAGATACACCGTGAGATCCACAACCACGATGTATACCACCGAGTCCAGCCTGTTTATGATGTAGAGGTGTTGCCTGCCCGCCATTTCGTTCCAGGATCCGCGGGCGCCCTAGTGGAAGTGTCCGAAGACGACCTACCGGAGTGCACTGGTTCGAATCAGAAATGGCATATTGGCGAGACGCCACCGCCCGTTGTGTCATCTTCGATGAATCAGCAACATTGTACTGTCAAAAGGAAAGATTAAGGGCGAAGAGAGTCCCCTATTATCAGGTGGCTAGGATTAAGGGTTACTATGGTAGGTAACCAGGTCCCTGACTGATCGGGGATAGGGCCACGTGTTTATAATGACTAGGTACACACTATATAACACTACGAATTCATTCACTGGTATTTCGATATTTATATAGGTGATTATATACATGAGTAAAATAGGAAACAGTGAATCTTTAGCTAAGGTTATCTATCTAACCCCTGTCTAACCCCTGGAGTCATACCCGGTGCCTTCTTTTTCCCGTTGCCAGGTCCCAGGGGTACATGAAGAGGAATAAATATATACAAAGGCCTCCCCGCATGTCTGCAAATGTAATCAATTGTTATTCCCCCATAGTAGATCGAGAAGAACAAGACTTCACGATGAAATCTCAATCGGTTACTACCTAATTACCTTCTTGGGGGACCAGTAATGATTTCTTGACAGAGGCTTTTTACGACCGCGTCTGTTTCCGTCGCAACACCACGATAATGATCTTCGCCTCTGTTCGCTGCAAGCGAGCACCAAGCGAATAAGGTGTGTAGGTTCGGACGCTGTCCAGGATCCGACGCTAGGCACCTAGCGACGGCGAACGTCAAATCGTCGTCAAGCCAGGGATTTGGCCCGCCCTGGCTACCGACTGGAAGAATCGCAGTGGCCATTGTTTCGATTCTCACACCCATATGATTTATCTCTGTGTGCTGCCCCTCACCCGGCCTAGAGACTCGTATGTATGGATTCATAGTAATAAACTTGACCATGGCCTGCCATGCCGGTTAGTAAGTGACCAAAGGGCTTATTGAATCATTTGGGCAGGTGTACATACCTGGCCAATATCCCATACGTTGCGCGCCACGCCATGACGATATGCACCATGCGCAAAAGTCCACTCGCCGGCCAGACCGAAGTCGACGAACTTTACAATCGGTGAGATTCCGTGCTCTGGTTCGGGAAGAAAGTCACCCATAAGGACTTGGTTTAGGTTAGCTTAGCGCTTCTCTAGTTGGATAGGCATCGATGAATAGGAGATATCCACATACTATTCCCATGGTGAAGGTCTTTATGTTCAATACCCGAGGGTGGAACGCCCGGTACTGGGACTTCGTCCACTACTAGGTCGTCCGTGCGATTATTGGGCCACTACATCCAACGAAGAATCAGTACCAACCAGAAAGACAACGTAGTCATTGTGTATCATGTTATGAGGTTGACTTGAGCCGCTGACTTCGCGAGGAGAATACGATGAGAACGGCAGAGCAGGATAGTTGAAAACGACATTTGAAGGTATTACTTACGGCCAAACCACAGCAGGCTCTTACCACTATATTCCTATTAGCACAAAGAGCATTAAACGGGCTTAAGATATTCCTTTGCACCATAAGTGAACCGGTTATATCGAGAAGTTGACTTACAGCAGAAGAAGAACCTCCAGAGTAAACGATTCGGGAGGTATTCTACTCCAAGGTCGGAGGCGTTGACTATGAAATCTGCCATCGTGCCATTTGGTATCCATTCTAATATAATCCACTCGCCGGTTCCGCTGTTGCGTCGGATAGAAAAAGCTTCTGGATCATCTACTAGGGGATTGTTTTCGATGTTGAGTATTTTAACTATATGCTTGGCGCCGCGCAACCTCTACACATTTCCGTAGTGTTAATTCAGAGACTCGATTATATTCGCTTGTAGTCTATTCAAAAAGTAGGTACATACCGTCAGATATTGTCTCTCTGACCTCATCATAGACATTGCGTCCCTATTGCCGAAAGCTTTTTTTACTAAGAAATCCGTTAAGTCCGGTCTACTCGGATCGGTATATCGTACGTGATGGGCAGAACCATAGCTCCCAGAGGCGATCAATTTTCGGTAGTGAAATCGGGCGTCTCGATCAAAGCGTTCCTTAAGGAGTTCGCACGTCGATTCTATATCGGAGCTCATTTTGTTTCTAAGTGATGTGGGAGGTCAAGCAATGGCGTTGTAAATATCGTACACTACTAATAAATTTCCTTGATTTTAACTAGCAACCACTTTGATGTCCCACCACATCTTCTACTGCGGATGATATCTCAGTATGACCATTGTTCCTATGATAGGATCAATCAATCCTATTGCGGCCATGTCGAACAAGGAAGTAGGTCTCAACCGACGAAATTTTCTTTATCCTAAACAATGAGTTCTGAGAACAAGGTCCACCTCGGTTTGATGATGGGTCGGTACTCATTACATCGAGTTGAAATTTTATGTTCACTATTATAAGATAATGTATAATTAAATTTATATTTAGATCAGTAAAACTAAGAAATGAATTTTCTGCCGCAGTCTCTTGTTAAGCCTAAACCAACTAACTTCACGCGCATCTAAGTAAATCCTGGTCAAACCGGAGGGTTTCAAACGACTCCAAATTCTCGCAAGACCAACGATCCAAGGATATATTCCTCCATTCTGATAGATCAACTCGTCCACGCACATGGAATTTATAACGCACCCTCTCCGCACCCAGAGCAGGCCTCCTTTCAGTATCTAACCCGACGCAACGAGCTTGTTTCGGAAACAACTCCCAACGTCGTTACGCGGCCGATTGTAGATGGGGGTGCCACGCTAACCTGTTCTCTGGCCGGCGAGCCTTATTCTAATGCCGAATAACATGAGATACAGGCGAGTGGCAAAGCCTTGTCTTGCTCCAGGCGTGCTGCCGATACCGTTGAAAGACTTGGCTATGGAAGCGTCGGAACCCATGTTCACATGCAAGACGGCCGGGTAGGTCCGATATACGGGCAAAGAATCAGTCCATCTTTCAAGCGCCTTGGACGGGAACAAGTCCGAAATAATCCGAATTACGGATTGCTATCTCGCCTTTGCTGGATTACACTGCATGTCATACGGGAAGGATGCAGGGCATCTGGAACTTTGAGGATCTCCCGTGTTTTACCCCTTGCTAAGTCCGCATGGAGGCTAGATCCTTTTGGGGATATATAATAGCGTCTTATTACCTACGAAATATTATTTGTCAAACCCCCTCAGCTCCTCTTAGTCGAGGTCTTGAATCAAGTTATCTGTAGATGGAGTTGGTATCTGAACTGTTCACAATCGTGTGAATAGTTTTTCCCGAAAAGGATGTTATAGCCTCACGTTACCCAAGGGTAACGATACGTACCTCCTTGACACATCATAATATCAAGCATAACATACCTGACTATAGGTCTTCTTCAGCCTAGAAATGTCGATATCTACTCATACTCTATCAAATAAATGAATCTTGATAAGTAAGCCTCGAGTAGAATAGCTGAATAACTCACTTGAATTTCCGGGTGGGGGTGCTATACAGAGATCTAACGGCGTTAAGGGGTCTCTCATTCATTTATTAAGCTGACCTCACCCCAATCGGGTCGGCTACCGAAATCCTCGCTTCAGCACGCAGCGCTGCGGCACGTATCGGTATTTGAATATTAGCTGCTTCGTTAATTTTGCAATGCGCTGTGCCCTCATTTTTCTGTGTCAAGTCCAGTTCGCTATCGTTTTGTCATTCGTAGATAGGAGTTCAGGTGTGTTTGATCTGTTGCTACATCGAATCTCACCACGATGTCGAGTACTCTGGTTCACCGGCGAGGTCAGCTTACTCATTTTGGGTGCAACCTCGGTTCGAGCGAGTGACCGGTTAGACATATATGTATGAAGAACCAAACAGTCAGTCCGTTGCGTCGCGGTCCATTTTAACCATCATCTTACTCTTCAAAACTTGCCCCTCTCGCAACATCAAATTGCCTTGTGATCGATGCCCACCGCCAGATCCACGTAATCGTCTGATACCTTTATTCAGACGAGAAACGCCAAGAGTGACAATATGTAGAGGCATAACTAGGTACTTTGTGACTGAAGCGCCGCAAGCCGGGAGTCTTTCGGCCGATATCAACCCAGAGCGACGGTAACAAGGTGGAGGTCAGCAAATATTATCAGATTTCTCATCGATTTTCCTTACGCTAACGGCTTGGAAGGCCTCTTCGTACCTGAACGATCTTGCTCTAGTTTTTTGAGCCCTGGCAGCCCAGTCTTGTTGGGGGCATGAAAGAGGGGAATGCAAGCATAGGTTGTCAGCGACTGCTTACCCGACCCTATGGCGGTTGCAGGCCTGCAGCCTCGACCCTGCTGACAATTCTCCTCTTGCATACGGCACAAGCACGGCACAGACATGTCCTGCAAGCAAGCTACGAGTCTCTGCATTAGCCCCGAAAAGAAAAAGAGCTCTTTTTCTTCCAGCTTTGCCGGTTTGGGGATGTGGGCGGCGATCCGTTGTCTTGCATGTAGGGCGCTCATCTCGACCGAGAATGAGGTGATGGGATATCCTGCTCAGCGACTCCCCGTGTATGCGACTTTGGGCACGGCTATACGAAGGAGGGCCGCTCCGGCCCAGACTGCGATGCAGAGATCCAGGTTGGGCTATGAGGCCGGAGAAGGCCTTAAGCGGTCTCCAAACTCCGCGCTTTCGGCCATTTGCGGGTGGCCAGAAGATTCATCGAACTTCGCGTAAAAGCTTAAGGGCCAATACCGAGCCACACGAGTTGGGAATGTTTGGCCAGGGGTAATGAAAGTCGGATATGCGGCTCCGGAATTTGTAGCTGGTCGTAACTTAGGTCAATTGCTCTAGTATGATAGTAAATGTTTAGGGCTAGACGAGTGGGTTGGAAATAGGCAATCAAGGGTAAGTGTAGAAAGCGGATATTAACGTATCTATCGGAATTCCATGAAGTCGGGAAGAAAGGTCTAGGCTTGGTCTAATCAATTTGGCTCATACCTTGACCCTATCTTTCCCCCTATTATTTCCTACGGATAGGGGTAACTCGCCAATATATCCCTATTATTCCCTATAAAAATAGTCACCAATAATAGAGAGCCTTAGAGTTTATCTAAGGGTTTTATGATGAAGTTCAGCTCTCGGAATCATTGATGTCCTTCGATGTCACCGTCGCTAACACAATAAATTGATCCTAAAGAGATTCATTAGAAAGTATACCAACTACTACCTATACCTAAATGCTTCTAATGTATCACTTGATTGCTAAAAGTAAAAACAGGAAACAAATTTAGAATGTTGTCTGGTCGCGGCCATATGCAACACGCTCCATTCCTCATCGAATGACTAAACCGTACAGCAGTTTGGGAACGAGATGAGTCAGTGTTTAAGACCCCCATCAAGACCTCCACATTCCAATGGGGGAAAAAGCATTCGAGTAACACACGACTTATCTGCTTCTGCAACCATCTTCGGTCACCTAAATAATCATGTCTCGGTATCGTTGAGTCGAGGCCTTCGAAGACTCAACCATTTTAGGTGGTTTCAGAGTAAGTATGCACTTTCTATGTAACGAAGAGCTTTCTAAATACTAGCAGTATTGTTCAACAAACACCGTGCCCACTCTTTGAACAGATATAAGCGGATACTTGGATGCTCTTTGTAGATATGTACGTACCGCTATCATCAAGACTTCGATGCTTTCCACGTGTAGCACTCCCCATCACTTGTTTATGGCTTGATTATGTTTACCTTTCATTCATCGTCATCTACTTGCGATGACGTTGAATTGGACTCCGTGATCATTATTCTTCCGGGCCCACACAATTGGACTTTGGGTGGAATTGATGCTACCTACCTGAGCAGCTAAGCATGGGAATGCGATAAGGTTGATTCGATGTGCTTGATTATTGAGTCTCGTGACCGTGTCCAGTGGATATGGCCATAGCAGAAGAAGGCTACGTAACAACGAGAGAGGAGACGCCCTAAGAGGCCCCGTTACCCAACTTCAAAATCCGAGCTATCTCCAAGCGGAAGAATCGCGTGGTCCCAGATACTGGTGATGTTAGGTCGCAGGAAGCCGGTGCCAGAGGAAACGTTCGGGTTTCCCAGCAAAGAAAATCTCGCTACAGCACATGGTAAGCGGCCCACTAGGCCCGTCTAGGAATCGCGATTGCACGACTCTTCTAATTAGCGCAATGATTTACGGGACCAACAAAGCATCCCGGACCGAAAGCACGGAGCCTGCGGTCCATAGCGTCTAATTATAAATGACCGATGTGCTCATACGGTAAAGATATTCGGCTCATGATGCCAGGGGGAAACCACCATATATAAGAGGTGACTCTCTTTTAGTCACACTTTCGGACTTGAGCGACATCAAAGTTGGAGGATTGAAAGAAAACATTGGGATCGCTGACTGAATTCTCTATCCTACGTACATAATTAGTACGTATGCGAAAAGCGAGGAATACAAGGGAGAGAGGCTACTATGGTACTTCCATCGCTCTCCAAGCCAGGATGTTCGCCAAGCATCCTGTAGGAGGCCACGCGAAAGCTTGACTTGACAGCTGCTGTGATCGAGTTGCTGACACCGTGCAAGGTTTTGGCCAGTGACGAGTCTGAAAGTCTCGATCTAAAATCGCCGCTTACCTAGGCCTTATCTTCGTGGTCAGACAGCTAAACTCAAGCCAGTATCCCGCGCGTGCCAAGCAATCATGCGGCGACTGTTTCAAGAAACAACCTTGAAAAGAGGCAGATGAAAAAAGACGCCGCGCCGGCAGACAACGGCAGACCAGTGGCCACATACGTAAACGAAGCGCTAAGATGGTGGCTTTTTACCTAGACGAGCTAGGCCAGCAGATACGGCTAGGAAGACGGAAGGCCTAAGAGGCGTGCTGACAAGGGACAAGGGCAGGGGATGAAGGCTTAGCCCCTGGGAATCCGTGGATCTTCAAGTAATCCAAGCAAACCGACAAACTGATTGCCGTTCTTAATGACGTATCTGGCAATGGTCGACGAACACTAAGATGTAAACGTGCCTAGCGCCGCGATTGAGCGTCTCTTCCTTTCGCCGCAATCTAAATTTTCTCAGTTCATGTCTTCTTTCGTGATCGTTGTCGTGTCTTGAATCATCGCGACGAATCCTTCATATTTTCTTTCCCTTTTTACCCCAGAATCTGCGGACGTGATATTTTAAAAATCCGTAACTTTTCGTAGGTAATCATCCCCATTGCCATCCTGGTGCTCCGCTCTTCTCCACTCGCTCACCTTAAGACACACCGGGGATCGTGATGTCGTTACATGAGTTATCTAAGCACGACCAGGCTTCCAGGTCAAGAAGGTCAGAAAGGTTAAGCCCTGGAATAAGAGGATTTCGTTAATGACATCCACTCCCACCCGTTAACCACCCATTTACCCCACGTAAAAGTCGGCAGTTTGGCATTGGGTAGCAAACAGGTCGTCTCCTATACATAAGTACAATACATCTCTCGAATTCGAATTGGTTACCGAGTTGTTGTAGCGAGTCCCCTTCGACGGTTGGAATGAAACCCTCCGCGGTGTTGGGAGTCTTAAATGTCTTGGGTGTCACTGTCTACGCAGTCCAAGCCGGTATCACGGAATTTTGCGGTGTTTTCTGTCCCTCTCTTTCTCGTGCGGCCGTGGAGGTCGTGTGCAACCGGTGTAACCCAACCGCTGACCCTTTTTATGGATATTGTGGGTATTTGATGGGTCTTTATGCGCCGTAGTCGATAGGCTAGACCTGACGGGTCCGAAGCAACCGTGGATAGGGCAGTAATTGAAACGAAGGTCTGGAATTAATATATGGCAATGTGGTAATGTGGTAATGTTTGTTAGAGGTAACAAATGCGGAGGCTGCGGAGGTAGAGGTAGTACCTATAGTAAGAAACGCGTCAAGCACAGGTCGGTAAAGTACCTAAAGCTGCTGAAGTTACCTGCTACATAGTAAGGGATACGCGGTAAAGAGCTACGCAGTACGTAGGAGGGTATCAAGCGAGGAAACAGCGAAAAGAGCGGTTGAAACCTCCCCCATACCCCCATACTTCCATGCGACTCCCCCATACAACTCTCCCCCAGCTTCCCCCTTCCCCCAAAGTCTCCTCATTATAATTGCGCCCCTCTTTATGACATCATATCATAATATCTTTTGCTGAGGCTCATGTTCACATTCGTCATCTTTACTTTGTTTGTGCATCGTACTTTTTTTTCCAAATCGTCTTAGCCGCGACTAGGCGTGTTTCCCGAGGTCTCGAGGTCTCGATTCTTTGTACCTATCTTGGGGAAGATGTGCTAGGAAGGAACTGTATGTCTGATATGTGTGTACCTACCTCTTACCTTGGCCACTAGGTCTAGACGTATGTATGTGGTAGTGGGTATGTGAGTTCCACCCGCGTACGGAAGTACCAGGATATTTACTTTTCTTTTCTTACCTGTAATTTTTCTTAGTTCTTCCTTCAATTCCCCCAACCAGATCTCCAAATATTTCACAGCTCCAGGAAAGAAAAAAAACAGAACAATGAAATTAAACCAGACAATTATTTCCCGCATTCCCCAGAAAAAAAAAACATCAGAAAAAGTCGGAAAAGCGTGTGCCATAGGCTTGCATCGACATGGGGTCGTCTGACATGAATCCTGCATCCGGTTCACCCCAAGGGGAGCCCCGGATTTGCTAGGAAGTCCAGCCTACCAACGTACCAACGTAATCGCCATCTCGTCTTGTCGGGTTTCTCCCGATTTCACACCACCATCGTGCCTTGTTGGCTGAACTGGCTGAAGTAACCAGGGAGAAAGAATATTCTAAACCATCTATACCATCTAAATCAGCCCAACCTGCAGCTAGTGCTGTCGTCATACCTGTGGACGCGGGTTGATGGACCCGTTCGAACTGCCTCTTCCTTCTTAGAAGCCCAATTTCCATCCCGAATTCCAGCCGCCAATATGACCATTCGATCTTCCCTCCAGCCCAATGCATCCCTGCTTCTGCTCCCTAGGGTTAGTCCTGGCAGCGTCATGTACTGGAAAACGCAACGTACAGGGTCCCAATGTTCCAATGTTCCAATGGCTCCAATGGCTCCAAGGTATGTATCTATCTAGCAGTCTAGGTAGTATAGCACTAGCCGTAGCTATCGAACGGTTATTCTTCTTGTTCCTTTTCTTTGTTAGCCGTCGAGGAATGGGGATGGAGACACCGAGATAAGTATACATCGGCTCGTACCTACGTATATACAACATCGAACCCCCATACACCAGCATCCGCAAGTGTGGATTGACCGATTTGCTAGGTACCTAGTATGATAGGTCTGATGGGTATGATACATACAAGCTGACGACCTCGAACTCTCACTGGGCCGCTCCCGAGGTCCCTGATGACTTCCCACTTTTTTTGTCTGCAGTTCGGTCGCTCTCTGCCTCGCTTGTCGCCTCTCCGTCGTCTTAGTTCTTATTAGTATTAGTACCCTTTTTTAATTCTGCTGTTACCATTAATAAGCTTTAGATCCGTCGCCGTCATCTCACGTATATAAACTGGAGACTATCCCCAGACCGGCGTGCACGTTGTCTCGAAGTCTTGTTTCTCCTAAGCTTTCTTGTCTCGGGCCTAATCTGCGTCGCTCAAGCCACCCACCTCATATCCTCGGGTCCGTACCTAGGACTTCCCGATCTAGCTTTTTGTTTATTATTTCGCCTCCCTTCCCTGCCCCCTCCCTTCGGGCTTGGGCGGTCTTAGTCGAGTGTTTCTTGTTACAAGGGCATCTTATGTCAGTAACAGGATCTGCTGTTCCACTCGCCCTCTGAAGTCCCTACCCACTTTGCAACGCGCCCTCGGTATCCAACCAGCCAGCTAGTCAACCATGGACGGCGCGAAAAAAGAGTGGCCCGCCACGTTCGGGCCAAATGACGAGCGTCCGACCTACAGCTCCGAGGAGACGGTGGGTCACGTCAACGGTGTCGCCGCCGTCGACCACTCCCTCGCCGCGAGGATGGCCGAGAAGGAGAAGGTGAAGACCGAAACGGGCAAGCGAGAGCTCAAGGAGGAGGACTGCGAGAGCGAGCTCGGCTTCGCTTTTTCACCCTTGAAGAAGTGGTGGATTCTCACCGTTATCTTCCTCGTCCAGACTTCTATGAACTTCAACACCTCGCTCTACTCGAACGGTCTCGATGGTATCTCGGAGCACTTCGGCGTCAGCGCTCAAGCTGCCCGTGTCGGCGCCGCCATCTTCCTTGTCGCCTACGCTTTCGGCTGCGAGCTCTGGGCTCCGTGGTCCGAGGAATTTGGTCGCAAGCCGATCCTACAGGCTTCCCTGTTTCTCGTCAACATATTCACCCTGCCTGTCGTTTTGGCTCCCAACTTCGGCTGCTTGCTAGCCGGTAGGTTTCTCGGCGGCCTTTCCACGGCGGGTGGCAGTGTGACGCTCGGAATGGTGGCCGATCTGTTCGAAAGCGACAGGCAGCAATATGCCGTGGCCTACATGTAAGTCATTTTCCCTCTGCTTAAGTTTTCTGGAATCCTTAGCTGTACCGTCTTGTGCTGTCCCCGTCTTTCAACCCATCATAGCTTCCTAGATAGTCAATTATGATAGAAAACATTCATACTAACTTTTCGATTATCACAGTGTGTTCTCTTCCGTCGGTGGATCGATTCTCGGCCCCATTGTTGGCGGATTTGTCCAAATCTTGCCTCCTGCCCAAGCGTGGAGATGGTGTATCTGGATCCAGCTTATCTTTGGCGGAGCCGTGCAGCTTCTGCACTTTTTTACGGTACCGGAGACTCGAACGACCATCATGCTGAACCAGATTGCGAAGAAGCGCAGAAAGTCGGGCGAGGACCCCAATGTCTACGGGCCGGATGAGATCGAATCTTTCTGGAGCCGTTTCACCTTGAAGGAGTTGATCTACACCTGGTTACGACCTTTCCGCATGTTCCTCACCGAACCCATCGTGCTCACTCTGTCCCTGCTGTCCGGTTTCTCGGACGCCCTCATCTTCATGCAGATCCAGTCGTTCTCTCTCGTTTACAAACGATGGGGCTTCAACGCTTGGCAAGTTGGTCTCGCATTCGTGCCCATCGGTATTGGCTATGTCCTCGCTTGGCTCTTCTTCCTACCGGCCTTCAAGCGAAACCAGCGACGACGTGAAAAGCATCCCGAGGATGAACACGCGCAATACGAATCACGTATGTCTTTGCTGCTCTGGCTAGCACCCTGTCTGCCGATCGGTCTCATCATTTTCGCCTGGACGAGCAGCGGCCCACCAATCCATTGGATCGGCTCCATGTTCGGAACTTGCATTATCGGCATCGCCAATTACGCCATCTACATGGCCACGATCGACTACATGATCTGCGCCTATGGACCGTACTCTGCTTCGGCGACCGGCGGCAACGGTTGGGCTCGTGACTTCTTAGCCGGTGTCCTCACTATCCCTGCGACTCCTTTCTATACCAATATCGGCGCCGAGAAGGGCATGAACCTTCAATATGCCTCGACCATTCTCTTCTGTATCGCGTTTGTCCTAGTTATCGCCGTATATGTCATCTACTGGAAGGGACCAGTCCTACGAAAGCGCTCGCCCTTCGCTCAGAGCTTGGCCCAGGGTGCTGCTGAATTCGGAGGCCACCATCTCGCCCACGTCCACTCTCATCGCCCATCGACGGCTGGAGGTGAGCAGCGACCAGCGACGGCGACTACTACTTCCCGGCCGCCTACCGCGCCGAATGCTCCGACTATCGAGATTATGCAAAAACGTCCGGGAGACCGCATGTCTGCATCGCGACACAACTCGTACTACTCAGCTCAGCAGGCCGCAAGCCGGCGCCAGAGCAGGCAGGCCAGCCGAAACGCTAGCAGGCGCAACAGTCTCGATCATCATCGTAAGTCGGTCGAAAGCGACAGCGAAGAGGGCGTATCACACCATCACCTTCATCACCGACTTCAAAACCTAAACACAATCGCTTCTATGCCTACCCAGCCCCAGAGTCCTTAGGAGGATGTTGGGGAGAGCTATCGGGGAGTGTCGGTAACGCACTTCATGACGCCGGTGGTATGGGAAGAAGATGTCGCTGCTGCTACCACCCCTACTGCTAGGAGATCGACGGAATAAATGTGTATATAGTAGATAATAATTAAAGATAAACCAACATATATGAGCAGAATCAGGGGTGCGCAGCAGCAAGGCAGGGACTTTTCGGGAGTGTTCAGTCGAGATGGCTGGCATCTCTGTCTTTTTATTACTCCCCCACGGCCTCGGGGAAGTTTCTCGCGTCGCTTGCCGGGAACTGAAACGTCGGAATGAAATACCATTGGGGGACGCGTTGTTCTTTGAGGGTTTTTTTTCTCTCTCTTCGCCTAGTAAATAGCTAACGGATTTTCTAAGGAGGAATTAGTCCTTCGTCACGAGACTTTCTTGGGATGAGCTCCGTTCCGGCTCTGATTGGTAGAGCAAAGGCCGTAGAATAGAGATAGGGTGGTTTCCATACCTACTACTACACTACCACTACACACTCGATGAATGGAAAAAAAAAGAAAATTACCCAATATTTAGAGACCTTTGATTCCGCGACATGACTTGCCGACCTGGCTCGTGCATACGGGCGTAACGAGGGTCGCCCGCTGCTGCTACCCGCCAAGTGCGATGCAAAGCAACGTTGCCGGGTCCCGCAACGGCTTTTTTTTCTTTTTCCCTCTCTTTTTCTTTAACAATATGTGTTGTATGTATGTACGAAGCCTTTGCTGCCTCTTACTCCCCCATTTTTTCCTTTACCGTCGATATACATCCCATCTCGTTCTTGCTTCGCCCCTATCATATTTCGACGCCTGGCTCCGGTTTATGAGATCCTGAGCTTTGTATATCCCGAATTCGCGTCGTGAGGGGGATATTTGCTTGGCTGGCGTGGTAGCGAAAGGGGGGCGCCGGCTCGTCGCAGAGAATTGTGTACGTAAATGCTTTTTTTTCCGCGAAACATTTTTGAAGTTCCTTGTATGTATGATACCGCTGCTTTCTCCATACATAGGGAAAACAATAGGAAGAAAATGAATTGAGCATAAGATCTTTTCTACCTCCTAAAGTACCTATGGTATGGTATGGTATGGTATGGTATGATATACTAGGTAGTCAGCGCTGGGGCAAGGCGGAATGACCTTCCCTGGCAAGGCCACCCTAGGGGTATGCGGCGTATGAAGCTACTCCGATGTTCAGTTCTAATTTCTAATCATGCAAAGAAAAAGGTCCTAATTTTATACGAAATATCCTACATGTCCAACCTGTTGGTATATATGATTATGCTTTAACCGTTCCTGTGGGCTCCTCCAAATGAACTCATGTCCGACATACTCAACAGTTCGGAGGTGCCTTATAGGGGGTTACCGTTTTCTTCGGTTTTACTGCATTGAGTAATAGTCCGCTTGGCTCTAAAGCGTGTAAGCCCTGGAGTGGCCGCCATTGCGGCGGTCGTTTCTGGCAGCTGTCGGGGCACTTTCCGCGTTGTGGTGCCTACTACATCTTAAGGATCATTGGAACACGAATTGATAATAAGAAGAAGGAGGTAGCCTATCTATCTCCGCATAGGTACCTACTCACAAGCAACAAAAAGCCATATAGTATCTATTACAATAAAATTCATATTCGTACGTCGGAGCTACCAGCTACGTCACATTCTAACACAATGCGTTACGGGCGCCCAACTTTCTTTTCTTTTTTCTTATAACCCCTATAGCCTATAGCCTTGTGCTACCCTTCCAACCCGACACCTTCGATGCCGTGCCGCCGAAATTGTGGAGCCGCTCCCCCATAAGGTACGCCTCGTCCCTGATCCGGACCTGCCAGCCCTCGAAGACGCGCAGCATGTTCCGCGCCATGAGGAGCCCCACCCAGAAGACCGCCATGAAGGGGTACGCGAGCCGGAACGTGAGGACCCGCATCTCGCGAGTCATCCCCTCGTTGACGTCTAGCACGTGCTGGAGGAATGTCTGGGCTATTATCGGCGGGACGATGATCATGAGCAGCGACGCTAGGACACCGGGGATGACAAACGCGCGCGTCAAGATACCAATGTCGGGCTCCAGCCAACCGCGGCGGAGGACGGCCCGCACGGCATGCGCAGGCCTACCGCCATATAGCGTTAGCGCTCGGGAGCCAAGCTTGAGGTAGAGGATACCCAAAGTCCAAGCTTGTATGACCCGTATGGTATGGCCTTCCCGCAAGCCTTCTAGTCTTGTGGTATCTATTCCGGTAGGGTACATGTACGTATGTAGCGGCATGAGCAGGTAAAGCTCTACTAAGAGTGTGATGAGTAGGGGGAAAACGACGAGTAGAACCGTGTAAGTGTATAATAACCGGCAACCGTGTAACGTAAATTGAAGACCACGCTGTATTGCGTGACGGTCTAGCATCGAATCTGCTACGGACGCCGTCCATGCTCTCAGCTTTCCGAGCATTGATTGCAAATGGAAGAGGAAGTAACCAAGAGAGCCGAGAATGTATATGCCGATGCTGAACGCGTATATATCATTGGTCCGTATGTGGGAAGGGATAAGAATCTTGAACATGCGACGACCGAATACTAGAGGCACGATTGTAAAGCCGACTCCCGTGACAGCCGCGAATATCCATATGAAGAGGATAAACAGAAAGATGCGCAGTCGAAACCAAGGTGGGACATAGACGAGCTGGTAATGAATGCCCGAGTAGAGGTCGCTTTCCGGCCGATCTAGTTTTCCATCTTGCCTGATGTCTTGTTCTGACACGTCGAGGAACACCGTTTGGCCCTTGGGGATCTTGACCTGATCGGACGCCGGCGATCGCACAAACCGGCCGTCGGGGATGAGCTGCCCAGATTCGACGAGCTTCTTCTTCATCGCATCTTGGAGAGTCATCTCGTCGGCCGGGATCCTCGAAGAGGGCTTTGCTTTGCCTCCTTTAAACGTGTCTTGCCACGTCTTTGGGCCGACTTCGTTATCCTTGCTAACTTCGAGAAAGAGCCGGTACCACCAAGGAAGGTTTTGATAAGGCGAGTCTCGAGGCAAGGTCAATGTACCCTCTTCATCCACGCGTCTCTCTCCAAAAAGGAACCACGTCAATCGCAGGGTCCTCGCACACTTGCGGAACCACCACGTATACATAGCATGTAATCCGTCGCTTGGCTTGAAGAACTTGACGGCGAGGGGCATCAAGAAGTTGTAAAAGAGGAGATCGATAGGAAATTCTAGGACTGGCTCATTAGAGGAGTAGTGGATGGGAAGGACGTTGGGAAGCGCTAGGGACAAGCCCCATACGACGCCCCCAAGACAGATGACGACGAGTGCTCCGTAGACGAACGCCGAGAACAATATCTTTCGGAGTTGCGTAGTGACATTGCGTTCAAGGACATCGCGGACTGGGTGGAATTCGGGATCGTCTGGGTCCCGGATGAAGTCTGATTTTTAGTTAGTAAAGCGGTCATAATAGTTTGCGAATTCGGAAATACTTACATAGCACACCTTTCCTCATGATCTTGCGGCACATAGACACGAACAATGCAAAATGAAACATGTATCCAGTACCGACAAACCAGTGCACGAAGATAGACGTGAGTGGATAGTTGTAGGTGAACAGTAGCCGAGACTTGATAGTCGTCCCCTCGAAAAGAGGGAGTAGTGCAAAATCCAACAGCAGGCCACAGTACAAAGGAAATATCAGCATTTCTATGCTGATAATTAAGATCACTTTCATGACGCCACTGGCCTGATTCAGCGCGTCGATGATTGAGGCTTCCCATTCCTGAGCGGTTTGGCCCGAAGAAAAGGGAGTTCCTCTAGCAAGGTAAAGCCCCGCAAGGATCGACAGAGAAACGTATCCTAGGAGAATAGCCCAGGTTCTATCGTTCGCGTCCCAGTGCGCGAGTCCGGGGTTCACAGAAAAGGGAGATTCGGGTATACTAAGGTTCAGCATCCAAGATCCGGGTTGGACGACGGTGCTGGGAATGGATCTTAGGAACTCAACTATGCCTGGTTCAAAAACTGAAATCCAAGATTGAGCCGTGACCCATTTAGCTGAATAATCGCCGCCAAAGATGTAAAGGGCAACGTTTCCAAGGGACGAAAAAGCGTATCGGATATCGCTCTTTACCATGAGAAGAGCTTGGTGGCTAAGAGCTGAGAAATTGCGCATCTCATTGACGGAGATCAGCGGCATCTCGGACATGAAACTAGCCAGAATCCGGTCAAGAGCCCCGATGGCAACACGTCTCGTATCAATTCTTAACGTATGCATCAGTTGTTTCCCGTGCTCAATCTTGAATATTATCCTAAACGCCTCGAACACGGCGAAGGTCAAGGTAGAAGTGTAACCGACGACTAATAGAACGGCATCTTGGACAAATTTGGAGACGCTGAAGACTATACGCAGCAGACGAGCCGGATTTGCGATGACCCAGACAGATACGCGACCAACGTTGTAGGGTATGAAGATGCACAAGAAGATGGAGATGGAGACAAGAAACGCGCAAAATATGGCATTCTGGAATAGGCCTGCGATCGGACCGCGCATGCCGATCAGCTCCATGATCCCTTCGAAATCTTCAGCATCTTCAACGGCTTCAGGGTCGAGGCCGGCAGCAACGGCAGCTTCGACGACATCGGGTGCCAACTCGGCCTCGTCGTCTTCCCTACCAAGCATGCGCTCATTATCGAAGAAAGGGGCATTCTGGTTATCGCCGAATATATCTACAGCGTCCTCGGGTTCGACATCGTCGTGATTGCCGGCTTCGACGTCCCCCCACATGAAATCGGCTACGCGATCTACGATGCCGCCGGGTTGTCGCGCTACAACGACGACCGGCTCTGCATCATGGACCTGCTCAGTCATATCGGCGGTATTGTCAGCCGGGCCATCTTCCACAGGTCCGAGTAAATCATACTCGGCAGCTAGTCTATCCTGCGCGTCTAATTGCATACCAAGGCTCCTTTGCAAATGCGCCTCGGTCTGACTGGCACGTTGCTCATCTCCGTTGAACGCTCTTGGTTCTAGCAGCTGGATATCATCGATATCTTCACGGGGATCCGCAGTAACCGACGCAGAGTTAAAAGCAGATATAGCAAGATTTGAGCTTGGTAACCTTGACGTCCCCTCGTGGCGTTCGCCGTGGGGATTGGGGGGTAGGTCGGAGAAAGACCAGTTGTTATTCGCAAGAGGATTGATCCTCTTTGGAGATTGTGGACCATCTGACGCCGCTCGGGCTCTTGTAAAAGCCGGTACGCCAGTGCCAATATTGTCGTCGTTATTGGACGATTGCGGAGGAGCTTCGCCAAATTCGCCTCCCCAAGAAGTCCAAGAATCAGACTCGGCTGCGACAAGTTTAGTAGCTTTATCTTTACCCTTGCTATTAGAATTCTGGCTTGCTGCGGTATCCCCGTCGTCAGTTTCCGCCCACGTCCAGCTTGAGGTGTCACTACCGGTCCTATCTGCTCTGGGCGACTTGGATCTATCCGGAGAGCTGCTCGGGCCGCGTTCACATTGAGCCACTGCCGAACTCCTATCCCCGTTACTTGAATCTGGACCGCTCTCATCGGCGGCTTTTCCAGCGGTAGCCATCGTTTGGGTCACCCGAATCCAATATCGCATACGATCCTCTAGCCCTTCATCTCGAATTATTTGGAGAATCCGTTCTTGATCTCCACTGGCTTCTCGATATATTCGCAGATATTCTTTGACGGTACTCTGCGACGCGGGATCACCATCTTCTATATCGGAGGCACCTTCGAACCTGTTTGAGACAGTCCGGTCAGCAAAATTATGCTGCGATGGGCCAGCCTCAGGTTCATCATCCCGTTCCGCGATTTCAGAGTCGAAGGTGAAAGTTCTATTGATGATCCCGCGATCCTCGCGCCTGATGTCGGTGTTAGGTCGTGGAGCTCGTCGTCGGTACCCAGCAATAGGCCTCGGACGGGGATTCTGTAAGCCCATTAGATCACGGGCACGGTCTCCTTGGTTTGCTTCTTCCTGCTCGTCGGCATAGGCCATCACTAAATCACCACCGAGAGGGGCGGAATCGTCGTCGGAATCCAAATCCTCGTCGTCTCCAAGGTCCACATTACGCGCCATGGGATTGTTCATGGGGCCAACCGGTGGGGGAGCTTCGTTTTCTCCCGCGGCAAAGGCAGCGCGCATATTTATCTCCGGCTGCTGTTGCACCACATAGTCCCTAACCAATATGATCAGGATGAAACATACGATAACAAGCAGGGTAATGATCTGGCCTTCGAGGACGGCGATGATAACCCGGTTGATAGCTGGGTGTCGCGTGAAGTTCTTCAGAACAGAAACGTCGCTCAGCAGAGAGGACGGGTAGCCGGCAGGAAGCGAGGTTGTGACATGGTTGACGGCCGTGACATTAAGTAGCTCCTTAACACCCGAAGTTGATTTTTCGATAGCCGGGGACAAGCCCAACAACATAGCAAGCCACGATGAGGGGCTGGTAGCCAAGGGCTTCGAGATGCTCTTTAACAAACTAGATACGGGAATCTGATCAATTACACCTCCAACGCTTGCGGCAGTAGTCGTAGTAGCGAACAAGGGAGAAGAGGGACAAGTAGTCGCATACGTGATGGAGAAAGAGGATAGATCATCCCGACCTATAGAAGTGCCGTTTCTATTGTCGAGTACTGGCGGGCCGGGACCGAATCCCTCATCGCTGAGCCAGAACAGGAACGACCAGACGGATCGCATGAGATAGGGAAGCCAACCTAGCCAGACGCTAATGACCAAGATGGCCCTCAACCAGACTAGAACGTTGCGGACTAAATATCTAGCCATGTGCGTGACGAAAATATAGAGGGGTAACCGCTTCGGCATATCTGGAGAGTATAGTTTGGTGAAGCGGAAAGGCGTCTTACAGAGCTCGCAATGTTTCTTTTGCGAGTGAGAGAGCCATTCCATCAAGCAATCTTGGTGAACAAATTTAATGCTACCGCTGCATTTGCACGGATAGAAGAGAGGCTCTTCTGGGGTACCTTCTCCTCTACATATTCGACAGGTATCAGGATCGACGGAGGCGTCGTTGCCGAAAGGCTTGATCCCGGATGTAGAATGCTCGGACATCGTGTCGGGTCTCGCTGAGGATTGCCGCCGTCGCTCGATGGTATTTGGGAATTCGGCGGCCAGATCAGGCGGCCAATCTGCCATGACAGGCGATGTACGGGTCGGCTCTCGATTCGAAGTGACGGTCGATGAATAACAATCCTAATTAATTATCAAAGTTTAGAAGTCTTGCCCAGAGGGCTTCTTCCTCGGGTTTAGACCATGGGATTTCCGTCTTGATGGATGCGGGAAATGGTAGTCGGCAAGGGAACGGATGTGATGCTTGAATGCTATGAGGCGGTGATAGTCCAGAACATCAGATCGTGCAAGTAATAGTATGTTGGGTTGTATGTAGCCCTGGAGACAAATGTTGGATGTATGACAGCCTCGACCCGTCTCTCTGCTAAGTCGGTAAGGCAAAGGCGCAATCGGTCGAGGTTTAACACATAGGTTTCTTAGGCCTTAGGTTGGTCCTTTAGGAAGTAAGCAGGTTACGGTGTTACCCACGACGTGTAAAGGGCTGTTTGCTCGGCAGAGTGATGGATGACAGATGAAGCACTTTAAGTTGCCATGCATATATCGTGGATGTATGTATGAATGTATGAATGTATGTACATTAATTGATTATCTAAGGGATAGACACTACCCACTTCTCGGGTATGATGATATTTCAGTGGCGACTGCTCATCCAATTTAACGACGCTAGAGGGGCCTAGGTCGCCGCTGCTTCTCCAGTCACTGCCTTACGAAAGACTACTTACGAAAGCGGGCAACTCGGATAAGCACCGTGCGAGCACAGTTATATTCAATACTTAGCTCACATACATTTACACTGTACTATATTAAATTTCCATGAATTCGTTAATTCTATGTCTTGGCATTCATCAACCAATCGCCGCAACACTATAACCTGTCAGAATTCTATACACAATTGGGCAATGTATAGCTTATCAACTAAAGACATGCGCCCTCTTGCTCAAATTTTGTTTTTACCCAGGATTGCAAAGACAGGAAGTTCCCGAGTCTACGCGTCCTGACACGATCTAAGTGCCGATATTCCGAGTTTGAATCTGAATCTAGGTGCATGGACACTTTCTATTAGCCAGCACTGCCAGCGTTTACACTCAAGCAATGAACATCAAAGACCAAAATGGTCGAATAGAAAGATTAGGCAGTCATGGATGGTTAATGAGTTCTCAATGCCGCGTAGCCGCATATGCAAGCTGGCAAGTTCGTCCATCTCGCTGCAATCATGTTCCATCCGTCGTTCCAGTCACCTGGATGCTCAAGAGTGACAGATGGAGACCACCTACACCTCTTTGATGCACCATGTGCTATTGATGTTGGCCGCGTAACTAGATAAAGACTAGGCATCCAGGTTGGGAATATATGTGATAGATTATATTATTCCTCTTGTAAAATAGGTAAGCAATGTTTGTTATGTAGATCATCCCTCACATCTCTCTTGGCCAGATATTTAGTTGCAGAAGTTAGTGATCGGATGACGTCTTTGGAACAGGTGTGACAAGACACTAGGTGATGCGGATAGTAGAGAGGCGTCACAATAAATCCCGACTCCTGTTTAAACGGGATAAAGAGCTGAAAATAACTTGTTTCTGTAACATGTTATGATATAATAGAATATACTAATGAGTGCTGTTCTAAAGTTATTGAGGTTTGTTTAATTCAACTTCAGGTACGATCGAACTCATCCCATCACTCCAAGATCTTGAATCATACGTGTGTATATACACAGTCAACATCTGGCTTTTCTATGGTACCAAATATATGCCTACTTAGGCATACATGCTATTATTAAAAGTCTATAGAATATTCACGTGCTTTAGGTAGGTACATAATAGTTCGTACATTGAGTTGATCGAGGTAGGTGCGATCGACCTCCATCAACCCCTCATGTCGTAGCTACATCATGTGTACCTAAGCTAGCACTCCTACATCTAGTCGTGAAATGTACCACCTTTGTGTAGACTACCAGTTTCGTCATACCTCCTACAGCTCTCACAAGGTTCATGCATGTCCATTCGATATCTTGCATCGTTCACCTGCTCACCCTCCGTCAAATCGAATAATTCCATCACTTTATTTGTTCAGCATCCCGCCAGTTCTTTTGTAAGAGCAACCTTAGAAATTCAACATCTCCTTTATCAAGGGAACAGATACAGAATCGGAGAATAGGTGCCTAACCGAGACGGATTAGACGATTAGACAGCCCTCGTCCATTTTTTAAGCCTTTCAACCCCTGCGTTATCCCTGATCATCTCGTTTTTGTCACAAGGAGCCGAAACGCCAGCCTTAGCCCTGGAAGCTCCTTCGACCGTCCAGCCGTCACAACTATCGTCAAAGCTCCTAACATTCTAACACATCTATACCCACTTTCATCAACGTCTAAAACCACATTTTGTCCTCTATTTCCCCTCCAACCCTCTTGAGTTTCTAGACAACTACTTAATCAATTGCGAAAACCTATATGAAGATATCTTCGTCTACAATCGTGGACTCGATGTTGACTTGGAGATAGATCTAATACTTTCTTTTCGTCTCTTCTACCCCGGTCGGTTTCATTTTTTTCATCGCGTCTCATTTACATCACATCCGAACCGCCATCATTTCGGTGGGCAACGTGTCAAAATCATTTACGTATACCTTAATGCGAACAGTGTTTTTCACTTTTGTTGAAGCTTAAAGCTGCGTGTTACCATGACTGTCGCAAAGGACGACAGATCTAAATCTAGTACGAATGGGTCTGCGAAAGGGAAGAAGGGTATCAACGGAAGCAATGGTGGTAATGGTATGAATGGACATACATTAACATCAAGGCGGAGAAGTATCGAACCGAAGAAGAAGAGCTTCTTTGCATGGATCTTCAGTGTCACCGCAAGGTAATGAAAACATTATTTCAACATATATAACGTTGCTAGGCGAGTATTCAAGAATCAGTACTAATTCTTCTTCCCCAGGTTATTGTCTTGGTATTGCATCTATACACTGGTCTTCCGATGTCCGTCCAGCCTCGAGGCATGCAACGATGCGACACCCAGAATCTGCAAACCTTATTTTGGAATTAAATCGATTGTGTCGCCGCATGTAACTCCGTATTATGATACCTACGCCGCCCCTTACGTCGACATTGCCAAGCCGTATTATAATACCGTCGACCGTATTCTCATCACACCCACCCGCTCCTATGCTGTCAAATATGGTGGTCCGCGGGTGGACCAGGCTCGTGTCTTCAGCCAAGCTCAGTGGGAGAAGAACGTCCAACCGAAACTAAGCAAGTATCAATCTCTGGCGAAGGCTCGATATGATGAGACTATCGCACCTCACGTTGAGGGTGTCTCGGCCGCTGTCTCTCCTTATTACGAAATCGCGCGGACCAATGCGCTGCAGACCTATCACGAGCTGCTACTTCCGAGCTACCTGTTCGTCCAGCCTTACGCCGCGCAGGGCTATGACGTTGCCTACACGTTTACCACCGATACTGTCGTCCCATCGACTAAATGGGGTTGGAACAAGACGTGCGCCTTCCTTGACTCTACTGTCTGGCCCCATCTGCGAGACGTCTATGTCATGAAGGTCGAGCCGCAGCTCGTTCGCATCGGCGAGAGATTAGGCAGGTATAAGGAGAAGAAGGTCAAGTCGGTTATCGAGGAAGCTAACTCGTAAGTCCTTGCTACATAACTCCTATGTTAGTTCATCTATATTAGTTACTAACACTCGAAAAGATCAGCGCCCAAATCTACATTCGCGAAACCGACAGCTTCTACTACTTCATCTACCGCTCCGGTTGTCGAAAGTACCGCTATATCTGAACCCGAATCCCCTGCCAGAAGCGAGGTAGAATCTCCTGAGACTCAACAAGAGGTGGCTGAAATAAAGATCGACCAGACCAAGTCACGCACCCCGGAAGAAGTACGTGAGCACGCTGCGAAGACCGTGGCCGAAGATCTCGAGTTATGGGAAGGGAAATTCGCGAAAGTCGCAGAAGAAGGAGCTACGGAAATTGAGGGCCGCGTTGAGGAGATCGCGAACCGTATGATCGAGAGACAAGCTAACGGCATGGGTAAATCCCTCGTGAAACAACTCGACGAGACTGCCACTGCCGAGCTCGGGAAGCTTAAGAAGTCCATTATTTCCATTTTGACAAAACATAGCGAAGATGCCGAGAAGAGAGACGAGGCCTTGCTGGAAGCCGTCCGCGCAGCCGGCATCAAAATTAGAGACAAGGCCCATACCGTTCGCACTTGGCGCCAAACGTACGAGCAGGAAGCTGAAATCGCCGTCACCAAAGCCGCCGAAGAGCACTACAGTATCCTCGAAAAGACGAGTGATCTCGCTCTTCAGAAAATTGGCATGAAATGGGCGTGGATGGAAGGTGTCACCTATACGGACTGGAAGAAGTACCATGAGCTCAAGGCTCGCTTTGAGCAGTGGACGAACGAGTTCAAACAGCTGATTACTACCCATCCTGGCATCCTGGCTGCCCAGGCAGCTGGAATCGAGATTGAGGATGAGGCGATGGGCATAGCGCAGGCCGCAGCCATGGAATTAGGACGATTAAAGCAGGTTGCTACGTGGAAGGCAGTAGCCGGCGACTTCAGCGACAATTTTGACAGCGAGACGACTGAACTGGCAGCTATAGACGTCGCCCGAAAAGCTGCCAGTGCCGCCCGGAGTGCCACATCGGCAGGTTCCTCTATCGCCGGAGAAGCTGAGAGCGATTCTGAGTCAGTGGCTGAGGCAAGTGCAGAACAAGACGCCCCCGTCAACGCTGAGACAATAGTCGTATCGCTTTCTCAGGCAGAGACGGAAGCTACCAGCGTCAGTGATTCAGCGTCGACCGCAGCTCCATCTTCGGAGACTGAAGCCGCAGCAGTGGACAACAAGACCAACGTAGAAAACCCAGACGAAGCGTCCGCGTCTGAACCTATCGAGGTTCCAGAACAAGTTAAAGAAACGATTGTTGAGGTACCCGATGAACCGACTGTTCCTGTCGAAGAAGCCGCCCCCACGACTACTGTCAAGTCGGCTCTCTTTGGTGCTGCAGCCCAGTCTGTGCCCTCCCGACAGCCTATACTCGATGACGATATCGATTCGTCTGCATCAAGCGCACTGTCAGTGGCGCAGTCAGATATTCCTGCTAGCATCACCTCGGCCGCCCAATCCGCATACACAGCTGCGATCGCTGGAGCAGCCGATCATTACTCGCGTGCTATGTCCGTCGTCTCCGCCCAAATCCACGGACAACCGAAGCCCGTTCACGAGGAGATGCTTAGTTCGGTTTCTAATGCTTACTTTGGCGCCGTTGCTTCAGCCAACTCTCGACTAAACGCTGCTATAACGGCCGCATCTCAAAGTGTCTATGGCACTCCTACCGCCAAATGGGTCCCGAGCGCGCCGACTGTTCCATCTGTTGATTGGGAGAGGGTCCAGTCCATCGCCCAGCAAAATCTTGATGACTCGGTAAAGTGGGCGTCGGAACAATACTTAGCCGCAAAGGTAGCGATTGGCGCTGCTGAACCGACATCTAGCACATATCTTGAGAGCGCAGAGAAGAAAGCCAGCAAACTCCTCGACCAAGCCAAGCACAACTATTATGCGGGTTTAGGCCTGGCACATGCTCGGTATTCGGAGTTTCTGTCTGCAGCATCAATAGTCGCTACCCCCACTCCGACTAACATTCAGGAGTCGGCCTCGTCTGTTATGTCAGCAGCCGGTGACGCTGTTGGGGACAGTTGGGACGCCCTTGTTAACCGCGTGAGTTCCCAGGTCTACGGCGCTCCTACGCCAACCCCATGGTACGAGAATTTGAATGCTGCAGCCGGTGACTTCGCTTCAGCGGCTGGTGACTATGCAGCATCAGCTACAGATGCGGCAGTAGGCCAGGTCTCTTCTGCGACGGAGTTGGCAGGAGATTATGCCTCTTCAGCTGGCGATGCCGCAGCATCCCAATACTCCATTGTTAGCTCTCTTGTCTCCGAACTTATAATCGGAAAAGAGCCCCCTGTTACCGAGTCGGTGTATTCACGTCTCTCAGGAGCATATTTCACTGGCATTGCCTCGGCATCAAGCATCGCCAGTGTCGCATCTGCAACGGCAGCCAGCGTGGCAAGCGAAGCGAGTGACACGGTCAGCTCCTTCGTTGACGCTGCTGCCGAAAAAGTTAAGGGCACGGCCCAGCATGGCAAGGACGAACTTTAGATGCTGACCGCATCAATCCGAACACCCTTGACAATTGTCATTGTAGGTAGACATTAATGATAATTACTACAGCATACGAAACGATACGAGGTTTCTTGGCAATTAAGCTGAGATAATCTCGTGTTGATCTCTTTCTCTCTCGCTCTTTTGGAACATGGCATATACCCGGAGCGTTAGGATGCGTGGGCATTTCTCTTCTAGTTTACATGGTCTTTTCATTTTTCCCGCGGATACGCTGTCGAAGGAAACAAGGTGCCCTTCCACCGATCATTTGTAGTCGCCGTTGTAGATGTGAGGGGGGGAGGGGAGGGAGGGAGGGAGAAAACCCGGTTAGCAGGCGAGGATATATCTGGCGAATAGTTGTTGCTACATTAGTAGCAGTTTATGAAGGGCCCCCATGAGTAAGGATGACGACTGGAACGATTTGGTTTTAGGAGACTACGACACTAGTGGGAGTCTTCTAGGTAACGAAAAAAAAAATGGCTCCAGTAGTCATTCAGAGGCTGATCTTTCGAGGGACGAATCTATTTTGAGATGTATCAATAAGTGTATCACGGTAACTAGGGAAAAAATGAAGTATATCCACGGGGTAAAAGTCAGTTATCCATATGCCATTCAAATTCTCATACGCGTGTGGTTGTAAAGTCGATTGTTCTGACAAGTCGAAATCCTTTGTTAGTCGTAAGCCCTTACACATAAACAAAGCTCAACGGGTAAAATAATTATAAGCCAATATGACGACTACTCCATTGACCTTATAACTTTAGACGAATAGGGTGTACACCATAGACATTAGACGTCATTCGATTATCACGACCAATTTGTCGCAAGTTTCTATAGGGTATCATTAATCATCACACTTCTTCATACACGGAAACCAACACCTCTATACTATGGACATCCTCCTTCCATACGCACAAATTTCATATGTGCAATACCCCTTCCCTTCCAATATGAATGCAAATTCATCCAAGGTTCCCATTGCAAGGATTGTGCTATCCAGTTCATGATTTATAACGTGAACCGGAACGAAGGATGGTAATCACCCATATTATCGACCTCTTCCTTAGGGTGGCTCAACCGCGCATCTCTCTTACCCGCATCGCGCATCCTATTTTCAATAAGCATGCCCGTAAAAAGCAGCAATGCCATGATAGCGCCAACCCACATCAATCCCACGGAGACACTATAACCAGTCCGGTAACGCGGGGCTTCGTCCTGGCGGTAGACGAGAGCGGCCACGATTCCCGCGATGTTCCCCAGGGCAACCTGAGCGGCGGAGGCGAAAGAACGCTTCCAGTGACCCGAGACATTGTTAGAAAGCCATGCGAGAGCGATAGGCGGACATATAAAGCCACCTAGCGAGACCAGAAATACCGCGGCGTATTTAGCATCGCTCGAGAGGTGCGCTTGGCCTAGCAACATGCCGTAGCCGATCGTCGCGATACAGCAGCCGAGGATGATGAAGCCGAATCGATGTTTGAAATAGTCCGAAAGGTACGCCACCGATACCATGCCCACGGCCGACACGGCGTAAACGGGAATGGTGTGGACTTGCGCGGCCCGCGCGGTCCAGCCGAATTCGCTCAGGATGGTGGGCATGAAGAAGGTCGTCGCGTACCCCGTGATCCCGACGCCCATGTACGTGAATGCGCCGAGCCAGACCTTCCAGTCGGTGAGGATGCGCCGGTACGCGTACGCGTTGAGCGTGTCCATGCGCGCCTTGCTCCCGGCGCCGTCGTCTGCCAGCCGCAGCTCTAGTAGCCTTTTCTCTTCGGACGTGAGAAATTTACATTGCTCGGGCCAGTCGACGATGAAGAAAACGGATATGATAGCTATGCCTGCGGTCACGGTGCCTTCGATGATGAAGATCCACCGCCAGCCGGCGATGCCGTGGCGCCCGTCGAGGGAGGCGATGGCGTATGCGAGAAGCTATGTTGATGGTTAGTCTAATGTTGTTGATTGGTACCTTAATTGGTTATCCCTAACATGAAGTACGTGAAACAAAAGATGGGGAAGGACATGCGAGACATAGGTGAAAAGCAGATAAGCGTTGACGGGTAGGTGCATTAGGTTCCAAGGTCAGGTCACTTACACCTCCGAAAGCGCCACCGACAACTGTGGAGCAAAAGAAGAAGCTCATGCGTGTCTGGAACTCGTGGCGTTTATAATACATAGAGGTTAGGTAAACGATGGCAGGCAGGATGCCGGCCTCAAAGGTGCCGAGGAAGAATCGCAGGACGACTAAGCCTTGGTACGTCGTCACGAAGCCCATGCACATGTTGATTATGGCCCAACTTAGCATGAGAGATGAGAGGTAGTATTCCGGCTTGGTCTTGCGGAAGATCATGTTACTGGGGACCTCGAAGAGGATGTATGGGACAAAGTAGACCTATTCGATGTTAGACCGAAACGCATTTTCCAGAAAGGAATTCGGAACGACTTACGAAGAGGGCGATGTTGAATCTGTCTCCGTATAGATCCAACTCCTCGGTCATGCCCTGGATACGAGCGTTGCTAATGTTAATCCGGTCGAGGAAAGACATCATGTATATGATGAACAGAATAGGCCAGACGTGCAGATCGATTTTACGGAGGAGGCGCCGTTCCGCGTGAGCGTCGATCATACCCGGCGGAGTGTCGTCGAGCCCGGTCACGGCTACGGCGCCTGAGGAATACGTCTCTTTCCCTTTAGACATGGCAGGAGGAGCAGGCTTTGCCTCAGCTCCGTGAGTAAGCTGCTCATCTGATGCGTTCGACGCCATATCCGAGTGTTTGATTCAGAAAAACTCAAGTCGAGAAGAATTGGGGTTGAAGGACTCGAAGATGGAAAACCATCCTTGGACTCGGTTTTGGGCTCGCACAGCAGGATACGCAAGGAGAAGAAAACAAAACCGAAAGACAGGGGTGACACTGATTAAGATCGGAAGGGAGACCTCTGATGGCGGGGTACGTCCGAATATGAGGCGAGGATCCTAGTCGGTAAGAATTATAAGAATTATAAATTAAAATACAATTAACTGTAAACTTGGAAAGTTGAAGTGAACATTAAAGTGATCGAGCAGTTGGAAGTTGAGATGTGTACCGCGTACCTGGAAATGGTAGGGAAGGCGAGAACATCTTATCCTAAAATAGCGAGGTGGGTGGCTAGTGCTTTCCTTTTCGATCTTCAATACTACGTTATTGCCAACATCAGCTGTGTCTTTAGACTTTACACTTCAAGAGAGTAGCGACGTCTCATCTTGCGCATCCACTAGAAGTTATGCAGGTCCCTCGGTTCTTTTACGTAGTACTCGAAGTTCTACTTACCTAGTTTAGTCGCGAGACATTGCGTCCGATGGTGGCCACATATTCCAAGACATCCCCGGGACACACCAACGGCCAATGCCCCGGCAATTAATCTAGAATGATACCACCACCGCAAAGAACGCGCCGTAATACACAACGCCATATTCACAGCACTTACCTAGGTCCACAGGCAGAGATTGATCAAACATACCTTTCCCAACATCTCGGAGACCCGCGGCAAATAAGCGACGAGCTTCTACGAGTCGGACGTCAATGGGATCATTCCAAATTCGCGTATTGCGTCTTTGCATGTACTTCGACATGTGGGGTGACACGTATGCATGTGATGCGGGAGCCTACAGCGTCTAAAAACGAGATGCATGCGTACATAGTACGGCACGAAGGAACATAACGCACGTACGTATATCTCATGTGCTACTGATGTGACAAAATCATAGAATCTATTGGTGGTAGCTAGATAATAGTCGGCGCCCGCGCACATCTACGAAAATAAGCCTAACGTGTACGATAGAAAGTCAAGTAAAGCAGTTACCTTGCATGAACAATAACCGAAGTCTACAGGTACACGAATATCTCCCTTCATGCGATGACGCTCCTGTGATGGTCTCGGCTTGAAAGGGGTAAAGAATCTTATCAGGGATCCTCCCATCAGAGACCTAACAGTACTACAACGACCACCTCCTTGCGTGTTATAAGCCCGTGTAGGTTGCCTGCCACCTGCTCCCTACAAGTGTCAGGTGCAAAAACGGCACTCTTCAAGAGAAAGCAATGCCTTCGTTAGATATGCTATCTCGGTTTAGAAAGGCACAGAAAAGAGACAGCAATTACCTACCTAGGTAGGAAGGCGTATGCGCTACGGGATTGTCTCAGACCGTGTTACCAATAGTCCCTTGTGGCAACTTGCCACATAATTTGAGTGACAGCAATAGCTTGGGACTTTTGCGCAGCAACTCTAACTTAAACTTCTCTCTAGTCGAAACTCTATGAGTTTTATATTCTACAAATTCAGATAGTGCTGTATTTAAGATATAACAGTAAACCGAATCTATCTAAGGAAGTACTTACTATTTAAGAACGGGCCATTTAGACTATTGGATCCCATTTTGTGGATTCGCGGCCTCTCATTGCTCACGAAGACGGCTGAAGGCATCCGGTCGTGGCACCAACAAAATAGCTACCGATAGGCATGTCTCACATAGAAGGTGAAGGCTAAGAGTAAAGAAGGCTTGGGTTAAAGGGCGGGGAGTGAGTAAACACATCTCTTATAGACCAAGTCTAACTGTTTAGAATTTGTCTCTAGTAAGAGCAGGTTTGATATGATTGAGAAAAGTCAACCTTTCCGATTATCTACAATGTTCTGATGAGATGCGCTACCTCACATGCAAGTACTATTGATCGTGATCTTGATATGTAAATGTATATCATATATACATACATAGGTACATACCTACATATCTGAAGTACGAGATAGGTGGGTAACTCATCGTGAAGATCTTCGTTGTGGCTGGTTTCCTTTTTGAGCTCTTTCCCGGTCTTCCCTTGGTGTACCGGCGGGTGATCAATGATAATTTGTGTGATTTGTACATCGACATGTGTGCACTTGCTCTTGCGATGAAACGTGCTCTCCTAATTATTAAGCATGTCTCCCTTGAGGCAGCAGTTGTAGAGCAAGAGGCAATCTTAGAATTTTGACCGTTCTCTACTTCCGTATATACATTCACCCACCCCAGACGATCAAGGCTCGCTCCTGCCAACTCTTTTGCTTCAGAATTAAGATTCATTTATTCATCACGCCATGTACGGCCGAGTGACACTTTCTATCACAATTAATGTCATACTAACTTCATACGCCTGTTAGCAAATCTATCTCAGGCAGGAACTATCAACCTCAAACAGCATTATTGAAGGCACTCTGTCTATTAGGACGAGCACTAACATTCACACTCATCCTCTTCGACAAATTATCTTGGATTTAGGTACATATGCCACCTCGTCCCTGAGAATCCGGTCTGAAGAAGCCAGAACCTCACATAAGTGCCTGGTGAGAGTAGCCAACCCTTGTCAACTTTACCAACATGGCGGCAACCGTTATGTCGACCAACGACCCTAGATACTACGAGACCAACGTCGAGATGATATACGTCCCTGTGGCAGTCTTTCTAGCTATCTGCCCTGTTGTCGTCGGTACAAGAATCTGGTCGCGAATGGGAAATGGGGGCAAACTGGGCCCGGACGATTATACCATCCTAGTAGCACTTGTAAGTTAACATTCCAAGTACTAGGTACACACAAAATCAAATGATAGGTAGAGAAAACTCAGACACTAACGATGTAAATAAAAGGGATGTGCGTTAGCATCAGACGGAATAATGCTCGCCGCTTGCCATTACGGCTACGGTAGACATCTCACCAGCTTGTCACCGAAATACAAATATCAAGCTTTCAAGGTACGTTTCGGGCTATAACCATCTGTCAGGTGTAGTCAGCACCGCATAAGTCGACATTGCTGACCAATGCATTTTGAGAGCAGTACTTCTACCTATGCCAGGTCACTTATAAGGCTTGTATAAATCTAACAAAAGCCTCGATATTGCTGCTTTACCTGAGAATATTTGGGAATACTAAGTGGCTCAGGTGGGCGTGCCGCTTTGTACTGACATGTGTGGTGATGTACTGCATCGCGTCAGTAACTGCCACGATATTTCAATGTACTCCGGTTACCAAGGCGTTTGACAAAGGCCTCAAGGGTACCTGCATCGACAATGGACATTTCTGGTATGCGAACGCCGGCTTCTCTATCGCAACCGACGTCATCATTCTCACTCTTCCGATGCCCCTCGTATACGCTTTGCAGATTCCCAACGTCCAGAAGGCCGCGCTGATCATGGTATTTGCTTTGGGTGTCTTGTAAGAACCCCCATTGGTCCTTGGCAATGCACGTGTGTACATCATGTTGCTAACCCGAGTTCATAGCGTGGTTATCACTTCTTGTCTAAGGGTCACGACCATTGACCTCCAAGCGACGACGCCAGATCCAACTTATGAAATTGCCTCGACCATGTGGACCATCATCGAGATGAATGTGGCTATCGTGTGCGCTTGTCTCCCGCAGATCCGCCCACTGGTTGTTAAATGGTTCCCCAAGTTGATGCCGGCCTATTACAACTCCCGCGAACATTCTGACAAGCACACCCCTTGCAGTAGCAGCAGCTCATCAAAGCCTTATCTGTACCACAGCAATAAAAGCTACACCAAGTCCGAGGAGAATAAGTGGACGCGTATGAACAGCGGCAAAACTGGCTTGGGTGGCACGAACCCGCCGAATCTTCGCAACGGCAATTCTAGCTCGGAGTACACATTACAAGACGACAAGGGGCTACATATTCACAGAACGGTGCAGTACACCGTGGAGTACTCACCTGATGCTAAGGCAATACCACATGGCGGTGTGAGCGTATGAGCGAAGTCGAGGACGGGAATCTATAGTCGTTGTGACGACAGCAATGAAAGGACCTTATGTGGTCTTATCATTCCTCCAATGAAAGATGAATCTCCGTTAGCCATATTTTTGGAAGGTTCAAGATGTGCTGGACGTTAAACCCCTTTCTTCGGGTTCCCTCATCTCTGTTGCTGGCTACATTATAGAGCAGCTAAGCTGGAATATTTTTAGATGGCATCTAAATTAGTGTTTAGGTAGTCGGCATTGCATTGCTACAGAAAGGGGTTTGTGTTTCAACCACTCATATTCAGAAGCAACACTTGGCAGTACATACCTGTGTAAAGTGTATGTGGTTTTTGACTGCAATTTACTCACGCGCCTGAAATGAATAGGACTCTCTGGCCTTATTCGACCAGACACGTCAGAATCTTGCGAGCTCGATGATGCGATTAGAAATTAATCGACACACCTGAAGACGTTCGTGAATTACATTCGCTGCTACAGTAAGTGTCATCGAAGGTTTAAATACCCCGAGATGAGATTATTGCCCGGCTCTGTGACTATTCCTAGGAAAAGGACAATACCTACCTAGGTAGTACACAAGATAGCCAAGCATGTATCCGTGATGGGGATATTTCCGCGGCTCCTCGGCCAGTCTATGGACACCTCCACCATCCTCGCGGTGCTTCGGACTCTTTGAAAGGAATCGGAGTGGCCTGCCGAAGCGTAGGATGCCGACCACGGCCATATGTCGGCTATAATCCTAGATATCGCACGAACACGATGCGTATTCAACAAGATGGTAACCGATCCGTACCAAGTGGCAGACTGTAGCAACCTATGTAGCATGGCACGGTGACATACAGCCGCCCCATGCCTATCCCTTAGGCTGGCATTCGACAACATTGATCTGCAAAGCGGCACGGTACTTTTATAGGATCGACATCATCCCAAGCTGCACGAGCCATCCGGATGGTGCTATGTCGTAAAGCCTCGCGTCTTTACTAATCATGGTGGAGGCGTTGTCAATTCAAGGGATACCCCGATGTGTCGGCGTTCGGTTGAAGATACGCTCGATCAATGGCTATAGACGGGCCGTTATATCAGCTGATGGATTTCTCCGTCAGCGCTCGTGAACTCGCAACCTGTCAGCGAGGTTCGCTGTTGCTGACTCGAGCGACGCCTGGCATGTGGGAGGCCTACAAATTGCATATTAGTTGTCACGAAATACTGCACGCATCAGGAGGCTCCGATATCAAGCAACTGCGAACCTCGGCATTGAGATTGACGACGATGATGAAGAAAGAAAATAAATATAACATGACTAAAGATACTTGGCTCCAGTCGACTAATACGGTAAACCCTAAAGATCGACCTCGCTAAAATGGGTAAAGGGGCGTGCTGTCATGCAGGTCGCTCGATAATTTGACCAATCAAACTGATCAATTGGGAGGTCAAGAAAAAGCCATCTCGGGGACCAGCCAATCACGGGGCAAAGATGGCCATCTAGATAGTTTAGCTAATAAGAACGAGATTGAGGCTGAGATTGGGGCTGGGGCTAACTCATAATACGAACAACCCCATAAACGGCCTAGAGAATTGGCGGTTAGCGCCATCGATTGGCTCACAACAACTCGAGGTTGGGACGATGATCTAAGCGCGAGGCCTCACACGCTCGGTTCACGACTTCATGGGTCCCCAACCAACGTATCTTGTTTTGGTTTAGCCCGAAAATGACTTACCAGGTAAATCCTCAAATAACTGTCAGGTCTAGACCGACAGCAAAAATAGAGACCTCGTGACGTCAACCGTCGCTAACCCTTCGCAGCGTAGTCGAGGTCGTAGTGAGACCGTAGTGATGTTGTAGCGAGATCGTACTCGAAGCGGATGGACGGTCCCCAGGAACGAGAATCCCATGTACATGTATTCTGGATAAGGTTCTTAGAAGACGATATCTACGCACCATTCAGGTCTGCTAGGGTCTACTGGGTCTCCAAGTCACCCATGTAAGCTTTACGGAGAATAATGTGCTAATCTAGGAACACGATTCCGAATGGTTCAATGATCCACGGGATTCCCCCAACTCGAGGATCGTCAAACCGTCAAGCTTCACGCATACCCGCTAACCCAGTCGCAGATCCCTTGCTCATACTTCGTACCTCGCAACCGAAACAGAACTCCGCCAAGAAGAACAGCTCGTCGGAAAGAGGTAAAGCCAAATTTAGACACGAGATGGTTAAAGTCCGAGTCCTAGGGTCTTGGTTCTTTCTCTACCACTCCGACTCTGCCGCTGAATTTGGCCTTTTGGGTAGCGTTGGCTTCAATTTCGAAACCCCATCGTCATCGTCAACGAACCAGACACTTGCCGGTACGGTTGGCACTACCCGGTTGGGGCCGTGCCGTTTATGATGAAATAACCAGAGCGTGGGGTGGTTCCAGAGAAGTAAAGCCGAATGGGTCATCATGGATTCTTTACCCAGGTAAAAGAGCCGTGCGTACTTATCCACTCTACAATATCCTCGTGTTGAGATCTCTTATTCGCTGTTACGTGGTATGAAGCGCTCATGTTGGGACAGGGTCAACTGATGAACAGTCGAGCGAACAGGCTCCGCGAAAGCCGGGCTGCTGCTCAAAGGTTCATCGGCTAGCTACAACTACAGGAATCATCGTCATTGCTACGAGTCAAGTTTGCGACGAAGATATAGCAAGCAAATGCGCGTCGTTAGCTAGACGAGAAAGCAATGACGACTTAGATTCATTACCAGATTGTCGGGTCAGCCCTACGACTTGCATGACATGCATGTGAGCTTCCCGATCTTTATCAGCCTCATTATGAAACAACCATGTAAGATGCCACGAGTCTTCGAATGTGTGTCAGCTTACAGTATACCAAGAGGTAGGCCGGCGACTAAGAAAGCGGAAACGAGGTCGACTATGCCCAAACTATACACTAAGTAACGTGGCCATGGTGTAGTTTGAAGATCGGGGAGATCTAAGTCACCCTTAGCAACGCTCTTCCTGCACACTGCAGGGACTTATTTCGGAATAGCCTATAATATAGGTGTTGGTCCCCCTTTAGGTATCCTTTTCTCGGGTAGTCCCTCTCGTGAATTTATCAACTGCCATTCCGTCCGTAGCGGAGGAATCCTTCTATTCGTCGCACACGAGATTTGACACATGCGGGTCAGCAAAGGTTCCGGATATATCGTGGTATGATTTACCTCAGAGCGGGAACCGTCTTTGTAAAGAAATGCCATAATCTTGACATTTGTTCTCATCGACGATAGATTAGTCGCCTACTTCGGGAATGCCTATCCAACATGGGGATGAATACTAGCTATATCTATCGCCAACCTTCGCGCTAACAACTCGTCATCGAATCCAGGACATTAACGCATTTTATATCAACAAGGACAAACTACTCTGGATTCTCATACGACGCCTCTCATATTCAGCAACTCGCCGGCTCTACCCTAACTAGGTACCTACACAGTAGCTCAAGTTCCCAACAGGATATATATATACATATATATAACACCAGATAGCATATACCACGATGCCTCAATTCATCTTCGTCGAGCTCCCGAGCTTCCGCATCAAGAACGCCAGCGGGCACACAGTACGGCTCAACTACGCGCAGCTCGGCCTCGTAGGCGCGCTATACCAGTTCGTCCGCAGCGGGCTCCGTTCCAACGACCAAGTCGACCTATCAGCCTCCCTCCTCTTCGCGGACGGGGAAGCGGACCTGTGGACGGCGAACGCGGGCACCACCGGCGCCGGCGGCAGCCCCAGCCCGCACGCGGAGGAGAACATGCTGCTCTCGTACTTCCAAGCCTTCGACTCTCCGGGGGCGTACCCGATCGTCGACGCCATGCTGCTGCGCCGCGGCGAGCCGTGCGCGTCCTGCGCGGGCTACTTCACGCTCGGCGGCAAGCAGCTGCGGCCCTTAGACGGCACGCCGGCCTTTCGCGCCAAGTTCACGGCGCGCTCGGATCGCGCGTACACGCCGGTGTTCTACCTCGCGCGCGGGCTCGACGCGGCGCAGCGCGCGACGCTGTGGGCGCAGATCGCGCGCGTGCGCACCGATGAGCCGGGCGTCGTGGTCGCGAGCAGCGCCGATGTGCCGGTCGGCCAGGCGTATTATCTGCTGCGCGACTCGCCGTGGTTCGCGATTAATGGGCAGGAGGGCATGACGGATGCGCAGATCGCGGAGGCGATTGCGAGGCAGGGCGTTTTGCCTACGTATTGGATTGGGAGGTGAATTGGGGGGATGGTACGGACGAGGGGACTAACTAGCCTGGCATATAAGAAGGGACTTAGGTAAGTTGACTGATTTTGTCTTACCCAGAGGTTAATTGCTTCAGCGCTGACCGGAATCTAGGTAGCAAAAGGGGTTCACGGTAATACACACACGGCTATAGGCTAGATTCAGGGGTTGTATACATGTACGATTTAGATAGGTAGTCATCGGTATAAGATGGGCTGGTTCCCTATCCGGAAAAGCACAGGATGGTTCGACGGCCCATGGACTGGGACCGTAGGGAGTTTTGAGGGCATTTGGTTTTCTGGGGGATTTGTTATATGTGCTTTATTAACTATGTATTAGAGAAACACATGTCGCGGGATAGACAAAACTTTCGATTTGAGATTTTTATATGACAATTCTAATATATCTACTATCATGATGAGGTGGTTGGTTCTATCTGTGTTTATGATTTTCTTAAAACGGGTAAGGAATAACAAAAGGAAAATATGTGGCAGTCACTTTAAACTACTTCATCAGCCATACATAAACCCGTCTTGTATTGTGATGATGCTAAGATACCTATACATTTCTTAATTATCTCCGTCCATGATACTCGCGCAGACAGATAATGTCCATATGAGAAGCACAACTAGGCCAAGGAAAGGTTCGTTTTGAGTGAATAATTACTATTACGACTTATGCCCCCTTATAGAAAGGGGTAAATACCTAGATATGTTCCATGTACGTACTGAGTAGCTTATTCAGTGGAATAGGGGTACTAATGGCTGATAATTTTCCAAATCATATCGACCTAGGTATATTCGAAATTACTGATCGTATATTTACCAAGATACCTACATCAATTGGAATTTCCACGTCTACGTGTCTCAAGAGGATTACTTCGTGGACTGTGTAGGTAGGCACTTGCCCTTACGTGGACGTTTGTGTAAATAACCTAGAAATAGCTCTACTTACAACACACTCCATAGAGGTATGTGAGGAATATCCATTCCCCCCCCTTACTCCGGAGTCAACTATGCCAAGCCAAACCGGGAGTCCCTAAAGGGCTCTATAGATATACTACCTTGATGCTATATCGTCCTCGTACGAATTCTTCACGTTCAAATAAATCATTTCTTCGAACTTCGTTAATACCCTCTAATAGATTCACGAGAGGTAAGTGAAGATAACACGACTCAGGACGTTAAGCCCGAAGCTCTTGAGTCTTATGACCACCTAGAAAGCCCTCCTAAAATCCCGAAATGCTAAGATTAGAGTTTAGAGGATTTGCGATCATTTTGCCACCGCTCAACAGAAACGGCGTGCTGCAGGACAGCGTTTTCCCCAAGGCCTATAACCGACATTGTATACCTACATATGCGTGGTTGGACTCCCCATACGATTGTGGCGTCAGACTACTGCAAGTAGATATGCATTACGCGAACCTATGTTTGAGGAGATTGTTCCTATTCCATCGTTCCCCCGTCCCCCGCTTCTTGGTCGTTGGAGTTGTCAACAGCAAATCCTCCGCATTTGCCACTACCAACGTTTGACTAACTAACGGGGAATAAGATATGGGAATATTGAGTTCTCAAAGATACTAATACTTACTTCAATTAAATCTGGTTATTGACCGATAGCCACCTGCATACCTAGGTAGTTACCTGACCTGGAGGTTCCTGTCCGAGCTACCGGACATAATGGCATCCCTTCCCCCCCAAATAGAGACTTTGACAAGAGCTTCTCTCGGCACCTAGTAATATAATATATGCGCAAGAATCAGACTAAGGAGTTTAGTTTAGGTAAGTGATTTATTCTCTATTGGGTGAGCCTTACCATATGATCACAACCTGTCGTCGGAGTAATCTTACCGCTTTTTGTTGAAATATTTACCATGACCTTCAACTTATCTTTTCCCGGTAGACATTTAAAGACTGTAATACGTCTATTATTACTAATAATTGGACTGGACTCGGACTAATGTATGTCCCTTAACTAGCATATGGCTGTAGGATCCTTAGATACAACTTACTAACCCACTAATGCTTACCTATGAAACTGAACTCATAGTTGGCTGTTAAGTATACTTCATCTTTGATATTAGCCCTTCGTTGCTAGTGAACCACAAGAGAAGATCATGTAAGGTATGTGTGCTAGTTAAAGGGATAGGGGACCATAGCTGCTGGGAAGCCGCCCCTATTAGTACATCACATGATGTCTTCCTACATAGGGGTACCTAGGCACGTAAAAACGTATCGTATTGTGAGGAAATGCCCATTCGTAGCTCATCGGAAAGTTTGGTCCCGCCCACCGGAGGTAGCGGGAAGCTGAGATCTCACAACTGAGCACGTGTTGACCAAAAGCGTTTTAGATATCCGCCTTTTCATGCCGTACCCCCAGACTAGCCTTACCCAAATATTGTGATACATATGACTATCCGGTATTGACTAGGTATATATCTACCGGGCAGGTAAGTACCTAGGCTTGTTCGCTTAAGATGGACTGACAATACGCGTATTAAAGACGTACGAGTCGTCATACCTTCACATCCTGTTTCTTCCCGCAGAATGGCTCTACTAGTTATCACAAACCTACCCCTAGTTAAGTTAGCACGTGTAGAGAATAAATATTCCATACGTAGGTGCCTATTCATAATTGGACGAAGTCGTGTTTGCCTTTCTCTAATCTTGGAAAACCATCCTCGGAAACCGGCCAATTTATCATCAGATATCAGACCGTTATCACAGATAGACGTTTAGCCTCACCTGATAGGATACAAAATCTGGAACAGCAGGTTACGACCGGTCAAGATCAGAGATTGGTATTCGTCAATCTCCTATTTGCATGCCGACGGGTTAGTGGAACATTGCGTAACTCCATACAGGGCTCAGTACTTAAGTTATTATTCCACGGGAACATGTTATGTACGCAACATGCCTTGATGGCTCCATACACATCCGTTTACAATTGGTGCCCAGATTCCCGGATGACGGCATACTGTCCAATCTAGATATCCATAGATGCTGACTGTAAATGTACGGGATTAGAGAATGCGGATAGGGATTATAAGTATCTACATACCTACATACCAACCAATGTACGTATGAGAGGGTTGCTAGCGCCGACCGAGTCTTCCGGACGTCGATGCTACGGTCAGGGTCCAAGCGTTTCCGGATCTTGAACTAATCCCGTGTGTTTCGATTCACCGCTACTTGACTTGGTTTACTCAAACCAAGGTGCAAAGAGCCAACTATAAAAGGTGTTCGAGTTTCACGTGGTAGATGGGTGATAAAGCAAGTATTGGTCTCTGGGCTTACTTGGACTAACGCTTGGCCGCATTCCGCGCAGGTCATATGCTCGATCCTCTGCGGAGCATTACGTCCTGGAGCTATGCGGCGTTGGTGTGCTGACGAATCATAACGAGTTACCCTATCCTGCGATTGCGACAAGGTGAAAAACTCCCCAGATGCGGAGCAGTTTGTCCGGGGACCGTCTCACAGCATAGGCATGTACAGAAATTGTTGGCAGTCTTGGAATCATTACGATCTGGGCAATATGTAAATAATAAGACCCTGAGGCATCTAATGCCTCTACTTACATACTGCACAGACAACACCTACCTACCTAGGTAGGTACCTGTGGAAATACTTGTCTATGAAGGAATTCAATACTTCGCAAATACATATCCCCAGGGAATAATGAGTGTTCGGCTGTGCCCGCTTTCCCGGGTGACAGGATGCGGAACAATGCGACACTTGATGTGCAAATAACAACGAACGCATGATTCTGCTGTGGCGCGGTTGCACAGAGATCGGATCTCGCCAGCGTAATCCTGGCATCACGATGAAATCCATTGGGACGAGACCGGTAGGTCGACAGGTATGGTAATGGATTTCGACAAAGGATTGAAGGATCGGATGGCCTTAAGTAGAAAAAGGGTCGCTTCGGGTTAATGTACGGCCTCGTCAGCCGCAACGGTCGGGGCCTTATATTCTCCCGGCATCAGATATTCGGGAAACACGATCCAATTTGTTGTCGTACCGCCGGCGCCGGCGCATGTGTTTTCGGTGACACCGCGATTTAAAGAAAAAGAAAAATAGCTGGAATTTTAGGCGATCGAAAAGAAGCTAGGAAGTCTTATTCCCTGCTAGGCTCTTGTCACTCTTTACTTAAATGGGTCCGTCTATCAGGGGGAACGGGTTTGGTTTACGTTGCTAAGAGATAGCGCCTTGGGAGCTCGGATCTCACCAGATTGGCGATCCCTCAGCAAAAAGCCCGATTGCTCGTACGACCCAACCAAATATTTTGACTGGTTCGTGAATAGCGTTATGACAGAAAAGAACGTTGCATTCGTTAGAAATGTGCGCGGAGATACGAAGGGTTTCATTTTTGTGTGAGGGTTACTACGTAGTTTGAGACTACTGCGTATGTCTCTCTAGCTTATATCTATCCTCTTTGTCTTTCTGTTGAAGTTTAGGTATTAGTTTCGAAGTCATCTCTCAGTGTCTCACCGCCGCAACCTACAATCCTTATGATGAGGCGATACGAGCGTGGCTTTACCAACAACAAGATACCATACAAATATACATTCAACTTAGTAAAGAAATTACCTACCCGTTATTATCTCAGGTTAAACCCATCAAATTAAGCGAAACTGTGCCGTAGTAGTAAGCTAGGAATAGCCTCAGCGAGTCTCTTTTTGCAAGCTGATCGCGACAAGCAACGATAATATCTTATGGTCTAGCCCGACTTAATGGGGCTTTCCGGCGTCTTGATGAATTACTAGACCCAAAATGGCACAGCCGATGATCGACACGAGCATAAGCTTGCCCGTCCCATTGGAGCATAGGACCTATCGTTGCCTTGTTGGGAAATCCGTGCTATGACCTCGAAGGTCCCTGTCGAGTTGAATTCGCTAAAGCCTGAATGTGCATACTCACAGCGCAGTAGTACGCTGCGTAGGACACATCCTTGACTCCTTACTTCAAAGCCAATACTACCTAGTTCAGGGCATCAAATCTGCGAACTCGCACCTCGAGAGCGGCAGAGACGATATAATGGACTTCTGAAATTGCCGATCTTGGTAGAGTTCACTGAAATAGAATATCATCTACCAACGCAACGACAGGGTAACACGGCCTGCGACGAGACGGGGCTAGATTTTAGTCTGCGCAGTCTGCGGCCTGGCCTTACACCACATGCTGCATTATGCACCCCGTAAGTAGGATATAATGTGAACAGGCTGATTAGAAGAGATTTCTAGCCAATACATTCGAGGGTCTATAGTTCGTAGGCAAGGTCAGCATCGTGTAAAATGCAACAGATGACAAGCTATATGGTAACATGCTTGCTTAGGTACATACAGCGCAATCACATGTCTTCTGCAACATCACTGGCTAAGTCTACAAGATAGAACACACCCTTTCATGAAGCTGCTAATAG